GGGGGGGGGGGGGGGGGGGGGGCCTCCCTCCCTGGTACATATATAACAAGTTATTCTGAAACTGTGCCAGCTCACCCACGGGCTGGCTTTACTCTAGCGGCTGTAGCCCGTGGGAGGCCCCAGAAAAGTGCTTAACTAACTTGAAGCCGGACGAAGCTTGTGGAGGCTAGTATATATAACAAACAATTTCTTATTCTGAAACTGTGTCAAAGATAACTTCTACGTTGTGTTCAAAGCAGGCCGTAATCACATTTTTCGCGGTATCAGCGATCGCTGCCGTCTGACTCTCGAGGTCTGCGCCTGCGTCTTCGACCACTTTAACCTTCGTTTGGAAGTCCTCCTCTAGCGTCGCGACAGCGGACCCCAGACTGTCCAGCTTGCCTAGCAGCGCATCACTGGCTTTCTTCGTCCCCTCTTCGAACATCTTCTGCATCTCTAGCGAGGATTAGAAACTAACTGGCTACATCATAGATTGTAACTCCGAACAGGCAAGCGGACGCCAATCATAATGAGTTATCCACATCTTTCTTAACACTTCAACGGTGCGAATCCGATATTTGTTGGTGGCAGAGGTAGCTAGCATGATGTACTGACTCCAATCATAAATTTTTGCCTGCAATTCTTTGCGTCCTTCTTCTTCTACCCCATGTTCAATCTGTTGTTCTGCTGCAACCAATTCATCCTTCGAAACAACAGTACCAAGCCTTTGCTCAAACTGCTGAGGTAGCTGCACTCCAAGATTTGAGACTTGGTCTTGCACCGCTTTCAATTGTGCGGCAACCTGTGTCTGGACTTGTGCCTGCAGTTCCTGCCGCACGATCGAAGCGACGGCAGACTGAAGTAAGTATATCATGGTCGTGACGTCGAGGAAGTAGATAGTTGTAGAGACAGTAGTGAAGATTGATCATTTGGCATCACAATTCTAGTGGAGACCATCATTTAAACTCCCTGAAGATCATACATAACGATATTGACTTATCTCGTCTGTCTCTCTAATACCGGATCCACGAAACCAGCGGGTGGTGGCGCTGACGCGGACATGACAGGACCGCTTGCGGAGAAGCTTCCCGATGCCATAGGCACTCCTGAGGCCACCGGTGCAATCGGAGGAGCGCTTCCATATCCAAAAGCTGCCAGTCGTGATGTTCCAGGAGTCGCGATCGTAGAAGACGAGGTAGAGGATTGATCATTTTGTGCCAGTACTTGTTGCGGTTGATTTAGACTGGCTTGAAGATTTGCAGCGTCTTTTGAGTTTCTGTCGCGTTCAAGGCCTTGTCCTTCTTGATTGCTCTCTTGATGCTGCGCAGACACCATTCCTCCTGGGTAGTTCCCGTACAGCATGGAATTCGGCTGAAGAGCAGCACCGTACAGGCTAGGATCGTAATCAGGTGGTGGTCCATAAGCACCAGCAAACTGAACTCCTGGTGGGAAGGTCGATGGCTGCAGTGGCGCGAACTCGCTCGCTAGAGACGAAGGATAATATGCTTGAGCTTCATTGTTTCCGCCTGCAATACGAGGCGGCACATCAACTTGAAACATCGGCGTTGCTCCATCAGGTCCATCATAGAGTTGTTGCTGAAACTCCTTTTCTTGCTCTGAGGTCCTCGCGCCTTCACCCTCTGCTAGCGGTGGACTAACATTCTCACCGACGAATGGTAGAGACGCCTGGGCACGCGGAAGCACTCTCAGCGCGCTGACCAGATCATCTGTGCTTGCGAAGTAGACGAGGAGAATATTGCCAAAGCAAAGCAAGGCAGAGGGGAGCCTCATGTTGTTCGCATAAAGGGGCCAAAGCCCCTGCCCACGTGGGGCCATTTTCAGATCTTCAGGTGATTGCGCTCTCTTGTCCCCACTTAGTTAGTTTTACCACCCGCAACACAAATGAACTACTCAAGACTGAGGGACAGGCAGAGGCACATCCTACCGTGCAGCTGCTGCTAGAGTAATCCGCCTATTTTATTCTACATGCAAGTCGGTCGTCCTTCGGAAAAATCATATATAAATACTAAATGCGAGCTGCCTAAGATTCGATAAATGAAAATGTCTCCTCTTGCTGAAAAATGACAAATCGATTGAAATAACTTCTCGTCCTGAACATCACCTGCCAGTTCTAGGACTGTAATGCATACTGCATATCCCCTGAGCGCAATCTTTTTCCCAGCAGCGATAGAAGACGCTGGTTCGCATCCATGGATGTTCAGTTGTAAGTGACTTCGATGTTTTTTCTTGCGCAAAACTTTACTTTTTTTCGTTATCTTTGGTGCCTCAGAATCTGTCTCCCCCAAAAGATCGCTATAAATATATCAACTACACTGCAACATCTTCATCTTTTCTTTCCTTCTTTGTAGGTGTCCCACAATCCAATGGATTTTGTATAAAAATATGCGTGTGGAATGCAAATGCGTAGCGAAGAGTGCTAAAATAATAAGCCGAAGCCAACAACAAGGAACAGAATAGTATAGAAGACCTCAAGTAGCCGGCAAGGAAAACAAGTTGAGAACCACCAAGAGGATTCTTATCGTTCGCAATCAATGATAGCAGTTGCGATGCAAATCACTCTAGTAATGCGTCCGGAAAATGGATCTTTGACATCGAAGATTAGATATTTTTAGTTGGATATGAAAGAAAAAGATTCATAGAAGTCGTTGTGAATGATTGATGAATCAAACGTCATCGCCACCTTATCTACGACAGCTCCGCTCGCCGCGCTTCTGACATGCTGGTGACGGTGTGGCGCGCAGTCAAGCAGCCCTCATTACCAACAAGGGCGATCTTCAGAAGCTTATACTCACACTCCGTGTCCGTCGTTGTACTACCTACTGAAACAACATCGAGAGGAAAAAATAATGATAGATTGACGCTTTTGCGAGATCGAGACAATAAACAAAGCCTCTAGCACATTCGGAGACGGAGACCTTGACCCTGCTTCAAAATAACCCGAAGTAGGAGCCACGAGCGTCTTTCTCTTCCTCTTCTGTTTCGCCGCTAAAGCCTCTTACTTTCTCCCGAAGCCAACCCGCTCCAGCGCGAATTTGAGTGCCCTGGGTAGACAGAGAGTAGATGAGAAGTTCAATTTAAATACACGAATCAAGTGTTCCTCTTCTTGTTTGTCACTAAAAAAGAAGCAGGATGACACAAGGCCTGTTCAAGATGGAAGCAAGTAAAACAATTCAGATGGTTTTGAGTTAGAACATTTGAAACATCATAACAACCCGGGTTCTACTTCATCGACGTCAAACTAACAACGTGTAGTATCTTCATCGGATTTGTACCACCAACCGCGTTGGCGCTTCAATGTCGTATCCCAAATGCAGTGCGAGGTTGAATCCGCCCATCAGGAGGAAGTAGAAGCCAAGGCATGCTTCAATCGAAACAAACGGATTCAGCATCACTTGCAGACAACCGACATAAACGTAGAGGAGGCCAAGGCACCAAGGAATGGCAAGGCATTTGCAGTATTCCGCAATCCAAGCTTGATACTCCCGCAGGGGTCTCCACTCGGACAAGACGTCATCGCTGGCCTCCCATATAACCGAAACCCAACCAAAAAACGCAAATGTCAAGTTCATAAAATACCGAAAGGGGTTCGTGATAATCCCAAAGATATTAATCAGCGAAAAGGCGTAGTAAAGTAACTGAGTTTCAGGTGAGCATTGATTGGCTGCTGGTTCATCATTGCATTGCTTTCGATATGTCAGCTCTACTAAGAAGAAGCCGTAACTTCATAGGTATTACAAGCTGGAATTAGACTTGCAGCAGCAGCTTGACCCCAACGAATCTGACGTTTGCTTCTTTCTACTTGATTCATTGCGGCTGCACTGAGTAGAAAGTGCTCAAATACGAATAACACAGAAGCGATAACAAACAAGGACGACGAGCGTCCGCCGAGTACAGCGACAAACTAAAACGAAAAGGCAAACCCACGGCTCTTCGCAATGCCTGGGCCCCCTGATGTAAGTTGTCCCGCGAAGAAAATTAACCCCGTAGCAATCGCAAATGCCTAGCCTACGCAAAGAAGAGCCCGACACCCAAGGAGCTAGCAATCTCTTGGCCCCCACCCCGTTCCCATAACCTGGGCACAAGCTGCCTCACATTCGTCACCATTTACGCACAAACTGTGAGTGACCAAGACGTCGCCCGTTGCGACGCTATGCCTTCCGGCTTTGCCTCGTCCACTTTTTGCCTGCCATTGCACGTTGTCATCTACAACGAACGCAAGCCCACTACACCAGAGAACCCCAGCAGAATGCTTACCCGCGCGGCTTGGTTCATGGGCGCGCAACATCGCACCGGCGCAAGGCCTAGCCTGCCTTCGTTTTTCCGCTCATCACGAAGGCGAAAAATTTGGAAGGCCTGTAGGCCGTGCGTCTCGTTTACGATCATACAAGGCCGCCGCCAGTGCTGCTTGAAACTGCCGACTAGTCCAAGGACCCTCCTCACGCACCCTCCTCGGGAGGTGACTTGCGCCGATAGTTGAACCAGGTGGCGCGCGGTAAGGCTGCGCCAGCTGCTGCCGCCTAGTGGACGCAACAAGCGCCAGCGGCCACGCCCACGACGTTAACCCCCGGGGCATCTGCGTGCGCGGTGCCAAAGGGCGCGCCAGCGTTATGGGCCCGCCCGTCGCCGAGCCATTGCCAGCCGTGTTCGTCCGGTCAGTCACTACGCACCACGCCGCGCGCGTATCTCTGACGCTGTCGGCTGGTTCGGGTGAAGTTAACTGTTTGCCATTTGATGAGGTAGTACCATACAAACGCCTCCGACAAACGTGAGAGTTCGCACTCCCTCTGGGCCCTGTTGCACGCATTCCTGGATGTATCCTAGGGCATCACCGATTTTCGCTACCGCAAGACGCCCAGTTCTTTTCAACGAGTGCCTGATCATTATTTTGAAGAGAAAGGTCGAGGTCCATAAGCCAGGACGTAACTCAAAGGCGAAGTATGATGGGAAATCTCTTACTACTTCGAGTTTCAATCCTTTTTACATCATGTATCAAAATAATCAATCTCAGTTTTGTAGCGCGCATGCATGAACTGCAGCACCTTCTTGAACCCAGTATCAATCTTGAAAATGTTTTCATAGACGCAAAAACTCAAACTCAGCTCTTCCAGCGTCAAAGTATATTAAGAATACGACACTAGATCCGGCACGATCGTTGGTTCCGCTGGTGGTAATGGCACTGGTGGCCGCAAAGCCTCTTCCGACAGCATTTTCCTGCTAGCCACAAGCGGTTCACGCAACTGACCCCGACTCTCGTACTCAGCCATGCTCTTTCTTCGCGCAGAGCGGTCATCCCGATTCCTTCCTCGGTAGAAACTGGCGCTATTGTCATCTTGTGGAATGACCTTGTTCATTGCTTTTCCGCCTGGCGGTAGCAGCAAAGCACTGCTAGAAGATGTTGGAGCGCCAGCAACACGGTGTGATGGTTGGAAATGGTGGAGCTCCTGATGCTGAAGATTCGCCTGAAGAAGAGGTTGCGTCGCTGTACTTGCAGAGGGTGGTAAAGGCGGTGTTGGAGTTGGTGCTGTTATCGGTAAAACAGTAGACATCGGCTGTGCAGTTGTACTTGTAGAAGGTGGAGCGATTCTTGGATGCGGTTGCTGAAGCTGGACAAACTGTTCCACTTGTTGCACTGGTGCAGATTGGTTGTATTGGTGCTGTCCGAAATTGGCATTGCTATGCTGGTCTGTAGTACCAGGGCCACCTGTTGTAGCTCCCATAGGTCCTCCCGGAGCAAGGACACTGCCGCCAATGCCTCCACTAAAACTCCTTCTACTACCACTTGCAGAGGTGCTACCGTTTTGCTGCGCGCCGGCTATGTCTTCACCGGAAGAAGACGCTTGCATATGTCCTGCTGATGACGACGCACTGGAAAGCTGGTCGCTACTTGCCCCTCCGCCACCGGTATGTACTCCTAAACCTAATCTTTTACTGCTTTGCTCGCCTTGATGTCCTTCTGCTGTAGTACTTCTACTCAGAGTAGAAGCATTCAAGTCGATGTCTTCAATCCGTGGATCTATGCCCCCGCTTCCCTTAGACAAGAAGGTACTTGCGGTTGTACCAGTCGGTTCCTTGGTAGTCATCTGCCGCTCCGTGGCGCTACTATTTGATTCAGCGGGTACACCAAAGGCACCATTCGGAGGCAGCATACTACGTCGCCTCGAGGGCGGGCGAAACGATGCGGTCGTCATTTTTTCGGTTCGGAGATCCCTCCGCACGTATCAAAGAACGAGCAAGGTGTGACTACAACGAGGGACGCATCTAGCTTCGCTGAAGCTATCTCGTTAATATCTGATTATTGAATCCTTGTCGTCGCTACACTCACAGCCTTCTTCTCGTTGTCGAAATTGAATTGCAAACTTATTATAATATATTACACGACATAGTCTCTCCGACTGGTCCCAAGCATAAATAAGACAACCTACATCTAGTACAACGAGGTAGATTATGAATATGAACTAGCACTATGTATAATAATGTCAAGGGGTTACAATCAATCTTAATGTGGTCTACGACTAGTAAGTAGAGTAACTAATCGCAATGTTTGAAGGAACATCGCGGAAATTAGGGCAGTAACTAAGTGTTTACAGTGAGTTGGGAGATGCTTGACTAGAGTATAGATACGACCGACTTTTCTCGATAGGAGGAATTCTCTTCCATCTGTACTTTTTACACGCTGACTTTCGCTCCCTGATGCCACCGACATAAGACTGATCCTTTGTTCTACTCAACAAGAACGCCGACACACGACAAGAAGACGCAACCGTAAACGAGGAATCTCAACATCGTGATAGGCAACCAAGATATTTTGTTTCTTTATTGTTCTGAAACAACCCTTAGACGGCAAGTATTGATGATAGATCATGTGCTTCCTTGATAAAAAACGACGCTTGAAATCTACAAGAACCTAGAATTAAGTGGAGGAATCCTTCTTAAATTTTCTCTCGAACATCGCTCTTCGTGTATCCGAAAATGCTGCTGGAATCTGTTGTAACACTCACTGGAAAGTATCCAGATGAAGAATCGACCCTGTGAGCGCAATCACAGCGCATCACAGCAGCTTGCCCCTGTTTGCTGCTAGAATCACACACCACGGAGGACAGCTCATCTTCAGACATGCGTTGATGCCTTTGCATCCGCCCTTTCGGGAAAAGCGTGTGCGTGATCTAAATATTGCTGTAATTCGTTTGAGTAAAAAGATAGAGGCATGTTGGTACTATCCCTTTGAACTTGAAGGCAGTGGGGAGTATCATACGTGGTAGGGTTTGTAGAGTATATTTTGGTTTCTTTGTTTCAGGTACATTCTCATGGCTCTTGTGAAGTTTTTCAGCCATACGAGTCTTTGAGAACATCCTCGAGTGAAAATTTTGCTTTCTTTGCGGGTGGAGGTGGAGCTGCCTCGACGACCGCTTTCGATTTCATCGTATTCCTACTAGTAGTATCCGTATCGCCCTGTTCGACGCTTTTTCTTTTTGCACCTGCGACTACAGGTGCGGGTGCTGGTGGAGCGGCGCCTTCACCTAGAGATCCAGAAAGCATCGCAGCTAGCTTCGCCTCCATTTCGTCCGCTGTCGTCGCAAGCTTACCAGCCACTTCTACTTTCTTACTTCCGCTGCCACTACTGCTTGGCATGTCCTGTTTAGACGACGAACTACTACCGCCAACTTGCACAGAGCCTCCATGTTTTTCGTGTTTCTTATCCTCCTCGTCTTTTTTCTTTTTGGCTATGCTTTCGAGTTTTGCTTTCACCGTCCTTCGGTGCTCCTCCTCCAATAGCTCAAACGCGGTCTTTCCTTGTGCGTTCTTCGCAAAGAGGTCACAGCCCTTTTCGACCTGATGAGATTTTTTTGAAACGATTGAATCTGCTAAAACCACAGGTGGAAGTCCAAAATCAGAAAAAGACCAAGAAACCAAGAACCATCTTCAGCAACTGCAACATTACAAAAAAAAAAGTACCAAGTAGAGCGCGACTTCAACGTGCTGTTTTGCGCAAGCTAAATGAAGTATGTTCTTCTCGCCTTTCACCAGTCGACGCATCAGCTTGCGAACGCCGCCTACGCGTATATCCTCATCCTTCTTGCCGGCTTGTTGTACTAATATCCGGAGGCACTCCATGTGGCCCTGCTGCGCTGCAAAATGAGCTGGGAGAAAACCGTCTTGCGCTTGTCGATCACTCGACTCCGGACAAATCTCTAGTATTCTCTCCACGACCTGAAATGAAAATAGCAGTATAGAAACCGGAAAAAGTAACTCATCTTCATGGATGCAAAATTGTTCGTGCTCCACGCTATCAAAGTGCTCCAGTAGCTAAAATACGACTAGAACGGCTACTTAAAGCTATTGCATCAGAAAAATGACAAGTACCTCATTATGACCGTAATAGGCTGCTAGGTGTAAAGGCACGCGGGATATGTGGTCGTTGTACAGCAGGTTCATTTCGGTCATCGGATGATCTTCCATCTCTTGGAGCTTGCCATCCTTCGCTAAATTATGCAACACCACTAATTCCGGAGCAACCTGCTTCGTCGGAGGAGCGCCCTTCTTGCCCTTGCCCTTGCCTTTTTTACCGCCCCCCATCTTTGTCTAATTTTCCTGATACTGGTTTTTAGCTTAATGCACGTACCAGATGGAGCAGATGCACACCAAAAAAAAATGAATAAAATCAATTGAATGTTGATTCCTGACGCAAATCTAGCGTCTTGTCATCGAGCAGTACTGTTGCAGCGGCAACAACTTCAACAAAAGTGAGACAGCAAAAAATACGGCAAGGATAAACACAAGTGGGAAAATAATAGCTCACTTCAGAAAAGCCTGCACATATTCAAGTAAGAAAACGAAAAGTTCCGCACAATATATATATAAGAAAGTTTTTAGCTGAACAGAACTAGTGCAAGTGCAAACTGAGAAATAGGGAACTGGGAGGTGAGAATCCAAATTCATTTCTTCAGATATTAATGAAACATCAAACGTATGCCGTGCCGCTGGCGGTGGTACTCTGCTAAATTTGCGTTCCCCGATGGTGTCCGTAATTAGCTGTGGAAGATTCTAATTCAATCCGACGCAATAAAGACGCGCACCGAATTTGTCGTGTCAACAAATCCTTTTTTTTTCTCAAGGGTAGTCCTACGTCCCGAAGGAAAATTCCGTCCCTACGAGACGACGTGTCACAAGATTGAATTCTGGAAGAATATCGAAACAACATGTTAATTTAAACAGTAAGTGGAGGTTTATAAGAAAGCACAAGAATATTTTGTGAATTATAGATTGCGATCTTCGACATAGTCATAAGGGATAGGGAAAAGGTAACGTCTGTTCCAAGTACAACTAGAGCACGTTTGAGGCGTCGTTCGGGGGATTGGATATTTGGCATTGTTTCATGAGTCTCTTGAAGACTTGCATGCATTTTCTAGTCGTATCGTCATTCAGCGTGTGCGATATGTTGGAAGAGGAGATTTTGCTTCTTCCTACTCGTTCGTGAATGCCCACACTGGTCACTCCCACCGGCCACGCTGCATTCCCGACTGTCAATTCGATGTATTTGCCACTAGCAGCCCTGTACTCGCGCTGTTCACAGCACCGCACCATGTCCATGAGGAGTTCGACTGTGCCCGCCTCAAGGTCGCGCTTTTTCAGTCGTTTTAACAATGGCTGCATGTCCTGTTTGCTCTGACGAAAGAGAGCACTCTGCGTTTTGCCTTCGCTAGAACTCATCTCCTCCTCTGTGCGATCGCCTAACTGCATCTCCCAAGCTTTCAGCCAGGTTTTAATCCATCTCCGAAGAATGGCCTCGCTCTGGCTTGGCTCCTCGCCACGCTCTGGCGACAACATCGTGGACGTGGACGCATCGCCAGTACCAAAGTTGGACGCATTGTTGCTCGTTCCTACTCCTGGCGCTGCGCTACTCGTATTAATACCGTCGCCGTCCCTATTTGTTTCCGTGGCCAATTCACCAAGTCCTCCCGATTTTCGTCGACCACGAGGATGGGACGCAGAGGTAGAAGAACGACGTTTCTTGCCATCTGACCTGCGTCGGTTTTTTCTTCTCCCAGTACCACCCTCGTTGTCACTACTGCTGCTACTGTCGTCATTCGAATAGGGACTCGCCGGTGAAAACGCAGGTACTCCAGCATCGTTTTGCGCTGACGACCCACCGCCTCCAGTCGACGACATCATGGATGACAAGGAGTTGATATACGACATACTTCCAGCACCACCTCCCATTCCCATTATGTTCCTCTCACCAGAAGTACCTCTCTCGGTGCTGCGAGCGACTAAAAAGCTGTTGTGTCCCCTAGCGTTGCGAAGTTCTTGCGTGGCCTGTAAGTCTCGTTCCTTCAGGCGCAATCGCCGAAAGCGTTGCATCGGCTTTTCCCCGAAATAGGTAATCACTTCGCCGGCCTGGCGTAATCTGCAGATGATCTCCCACAAACTCATCGCTTCTGGGACCGCGTCATCGTCGTCTACGTTTTTCTCGCCTTCAAGACGTTGCAACAACGAAGAGGAGCTATCTCCTGAGGCTGCGCCACTTCCAGCGCCAGCATGTTGCGAACTAGAAGCACCAGCTGCTGCTGCATCATGTTTGTCGGCCCCGCCGCGAGTCTTGTAGAAATGACTCACCTGTTGGAGTCGAGCCTCTTCTTCCTGTTGTTTCCGTGTCTCAGCTGCCAAGCGGGCCTGCTCCGCCGCACGCTGCTCCTCGCGTATCAGATCTGCTTTCGTGCGAAAGGTTGTTGTGATCATCACCGCATCTGAATCCTCGTCTCGCCCAGCTTCCTCCTGATCAAGGATACGCGCGCGATGCCCGCCATCCCCAGCCGATGATATCCTTCTAGATGTTGTCGCAGCCACTGGTGCCTTCTCGACTGTCTTTGCACCAGTTGAATCATCTTTGGTTCCATCGGGTACCTTTGTAGTTTTACCATCAACGCCAGCTCCTGCTTCTTCCGGTTCCGCGACGGTTTCCTCCTGTTTACCACGCTGAACACGTTGCTTTAAGAAATCAAAGCCCCCTAAGCCACGCATTGATACAGGCGCGCCACCTCTGCGCTTTGGGCGAGCCGCGGATGAAGACGACATTTTTGAAATGATTTCGCAAGCTACAGACTCATTTTAGATCATAATAAATATAAGTCAAAGCTATGTGTTTGTATCACATTACAGTGCTGCAACATAATTTTCCGTAGAAACTCAGCCTGCAATAGTGATTTTAGACATCTTTACGTCAACAGTGACCCTGCTTCATTTCGCTATCGCAAGCATCATATGAGAGACAGCGCGGCTCACCGCCCGAAAGTTAGACAACAAAGAACAACTAACTTACTAGTAAGCACAAGAACTTTTTCGCACCTTACTTATGGAAACGGCAAGGGCGACGATCTTCACCTCCAGGCTCATTATGTCATATCTTATGGAGACACGCCAAGATCGGATCTGGGAGAAGTCAGATCCATTTCTCAATAGATCGGAATTCAAAGCTCCTGCAAGCCGAACCAAGCAATTTATTGTCCGGATGTCTGTATACTTCCCACTTGCATTTATCTGAACAAGTACAACACCCACAAGTCTACCCAGGCTCAATTCCCATTTGCATTTGGATAAAGTTGATCATTCTTTACTGCTGTGGTTTTCTTAATATACACCTATGTGTAGATACAACGTCCGTTCTATTTGTACTTGAGTACATTCTTCGTTTTCACGTGGTGGCTCATCGAGGCATGGCTAGTCGCGCCTTTCTAACTCGCGAGTTTTCTCGCTTTTCTTGTCCAAAATTTCCCATTCATGATGCCATTGAATCAATTGTAATTGTTTCCTCCTCCGAGAGCATAAGAAAGCAGACTTTTCCGTCGATGAGGATGACCTAACTTTCATCTGCTACTAGATCTAAAAGTGGTCCAAGATATGTTGAAACCACATCGACGTATAAAAAATATTTTCAGAAAAACAACCCCACCGTTGGCATCAACCTAATTCAGGTGTCCGCAGTCGCCCACCGTGAGCACTTTTTTGCTCGAGTCCGCGCGCACGTTGACCACCGTCAGAGACAGCGAACCGATCGCCCCATACGTTCCCGCGGCCACGAGTTTCATCGCCTCCTCCTGCTCGAAGTACAGAGCGCGCATCAAACAGTAGATAAGCGGCTTCTTTGGCGCTATCAGAATGACCGTTTCCCGCGCCTTGTTGTCGGTCGGAGGTATGCCGAAGAACTGCAGGAACGCGCCTTCGGGGTGTTCCACCACTGAGTCCGGCATGATTTGCGGGTTGATACCGCGGAACCGCTGCGCGATCACGTGCGCGGTGGACGCAAGGGAGTTAGTGCTGACGACGGACAGGTTCTGTCCGGACACCATAAACGACGATAGCAATTTGAGATGCGCCGCGGTCTGCTCCACGCGATTGTGCAGCTCCTGCATGGAGATCTTCTGCTTTTTTGCAGCATGCTCCTCCGTACTGGCGTCGTCCTCGCTGGGCGCGCACACCATGATCACGCTGCGGCCGCTGAGCTTTTTTCGTATAGGTCCATCACCCGTCTCTAGCGACAGATCCGGACCCTTGATGTTCTCCCACGTCATGACCCCGTCCGAGATGTGCCCCGCCGCGCCGACAGAGACGATCCTTTTCAGCCCTGATTTGCGACCGAGATCGTCGATGAACGTGTCGTGCGGGATGATCTCGATCTTTGTGATGGACGCATGGCGAAGCGTGAACATCTTCCATGCCTTGGCCGCGCGCTCCATGTCGATTCCGGCCGCGCGCATGAGAAAGTAGAGGATGATATTGTTGTGTGCAACCACTACTAACGTCAAATCCGGGCCCGGCGTGCCGTCGCTGTTCAAATTTGGCTCGAACAATCGCCCATAAGCTTCTTCCGCGCGCATCGGGTTCGACGCCGGGTCCGTTTCTCTGAGGATATCCGCGTTCCACGTGGTGATATCGGGTAGCTTATCTTAGAACTCAACTGTTGGAAAGTAAGACTGCTGATCTAACAGCGTCCCTGGAGGCTTGTTTTCTGAACAGAAAACCTCTACCTCCACACGGGGAAGGCCGACTTCATAATCAATCTTGGATGAACAAGGGAGTAAGACGAGGGAAAATTAATCGACTTGACATTATATATACGAAACAAATGGTATATGCAGTAGATCTAGAGGAAGCCTTAATTATCGGATTCCGTGAGCTTCAGCGCCGTCTGAGTGGCTCTTCTAGAGGAGCTGTAGAGCAGCGCTGTCAGCTGCTTGTTCGGATCGTCGCGGTTAGGAAGCTGCTTCACGATTTTCTCGTGGACGAGCTCCGCAGTTTGCACCGCTTGCTTGTGGCCGAAGGACGTGAGCTCCTTCAGCACGTCCGCTTCGCCCTCGCGGCAGCATTGCCCGTGACGGATGAGCAACAGAGTGCGGGTACCAGATCCGGAAGTGGTTGTACTGGAGTGGGGAACTGCCGGAGCAGCAGTCGTGGTGCTACTGCTCGCTGCAGCTCCGCTGCTGCTACTTGCCGCAGTGCTACTTGTTCCAGCGGATTTGCGCACTAGATAGACCAGATTGAGGGTTGCGCCAGACGAGTCTCCGATTAGATCGAGGACTCCTTGGAGGGACAGAGCTGCGTCCTTGAGCTGCTTGCCCTTGCAGATCAGGTTCACGGCGGATAGATCAGTGATGCTTTCGCGCTCGGCGAGGCGCTTTGTGATGTCACCCACGGTTAGACCTCTCTGCAGCGCGCCCAGGTCTATTTCGATGGGTACGCCTGCCGCGGCCTTCTTGGCGCTGACTTGGACCGAGTCGGAGGCCATAATTTCTTTGGTTTGCTTATCAAGCGAATGTGCTAAGGACGAACAGTTTTCTCGCTCCTGATTTTTCAAGTCTATCATTTATTCTTTAGATCTGCAGCATCACAAGGACAACGATGAAAATACCTGTTCCGCGGCTTACCTCAAGAACTGCAGCTCTATCAGATCGTAAAAAAAGGTCGATAAAAGTGTACTGCCTTTAACTAGAACGATTGCACTACACACTACTAAGCCCTGACGCATGAAGTAAAAGTGGGAGAACTACAATGGCATCATCGATATTCGCGAGACAAAGGAGGGATATTTGATTTCGATTCCGATCCGATGGCTTCGTAATCCGTTACTTATTCTGAAGTGGAAGAAAACAAAGATATGGAGAGTACCGCGAAGGAAAGGACTGTGCCGCAGGTTGTACAGAAAAAAAGGTTTTTTCGTGGCGACCGTGCAGAAATATGAAGACGAACTACCTAAAAGAATGCAGGTTATAGAAAAGCCAGGTGTAGTTGATCATAAAACGTGACAGAATGATCAAAACGGAGAAGGGTCCTGTCGTGGCTAAATTTAAAAACGCAAGCAACCACGAGAACGCTCGGAAAAAATGGGGCAAAATCGAAATTCTAGTCTTGGATGCAGTTGTAAACGCTTTCTGGAGTCTGGACCTACCTAGGCCACACACGAGCAACATCTTCGGTTTGTTGATAGAAAGTGGAAACTTCTACGTTTCTACTTTCTTCTCCTCCTCTAAGAGGAGGGCCTCGAGTTCACGTCGAATCGTTGTCCACGGTAATGTTCCCAATTTTTTGCCGCCTTGCGCACTAGGCTCAACGCGAGCTATGTAATCTTGAAGGTAGGTTTTCACTATCCCTGGTTGGGTGGGTTCTCCTTTTCACCCCTTTTAGCTTCCCCTGTAAATCAAGGAGGGCTCCACTCAGCATAGTTCACATGAGGTCGATAGTGATAAACTACCCTTAATAATCGCGTGTGTCTTTTCTATCAAGCGCTTCAAAAAGTGGCACCGGTACCACTTTAACGCTAGGTATTTTGACATTGCGAACGCCCTCCGCGTACACGTATCTGAGGAAGCCTTGGAGTATCGTCGGATCTGTGTTGTACCTTAGTACTCCTAGCGTGCCACCTGCCCAAGACACCTCTTTCGCGTTCTCGTCGATGAAGTACAACTACATGCACACATTAGAAGCATGGTTGTGTTGAATCTATTGTTCGGCAACGCGTGTATGAGGTTGAGGTAATATGGAAGATTTTTAGTTTAGACATAAGAGGAACGACAAGTGCTCCTAGATCACAAGAATTCAATTCTTGTAGGACAAAGCTTGAATCTTTCTATACTGCACTAGCATACCATTTGAGTGAAGAATTAAGATTCATTTCTAATTCTTTCATACCGGTCATTCTGCAATACGTGTGGCGATGTTTTGTTCGCTCCCCCGTACAGCCAATGCTTGTTGTTGAGGCTGCTGTCGCAACTGTTAGACGAGGCAAATGGAGATCAAGTCGCCTGACTAGCTGATAGAATAAAGGCGTTGTGTCTGGAGAAGATTTCCAATATGCATATGCTGGAAGAAAGAGCCCCAATCCGAAAAGAGGGCACATTGGACAGAGCAGAGAGTAGATGCTCAATAAAATCGTCTACATTGGCCGAACACGAACAGCTACCAAAGCCTATGTAAGAGATTTATATGGCCTTAACAATGAGATAAATAAATCTCTTCTTACGAGCAGCTGTGACTAAGCCTTCTCGAAGAGCGCGCACGTGTGATATTCTATGACCATGATAATTTGCGTAAAAACTGTAAGACAATCCACCTCGGACGATGACGACGACGAGGATTGCGCAGGCATCTTATGCTCGACGCCGTCCTCGGCAACTGCGCGTTCCTCAGTTGACATGATTCTTGGAAAATTGATGAAACAATAACAAATTCTTTAGATTTCTTTCCAGATATTATATTACACAGGTATAAATCAGAAGTACATAAATCGATTGTCTTCTCTGGTGCACAACCTACTTCACTTATAAATACCTTCGCCTTTCGCACTCGCTCTGTTCTCTCTGACTACAGCATTTAGTTGTCCTCCGGTTGTATAAAACTCCCAAAATCTCAACAATAACATCTTTCGCCGGGGAAGTGGAGCGCGTGCCTTAGCTAGGAGTTGTATTCGTTGTACGAGAATCAATAAGTACCCATTGCCGACCCGCTGGCGCTGTAGTGTGGCAATAGCAGTACAGTTAAAGTTGATCCCTGGTTCATTCAGTCTCAGGATCCCTCATGCCCACGATCACATAAGAAACTACATGCAGTTGGAGGGGACCCAACATTCATCGTCGTGTGCTGTCCAAAATATATATGCTCCAAGGTCTAGGACAACAAGCATGGGCTCATGTAATGTAACGTGTCAGTGAGTGGCACTAAAAGAGTATCTACATGTCGATGTCCTTACTTATATAGATTTATAGATATTTTATAATTATTTTTGCTACTAGATAAAAAGTACATAAAGGACGCCTTGCTTGCTACCCAATAAAAGGAGCCAAAACACAGATGAAGGCCCCTATCTTAGAACAATCGAATTGTGAAGATAGCAGAACATCATCAATTCATCAATCTTTGATCAAAGAAGCCACGAGACAGATTTGTTACTGCACGAGGCCAAGGCAAGAGGATCGTCAACTACGGTATGCTCAAATTAAGATAACATGTAGACTGACACTTCAAAGAGACAAGGAACTTTTTTCTATGAGAAGCATTAAGCAGGCCAGGCCCTCTGGTCAGAGACAAATCATCAAGCACGAGCTACCAACATTCACGTCGCACAAGATTTATCCTTCCTTTACTTAGGAAAAAGCTCTATAGCTAAAAACTGAAGAACAAATCACCAAAATGAGTAGTGGTCACGTGTGATCTGCACGCCGCGAGAAGAGCAAATGAAATACTGAAGGTGTCTACTGAATACAACAATATTTACACACCGTAAATTAAAAGACGAATCGGCACACGATGAACTAAGTGCAAGTGACGTCTCCAAAAAGGCAAGAAAAGCAACAACTGAGCAAGAAGATAGTACTTACTAGCACATAGAATTCTAGCTGCATCATTCATAACTACGATTAAGAAGATTACCCCCCAAGAAGAAGTACCATCAACCCTCGGAGCCCGGCGCTGAATATATATCCTCAAGAAGGCTTGCGCCGTACCAGCGATCTGCGGAGGAGGGACGAAACGTCATCGTCTCGAATTTTCAAAGCTGGAATCCACTTTTGCTCAAGCAGAGCCGCCAATTCTCGGTCAGGAGGTGGTAGCCGACGGTATTGTACTAGCAAGTGGCGCATTCCGAACGCAGTCAGTAGCAGGTCAGCATCCTCCATATCTGCTACTACAACTTTGGAACTTTCCAGAGGCCTCTCAGCGCCGTCCAGCGTATCATCAGCCATCTTCGGTGACGCAGCAGCGGCGCTGACGGAGGTGGAAGCTGAAATCATTACCCTAGAAGCCTCCTGTGCACCTCCCAGGGATTGGTAGTAAGACATAGCTTGTTCCTCGTATTCGCCTATGCTATCAGCCTCCTCTTTACTAATACGCTTGGAGAGGCGAAAAGAATCGTCCGCATTCTTAGAATTCAATTCCTCCATGCCTCTGCCTCGTCCATCTACTTCGTCATCTAATATGCAGTAATGCGTATAAAGAAGCATTGAGTGCTGAAAGTGAAACAAACTTACATATCAATCCAAACACAACTTTAACTTAGTCATAACAGAATCCGCTTCCGGGTCATGGTCCTCATTTTTGTCGTCTGCCAAGTTGGCACTGTCGCCGAGGAGCTTGAAAGCGTGGGCCAGAGATCCAGGCGTATCGACTGGGATATAGGACCGTTGCCCCCGAGCGCTTAGATCCCTATGCGGCTCCGACAATCCCCAAAGTAATGCGAATGCCAACACGAGACTCAACATGGATGCGGAAGCTGCACTGGCAGATGTTGACGCCGGCAAAGTAGAAGTACTGGCAGGTGGAGCTGAGGCCAAAGTCCTTGGTGGCGCGCTGAGTTTCTCTTAGAGCTACCACGTCCCATCCCTGGGTGCATCCCTGCGCCCTTTTTCCTTTTGAAAAGGAGGCCAAGGTAGGATGGTGCCAAGGATGCTTCAGCGGTAGCCTTAATTCTCCTGCTCATCAAGAGCCGCATCTACTGCGCGTTCCAACAACTTCTCTACATCCTTAGTTCCGAACAACGTCTTTCCAAGCTGCAACGATGATGAGCCGGCAGTTGCTTTCTTACCACTTTCCTTTTGCTCATCCGACGCGTGAGGATCGCAGCCCGCGTCCTCGGTAAGCCCAAAGTTGTCGCCGCTGGCAACTGCAGTGCAGTAAAGGATGGAGCGCACGATGAGCGGCAGTTTTTCAAGATCTGAACGCAGAAACAACGCAAAGCTTCTCACTCCTGTCCCTCGTCTAGAAGGGTCCTTCTCCTCTTCTGATGTTCTCTCCAAGTACTCAGTGAGGCGATGCTGGACGAAGGCTAATAACCGTCTTCCAGCAGTGCCTACTGATGAATTTGGCGGATCTTCTGCCCCAGCTGCACCAAACAAGAATAGGGTGCGGCTCAGTTCGGTCTCAGGCACTCCGCAGTCCTTGAGCAACGATTCCATTTGCGAGAGCTGACAGCACTCTTCCCCAGCGTCGGCCGCGTCGTCTTGCTGTGTGGTCGCACGCATTTGCGCCAGTCTCGCAAATTCTGGACTCACGATCGATGAAAAAGCGTCGCCGCGTTGCTGTCTTCCCTGTTGTGTCAAAAGTCCTCCTCCATCACCATCTCCTGCTCCACGACTGGCAATACCTGAGGACGATGATGCCTCAACACCCACTCGAGCCGCGTCTCCTTTGCGTCCGCTTAGCGTCGCCCACATGTCGCGGCGGTGAATGACAAACAAGGCGTTCCCCAAGGCCGGTCTCAGCTCCTTCAATTTCGTTCCGTCGCTGGCGACACCGTGAAAGAGCTCGGCAAGTACCCTCAAGGCATTGCTCAGCTGCACCGCCTGACGCAAACTCTCTTCGGAAGGGTCAGATGATTTCTTTTCCCCGATAGTTAGAGCTCTTCACAAAACTATGTATTGATCAATTACCTGCGAATCGAAGAATGACCCTGGGATAATTCTCAATTCGTCCAACATGCTATGATCTCTAACCGAATGTATGAAAATATTGAAAGGGTTATCCTTAACTATCTCCATGATGTTGTGCCTAAGACTAAGTTGTATCCTATACCTATCTAAATTATATCTCCCTCTCCTCGTACTCCCGGATCCTTAATATCAGCCGGCGGGCTTCCTGTGCTACGGCTTGCCTTGTCTTCTCCATTATTTCTTCTAGGGCTGTCGTTTCCCTGAACAAGCCCAGCTGGCAAAGTCTTGCTGCTGCAGGCCCACGCTCGAAGTGAAGCGACGGCACACCAGTCGCGACAAGCTGTAAGGGATCAAAAACAAATTTCGCGTTACCCCTCTCTAGTTCCCGACCAGAAGGCGAAAGCCGCGAAATTGTTGCTGGCCGCATGATCCCTTTGTTAGTCTTGCCAATGACATTTACAATTACATTATCTACTTTATCATCATCTGTCGTCGTTTTCGCAGAATTGAGGTTCGTTATGTTGTCCGGGGGTGACATTTCTCGGAGAACGTCGAGCAAGAGTAGTGCAACTTCGGATCCAGAACTGACGGCTAAAGAAAAGCTCGGATCGGAGGCATGGAGCTCTACGTCACCTGGAAAGCTATCCTCGAAAAGGGTTAGATTCCGCTCGCGCATCTCTCTCAACGTCAGGGACGCAGGTTGCTTCGCTGGAGATTTCAACGCTGATCCTTGGTTGCTGCTCAGTGTGGGTGACGGCCCTACAAAGGCCCTCCCCCCGACTGGTGCAACTGGAGATCCTCCGCCTGGACCTCCTTGAAGGCTTCTAGGACTGGTTTCATCATGGCGCTGACCAAGAAGAGAATTGTTGAAAACAACTACATTGGTGTTCGGGGACGTCCTAGTACTCGTTCTTGTTCCACTACTTCTACTACTACCTCCAGCAGTCCCCTTGTGGTCATCAACAAGAACATCGTTTTCAACTTCCTCGTCGTCTTCGTTGGCTAGCATTAAGCCTCCAGGAAAGATTACTTCTCGCGGCCACTGAGACGCGTCCCTAAGCTGACTATACAAACTATTCGTGTAGTTTCCACCGGATCCTTCCGCTCGAACGACTAATCGATAGACGTGCTCTGCGACAATGCTGAGGCCTTCTCGGCGCCGCTCTTGCTGTCGCTTTGCAGCTGCAGCCACACTCTCATTCTTGACACCGGACGAAAAAGGACCAAACTCCATATTCCTCTGATCATGATCTTGTGGCACTCCTCTTAAAGTAAGTCCTGCTTGTTCTACAGCACTGTAAACCCAAGCCTCCGGTATCGGGCGTAAGAACCGTATAAGCCCAGGGGAGCCGTAGACGTCACATAATCGCAGATGTGCGATTTGTATCAACGACTTGAGACTGCGAAAGCGAGGATGCGTCACGCGCGCCAAATCACAGAGTAAGCGCGCAAATCGTCCAGTCGAACGCTCAAATGCAGGAAAATGTCTGCTCCGCAAAAAAGCACCTGCGAAATCAAGAAACTGCAAAGCTCCGCGTGTAAAAAAATTTTCCTCCACTACTGCTCGACTCAGCTGGTTCAAAACTAAGTGAAGTCTGCGGCGCAACAGCCAGACCCGCGCAGCGTCCTCAGGACTAGAGGAAGCTCGATCTTGACTACAACTAGCAGCAACCTGTATATTCATTCGCTTTCCACCACTGTTGTAGTTGGCACTAGGACAGGCGGGGGCTCCACCTGCATAGTTGTGCTCCACTTCGGAATAACCGGATATTTGCCGTCCCCGTTGGGCAGATCCGAAACTCCGCTGTCGCACAGCATAGGAGAATCCAGAAAAGACCGAGGACACTGTTCGCGTTCTACCACCGTGACCGTCAGCACCAATAAGCCCAAGATTTGGAGGCAATGTCGGAACATCGTCCTGAGGACGAAATAGATCGTCAAAGTCGTCTCCTTCTCCACGCCCCAATTCAGGTCCAGTTGCAGCAGTTCTGGTCGCGACAGAAAACACGTCTTCTTTGCCTAAGTTAGAGCCTACCGATCTTCATCCTGAAGCGCGTCTTTGATCTTTTTGCCTGTGAAACTGAGAACCCCTCAAAAATGCTTCTCAAGATGAATTACGGTAAGCCTTAATTAAGACGGGGGAACAGATGTCGGCAAAGTCTCCATCGTCCGCCTGATAGAGTGCGAGTGCCCACTCCTCCCGGGCGTAAGCTTTCGAGCCTGTCCCGCCAAACTCGAAGTCACCACCATCGAACGCGGCAGTAATATGAAGAGTGTTGTTTTCTCTCCCCTCTAAGGGCGGACCATGTCACGTATGTGCCCCCGATAGCGTCTTTCTTGACGACCGTAGGGTTTCCATCTGAAAATAATCACGACAAAGCCTAAGCCTTTAACTTATAGGGGAAAAGGGGTAGCTTAGATGGTCTGTTCAATGGGTGAAAAAAACATTATCCATAAGTGTGCGCGATTTCATGCTGCTCGTCTAGAATCTCCTTCAGCATGCGCGAGAGACAGTATCCTGATATAAACTTCGAGATCACCTGCAAAACTACGGGTGACGGAGTCGTAGTCGGTCCACAAGCTGCTTCTAATGGTGCCGCAAGAACTTTCTCTTTTTCCTCGGCCTCATTGTCTCTACTTTCGCCTTCATGATCTTGATCATCGCCCGCAATTAGTTCTGCTCCCATGTTCTTGTTTCTTGAAGTGGTATCCACTTCATGATCAGAAGGACCGAAATCGACGTCCTCGTCGTCTAGGATCACACCATCGCTTCCACCTGCGCCTGCGATTCCGGGTGCTGGGGCCTCTACTTCCTGGTGAAACTGTCTCAGCACCACACATCGCAAGGGAACGCTGTCGCTAGCACCATGAATTAGAAGCGACGACCGCAAACAATGAAAAGTTCGACATCTCCTATTAACGAAGATCCAAAGTTCATGATTTAGAAAATTTTCGTTTAATAGAAGCTAATCAGTTCTTCCAGTTCAACTTACTTAATAAAAAGGAATTAATTATGGTGTTCCTTAAGTGATCAAGCAAGACCTTCACGATGTGGCTCAGGGAGCTCCCAGATATTTTGAAGGAGGAGGTACAACTACTAGTAGAGTTGTTGTTGGCAGCTGCATTTTTGTCTTTGCACGCAGCATTTGTATTCTCCTTGAGAGTAGATTCTTCATTAGCAACAGGTGTGATTTTGGGCAAACTCGCGGACGCCACACTAGAGTTGCCACCAATCGCCGAGAGGGAAGCGCGGAACCTCCGTGTCTCTGCATCTTGTTGTATAATTGCTTCATTAAAGGCAGCTAGGTTCTGAAGCCACGAAACTCGTTTCATCATCCCGTTCCCGAATACTAGTACATCAGTGAAGATGATTATTGCGGTGTTGATTCCCTTGTTCTGCAAGGACATCCCAACACCTTTTTCTCACTTAGAAACTGCTACCCCATATGATTTTTGAATCCATAAATATGACTGACAAGAGGAGTAAGATATGAGGATGAAATACAACTAGTACGCTTAACTTCAATATCCTTTTTCAGATTTTCGTCGGCTACAAGCTCGCTGAAAAACGGATCGCCCTCGTACAGAGTCTCCCCACTCACGCGCAAAGTATTAGCACGAAATAATGTTAAACTCCGTCGGTTCCTTCGGATTTGACTTAAAGATACGACTCCTACTACCGCTTCCTTGGACATCCACATAACCAAGTAGAAATTTAAGATAATCCATACCTACGCGAAAAGCACGCCTCTGAGGATATAAGGCTTGTATGAGAGCACTTGCATACTCCGCTTTCTTCCTACAGCGTATACATAGCTCAATCTATTGGCGATAATCATAGCTACCGTATAAGCTACATCGAGTTCAGATTTTCGGACAAATCTTCTACCTTTGCCCAAGAATACAGAATTTGTTTTGACGATGTAGACGGACTCAAGATGGACAGAAAGCGCTGGCTTTTTTACGGGTATGGCGATGCATGTGAACAGAGAAGGCAGACAAACGAACGAGACAAAGATCGAAGTCAATGCATTTGATGACCATCTTTCTCGCAGTTTTCTCATCGTCCTAGTCCATGAGCGGCACCCCCGTAAAAAGCTTCTTCACTTTCCCAAAGGCCAAAAATTTTGATAATTACATACGATAACAGAAAAAGTTTTCTTGTCTCGTATGAGATAGAAATGCCGAAACACCGAGGGACCCACGGCTGACACATGAGCAGGCGACAGCTTTGAGCTTGGTCCCACCTCTGTCGCCTTCCATCGAAGGCCCAAAGAGTGGTCCCGGGGCTTCCCTTTTTGAGTAGTTGCGCGCGAGGGCAATGCCCGGCCCCCTTCACTCCTGCAGCCCCTATCAATGCCCACCACCCTTCCTTTTTTTGTGCCTGCATGCGCGATATCCGTCACAGACCGGCATGCCCTGGTCTCCACTCATCGCGCGACCCGAAAAAGACCGCGAAGACCGTCCCTTTCTATCTTTGGGCGGTCCTTTCTTCGGTCGGATAAGGTCAGCACTTTCAGAGCGGCGTGGCGCTCAGCGTGCGCTGCGGGTTTGGGTTTAGGGATTAGGGGGTGGCAAGGCGCTCCTGCTTTCTTTGGAGGGGGCTGGGTCACTCTCTCACGTACACATGCCCAGCGCGAGGGCGTGGCACCAAATAGATAGAGATAGACTGCACGCAAGTTCTGGATGATTGACGAGAGCCAGAGCGCGGAGGGAGGTCGAGGGGGCCGGTGCCTGTAGTAGCGGGGTAAGAACTTCAGACAGCCCACGCTTCCCAAGGTTTGTTGTCTGCCTCTTCCAGCAACACCCGGCCCCAGAAAGCGGCACGCCCACACCAACGCCGGGCAGGCCAGTGGCTGGCGACCCCAGATAAGGTAAAAGAAAGCAACCCGCCCGCGCCGATGGAGACAGCGAGGAAAGCGAAGCCAGTGGCGAACAATCTGACACACGCAAAAGAGGACCCAGCCGGCGCGGGTGGGGGGGGTGTCGCCTGCCTCACTCGTCCCCTGGTAGTTTGCTTCATTCATTCAAGCGCGCGCGGCACTTACGTACCGGGCGCGGGCGCAGCTCTCTCTGCCGTGTGCGTCTGTCTGTGTCGCTCGCACAGCTCTGGCCGTGCTGTGCGTTGGCTCGCTTCTTCTTTTTGTCTCTTGCCCTCTGCGTCTTTCGTCGTCTCTCTTTCCCTTGCGCGGCCTTCGCCCCACCTCATAGCAGCTGCCTACAACGATCGGCGCCCACTCCCCGCGCCGTGGCCATGTCAGTCCCTTCGCTTTCTCCCCCCCCCTTCCCTACCTCTTGGCCCGCCGATATCCGCGTCGCAGTTCTGTCCGCTCCTTGGCACTCTGTGCACCGCCTGACCCCTGTGCCCTTCCCTGTGGCCGTCGCGAGTCTTTTTCCTTTTCGGGTCTTTTTGTCTTCATTTTCCTCCGCCTCCTTGTCGTGGTTGTGTTTCCAGTTCGCGCCCCGTTTGTAGTTCCTGGGCCTGTGTGTTGCGCCTTCACCTTCATGGGCCTCGGCCGTTCCGCTGGCGTGGTTTGTCTTTCCTCTGTGGAGGCTTTGGCTTTTGTCTGTGGCCTTCCCGTGTCATAGTCTTTGCCGGGTTCTTTGGCTTATACGAGACAAGGCGGCCCCACTTGATAAACTTGAGAGCAGCACAGGGGCGTCGTCGTCCCTGCGCTAGCCTGTGATAATTGTTCTATTTACAGATACAACAAACTTGCCCGCCGTCCTCTTCATCAAATTATGATAGATAATCAAATACTAGCACAATCTGGCTGGTCATACGGCCACACTTGAATTTTCACAAATAAACTACTACTTAACCTGATAACCATGGCATAAAAATATGCAACGGCCTCAGCAATGCTGGATGACGAGACGCTGCCATGATCCTTGATTTGAGTTCTTGCTCTTGGTTCTACGAGACGGTCGTCATGTGGCCTGGTATATCATACTAGGCCATCGTCTGGTCTAGCTGAAGTCCAGAGATGTTGAAGCCAGTCAGCAGCGGCTGTCGCCTAATATTCTGACATAAGTAGTACTAGATCATAGTTCGCGCAATGAATACCAATGGTGGGTTCATGAACGAGAAAGCGAGCGCATGAACATCAATGTACTATCATCAAGATGAAAATGCATATCATGCTTATAGTAACAATAATCACACGTCAGTCCTCTTCTTGTTACATCAGTCGATTCAAATTTCCATCTTCTGCTCCATGGATGAAAAAGCAAATGAAACTCGCACTCGCTGGCTTTTTCTTCTTCTTCTAGAAGAAAAAGGAAAGAAAATCATACAGCAGAGATGAATTCCATGTGACTGAACAATAGAAGCACCGCGTGAAAGTAGAATGCCGCAGCCGGTCCTGCTGGAGGCTCCTCTCGGAAAAAAAGCACGTGGTAGATTAAAAAGGCTCTCATACTCTCCATATTAGATTCTTCATCTTCTTGGAACCTGCTCTTGTTCTTCATTATTCATGTCCTTGTACATTTTCACGCATGATCGTCGGGTCCAGGGGAATCTGCACGACCTCTTTTGAATAAATCTAAATCGGTTGCTGTATCTTAATATATGTTTTGTGACTGCAGTGATTCACACTTCTTCCTTGTGACTTATATTATAACTGCAGCTTAACATGATTCATATTCTACACTATCATTCCAAACATCAATGAGTACGACATACTTGTTAATCGATAGAAAGTGCGAACGGCGAGCAGCAGAGATGCGTTGTAATATTTCTCCATAATTTGATTGCTTTGATGCTAGTATGTAATAGTGGTCGTAGTTACCCCATTCGTGGGGTACAAGCTCAAGTTGTATTTTCAAAATAATGTGTTGAGTTGTACTTCTTGTATTTCTCATTCATTTCTTGATGCACAACAAAGTCTTTGTAATATCATGTTAGATAGAGATAGAATCTACTTCAGCCTTCCAATAAAATTCTACAAGCATTCATGTTTCTATGTATTGTTGGTTCATCCTTGTTCAACTGCTTTGTACATCATGTATGTATCCATGTATGTGGAAGGCTACAGCAAGGGCAGAGACCCTCTGCACACGTCTCCCGCCGTTCTTTTCCCCCCAAAAACAAATACAAGGAATGTGCTAAGACGTACACGCCATATGATAGTTCATCACTCCTAGGAATCTTCCCCAACGATAGATGTCTCTTCATTGCTCCTGTGAGGTACTACAACACTGCTTGTTTCAGCTTTTCCTCATTCAATAATATCGATATCAATGAGTTATGTGAGGACTACGACTATGATCGTAGCGCCCCTAATAGTCCACACATACTGAGTAACCCTCTAGTATTGGCCACTCACGGCCTGCTTTGCTTCCGCGCTTTCTGAGATCCTCCCACATGCCCTTGTGTTCAATCTTAGGGCAGTCTTTTCGTATGGTGGAGTTGTACGTCTACATAAGAACTCCAACTCGTCTTCAAATTCTGATAAATACGTAGCAATGAAAAAAAGAGAAGATAGAAGGTGTACTACTAACCGCTTAGTTAAAAAAAATACAAAAGATCTAACGTACAACTCCAGTACTAAGAAAAGGAAGGTACTTCAGCGACGTACTAAAGCACGCAATATATATCTAGATATGAAACAAATTAATTCCTATATCTAATGTGGTTTACATCAAGTAATACTGACATACAGATTTACTCGGTAAAAAAGGTCATGAGAAGACTCAAATGTTGGAAACGACCATTGCATTCCTGCTAGCTCTATTGTTCAAGAAAGTTGCGAGCCTTAACCATCCCCGGGCTGTTTCGGTTGAACTCGTTAGCTTTTATGACGGTGTTTATTTCATGCGGCGTTCCAAGCTCTAGCAGATTCTTCATCGCCCATCTCTGTTTGAATTCTACTTGTCTTCCATATGCGTCCTCCCCAAAGCCAGCCGCTCGCGGAGGTTCTATTATTAGAAACACAGTTTACAACATAAATGACTTCTTGCAGAACATGATTACTCAGAGACACAGTACTGTGCGAGGACGCAAATAACTTCTTGCAGATCATCCATATTTCATGAAAGACCCACATTCATCTAAAGCGCAGTGTCATCCTATGACAGAACATTCTGCTGTTCGTTATAGGCCAACATCTGTTTTTCGTTGCTCGAGTATTGCCATTGGCGAGTGCTTCGAGATGCAACGAACATTGAACGAAAGAAAAATGAACTAGAACTTCTATCGTCATCAGTAGAAGTAGCTCATCTATTATCAGCTCGTCGAATATTACTTAGTCGTCTACCTCTGCCGGTCCTGGCATTACCTTGCCTTAATATTAGAACATCTTCGCCTTCGAGACCGGTTGCCTATCTGGAGCCCGAATCCAAACTCCGCTGGGTACGTCTTCTAATACTAGATTGAGTAATTGATCCACTACTACAGCAATCAATTAAATATTGTAATTGACGCCATCTTCTTCTACCTGATCGAGCCATCTTGAAAGATATTTGCTTTTGCGTTTTTTGTGTAGAACAGGAATGCCTGGCGGTACAGTGTAGAAGAACGAAGTAGCACGCATCCTGGCCATAATTTTTCGATGCAGTCTTCTCGACGGGACCACGCCTGACCTGCTTCTACCGCGCTATTTTTCTTTAGAACCAAACTACAGAACCCCTCTGGGTTCTTCGCTCACCTTTGCTTCTGTCTAGATAGCTCTATTTGATGATGTTGCCAGTATTATTTCTTGTACGACTACTCTGGAGACGTATGGAACAGAAAAAATACAGAATATATTCTGCATAGTATAATGCGCCTCCTAACGTATTACGAGAAGGAGAACCATAATCTAATCAAAGCCGTTCCTGTACTAGTTTTAAGTTTAACTGAACAGCACAGGAGGCTCGCACTATGATCTTGAGACGACTGCGTGCCATCACTTCCTTCTGCTACGCACCTCCTCGCAGAACGAGTTATGACTAGTTTTACTACTGCCGCGTTAACGTTTTCACTACAACATGAACATGAATATAGATATATTTTCCAGGAGGGGGGCCGTGCGCCCTGGCCCCCTTTTGAAGGCGTCTGCCGGGGGTGGAAGGCCTCAAAAGTGGGCCCAGTGACCTCCCCCCCCGCTCCCTTCCAGCTGCCTGGCTGTCCCCTAGGGCGGAGCCTCCGACGATGGTGAGAGCAGGCTTCAAAAGGGGCCCAAGGGACCGCCTGCGCCCCCGCCCAGGTGCCTGCCTGTGCCCTAAGTGCATTCGTTAGGCTGGAAGGCCTCCGAAGGCGGCAAAAGGCGAGGGGCTGGATCCCCTGCACCGTGCCGCCTGTACCCTCAGGGCCCTTGGTCATCGGATTGCCTGCTCTTGCGAACGTGGCCGCCTTCGGCGGACTTTTACCCCGGAGGCCTCCCGCCTGCGACGGTCAGCAGAGGCCAGGAGGCTCCTGGGGAAAACGCTGAGAAGCCCAAGGGGAGGCCCGCGCCAAGTTTTGACGCCTTCCAACACTAGAATCCGCGAAAAACCCGCGCGGAAAAGCGCGCGCGCGCGCCACCACAGACCAGACCACAGGGGGGGAGGGGGGGACCGTCCGGCCCTGAGTCATATATATGATTAAGATTGACAATAAAATAATTCAACGCAAATAACATGATGAGCAAGCATGAAGCGAAACTGGAGCGAGTGAGCGCCGGCCCCAGCGCCGAGAAAGGTACTTGTCTAGAATTATGAATTTGCGCAATACATCATGCTAAAAAAATAGTCTACTTAGATATATGCAGAGTTTTAGAGTGTAACGTGATCGAAATAAACTCCCTGCGTCATTTTGTGGGGCGTTTATTCCCATGTATCCAGACACCGAGCGGCCCCGACGACAGAGAGAAACGCAACAGCAAGAATCAACGCCGCCCCCAGTTGTGCAGCTTTGCCTGTTCGCTGTGTCTATTCCTATCCCGAGAAAAGTCCCACAGGTCGTGTCCTCGTCTATCGTTCTGCAGTCAGTTTAGCGCGGAACTTGTGAAAAGGTTCGAAATCGCGAAAGATGCGAAGGCCGTTCGCATCGTTTACGTAGTGGCTAGCCTGCTGAGAGTATTCGCTTCGCGTTCTGGTCTTTTTGTTTGTTGGCTTAAGTGCGTAACGCATTGGGCGGCGTGCTGATTATGCTAGCCCCCGCCCATGTTGCCGCATGTGAGAGAAGTCCGCACGGCCCCAATTTGTTTGAGCTGTTTGCTGGCGATCTGTTGAGGGTTGCGCCATAGATACTCACAAAAGCCGAAGCCTTGGAGTGGTCTCGCTGAGTAATTATTAAGCGACTAAGAAAGTCCAGACGTGACTGGCAACGCATTGACGCAGCAGCCGGCTGACTCACTTCCGACTCAAGTCCATCCATGGCGCCTCTGCTTTTTGCCCCCCCTCTCGCTCCCAAAGTTGGTTCTTCGCTTGTACATAACGCAACGACCTCGCGCACCTCTCTTCGTCTCCGAAAATTCTGCCTCTTTTCATTGTCCGGCCTGTCTGGTTCTTTTGCTTTTTCTTGCGCAAACAAGTACCGCCATGGATAAAGACAGCACAGCGCGCACGAATTAGCTCGCAAGGCATGGCGATGCCTGTGGTCTATGTACCAGCATGCCGCCCCTAATGAAGATGGCGCTCGAAGCCATGAAAGTCAGAATCTCTAGGGCTAGGCGCACTGCCATCAGGTTAGTCGCTCGGGCTACGTCGTTGGGTGCTTGCTATGTATGTTTCTCATTGATTGGGGGCGCCTCATTAATTTTGCGCCTTCGAGGCGCTCTCTTCTCCCGCGCGACAGGGCGACCCTTCTGGCGCGGCGTCGACTCAGTTTGTGCTCCCGCGCCGTCTGTCTTGTAAATCTGTCAGCCTCTGCGTCTGTCGTTTCCTTGTGCCCTTCGTGCCACGCCGATCTTTCAGCGAGTAGGTTACTCTGAGCGGCTTCATCTGTGCGCACTTCCGTCGCGGTCTTGCTTCTCCCTTCGATTAGGTCGCAGCAGTATGCTCCGACGATGCTACTTCTGGCTTCTATCTTGAATGGTATTGGAATTGTGTGGCTGCGCAGCGTTTTCCAGCGTAGCCTGCTCCTAGTTAGCGCCGCGACATATATATGTTGGAGCGCCTTGTTTATTCCTATCGTTCCGTTTCCGTCTATCGTCCTGCATATAAGCATACAACAGTCCAACGCCTAGACCACGAAGCCAACCGGGCCTTATCATCTTCAAGCCCTAATATAGATGTATGAATTGGGATTGAACTAAGCACTCTACTACTCCATGTATCGCAGCTGCAATCGGGTACTTTTTTGTATCCTTAAAAACTGCATATTCTCTGTGACCGGGAATCGTCTCGAAAGTCCTATGGCAGCTTTGCGTAATCCCTCGTATATCAAAGCGCCAGCATTACGATAACGGTCACCTTTCAACCGAAATTTCGACTCCCACCCTTGCTGTTTTTTAGAGCCTTTCCTGTGTGAGTGTGCCTTCCTTGATGTTGAGGTACGAGATAACTCACTCTTCTACTTCTATATCCCTAAGAAAGTACTTCGGGCGCCGAGACGGAGCGGGAGGGCATTTTTTAAAGAAGAGAAAAAGAGGAGGAGGGGAGGCAGGGCAGGGTAGAACGAGGCCACGAGAAACGAGGCAAATGTGAAGAAGGAAAGAAGGGAGGAAGCGGAGAAAGGAGGAGGGCGTGGTAGCGAGATACGCGAGAAGGAGGGAGAAGCAGGGGAGAGCAGCCGGCGAGACTCTTGGCGCCAGGAGCGAATCGAGCCAAGGGGGGCGATGGGTGGCGCGGAAGGTCCAAGAAGAGCACGAGCGGGAAAAACGAGGAGAGGAAGGCAGAAGCGGGGACCGCAGACTTGACTAGCGGAAGAAACCGACGCCGAAAAAATTGATTCGCAACGGAGCTAGGCCCACGCCCGCTGCTGAACCCCGTGCGGAACGAACCCTCCCGCCACCACCAGGGAGAGCTAGGAGCGACCCGGGAGGGGCGCTGCGGAAAAAAGAACAAAGTGAACCCGGCTGCCAGAATCAAGCCACCTGCGGAGCGGCTACGGAACCACGCCGCAAACCTCCCGGTGTGTCCCGCTGGTGAGGACTTTCCCCAACAACGTGGAGCGCAGAAGGCCGCAGTCTTAACCGCCTGCGGAAACACGTGGCAGCCCCTGCGAAGACCCGCAGAACCAACCTCGGGGCGGCCACACGAGCAGACCACGGAATCCCGAAAGAGAGACCCAAGAGACCAGCATGAGCGGGCTGCGCAACCCTGTGGGAGCGGTCTAGGAGCCTCGCTGGGGGCCTTCAGGAGGCTCTCCCCGTGAAAACGACAGCGCTTTCGCACGCTAGAAAATTGCTGCGGAGTTACATAATTAACAAATATCGGGCAGTGTCGGCGATTATCTAAAAAATCCGCCGAGTCCAAAAACGCCGCCAATCTCAATCAGCGCGCATTCTTTTGGGAAATCTCGGGAAGATAAGGGAGTTGCCAGACAGCCGGAAGACGTTGAACGCGGCCCGGAGAAGTCTGGAAATGTTTCAAGAATATAGGTCAGGCACAGTGTCCAACAAAAGTTCGAGCGATGCTGTAGCTGCCGGGGACACGAATCTTTCACGAATTCCTGAAGCTGTTCAATTTGTAGGGGAAGAGTATCTTCGTCGTAAGCGACTAGAACAACAACGGTAAAAGTCAACGTTGTATCCTAGATCAATAGAAGCACGATATAGCACCCCCAGTGCTACTGCCAATCTGTTCGTCAGGTGCAAGTAAAGGGCCTGAATGATAGGACGTCACTTTATCAGACCTCCAGTCAAGGAGTGTCTGTTCTTGGAAGGAATCACTCTTGCTTTCTATTACAGTAGAAGGAGCACCCTTAGGAAAATATCGGGATGAACGAGCTACATAATTAATCAAAACGATACACGCTACATAACTTTTGGCGGTTTTAGGGGTAATGGCGTCATCGCCGTGCCTTGCCAAGGGCTAAAATTCCCCTTCCATACCGGCCACTTCGCGTTAAGGACCGCTGCAATCTCGTTCTGTTTCCCGAACTCTAGAAGGACGTCCAAGTGTCTGTAATCATTCCAACGTTCGGCCCTCTTATTAGATGGTGAAGCACCTTCCTGTAATGAATGAAGCCATCTTCATCTTGGGAGGAACTTTCCCAGCGTAATTACATGAATCTCCTTAAATCCTTTTTTCTTTTGGGGAACACCTGATCGGTCTTTTGATGCTGCTTGCTCTCCACCGCACTTGCATGGGAGGAGGACACAGCTAGCTTCAGCAGGTCATTACTATCTGAACTACAACAAACATGGAACGAAGACAGCAGACTCACTGACGTTGGAAAACGAAAGATGGATAAAGCCTTAATCTTTATGTCTATGGCTTCGTGTAGACGTCCTTCGCTGTTTCTTACGCCAACGAGTAGATTGCGTAGTCTCTCCACTCCTTGCAAGTGGGCCCCATTCATGAGTTCCTTGTCGTTGTCTTTTAGTAAGATGCCCCAACCATATTCCCGCAGCGCGCGCCTTACCTCCTCGTATCATTAGAACTTTTTAAGAGTATCTATCATGAAGTATGCGTAACAATGCACTTCTCAAGAAGTGGGTCATCACAGTCAATGCATCTACTGAAAGCTGGACGAGTGTAGCACAGGTATAATACTCTGCAGCGATGCCCTCAGAAATGCATCAGTGAAGATCACTCAGAAATAGAAAATCGTCTCTAGTCTTAAAAGTGCTGATCATTCGCTGTCATCTTAGCCGGAGGCTGGTCGCTGTCAGGAGTCATGTTTCCGTACAAATCAGGCAACCTCGTCTCCACAAGCCACTGCGCGCACTGCGCTGCGAACGTCCTCAACCTTGCCAATTTGTCCTGCTCCTGCTCCTGCTGCTGCTGCTCCTGTTGCTGCTGCTGCTGCTCTAAAGCTGCTGCAGCTGCCACTCTTTGTTTCTCCGCCAGACGCGCATTTTCTGCAGCTTGCGCCTGCTCTTGAGCCAGCCGCTGCAGCTCTTGCTGCTTCTGCTGCTCTCGCTGCCTCTGCTGCAGCTCTTGGTCGGGCTCATTCTTGGGTAGTCGACCTTTTTTAGCCTCAATATTCCACCCGTTCGGATCATCACGAACGTCATCCAACTCCGACTCCGACTCCTGCTTCTCCTGCTTCGTTTTGTGGCTTAGAACTACTAAAAAAATGTAGATCATTGAAGAGATAGAACTTTAGAAGACTAAGTAGTCAGAAATCTCAACAAGAACCCTATCCCTACAGCTCTTCAAATTCTATCCTAAATCATGAACTTTGGAGCATTCATGAGGGAACAGCCCCAGAATCCCGGAATTCCATGTTTTCAACTGACACATGAGACTACAGTCAGTGTAAAGCTCATTATAAAAGACCCTCTACTCTCTGGGGACCCTGCTGATCATAGTTTGTTATGTCTCTTCTCTATATATAATGGAAATGGGGCGTTGTAGTCAGCATGCGCCTTAATTGTTTTTTCTTGCGCTTTTCCATGCAACATTCTTCGTTCTCGTCAACCTTACTGAGCTTTTGTAGCGTAGCTTGGTCGTTTTCCAGAAACTTGCTCCTCACTAGGAAGCCGCTAGTGATATCACTACACGTAGCACCCGGAGGCAGGGCTTGTCGTACCTCGGTGCCGTAACGCGAATCCTTAGTGCAAACACTTCTGCCAACATCCGTAACGCCGTCCCCGGCGATGCAGTTATGTGCGGGTTCGCAGTTGAGTTGTGCAAGCTGTCTCTGCAACTCGTGCTGTCGATGCAGCTCCTGCTGCTGCTGCTGCTGCTCCTGGGCCAGCAACTCCTGCTGCCGCTCTAGCTCTCGCCGCTTCTCCTCTTGCCGCTGTCGCTTCAGCTCTTCTAGCCGCTGCTGCTCTTCCTGCTGTCGCTCTAGCTCTAGCCGCTCCTGTTCCTGTTCTCGCGCCAGAGCCGCTGCAGCTGCCGCCTTTTGATCCTCTGCCATTTGTGCTTGCTCCTGCTCGAGGCGCAGCCGCTGCTGCTCTTGTGCTTGCGCCAAAGCTGCTGCAGCTGCCACTCTTTGCTCCTCCGCCACACGCGCCTCCTCTGCAGCTCGCGCCTGCTCCTGCTCCAGCCGCTGCTGCTCTTGATGCTGCCGTCGCTCTTGCTGCTGCCGCTCTTGCTGCTTCTGCTGATCCTGTAGCTCTCGCTGCTTGTGTTGCTCCTGCTCTTGCTCGTCTGCGCTCTGCTTTTTAGATTTAGCCGACGCGGCTGCTTTGGCAAGGGGGGTGGCTTTCGCTCCTCCCGCGATATTTCCGCTTCCTAGTTGTCCTCGTGCTTTAGAGCTAAGGAACACGTCAGCCATACTGCACAGGTGTACTGATTGATACTCTCGCAGAAAAGCGTTTGTTACTAAAGGCATCGGAAGCCGGGGCGGGGTAGGATAGGATAGGACAGGATAGGATAGGGAGCCTCGACTTCGACTTCATGCGAGGTGATTCTGCAAGCTTAAATAAATAACCCAAACTTTTGCTGCTGCTTCTATTCTTACGGAGACCACATCCAGTGCTTCTAGACAAATTCTATCATCTGATATAGATATGCACTGTAATCACTTCTACTAGTATCTTTGCAGCACTACCAGATGTATCTATGGGTAATAACGTGGTAAGCGTGAGGTAAGTGCCAGAGAGCACTAGGAAATAAAGGAGAAGAGAAGCAAGCAGAGAACGCTACATGAGATGAGTCGCAGAGAAAGTTTTCTCTACTGAGCCTACATGAAGGGAAGACTAATGACTTGCAGCTAAGATCCTTAACAGAGGCGAAGAAGCAGTGAGAAGTATTAGGGCAAGCGACAGGAAAACTATATCTGTAACCAATATCGGATAATTAATATGTGATGTTATAATGTTGGTGTTCTTAACGTTACTCCCGTGTTTTGTTGCCGCTTTTTTGCCTCTCCTCTCCATCGCTGCGGGCCGTTCGGGGGCTCCTGCTCGTAGTTCCTTGGTACTTTAGAACTTCACCCTCTTCATCTTGAAGCGCATCTGTGTCTTTGACCACTCTTCCCTTGTAAGATGGACGTCAAAGATACCTTTTCAAATGAATCATTTCTGAAATTCATCCAAGGTATTAAAGAATGCATCTAACTCTTTCAAATGACATCTAAGGTATTAAATAAGCCTTAAGTGCTATGATCATCTTCAGAAGGATTAGAACCCTGAAAGAGACGCCCATCCTCAGCAGCATCTTGGGTCCCCTTTTCCCTGTAAAAGCGGGACCAAGATGCCTGCGACGATGGATTTCTTGTAGCCGTATAAGGAGTAGCTGTGACGATGTCACAGCCACACAGAAGATCGCTCGAATCGTCTGTCCCACCAATCTCCGTAGAGGACGAGTCCTCGTCAGAGGGGGACTCAATTTGCAAAAAGGTCGTCGAACGAGCCACGGCAGACGGGGCCAAGAAGGTTGAACTCCAGCAATCTCCCACAGAGGAGGTTGACCAGCCTCCGGCAAAGGAGGTCGCGACATCATCGCTACTTGATGAAGATACTGCGGTAGAATCGCTTGAAGTTTTTACTGCGTCGCCATCTCCTGGCAGTCGTGTTAGCGGCACTGTGGTGTTAGAAGCAGTTGTGGCTGCATGTTCCTCTTCGGGCACTACATCGCCCACACACAAACGAAAGAGACTCGTCGTTGCATTTCTTTCAGAAGTGCTGGAACTGGTCGAAAATTCATCATGTTGCTGACCAAATGCTCCTGTTGAACCGCAACCGCTAGCAGCAGGAGAAGAATAAGAGGCAGCCACTTGAGGCGCCCCAACTAGAGGATGCATCTCATACTCATTCGCGGTGGAGGATTCTAGTGCTGCGACTTCCACCAGTAAAATTCTATTCGTAGTATTCTCATTCCCATCATCTTTTCTCGCTGCCATGTGGACAGGACGACCCGGCACCGCAAATGAGGACGAAGAGGTAGCGTTAGCATTAGAGTCGGCCACTATTCATCGGGCCCCCACATCTTGACCCCGTTTTCCTTGTCTTTCATTGGAATACATAGGAAAAGTCTGTCAAAACGATGAATGAAGACCTGAATAAAAGAAAAAGACGACCATAATACTAGAAGAAGTTTCCATTTCTATTTCCAATGCCACTTGGTCCAGCTTCGTCCCAGTAGCATTCCTCCTTATTCTACTACTCTCGGAAATGTCATGGTTATTTGGCGCGCCATCCTCTAGTGCTTGCTCTCCTTCCGACAGCATCCCCAGTTCATCATCTGGTGTTAAGAATATTGTTTTATTGTTACTTGTATCCAGCTTCTCGTCCTCTGTTGCGCTTGTTGCGCGTACTTAGACTTCTAGATCCTTCCTAATGAGTCCGATCTTCGGAAGTTCTCTTCGGAAAAATCTTGTGTGACCAACGAACTTATTTCGGGTAGAGAATCAAAAAGAGTACCTGTGAGCAGGTGAGTGTTTCCACTAGACGAGTTGCCCCCTTCAGTCGTGTTGCCTCCTTCGCGCCCAACCTCCTCATCCACCACCTCCCTAACAAAAGCAGCGCTGACGTTAGGGCTACCGCAGTTGCATCCATTCCTGGGACCACCATCCTTGGAGACCTCTTTTCCGAGTTGGAAAGGATAGGACGCCAAGGATGATACTGAGGATGCACCCTGCGCTGCCTTAATGATATTCTTGAAGGTGGTGCGAAGATCAGGATCAGGATCAGAAAGAAGATAATTTTCTGTTCTACCATGATCTCTTGAAGAAGAAGTAAAAAAACCAGTAACCACATCATCTTCAACATCATCAGCGAGATGAACTTGTTCTTCGTATGATGATAGCGCGGCTTTTGATTTCGTCGCAGAAGAAGTACTACTATTCGCACTACTATAATTCGTACTATTATCAGTACTACAATAATTCGTACTATTATCAGTACTACCATTCATGCTACTATTTGCACTACTAATTGCATCCACTTGTGACGCAGTCGAAGCACACTCTCCTTCCAGAGCATGTAGTGGTGAAACGTATCTACTCCAAGAACTTCCGCAGTGAACTTGTTGTCTTATTGCATCAGCCGTCGTCTTGTTTTTATGTGGAGAAGCTTCTGTATCAAGACCCACTATTGTATCAGACGAAGTAGAATATGTAGGGCTTTTGCGTGAACTTGCTGAGCTACTAGTTGGTCTTTCGGACGTGTACACCGCTGCCCCGCGCAACGCTGTACTGGTGCCGGCGTTCTTGAGAATACTAGTATCGTTGCGATTTCGAAGATGACTACCAAAATAAACAGAAGGCGTCAAAATATTAGAGCTACACCCATCCGCTAGTACATTGAAACTGAAAGCCTGACGTGCTGGGAAAGGTATGAAGCCACGTTGATAATATTCACACGCCCCTTTCCCTAGCAGATCGATTATACCTATACGAGAGCAAAAATAGGAGAAGAGGAAGGAGACGATGTAAAAGAACAAATTAATAGCCTGCAGAGTAGAACTTAACTAAACTACTAACCCCTTATACATGAAGTCGAGCTAGAAGCTGTGTCTCCTTCTTCAGAACCCTTTAATTCAAATTAAATAGCCTTAAGAACAAATTCAGCCCCGTGCCGCAGCGCTGCAGCAGTACCTGAGGAGGTATGCTATTTTCAACAAGGAAAAAGCCGCGCCAGAAGATGCTTTGATGCAGTTTAATATAAACAAGATTAATATAGGGGTATTATAACTATAGGGGTATTATCATAGGAGTACGTAGCAGGCGAAGTTGTCGTATGAAACAAAGAACGACAACGTCGTAGGTCCTCTGGAAGGCTCTGTGTACACTAACTCTGTTGACACTAGCGTGGTAGATGCGTACAAAGCGTACAAATTTCATATCATGACTTCTTTGTACTGAAATTTACCCTTCCAAATCAAGTCCTTCCATTCTGTCCACGCCTCAATCATCGTTTTCCTGCTTTCCCGTTGGCCTTGTTTTTGTTAGAAGTTAGCCAATTCCATATTACCCATCCTTTTCACGACTCATTGGGCTCAATCCTAGACGTCTGAGTGGCATATCAGCAAATCGTTCAATCTATCAGAGACGACTTCACGACTTTTTGGAGAAGATGAAGAGACGTCTGACCTTTTTGGAATAGATGACTGCTGACTTTCATACATCATGCCTGCCCCTTCTATCTTGAAAAATGCATGAGTTAAGGCGTTCAAGAATTGCGAACCTCATGAATGTTACAAACGTCATGTTGTAAAAAAAGAAATTAAATAATGTTAAAGTTTGTGTATACTGGATCCCTTAATCTCTGATAGACTGCTCTTCATCGTCATGCTCATGTCCCTTCTTGAGAGCAAGCGAGCTCCGCATATTCCCATACCGAAGTCTAGATCTCCTAGGAGGAGTACTACTAGAAGAAGTACTACTAGTAGTAGAAGAAACCCTACTAGAAGAAGTACTACTAGAATCATGTTGAACATGATCTAGCGTAGTACGAGTTGAACTGAGAACGGCAGAGAAGTTATCTTCGGAAGTTTTAGTAGTAGGCATGACAAGCTCTTCAGGTACACGATCTAAGTTGTCACCTCTTCCTGCTCCAACCGCTGTGTAGTTGTTGTAAAGGAACGTTGAGTCCTCATGCTGTTGCATAGAAGGTTCGTGCTGTTTTTGCTGCAACCGCCCTTTGGGTATGCCTCGTCTGAGTAGATTTTGCACTTTCGGATTATCATTTTTTAAGGACTTTTTGCCGGATACCGGGTGAGCCTGCTGAAGAGCATCGACTATTAACAAGAGCGCCGCGCATGCGGGTGTTAGCGACCGCTTCTTGTTGTCGTCGATCAAGCTCTTCATGTCTTCGCAAGTGCTAAGTTCTTGCTCATCATTGTCAGTACATACTCAAGGTTATACTTTATGACAGCTCGGATATAAATATTAAGTAACTCATCTTGTTGTTGTTGATCGTAAGACATTTTTTAAACGATATGCATCCACTTGATTCAACAAGAAGAGCGAACTAATTAACATACTTAGACAGATGATTCTGGTCAGGTTAGATTATCGATCCTGCATGATATTGAATCTGTGACTTTCATCAAGTTAGGTCAGTCCTACTAGACGCTGAAGGGACATGTGAAGAAGGCGAGGCCGGGGGTGGGGGTGGGGTTCGGGGAGGTCATCGAAAAGCATGAATGTGGCTGTGAGATAGCAACGCGACGACAGACACACGACGACATGCGTTGCTCCGACCGACCACCCTTACATTATGTGTAGTTGGAGCCTCCGCGGAGCAGCCCTGCGTAACAATTGTAGCTAGTGGATGTGTCGCCGCGCGGCCGACAGAATTCAGAACTACAGATTCCTCCTCCTCCTGACTCTGACTAAAATCTGTGCCAACTCCAACATCATGTTATGAAGAAAGTATAATTTCGAGTTGTTTCTTTCGTATACATTTGTTCACGGTTCAACTTCTTATCTTTTATTTTCCACTTGCGAGACGTGCACTCTGAGATCCGGATCATGATAACTTTCTCCAATCAGAAGTGTTGCTTATGTCACTCTATATCTCGCGCTTTGCGCAAGTACGACCGCATGCACATCAAACGGATTCTTTTCGAAGCCAGATGAAAACAAGAAACGCAGGCGCAAAGCGTGTTCATTCTGCTCATGACGTGCACTTGCCAGCGATGCATCTCTTCATCCCATCTTCTGTTTGTAGTACTAACTCCGAGGATTCATACCTACAAAAACAAAATTCAAAATTGTTGGGGATTCGTACTTATCTACAAAAACAAGAACATTCGAAACTGATGGCCGTAGTGAAGATGATGTGCGTAACAAAAGCAGAAAATCTGACCCCAAATGTTTCATTATCTTGCACGGAATTCTTCGTCAAAATCCATGCCTTCCTTTTTTGTCCTTCTTCTTCAAATTGCTTCCCGCCGGTTCTTCTACTTCCTCATCCGTGCCTTCCTTATTCCTCCTCGTTCAGCGACTTATCACACACTTTTAGAAAAGGTAGAGTCCTAGGAGCCCTTTCCGATTTTGTCTAACCCTAACCGAAACACTAACGTAAGCAGCACGCCATGATTGCTCCAGCCACGCTGGGCATAGGAGAAACGACCTTGCATGCATTTCCTAAATAGCAGACACAGAGAATGGAAAACTACTGCTACCGACAGATATTGAAGCATACTATGCAAGGAGAAACACTTATGCTAGGAATCCAGTACCAAGAAGGCGAACAACAAACGTGCAGCAACTACAGTAGTAAGGAAACTACTAGTACAATCTCACCAACGAGATGTGCTACCCAAATAAGCTTTGAAACAGAAAGAACAGTGCAAACATTCATGCTAGCCAAATAAGTAAGCAGAAGACCGCACGCACACGGCCACACGTCTACTCCTATAAATACATACGATACCCTCTGTTCATACATTTAGCCCTTATAGCGGTGAAATTTTGATTTTTGATACTCGCCGTAACAATTTCAGCTCCTGCACTTCGTACTTTAATCCCTGCTTCTTTGCTTTGTACTCCGTACTCTCCTTGTACTTAATGGCCTGCTTCATTAGATCTAGGCTTGCTAGCGCATCCTTCTGAGCTCATTTCCCCTAATGGGAAGAAAGACAAACGAATCGTCTATCGAGATGATTGTGATACTTAGTGGTGTAGGCGTTAGCCGAGTCACCTATCATGTCATGCCAAGGTGCCTCTTATGTACGTAGCTATTAATAAGGTTTACTTTTGATTCATTGATGATGTATTTACTCGTCACAACGAAATTTAGCCGTAACTCGGTTTTGTCCTCGATCAGGTGGTTCAACTTGCGCCATGTCTGGTAGTCCTCTTTACGGACCGGCATATTAGCACGGGGAAGAGCCCAACTAGATTGTAAAAGGGAACAAGTGAGAACAGTTTTGTCACCGGAGGATAGGATAGGATCGATAGGGTACGACAAGTTGCTTCAGCATCCTGAACGAAGATTTAAGCATTTCCAGCATACTACTTAAAAAACAGCATACTACGTAAAAAAGACCTAACCCGGTATTCTACGTTTCTTCTATGACAATGCGCAGCTCTTGTGGATCGCGAGACAACATTTTGATGTTGACCTACAGTTTGGTATGAGAAATTATAAATATAGTGACAGATTTCAGTACTACAAAAACAAGATAGACTTTGAAGAAAACGCGATAATTGTGCACTTGGATAGGAAAAGACGACTGGACTTATCTACGAGGACACAAGCGCCCGGGGCTGTAGAAGAACCAGAAACCGAAAAGATCGAACGTAGGTGGAGATAATAAATTGTCACGTGATGTGCGAGAAATACTTGCTCTTCCATTATTGAATAGCCCTTCCTTCATTGAACCTCGTGATCTCCTGCATTGAACCTAATCATCCAAGAACATTTGCGTTGAACAGCAGGTGATCATGTGCTATCAGTAACATCTAGAGGTAGAAGTAGTGTACCCATTCATGGCCATGGGGTATAATTGCTTGTCTATTTGCTTGGTCTATCTGAACATTGATGTTGAACATCTTGAACAGCACGTACTAATCATGTACCTGTACTAATCATGTACTTGTACTATCTGTTTTCTCTTTGCCTTAATTACCAGGAAGTCTTTGGATAACCACTGCTCTAATTCCCTGCGGACGAAGAAAAACTCCTCGAGCGTCGTATACGTTACTAGGTTCTGCATATAAAATATGCTCTTTTGCAGAGAATCTGCGACTCTTGGCGGCTTGTTTAGATGAGACACCCTTTATTCATTACGCGCAGTGCAGCCCCATAATGCTTATATCAAAACTCATCTTTGCAGTTAGATACAATATCGTCTTTGGACTCGGTACTGGTTGATGTTTTTCATAATGAAACACTAAGTGCTATTTTATTCGTGAGAAGTTACACACACGCAGTCCAAAATCTAGCTTTTGTAGATGAAATCATTTTTCCTTAAGTTTTCGATGCATGCGTTTCTGTTGCGCCACCCCTGGCCTACAGCTACATCATCTCTCAACTTTTTGGTTAGAGCCTTCGCCATTTGTCTTTCGAACATTGATTGCCCCTAATGTGGAGTCTTGTTCTACTCCATCTGCTGCAGTAGATGTCAATTATAAGCAGGTAGTACGTAAAGTATTATATATATGGTCGTAAAATGTAATCTTGAGGCGATGCCACCACATCAAAACTATGCCTATCCCAACCTGCTCTGCGCACAAGAAGAAGAAGTACTAGATATAGATACTATATTGTAAGAACTATGAAGCAGCTGCAACTTTCTCAACGCCTAGCTTCACAGGATGGACGTCATGGGTGTGAGTTAAAAAAAATCAAACTTAATAGATACCCCCCCTTAAAACCACCATCCATTCGCCCGGTTTTCGCCTGGAATAAAGCCCCGCCGCAACTCTGCGTAGATCGTTTACCACACTCCTCCTGGCTTGCTTAATCTTAGAGCTTCTTAACATTCTCCCAAATGATCGTCTCCAGGTCTCACCATTCTTCACGGAATTCAGTCTTACATTTTGCAAGGTTTGACCACGGGCCCAGTTGTGCCCTAATAAGGAGGGTTTTAGTTTTAGATCGCAGAAACCTTGTCTTACACTTACTGCTTAATAATTGCACTCCCTCGAGACCATAATAAGATGAATTAGGACTAGGAATCTCACCAAGCTCCTACACTAATACCTAGATTCCTCCTAGAAGAGGCCGTAACGGTCTTCGCAGGCTTCCCGTTCTTCGGAAATTTCTCCCAGATTCCCGTTCTCTCGTTTTAACGTCAGTCAATCATTATCTCTTCTCGAGTAGAGTGCTTCTGCCCCTTGATAAGTTAACGGGCCAACTCCTAAACCACTGAACCGACTGCGAAGTTGGCTCAGTGGTTCAGGCGTTGGCCTGTTCACTTATCACTCCTTTCCAGTAGATCTGATTGTTCTCCTGGACTTCGAACGAGAACCCACTCAGCATAGTTAGCCTAAGCCCGATAATGTTTCACTGGCCTTAATGGTTCCAAGACCACTTTTGCATCTCCGACAGCGACTTGATGACTCTGCGAATGAGTTCGTCAACGCCAAACTCCAGAAGGTCCTCCAAACGATCAAGATCATTCCAATTTAGAACAACCCGAATACGAAGTGGCTATATTAGTAAGTCAATCTTTGGTCTTGAGTTGACGACTATGATGATGATGATGATGTATCAGAAGGATAGGCGGCAGCACTACGATATACACCTGCGAAGCCAACCTTTTTCGAACCGTTACACAAGAGCAAGCCAAGGCGAAAAACTGCGCAACTCAATTAAACACTTCAAATATCATCCCTGGAGACAACACAACCACAAGCACCATTTTCGGAGCGCCGTTTATACCTAGGTAGACCGAAGAAACAGAACAGAGGAAAAACTGACAGAGTGAGAGGCTGACGCCATTCATTGAGGGGCGCACGCAATAGAAGGCGACGGCGAATCTGACGACAGAAGAACGCCAAAGCACGCCGGCTTTTGCGGTTTGAAGCCTCTTACGCATGGCAGGCATCTGGGAGGTGAAGCGCTGCAACCGAAAGGAAACTACCACGCGAGGGCGCAGTCAGTGCGGGGAAACCGCGGCCAAGCTGAAGAGCCCAAGCGGGTGCATCTATATACCGCAGCAAGGCCCTCGCCAATCTGCACGAAAAACCGACCAGACAGCCGAAGGCTCCCGTTATGCTACTCCGCTCGCCAGGGTTTTCAGTGCCTTAAGAATTTCGGGGGGCGGGGGGCGGTCGATTGAGTTAGTATAACAATTCAAGCACAAGACCCCGAGAACCCACCCAACAAACAAGCGAGACCGACCGCACAAGACTGCCGAAAAAACTGCTGAAGCAACCGACTCACCCGTGGAGACTGCGCGGGACACCGGAGAAGGAACACACCGAGCAACAGACCGCCGGGAGCCCTCTCGTCGACAGCCCTCCCGTAAGCCACAAGCCCACACCACGAGCAAGGTGAACGCAACGCAGGCACCATTCTAATACCGAGCCGCGCCGCGGTCTGTCATCTTGCCGCCCTCAACGAGCGACACCCAAAACGCGCAGCAGAAGCGCGAACGCCGCACAGCGTTAGGAGCTAAACTGCGCGGGCGCGGTGCGCATCTTTGTTTTCGGACTTCGAACCATTTCACGGGCTTCGCCGTAAACTGGCAGCAGAACGATGGGCGAGGGCACGACCTCGGCAACCTTTCTCAGGATGAGAACAAACACACGGAACAAGCAAAACTGCGCACGAATTTCAGGACATGGGCCGGCGCCTATTCCTGTCGCCGCGTTTCTCTCTATCGCCGGGCCGCTCAGTGTCAGTCTAGGAATAAACGCGGCCAAGAATGGCACAGCAAGTTTATGCCTAAACCATGACGGTCTAAAATTCTGCATGTACCCAGCGCGGGCCTTCGTCGTTCACGTCTTCACCCATGCATGTGTGTATCCCTGATAATGCCGTTCCTAACATCCGTAGAGATAAGTTCTGAGAGGGTACGTGACTAAGTCAAGACGCTAGCAGTACAGGTCGAACCGTTACGGTTAGGAGTATGGTCAGACACTACACTAACCTCTCTAGCCTGAGCAAGACAAGCAGGTAATGACTGAGCTCGCAGTGCCGGCAGGAGTGCCCCGACTTTGACATTTGATGTTAAAAAATCGACTCCTGTAAGCATGAGGGAATCGTCTTCACCCATTGTCCAAATAGTCTGACAGTCGAACACTAGAGGTTTTACTTCCATTACACTAACTAAACTAGCCGCGCGACAGAGTCTAGTGCTGCAAGCCTAGTGCTGCAACTCCTAGTCTAAGTATCTCAATCTCGGACCGTAAAGAAAGTAAAAAGAAGTTGAGAAAACAAGTCGAACTTACGGAGGTGATGAGTTTTTATCAGTATTCTCAGTCCCTAACCAATGCAGTTCGGGCTGACCGCCAGTGATATCGTGGTATCCGCACATTCTCGTTCATATTAGCGCTCTCCTTGCCTACTTCATCTACCCTCTTGTCTAGTAGTCTTCTTAATGATCAGGATCGTGCGCAGCATAAATCAACAATAGTACTATCCATAGATAAAGGTGCTGCTGTCGATTTTAGCAGAGCCGAAGAAATGAAGTCGATTCTTTTAAGTTTCTCGGATTTACTCTGAGGGCAAACATACTATGGCGGATCCACGCGGCACTCACCTCAGATTATCCACTCTCGACACACCAGAGCCTGCCATCATGTCTCTCGTGCGGTGAAGACCTACCAAAAAGAGGATGCTTTTGAGAGACATTACTCTATCAACCCACCAAGGCAAACGCCACTTTTCTATTTGCAGACAAGTAGAGTTGAGTAGAAGGTAGAAGGTGACTGATTATCTTCGAGAACGTAAAGGAAGTTCTTTGAGGCGGTCCCTCTCCCCCTCGTCGGTTATCATTTGTTGAAGATTCTCCTTCGGAAACAAGAGGATCCAACCATTTTCCCGCAGCATTTTTCTCGCTTCCACATAGGCTTAGATGAGCGTCGAACAATTCGTTTCCTCGTTTATCTTCTTGTCATGTGTGCACCCCTGTCATGGTTCGAAGTAAGTAACCATCCATGAGACTTCTTCTACTGAGTGTTGTTTTTTTACCTCAAAATGTTATTCCTCCTGGCGCTGAACTCTACTGTGCTGAACCTGAAGATAAAAAATTTAGATTAGGCATCATCTCATTCCATAATAACGCGAGTCGCCGTTGAAGAACTTCTTTATATCCGATGGTATTTTGGTGCTCCCAAACAGCTCATGCATTTTCGTCGTTGCTGCATGGGCACATTGACGTGCAAACTCGTTAAACCTCTCCAGCGCGTCACCGGCTGTCTGCTGTTGCTGTGCCTCCTGCTGTCGCTGCCGCTCCTGCTGCGCCTCCTGCTGCTGCTGCTGAAACAACTCCTGCTGTCGCTGCAGCTCCTGCTGCTGCTGCAGCAACTCCTGCTGTCGCTGCAGCTCCTGCCGCGCCTCCTGCTGCTGCTGCAGCTCCTGCTGCTGCTGCTGCAGCAACTCCTGCTGCCGTCGCAGCTCCTGCTGCGCCTCCTGCTGCCGTCGCAGCTCCTGCTGCGCCTCCTGCTGTCGCTGCAGCTCCTGCTGCCGTCGCAGCTCCTGCTGCTGCTGCTGCAACTCCTGCTGCTGCAACTCCTGCTGCTGCAACTCCTGCTGCTGCTGCAACTCCTGCTCCTGCTGCAGCAACTCCTGCCGCCGTCGCATCTCCTGCTGCGCCTCCTGCTGCCGTCGCAGCTCCTGCTGCGCCTCCTGCTGTCGCTGCAGCTCCTGCTGCCGTCGCAGCTCCTGTTGCTGCTGCTGCTGCTGCTGCAACTCCTGCTGCTGCTGCTGCTGCTGCTGCAACTCCTGCTGCTGCAACTCCTGTTGTCGCTGCACCTCCTGCTGTTGCTGTTCCCTCTCCTCCCGCTCCTGCTGCGCTCGCTGCTGCTTCTCATGCTGCTCCTGCTCCTGCTTCTCCACATCCTGAGCCTGCTTTGAGGAAGTCGCGTCCCCCGTGTTTTCGTGACTTAGAATTACTAGAGGTAGATCATTGAGAAGATAGAACTTTAGCAGACTAGTCAAAAACTTCAACGACCCTATTCCTACAGCTCTTCAAAATCTATCCTAAATCATGAACTTGGTAGCGGTCTTGAGGGAACAGCCCCAGAATACCGGAATTGCATGCTTTCAACTAACGCATGAGACTACAGTCCGTATAAAGCTCATGTAAAGCTCCTGTACTCTCTGAGGACCCTGCTGCACGTCCTTCTTTTGCCTCTTCACTATAATGGAAACGGGGCGTTGTAGTTACCATGCGCCTTAATTGTTTTTTCGTGCCTTCTTCGATGCAACATTCTCCGTCCTCGTCCATACTCTCAAGCTTTTTGTGCGTAGCTTGATCGGTTTCCATTATCTTGCTCCTCACTAGAAAGCTACTAGTGATATCACTACAAGTAGCGCCCGGAGTCAAGGCTTGCCGCACCTCGTCGCCGTAACGAGAACCATTACTGCAGAATTGCCTGCCAAGATCCTCGCCGGAGTACTTGCACTTCCCTGAGGGCACGCAGTTGAGTTGTCGTGGCCAATCTCCGTCTGGGCTTTTTTTAGGCTTACTGCGAGTCTTTGCTTTCGCTAGGACAGTTACTGCTTGTAAGGCCTTTCCCATCTTATTCCCCGGCTTAGCCTTCTGACCCTCCTGATCATGGACTCCTTCCTCCGCTTTCGGCGTCTCTTTACTTTCACTCTGTTGTGCTATTGAGTGATTAGAGGACACCGAAGCTACCATCAAGAGCATGAACCCAGTAGTAGAGTTTCCTTCTTCCATGAAATGAGCATATACATACAGTAGCAAGAAAACAAGTCCTTATAAATATCGAAAAACTCAAAGAAAAACATTATATATAAGTATAGATACATTTTGCGAAGTATATTAATTTATACACATAGACACGTTCGTACTTGATGATGTAGCTAGTTTTCCATTACTAAAGGGATCTTCACTCGACGACGCGATAAGAGGTGCTGCAATCGGAGAATTTCTATTAGACAAAATGTAGGTATTAGGAGGAGTGTGGTCGAACTGTCCTTAAGTTTAACATTCGCCGTATCTTCAACCGGCTTATGCACCCTTTTCTTGGGTTTCGCAGGCTCAGTTGCTTTCGCTTTATCATCGTCATCTTCAGACGAACTAGCTTCAGAGTCAGTGACCAGGTCACAGCCACAGAGAAGGTCGCTCGAGTCGGACTCTTCACTGGAACTTGCCCCTCCCTGTTCCACTTGACAGCAGGACGAACGCTTCTCACGCTCCAAAAAGCTTAACCGAGCTGCAGCAAATTCGTTTAACCGATCCCCACGGGTAGTTCCAGCATCGATTATAGAAGGCCTTGTTGAGACATCACTACTAGTACTAGCAGTAGTAGTAGAGGTTGCATGGTCTGAAACTACGATGGCGCGGCTAGTGCTGCTGCTCGAATGAGTCGTATTGCTAGTCGCGTAATCGGGCTTCACAACATGATCAATAGAGGGCTGCGACCTCGTTCTCACAGCCGCACTTCCACTCGATCGAGGACTGCCCGCAATCTTCTCATGCTCCAGGCTGCTTGCACCTACGACAGCAGTTCTGTGCGTGCTTTTTGGTGTGGACCCACGAAAATGAGTTCTCTTTACAACACTCTTTGCCCCGGCTTGCATGTCGCTGCTCCTCGAGGTTGTTAGCGTCACACCGTCGCTCTCCCTGACAGCTCTGTCTGTGGTTCTTAGTGTCGTGCTCGTGCTTGTTGTATAATTACCAGTTCTGACCGCGTCATCGCCTACACAACCGCGATTACCGTTCATCGAATATAAGTCTGACGTTGTGCTATTGGTACATTTTTTATTAGTAGCAGCTGCTGCTGGAGGTGGAACCGTTGAAGACGCTGACGGCGTGCTGGAAAACGTAAGCTGATGTTCTCCAAAGAAACGCGCGACCGCAGAGGTGCCTGCAGCATAAAAGATATGGGATGAGAGCAAGGTCGCGGTGAAAAGTCAAAGTGTGATTTCCCCATGAGAGTCAAAAATATACCTAACCTCAAGTTGAAATTATAACATCATTCAACAATACCATGCTTGTACTTGTCGTACATAAAAATCAAAATACCATCTTCGGAATCCATCAAAAATACCTGTCAAAATGATCTCCCACCACTGTCTCAGCACGTCACCCGCCGTCGCAACAGATTGCGCCTCTTGATGTTAGAGAACAAGCAAGCTAACAAGTTTCAACTATTTTTCCAGTACTCGTCTTCTGACAAAAAAAAATGGTGACACATTTAATTAGCTATGTCTTTGTCCCCTTCTAGACCACAAGCACTATGAATTATTTCCTACTCGTCATGAGAGAAAAATAAGGAGATGCTTAGTTATATATAAGAATAATAATTCGCAAACTGGCTGAAACAAATTTGACAACTACCGACCTTAATGCTCCCCATCGGAACTGGAAGCGATCATAGTACTGGTACTCCGCAAATTACCGTGTAGTTGTCTACTAGAGTAGATATGATGTCGTGGTCTTTTAGAAACGAACACGCTAGAGGCATTTTCAATTGTTTGGGTCGACTGGCTGACAGTCTCTTCACGGTCTGTTGCTTCTTCTTCCCCATCTCCGTCATGTTCGGGAGCGAGCGACGTTGCAGCCGTGACCGTGCTGACGTTGTCGTGAAATGGTCTTCTATTCCTATCTTTGACATCAAGCAGTCCATTGCCTTCCACATCATGTTGGAGAAAGTCACTACTTGCGATTGGTGTAGTTGTTGTTGCTGATGCAGTATCGGACGCCAGCGATGCGATCCCCATTCCTGATGTCGTTTCGTGGTGCGCATGAACCTCTGGTATAAGTTCGTTCTCTAGTTCTTTCTCTGGATTCTTCGACCGAAACCTCGTCCCACCTTTTTTGAGTAGCTTCAGAAACCGTTTTCGACTTTCCGACCTGCGCTGCTGTAGACCGTCAGCCGAATATTAGAGCTACCGCGTCGCATTTCTCAGGTCATCCCTGAGTCCTTTTCCTGCTTGATGAAAAGGAGTCAGTCCAAAGGTCACGATCTGAGGGGATGCTCTCTTGCTTGCCTTAAAAATAGATGATGCTGAGAATCACATGTAATGTGATTAATGTTAGAGACCACATAATCATCCGCCTTTGCCGCAGACTCGCGACCCACATATCATGGGGTCTTTCAGCACTACCACGATGTTGTCCAAACTTGAGGCGACGGGCGGAACTACCAGAAGAAAAAGCAGCTGAACAGCACATAATCATGATGATGTGATGTTCCCTATATTCTTGAAGGTCGTGGCGTTGGCTTAATACTTGATGATGTTAACAGTGGTCACAGTCTTCAAGGACAAGAGAGTGATGTTGCTTCAAAAATAGTACTGTGAGTAGATAGATTGAAGATGACAAGCACACGATGCGAATGAAGGAATTAGAAGGAGCATTTTAGGTGTAGCGTGCGTGTCGTGGAGAAAAAGAAAAGATGATATAAGCATGCTGTACAATATTAGGCTTAAGTGGATGTGTCCTACATGTCAGATGTGAGCCTCAGAGTGCAGCAAACTATTGAATGTTGTAACAGCAAAAGATTTTTTGGGTAAGCAACCGTCATCTGATTACTTCCTTGTCTTCATTATACTTCTAGCTGCCTTACTCTGATTTCTTGTCTCTAACTACTAATGCATGATGATTTTGCTTGCCTTTTCGTGTTCAATTTGCCTTCAAAAGATTCCTGCGTAGTATTTATCAAAAACAAAGATCGGGAATACATGATAAGGAGGTCACCAGGGAGGTAAAAGAGGTTGTTGTTGGGAGCGATTTATGTGAGTCCTCTGACCGATGATTCCTTCCACTTCGAGGAATATTCAACCATATAAATATGATCGCACAGAGCAAGAGCCTTTAACAGAGGTGATTTCATCAATCTTGACACATTTATCAGTTTTTGAAACTGAAAGACCGGCGTGAGCTCCTGGGTCTCCACCTCAGCCATGACACGGATGGAGAGACGATGGACTATACAACCGAAACCGATGCTATTTCTTGTTGAAGATGTCTAAATCAATTCAGTTTCAAAATGCTGATACATCTCCTGCACTCATGCTCCTGCGAAATGTAGATACGATACGACAAGCTAGGGTGTGCCACGACATTGCAGCCACAGAGCCAAGATGTATCACGCGTCTCACAGCACATCACGAAGAGGAAAAGTAGCAGTAGTATACCAAAATGACTCTGCGGGAGTGAAGCGCGCTGTTTTCTTACTTGGGGTTTCGTCATCAAGATTCTGGACTCATTCCTATTTCTAGCAAGCTGAACGGGAAAAATAAATTTACCATATTACATACAATATCAAACAGGACGTTAGTGCGTGTGATGCTGAAATTCGTTGCATTCTTCGCTTTTGCTTGAAGCACTGTGCCACAACCTGCGCTTCCCTAGTCATTGGACCGTGCTTATGAATATGAACTTTGAAAAATCGTCCCGCAGACGCAGCAGAAGACAAAAAGGTGATCATGAAGATGAAGACACGAGGATGAGAAAGGATATATAATTTATTACTGATTCAGACAATTAATACTGGTTATATTCAACGTCGCGACTCTAACATCGCGCCAGCTGATCCAAGGTACATACAACATCAACAGGAGTCATTGTTTGAGGAAATAAGTAAGTCTAGTAGCGAAAGAAGTCGTGTGTTCGTGTGGTTTTCCGCTGGCAAGTTGTCGGACACTTACAGCGAGGGCTTCTGAGTGAGTGTTCTTTGGACGAAGATGATCATTCTTATCAATCTTTTTCTTTGCATCAACAAGATTGCTAATATCTGACAAGGAGTGACCAGACTATCTCGTTCAATTTCTTCTCGTAGATCGATAAAACAAGGGCGAAATATTTGATGGTATGCTCTATGACAGTCAACCAACACTGTCAAACATCATGATCATGTTTCTCTCAGAATCTTCAAATCCAAAACCTATTAACGAGAATTTAGTACTTGTTGTCTGAGAGTGATTCTAACCTAGATGAGGATAACGTTCGTCTTCGTGCTTCTCATGTCGACCAAGAATGACCCAACAGCGGAGAGGCCGAGGAGGCGGGAGCGCTAAACTTACAAAACAAAAAGACAATTTGAAAACGTGAGATGACAAAGAAGATTCGTTAGATTACTGTCGATATTGAAGAAAATCGAATGATACGGGTTGGGGCCGGCGGGGCGGCAATAATATCATGATCATTACAAGGAAGTGGGCATCATCAGATCTGAAATGACATTCTGTGTTTGAATAAATTTTTCTATAGTGTAAACATATTCCATGTCGAGCGAGAGTTCGATCGGTATTATAGAGGTTCAAAACAACAAGATGTGAAGTCGAAAATGTGTAAACTGAGATTTTCACAACATGATGGCGCGCCGAAGTAGCAGGAGGGGTCAAACATTACATGACGATCTAGGATAGTCCCACCCTTTCTTCGAAGCATGATGACGTGCATGGTCATGTGGAGGCTTCCACACTCTACGACGAAGTGTCACTTCGCTTCTCGTCCTTGTTCACCTCCTCCCGCACAGGAACGAAGAAAGAAGTCATGACTTGACCTCCATTCACTTTTACCATTGCACGACGAGGACAAGAAATTCATGCTTCAACTCCTACTCCCCATTCCTCTGGTTTCCTTACACTTCTACTAGGAGGTAGAAGCTTAGTAGTTACGCATGGGTGGAGCTCCAGGCGCACCGTAGGCCGGATTCCACTGTTGCGGCTGAAATTGCTGCTGTTGTGGGGGAAAGCCAGGCTTTCCGTACATTGGCGGGGGACCGCCTCCCATCGGTGGCGGACCAGCACCCGTATCTTAGAGCGCGGCCTCCTATATCATGTATGTATCATGATCGAGGTATTTATAACCTGCTCAGAGGTTGTACGTACTTACTAACTAGTAAACAAGCCTCTCCTACTGTTTGAGATGGAAATGCAAATCGCGATCGCGATCGCGTAGTTGTGAGAACTTGAACTGTATTGTTCTGGTATTAGAACCTGAACCTTTCTTGTTTTCTTCTAATCATGTTTTTTGTGAGTACATCAATGTTTTTTGCTCTTAAATTTGCGGCGGACCGCCCTTCTGCGGGCCTCCCATTTGCGGGCCACCCCGTGGTGGGCCTCCCATCTGCGGCGGCGGGCCTCCTCCCATTTGTTGCGGGCCTCCCATCTGCATCGGTGGTCCTCCCATCTGCGGTGGCGGGCCTCCCATCTGCGGCGGGCCTCCCATTTGCGGACCACCCATCTGCGGCGCCATTTGCGGTGCCATCTGCTGCGGACCCTTCCCCATATTATCTGTTGAGTTCATGAAGATGATGATGATGAGCTTTGTTACTTTGTTTCCTAGTCCTTCTTCACCATTATTTTCTTATAACAGAAGCAAAGTTGTTGAACACTCACTCCATGGTTTGCTTTTGTTAGTTTTTCTCATCTTCAACAGAATCATAAAACGATAAGTAAATGTTAAAGTACTCATCGGTGGGCCTGGCTGGCCCATAGGCGGTCCCATCGGCTGGCTTGGCTCTCCAGTCTTAGCGGTATGGATATGGCAAATCCTTATCATACAAAGTTGGTCAACAGAGTGAGAATCCGTCAGTTACTTACATGTCGCGAAACTCAATCTATTCAAAAAAAATTCAAAATGATGTTTCTCTTTCTTTTTGCCGTAACTTTCAACGCTGGTGGTTGCTGTGGCGGATACGTGAGTGCCGGTTGGCCGTAGGCTCCCTTGGCGAAGTCCTGCCCGTAATCCTGGATCGCGGGATTGTATTGCCCGTACTGTTGTTGACCGTACTGCTGGTTGATCGAAGTAATCGCCTTCAGAGCATTCAGTCCACCTGAACAAATACAACAACAGGTGTACAATCGTCACTGACGAGTAGGAAAAGTTGAGAGCAGTGGGAGAAGTCTCTAGCGATACATCAACAAGAAGACTTGAGGTTCATTATGAAGTAAGTAAGTATTACATAAAAAGATGAAGTAAGTAAGTAAGTAAGTAAGTAAGTAAGTAAGTAAGTAAGTAAGTAAGTAAGTAAGTAAGTAAGTAAGTAAGTAAGTAAGTAAGTAAGTAAGTAAGTAAGTAAGTAAGTAAGTAAGTAAGTATTACAGAGTTTGAAAAAGAAAGATAAGCAGTATTACATAAAATAATGGTCTTTTCGACATAGTAAGAACTACAGCACTCTCTCAAAGAAATAAGCTTTCAAGAGGAGAAAACAGGGCTAGAGGACGAATCTTCTAACAATGTTGTCTAATTTAGCGTTTATTGGTAGAAGTATAATTACCTGGGTTTCCTCGGGCTTCGACTGCCTGTTGCACCGCCTCATACAGCTTTCGATCACCAACTGTCGAGTAGCCTGACTGACATTAGACCGGTAGGAAAAGTGTAGGGTTTTCAAATCAATAGTCGAACCTTTTTTAATCCCGTTTGCCTGATGTTGGTTGCTGAGAAAAAAAAAATATTCCTCGTAGACAAGGACAACATGCACATGAGAGAGAGAAACAGAAACGTGCCACTCCCTCATAGTGGTTCGATCAACTACTCAACACATCAGTACTACATTCCCGATGTTAGTGCCATAATGACGGCACGTTCGTGCCACCTCGGTCGCCTGATTTTCATGTGCGGTCGTCTGCGTTACGCGCACTGGGAAAGCCAAACTGTTCCTGTACTCATCCATCACGTCAACAATGGGACGCAAATCTGCCGCAATCTTTCGACTCGTATTCTGAAACTGGGCTTCAACCTGAATTAAAGATGGCGAGAGCAACAGGAGAGGTACTTAATATTCATATAAATAATTTTGAAAAATATCCAACTTGAACAGGATTTACGTACAACATGTTCGACGCGAATTTTTATACATGTAACATTGCCTAATTACCAGTCCGACTACAACAAGTATAAAAAATATAAATATAAGCATTACGATTGAGTGGTCGGTGCCAACCATGATCTCCTTTTTGTCAAGGCCTAAATCGATGCAAACACGTAGACCCAGGGTCGCAGCTGCCAAGTTTGCCATTGGAACTGTGACTTCTCCTGTTTCTGGCAGATCGTTGTGGTCCAGGCGTAAGCTTCCATGCCACATCTGCTTCACATTTGGATGGTCAGCCTGTGTGCCAACCGCGTTGATCACCACGCCTACAAAATACAAATGAACAAGGAACTCGAGGACGACAATGTCGAGTTCAAGTAAGTAATCACGTGAAATTAAATATAAAAGTACTTATGCTTTTTATTGATTCTTGGATTACCCTATTGCCCCATTAGATGACGTGAACTAAGAGTAAGTGACAGTCTGTTTGTTTCGAGTATCTTCGATCATCTGTGACAGTTTGTTTCCAGTATCTTCAATCATCTGAGATTGTCGTTGGTTCTGAAGACAGGAGATTTAGATTCTAGAACTAGATGGACTTCCGCCTCAGTCCTGCCCCTGAAGCACCGGAGATAATTTTCTTGATATTGACTTTTTCACATTGATAGATTAATGATGGTAAAAAATTCAAATTGGTACCCAAGGCTATGACTCTGTTGGGTCCGTCGACGGAACCGGAGATATTAAGAAGCACTCGCGCGCCCCATCTCGGCCACTCTGTCTTTTTGTAGACTGCCGGTCTTCGCCAATTCCAGTCGCTTTTCGGATCTGTAAGTTCACTCTTTTCGATCAAAATCCAAAAAGCTCGTATCGATCATCACGATCAAAAAGGTTCATCGAGTAGATGCGTTCGCATCCTCATCAGTAACCGCACCAGCAACATAAATATTTCAAGCTTGATCAGCACTCTACTGGAATGATAATTGGTATTAACCTGTTAGAAGTGGAGCAGTTGCCGCCCTTGATTCTGATGGTTACGTTAGGTTAGCACTAGTATTATCCGTACTTATACCACTAGTATTACTTGTAGGTACTATTACAAGTAAAAGTACTAATTATTTGTACTTCCGTCATTGCTCTTCCAGGTGCCTTGAAGATCGTTGTCGCCTTTGTAGTCGAGTACCCAAAGAGAGCGGGAACGCTCCTCTGAGAAGTACAGCTTAATCGGATACTCATTCGGATCGACTACTGAGATAGTGCCGATTTGAACATTACTGTCCCCTCGGTACACCTTGATCGAACCGGTCGAGGTCTCCACCCACACGTTCAACACGTTGTCGTAGTCATCCATCCAGTAACCACGCAGGTTATCTTAGAACAAGAACTCAAAAGGACGGGTCAAGCGTGAGAACAACTCAAAATATTTAAATGATTATGCGTTGCATTTACTTATTAATTTCTTTGCTGAGGTCATTTCTTCGGAATCTCAAAAAGGAAACGGATGAAAATGACCTTTGGAAGATGAAATGAATTCCATTGAGCCTTAATTATCAGCGATCCATGTACTTTCATCACGGGGCTTTGGCTTCGGCTTGGTACGCTTGTTGCCGCCACTTCCCTTCATGGTCTTACCACGACCCTTGCCCTTTCCGCCACCTAATTTTTAAGACAACAATGGATTCCTGGAATACACGCAGTAGATACAACTCTAAGACCTTGTCGACAAGAATGGACGAAGAGCTACATGTAGATACAACGTTCTTATCAGTCTGTAACTCTAAATCTTTGTAAAAGGTACCTCCACGCTGTTGCCAGCCGTCGTTGCCCCAACCTTGATCCTTTGACGCTTGAGTCCTCCTATTAACATTCTGGACAACAATCGCTTTCGCTGGTTCTGGCATCAACTGTGACGGCAACCTTGAAGTGATGCTGATGGGGATAACACTGAAGAACTATTTTTGAACTAGTACAATTATAGAAATGGGCTAGAGCCTTTGCCCGTGCCGATGCCTATGTATAATAGAATATGTTGCTGGAAAAGAGATATTCAAGTAGTGGCTGTAGTTTCATTTCAGAGGTGGTTGTAAATTTCATTCAACACCAGACCAGTCATTATAGTACCAAATCGACGCGATTTTCGCGTCTTGAGGCAATCGGACGGAACCGCGTTCAATCCAGGACTTTCGACTGAAATTTTTCACCAATGCAACTGGTTTCAAGGCGCATTTACCTGGATCTCCCGCTACTAATTGCACCTTACATTAGAGATGGCAGCATTACGTCTTCCTTCCAAACGTCCATCCGTGGCCCATTGGCTTTCCACTTGAAAAAAGTAAAAGGTCAAGGATGTTAGTGGAGGAGGATGTAATATTTAAGCGCTTAATTATAGCATGCCACTGGCAACTTCGGACGGCCCTCCATCACGTCGTTTGTATCTGCTCAAATTTAGGAAAGTGCGAGATCTCAATTGTGTCGTTGTAGGAGGAGGTATGAGAATTGACATTGACAGTTTCAAAACATGGACACTTCAAATCTTTGGTGAGGGAACTGCAATTACACTTGCCATGCAATCGAACTTATTTCAGATCCGCGTATATATCTTAGAAGATCTGAACCTGAAGACGAAGAGATCTCAATAGATACGAAGAGGAGCCCGGCTTGCTGTCAGACAAACTTTAAATAGATGATTCTAACCTCACAGCAGGCCTAGATCGCAACTGGCGACACAGGACAGAGTAGAGTATAAAAAAGTGTCATCTTTTGAACCAGCCGGACCCAAATTTGATTCGAATGAATGCACGAGCACTATAGTTTGAAGCTACAACGAAGCTGAATCATGGGATAGACATAGTGGGAGCAGAGATTCCCCACTTTTTTTTGCATCAAATTTGAAGTTACAGGAACCTCCACGCCTAAGAATTAGCTGTTCAAAGTCACACTATAACAAAGTGACAAATTTAGTATTCCAAGCTGCAACCATCACCTAACCCAACGTTCATCTTGCATGTGCCCTGAGAGCGTGGTGATGCCATCAGGCAAACTTTAAATAGATAATTTGAATCTCACAGCTGATCTCGGTATTCGAGATCAGAGTAGAGTCATAAATGAATGTCATCCTGGAGGGCACCATATGCATAATGCTGATTACCGGCCGAATTTCTTTTGGGCATACCAACTGCTGGACAGTAGACGAGGTCAGGAAGATGAACCAAATAAAATTGTTAGTTTAGTAGAAGGAGGCACTACTCTATGGATCTAATTAAGTCATCAGATGAAGTTTCTACCTGCTTTTGCGAACGCCGGTTGTTTCTTGTCCATTTTAAGTGCCTTGTCCGTGTAGGGCATTCGGAGCGACGAACCCTCTGAAGACGCCTCACTTTAGAGCTCGAACAACATAGTTCGTTTCAGTTTTCTTAAAGCAAGCATGGACTAGGATACTAGGGTGCCTCGGCGTCGTCGGAAACTAAAAAGCAGGAAATACTTAATTAATAGACTTACTTACAACGCGACAAAAATAAATCAATGCCGCATTGTGAAAACATATTTATTAATTTGTATTTGAGCCTTAATTATCTAAAATGTCTTCCCACGGGTTTTTCGTGCCGTTCAAGGTTGGATCTTCACCTTTGTGTGCATTCGCGAGGAGGCGATGCAGCGGCCCGCACTGCTTGGAAGCCACGAACGCCAGATTTGCATTGCGAATCGCCTTACTCTCATGAGCAGTTACATGCAGCTCTTCCCAGATAAAATGCAACGAAATCTTGAACTGCGAGTATCTATGTGACAATCATAGTACAGGAGACTTCCTTCTAGTACCAATCAAATGAAGAAAAGATTCAACATCCATGGTCGTCAACCGGCTGCATCATGCATGCTTCCTACAGATACGTTATTCTATCTTCGAACGATCTGACATCTTGGAGGCAAGCGCCCCGTAAAGCACTTGGTAGAAGCGTACAACTACCAAAAATACTGATGAATTTACTACTACTAAAGAAAAGTCAAAAGTTGAGTACTGTACTACTAGTAGTAAAGAAAAGTCGAACCTCTTCGCGTATCCACTGGAAGCGAAAACGTTCACTGTCGTATCCGGCTTCGCTCGCTCGACGCCGAGAGCATCGTGGGTGCGCCAGATTACGCCCAAAACTGCAGCTTGGCATCGAATCAAACACGCTTAGAAAACATCACCATTTTTTGCGTACTTCTTGGACTTGGAGCGCATCTTTTAACGGTCTTTCCCCTGACAGCACGTCAAACTCATGCCATGTGTACGTTCCTGATGTCAGTGTTCAGAATGACCGTAGAAACGAGTTCTGAGTTTGTTACCGGTTGCCCGTGACAAAAGCAGAAGTACAAACAAGATGCCTCTTTCTCAAACAATGAATATGTTGAGTAAACCTTAACATTCCATCCACAAAGCCTCAATTTCCGAGATTTCCTCCAAACACTTCACGTGCGGCAAGAGCACGTCAACATCTTGGTAATACTTGAATACCTGTCTTGGTGGTTCAACATGTCTTGTACTTGATGATGTTGAGCAGGACAAAAACCATGACAAGAATGTTTAAGTTTATGTTAGTGCAGAATGCTTATGTTAGTCATGAAGATGGCTGTACCTAAAACTAAGGGTCTGGTGGAGACCGATACTGTACGTAGCATTATTTTTGTATTGGTAATCAAACCAGCTAATTAGTGTATTGATTGGAGGGACAAACCTAGGACTAAGAACCCACTCAACTAGGAATAATTAAAAGTTGTTCCCGCCCAGTTGTATTCAATTTCAACTAGTGCGAAAGAGTAAGTAATTACCGGCGTCGCCATCTCACAGAGAGTCAGCGGCTTTCGCGAGCAGAAGAAATGTTCAATCGCATCATACAATCCTTGCAAATCCTGGTCATTTTTGCATTCCAGCTTTCCGCTCTTGGGCAACCTAGTTTTCGGTGCGAGGTGTGCGTGTATGATGATCGACCTTCTAAGCTCAGGTAGAGCGGGTGTATGATGATCGTGATCGACCTCCTAACTTACTTAACAAGATAAGAAGTCTCATGAAAAGTTTTCCTCTCATCAAGACCTAAACGTAGACCATTCTCATTCATTGAAATAAAGTAGTCCCGTTACGCGCACCCCAAACACTTTTTACTACAATATAATAATCTCGTCCTTTGAATGTAGTAAAGACCTTCCATCCCGGTGACCGCACATAACGGAGTGTGTGATCATATGAGGGTCCCAGCATCCGAGTTTGTGCAAATTGTTACACATTGCTGTGTACTGCGCCTGCGAAGCTTGATCCATCTTGCCGTTTTCTTCCTAGCCGAAGCCGTGTAGCAAGCCAAGACCAACGTTTGAAATAAATAAGGTGAACCTTAAATAAAGATGATTGAATGAGCGCGTGCAGCGCTCACACTTCTAAAAAGTGAAACTCAGCAAATAGATTATGACATATGTTCTCGATACAAACTAGTAAAGCTGCACTCCGATGTACAAGAACATGCATGAAAAGAACGTACGACCCAAAACCAACCGCCTAAAAAAAAGCACAGCACAAAATGCAGCACCTGTGGTTTCTTGGGAGATCCATGGTGATGCTGATGGAGAGGAATTTTTGGAATCTCAATAAGAAAGGAAAATATCAGCATACGACGGACCACTGGAAATTAGTAAAACTAGCCTCCGAAATCATATGCACAATGAGGCAGGGCCACTACAAGTACAAGGCAGTGTCAAATAACGATGTCGTGTCTACTTATTCAATAATGAGAGGGACCGAGGAAGACCAAAACCTTGTCACATCAATCAACCAGAAGTAAAAGTTTATACTGAATATATTCGTGAAGAGGTACATCGTGTTCGTGGTCGCATTACAGACGTTCATCATAGTTAGTATTAGAAACAGTGAATTGGAACAATTATGACGCTTGCCACATCTATGTCGTTGTTGATGACACGCAGCACTATCTTCTATGTTCTCCGTCAACATAAAGCAACTACAACAAGAATGTTGCCGGATCTTCATTGCAGCTCACCATCAACAACTATCCCAGGTGGACATCAACAAGCAGCAAACAACATGCATGACCACATGCAGGACACAAGAGACACAGGCAACATGGGTGATGCTGAATGACATATCTCTTGTAGATTGATAGTAGCTCCTCCTGTAAGCGGCCATTGATCTTTGTATTGACCACCAGCTTCTCTTGCACTGGTTCCTCATCATGAAGACAGAGATGGAGACAGGATCTAGTGTATCGTCAAGCAGAAGCAGTACGATCACAGCACGACGCGGATAAAGATACTTGTGCAACCATTTTTTCACAGGATGAAAACCTTTCGTCATAGAGGTTTACACCAACTTGCCTTCTCTCGCGACAACTAGCTTGCCATGTTGTTGTTCATTATGATACTACACCCGGCAAGTAAGTAAACGGAATATACGAGATGACTGGGGCCGAACACTGGGAGGAAGGCTTCTTGAGTCGGATTCATTGAAGAGGAGAGAAATCTTCAGTTTCTCAGCCTCTAGTCATCAAGTTTTTGATGTTATTTCTTCCTTCAAGGGCAGAAGTCGTTTGTAATCGGGAGACCACTCAACAAAGGGAAAAGTTGCAAAAGTTGCATGACCGCTCAAGTTTACCTTCGGCGGGTCGAGGACCCTCCACCTTCAAATGATGTTTCTACTTAGCCTTTTAGTATTAGTTCAGTGTATCATGTGTCATCTCAAAGTAGTTTTTTGTTGAATTATTTGAAACTAGGCGTGCCTGACGTTCCATCAACATCTTGTTCATAGTAAGTACCAGCAAGAAAAACGCGTTCCGAACAAGGAGCGATTGCAGGATCGGCAATTACGAAGAACGTTAATTCTCGTCAGGAGAATATAGAAATAATGCTTCCACCACTTCCACTTGTTCCATCAAGAACAGAAGGAGAATGAATGGAATGCAAGAAACTCAAATTACTAATCAGTGGTTGGTGAAAGATGAATGTCAATGGGAGTCAAACGCAGAATGAGACACACGCACCTACGTCTGAAACGAGAACGACAACGAGCTTGTTGCGCATACTTCTTGTTCTTCTAGGTAAAACATAAATGATAATTCCAAAATCAGAACTGCTTGAATCAGCAAAAAATCAGGGCAGTTCGTCACGAATGGATAGAGGAGAGATGAATTCCATTTTTAGACAAAAATGCGTGTCCCATTACTTGTTTGATCATCAACATAATGTCCTCAAGCCATCGATATTACCACTCAAACAATGAATGAAGGTGTAAATCTAGTGCTTATTGGTAGAGCAGATACTTACTAATTAAATATTGCAAAAGCAGTTCGTTGTCGCAAATTTATCACGCAAATTGCAACCAGCCCCGCCGCCCGTCAAAGGAGCTGTAATTTCTAGGACTAGCATCCAACCTTGATCGCCTTTTTCACTGCTGCTTCGTACTGGGAATCGTAGTCGTTGATATGCGAGAAGAATTCTTCTACGAGCGTCTGCGCAAAACAACCTGCCACTTTCCCGCAACCACCTCCGATATCCGCTATGTGACTCTCCATTTCGCCAAGGACCCGACGATGCTCTTCGATGTGGCTTTTCGTTGCCGAAAACGCCTGAGTGCCGTTTCCGAAACCGACCTTGTCCCAGAGCGCCTCCTCGTGCTCGAAGTGCTCGCGACACACCTTGAGAACCGCGGCCAGCGCCGCTCCGTTTCTCTGCTCCGCAAGCAGCTTCAACGCGCTCAGGCATTCGTCATGCTCCGCATCCATGTCGGCAATTCCCAGACGCTTTGGTCTTGCAGATGACCTCAGAGAAGCCACACCACCCGACACCTCCCCTGCAGCTTCACTGCCAGAAGAGAGCAAGCGAAGAGCAGCTTTCCAAGCAGCATCAGAGGCTGCTGGACTGGGATCTGCACGGGGGAACCCGTTTAAAGGTGCAGAGCTCGAAGTGGTCGTGGCTGCGGTCGCTGGCTGCTGTTTCTGCTGCTGTTCGGAACCACTCCGAATGCACGGAGGCTCAGGATTTTCGCTTACAATTTCGTCACAGCAGAATTCGTCCTCCTCCTTTTTAGCATTGGCCTGTTGTGGGCTTGAAGGCACTTGTTCTTGTTTTCGCGGACCAGGTGCAGCTTGTTGTTGCTGTTGACTGGTTGTATTAGAAGTAGACAAGTTATTGCTGTTGGCAGCACTTGTCTTATTGTTGTCTGAGGATGAACATGTCGAACTGCCGCTCTCCTCTGACGCACATGGTTTTTTCTCCCGTGGCTTACAAGCCCCCCCTTCACAGGACGGCACCTGACCACTGTATTCGTCCCCTATTGTCGTTTCGCGCGACAGATTTTCGAGATTCTCCATCTTCACCTTGATTTGCTGTCTCGCACGCTGGACAAAGACCACAAAACTCCCATCCTTTGGGTCATTCAGGCAAATTCCCTGCTCTCCATTCAGTTCAGCACGGTTCCGCAAACCGCGTATGCGGCACTGCTCACCGGGACAAAGATATGGCGCAGGCCGTTGCTCCACAAGGCTATCCAACAAAGACTGAAGTTCAGTCGTAGAAGCGTTAATATGGAGCGAAACAAGTGTTTCTTATTCATTTTTCATTTTTTAGTTTTCTGGTACTATGTTTACTTTGTAGTTTGTATTCCACTTTGTACTTGCCAAGTATAAAGTTTCATCTAAAAAGCGAAAAAATTGAATTGGTCCTTGTTCCGATTAATATGGACGAAAATCCCCATCGGAGTTAAGAGTTATAGTGCTGATAGCAAGAGAATTATAGCGGATAGTACCTCGACGTGCTCAAACGCTAGTTGCTTCACTTGCAGGAAGGAGGATGTCTCCTTGTGCTTCAGCTTCAATCCCTTGTCAAACAGGATGAATCCTTGACACCCCAACTGGCCATACCTCGGCAAATTCGCGTTCGTCGTTACGTAGCCGTTCACAGCTTTGTCCAAGCCGCTCTCGTTGCCCATCTCCAACGCCAATCTCTTGTCTAAGGCCACACAGATGCACGCGAACGCAGCTTTATCAGCATATTTCTGGCTCTTGGCCCACCGCTCCATCTGGGCGGCGCAAGGCCAACAGCCTCCTCAGCTCGTGTAGAAATGCACGACTAGCGGCTTATCTGCAGCAAGGGCCGAGAGTGACAGTTCGCCCGTGGGGGCTCCCTTCTGCAACCGCGCAAACACCACATCGTGGGACACGTCCCCGCGTCGGGTGGACCCCATCTTAGGAGAACCAGATGACGCACCCACGGTTACGGATTCATGCACAAGGGAATGAGAAAAACCGAACTGCACTGTCCACTAAATTTCTGGGTGGACGAACACGCAAGGAATATTAAATTTCAATCTGATATATCTTGCATTGCAAACGCAGTTCAAAAAACTTACAACGATTCAGTTGCAAAGAATGAAGAACGAAGAATTCTGTATTACGTCGACTATCTACTTTTGCAGACACTAGAGAAGGGAAAAAGTAGTGGTTCTCCCAGCATGGCAGCTTTATCCTGCAAGTCTTTGTTTTAAGGAGGAGATTCTTATGTATCTATTTCTTTAGGTAAGTTACTTCGGTCTTCTTTCTTCTTGCTGCAACCAAGATTCAAAAGCAAAAAATAAACATCTGAAGGTGTATCTTGATGTTCATAGTATTGACAAAATCATAATAACGAGAGAGCCGAGATGACAATCTTCCAGGTTGACGTACTTAAACTCGATATCGTTCCAAGGAAGGTCTCGTTTCGGTTCCGCTCGTTCAGAACACAATAACAGGACTTCTGTTAAGCTCTAATTCGTCTATTTCTTCTTGAGATATTGAACAACGAGGAAGCAGAACAACTACAGATGCTCATTACAACCATTCCTGTTGAGATCTCAGCGCTGACACAACGTGAACATTCTTTTGAAGGATGGAGACAGTGTACAATTACCAAGTGCAACCTTTCAAAACGCAGGATATTTTGTGCTGGTCTATGAATCTTGGTGTTGATTTGCGTGAATCATCAATACATAGGAATGATCTTCACCACAGGACACCGCAAAAAATGGTCCCATGTTGATTGAACGTTCTGCATCTCAACAAGGATGTCTCTTCAAGAGTATTTGCGTCTATACTAGCTCTGCCTATCCTCCAAGGTCAGCTGCTCCAGTGGGACCACCCCGAGCGATCATAGCGTCAACCTTATGTTTTTATGTTGACGATTAATCTCTAGTCGTAGTTTTACCACCTCAGACTTCTGCAAAAAATCTTCTCGTCAAAGATAGTTCTAGTAAAGTAAGTTCTAGCTGTAGACTTCTAACTTACTAGGGTTTAATAAATGTTAGAGGAATGAGAAATGAAGCCCGTAATACCGCTTCCTGCAACTCTGTACTTTCAACGAAGAGAAAAGTATTCACGAGAAGCATGACCGCTAAAAGCTGGAACGCCATCAACAAGGCACCTCCCAGACCAAGGAGAATCTTCACCGTAGACGCAGAAAGGAAGTTCCGTTGCTCCTGCATCTTGTTCGAGCTCTGCTAGGTCACGTCAGGTGGAGACAACGCGAATCAACCTTCTCAGTGCTGTTCTGCGCTTCGGAATCAGGAGGCCGGGGCCTCTAGGAAAACGATAGGTCCGCCCCTCTTCGTCTCCTCTTCGAAGTCCACGCGCGATCGCGAAAGCGTTTCATGTTGAGTGTTACTTCGGAGGTCGCATGATGTTGTAACTAGAACTACAACGATGTATCTTGTGGCTACAACGACCAGCTGAATTTACTCTTTATCCCTCGATTGTTCTCCAGCCGGTCGTCGAATATTATCATTGGTCGAATGATTCGATTTCGATATTATAGTAATTATCATTTCTGTTTCGTTTTACGCTCATAGAATCCACCTTGGGATTATCTCAACATCCTCGTGCAGCACAAACTATTCGCGGTTCTGCATTACAACAGTTGACACATGTGCGCAGATGTAGCATGCTCTATTCCTGTAAATTGACCTCCAACTCAAGGGTCGTGCGCAGTTGTAAGAATAATCCACAATCGATTGATTCATATTCATCAACCTCCAGGCATCCACTTCGTGTAGTCCTCTTAGGTTATCGTTGCACATCCAGCCAAAATCTTCAGAGTTCAATAAGAATAAGCATATTCTGGTGTGAGTAAGAAAAAGAGTTCCCAGTGGAAGTCATGTAGAGATTTTTCTCCCAACACTACCCATTTCGGCAGTTCCGTTTCCCGTTCAGCCTCTAGGCCCACGAGACATCCCGGTCGCAATTTCAGGAACGGAAGAAGTTTGCTGGGGACTTCGACATCGCCCCCGAAATCAGTCGGAAGAACCGGCATTGGGTCCTGCAGATGCGCCGTTGCTCCGCCTATGTTGTTAAGACCCCCTGCTGATCTTGATGTCGTACTGCAACCCATAGTTGGCGGACAATGCAGTCGAGTTAACTCTGCGATCATGCGCCGTAAAAACGGTTCCTCCACTACGAAAAGGACGCTAAAAACCGCACTTCCAATCCGCGCTAAAATCGCGCGATCGACCTTGGGACGATTTTGCTGTAGAGACTGCGGAGAGACTGGCGAGAGTTAGAGATTAGACCGGTCGAAACTTCTTTATGTATCATCTTCTTTCAATCACCTCCGAAGCAAATGTTGAGACGAAGTGACATCATACTTCTTAAACTAGATATAAGAGACATGAACATAGAACACAAACAATGACAACACTCAATTCATAAGGAGCCAACATCTCTTGGCCGGAAGCGACAGCATTGGTCCCGACGGCGCTGCGCAGACTATCCTCCCTACTGCCGCGTCGCCCGGCTACATCGGAAACCAAGCTCTGGGACATGTTGCTCTGAGAAACTGGCACTGCTGAAACTGCGCTTTTTTTCTTCCATGACGGTGACGATTTCGCGCCACTTCCAGACTTCTTTGAGCCGCTCTTCTGCTCTTGCCCTGCAGCCGCCTCCCCATCTTGTTCGCCAACCTCACTTTTTTTTTCGTCCGCTGGGTTATCTCCGCCTGCTTCTGCGGGTTTTCCCGCAGCTTCCTCGTGTTGCTCTGCATTTTCTTCCGCTGCTGGTTCAGCATCCTCTGTTTTCTCTTGTTCCGCAGCAGTATCACTCCTTGCCTTTTCGCTCATATTTGCAGATTTGTTTCCTTCACTTGCTCCTGCACCCGATTGTCTCCCACTGCCTGCCACTGACTGCTCTCTGACGCCGCTTGCTCCTGCCGCTTGTGATCCCACTCCGCTCTTACGGTCGCTCGCCACTCTGGAACCCGTTCCCTTTTCGCTGGCCTGACCGGTCGATCTATCAGAGGACGTTAATAACGCCGTCTTTCCTGCTCCCGCTCCAGTTGTTGGTGACATCAAACCGCCCTGCTGTGCAAGACTCGCAGTCTCTATTCCCGCAACGACTGCTCCCATCGTTCGCGGGATTTTGCCTGGTCGCGTGCGCAGCAAATCGCGCCAAAAATCGACCGCGATGCTGGTTGCGGGCGACAGCAACTGCAGCTTCATCGCGTCCGAAAACGTGCCGTCCCGCACAACTCGTTCCCGCACGCACTCCGCGGCCGCCACCGCCGCCGAACTAGCGCCATGATAAATCACCAGTACATGCTCGCTTCCATCTGGTGGCGCAAAGAACTTCGGACCGTCATCAACATGGTATTCCTGATGTTCGAGTGCTCCGAGGAGGGCGCCTGCAGTGGGTGAGCTCCCACCTCCGGGAGAACTTTTCGGTGAAACTGCGTGTGAAGTGAAGATTTTTCCCGGCACTTCTTCGGCCACTGAAGCGGCTCCGTGGTACGCATTCTGCTGCTTGTAGTAGTCGAGATCGCACAAGTGGCCGATGACCTGGTCGACTTGAGCACGACCCCGCTCGCTGAGCCCCTCCTCGGGCAGGATCGCTTCTTCACCCGGATTCAACAAGAAAATACGCATATTTTTTGTCTTTCAAATACTCGCGTTAGCACAAAAAGTTTTCAAGATTTCAAGTAAAAAGAACAGGCTCCTTGGCGGCAGCAAAAAAAAATAAAAATAACGCCCCCTTTATAATTCCATCTTCAACGACTCTTCGTGCAGAGTCTTTTTAGCCACTTTGCGATAGTCTCTCCAATCTTTTCCGCATACGGGTCGCCTATAATCCATCCCGTACTAGAAAACAGGTTCGTCAGACACCGCGGCACTTTCCTTTCGGTTTCGCATACCAGCCGCTAGGACAGCTACAGCGACAGCTGTTCTTTCGAATTTTTTCCCTAGTACAACAACTCCTTCAGAAAGTCAAAAGATTCACAGAGCTGTTCAAGAATCAAGAAATTTGTAGCTACAGAATCTCTGTCTGCCTTCTTCGCTCCTAGTTGTCGTATGTCCAGCAGATTCTTTCTTGATGGCATTACGCTATAACTAAACTCCTCAGTGCATTTATTCAGTCATTGAGCGAAACTGTATGATCATTTGGTTTCTTTGAAGTGTTGACGTATTTTTTGATTTTGAATGCATTAGTCGCTGCGATACTTACGTGGTTTAGTATATTTACGTCGAGTTTTATGAACATTACGTAGTAGTTTGTTAGCTTACGAAAGAGATAATGAAGATGTTTGTACTGAAGATGATGTTTGCATGTAGAAGAGCGTTGTAAAGAATAGTACCGAGCTTATTCTGATGTTACCGATTACAACTTCACGTCTCGTAAGTTGTGACCAGCCGATTTAGCGCCATGCAAGTGCTCGGCACAAGGGTGTTGCTTGCTTCATCGCCGAAAGGCTGTTTTTCTGCTGCTCTCTAACCGTGCTCTTGCAATATTCCAGTGCTGCTCGAACCAATTCTCATGATCATCATTAATTTTGTTTATAGTTCGTTTCCATCTTTCTACTCTTCATCTTCCACTTCGATTTTACTCCTAAAATTTACCTGAGTGAAAATGGAAAAAACTTCATTCTGTAAACGAGATTATCACGTTCAAGGCTCACTCGTACTTAACCAGGAAGCATTCGCAAAAGCGACTAGAAATAAACGTAAATTTTCTATTTTGACGCTAACAAGCAAAATCATACTTACCTTCTTATCCTCTTTGCTTTGGTTCGTTTTCCTTGTTGTATCGGCAAGCACTGACGATTTACTTCTTGGCAACCGGAACCGAGGAAGAAGACGATGGCAAGGAGAGATCGATCGTCGGAGCCTCAACAGCGCAGGACTGCATCACAGTCTCAACCATGTCGCCTCCCGGAAGCATAGCATCGACAACCGAGCTAGCGGCGCTCTCCACAGCGGCCAACGCGGATTCTGTGGTAGGAGGTGAGGACGAGAAGTAACAGTTTTTCTTTTAGCTTCTGAAAGGTCCACCTAATCGTAGGAGAAGCGACAGAGAGGATTGAAATCATATATATATTTATAAATATATATAAGGATAATAGAGCCAACACCTAAAAAGGGAATCTTCAAACACAAACCACACCTACAAAAACGTACCAACGACTTCGGCAGCCTGGCTAACGACGGTCGGGGTCTGCTCAGCCGGAGCAGCAGTTTCCTGGTTGAGCTCAGCTCCATGGGCCTCACGAGCCTTGTTCAGCTCCTCCTGAGCACCGAGGCTCAATCCGAGGGTCATCAAGTCCAACATTTTGTGGAGGTTTACGTAGTGAAAGTACTAAAAGTGCTTACAAACGGATAATGATTTATGTACGTACGTCGGATGGAGGGTTACGTTTCTTCTTCTTCGCTTTGCAGCTAATGTTTTCTTTTCGTGTTTTTCTTTTGGGTTTTGGGGAATCCAAAAAGTGTTTTTTCTTTTTCTTCGCGGCTAAGGAGTTGGTTTGAGAAAGAATTATTTATGATTTTCTCGGACATAATTTAAGAATATTGATTTTATCCAGTGCTGGTTATGGAGACTTATTGAATTTGAGGCTTCGAAGTGTATCAGTCAAGCAATGAACGATGCAAAACGACGCTTTCCTCATCGGAATCGATCGAAATGAAACGCAGCAACACGAGTAATCCATCGATGCTCACGACGCTCCTCTCACTCTACATCGATGCTCACAATGCACTTCCCAGTCTAAGTCTTCGAATGTCTACTTAATCTCTCCTCACTCACGAAACTCAACAGAGATCATCCCCTCACAGAAGCTTGTGATAGCACTTCTCTAGTCACTCATTTTCCAGCGTTACACGGTCAATATGCGTGCGCACCAACTAGAGATCCGGAGCACGTCATGGTCTACGCTCAAACTTTTGATCTTCTAGCCCGCATATTTGTTCATCTTCGTTCTTCGCTCGTCTTCCAATTACATGGAGCTTCTCTTGATTTCATGTGTATTGATCATCATGCTCCTTTTTCTGAATCGATACAACTACTACAGGTCTTTCTCATCATCACATAGCAGGATGTATCATTGGAATAAACTTGATTTGAAAGGCAGGATAGGATTAAATGCTTCTTGTTGAGTATCAGTGAAATAATCATAAATTTTGATATTCCCGATGTTAGAAAAATATCGAGTGTTGTTTCTAATTTGCGCGTTCGTGTGATGAGCATCTTTTCTCCTCATCGTTTTTCTATTATACAAGATTCTTGAGGAAGTTTCATCGAAGAGGAGTAGCTATACGCTTCACCACAGGAGAGCGTGGTGCTTGCACTGTTAGTTCAGGTTATTACTGTTATTGTTGTCGCGTCGAAATCGTCATTTTGCTGAAGTTGAAGCGGTTAATTTATCTTGCATCTATACAAGAACTACAACTAGTTCTAGTTCTTTTCTTCTTCTAGATCTTCTTCTAGTACTAGAAGTTCGAAGTGATCAAATTACCGATGAAGCAGTAGACGGTGAGATTTTTACTTCCTTGGTGCACTAAGCAAGCTCTCCAGCTGCTCCTTCCACGCCGCGTTTTGTCGTCGAAGGGCATCTACTTCTTCTCCATGCTTAGCCGCCTCCTGCTCTCGGCGATTCTTCTCCCGAGCCTCGATATTCAAAATTTGCTGCTTCAGATCGACAACCTGTACGTGGAGTTACAAATGAGTAGTGACCATTGACCAGCTGAATAGTCTGTTGAAGATCCACCAACTATTGGGTTTTTCGATCTTCCGTTCATACCTAAAAAAAGACAAAAAAACTTTGTCTTCTAAATTAAAGTCTATAATATCCAGTACATCTTGTTCCAATTCAGCACAGCTTCCAGTGAGCGCTTTGAGCTTTTTATTCTGAGAGTTTCTCCTCTGCTCAGCCATGAGCGCTTTTCGCATGCCGAATGCTATGCTACTTTCGTAAAGCGTCTGATATGCGCATATCGTCATCCTAATCTCGTCTCGTACTCGAAGTAGTAAGAGACCTTGGTTGGATATCATAGGATGAACAGGATTTTATTCCAACAAGTCTCTTTCATGATTGGGTAATTGAATTTGATGATGTAAGCACCATCTAAGTATTTTGATAATGATAACTACCCCTCTCCGCGCAGATAATTGTGCATTGCCGGATTAGCTCGTCGAATGTTTGTGCATACAACTCCTCTCGAATAGGGCAGATTCCTGTTTCTCGTGCCTGCCTACTCTGCAACGATTTATCGAGATTCTTCTGCAAATTTATCACATCTGCTCGGGTCGCGGGTGTTGACGAAACGTATTGGATCTGAGAGGTACAACGAGAGGGTATTGGATAAACGTATTCTTGGATCTGAGGTAGGAGAGGGAAATATAGATGTAGATGATATGACATGGCATAAGTCTTACGAAGTCCTACAACATACTTATAGATACTACCCAATTTGGAGACCGACTGGGAATTAGGCTGACACTTTGATTGATTGGCTGAAAGTGCTACTATGCATCAAAGTTGGAACAAATCATGCATCCGGCTCTAATATTTAGTCATCCCTTGTCTTGTCATATACCACACAGAGGACAATTACAGCTACTTAGAGACGATACCCAAAGCTGATCCCCTTGGACATATTCTCGTGGTGGCAAAATCGAGTTCAGAATGTCTTCAGTTTGCGACGTTTGTTTTCCAGATTTTCCGCCTTGGACGGAAATCTGTATCGGCGTGTTATACTTGATCAACATGGCTATTACTTCTCCTCAGTATGCTGATTGATCAAGTAGTAGAGTTATGAAGATCTTCTAGTGCTTAGTACTACGAAGACCAATGCTCATCATTTACATGTAGTTCTTGAATCAATGGTATATATTTTTTTCAAGAGTATCTATACAGATCCAAGTAGGTAGCGGAGTCGATCTCAGCAACTGAGGAATACTTTTTTAGCTTCAGGGGAGGGTCAACGAAATTTTCTCAGTAACTATTGGGGAATACATACTGCTTTCTATGCTGCATTCAAGATAAACGGTGCGATTTTTTTCGAGCCTCCGATAATTCCTCTCTCCTGAAGTTTGTATTCATTCGTTCTCGATAACGATGCGAGCAATGGGCGAAGATTGGTTCCCACCACGTGGTGCCTTCTTCAGGACGAGCTGATGAACCGACAAAAGCGACCGACAAAAGCGTCTCAATTTGTTGTATCGCAAGCCCCCGTTCGAGCCACAACGTGGCCTTCGTCTTTTGTCCGCACCGTCATGGACACACGTTTCCATGTAAATTGCATAGCATAAAAAAAACGAAATCGAAAACTATACAGGAGTAGCGTTTAATATTATCGTTATAGTAGGTACAGGTCGCACGGTTGTAGATTACTTAGTATATCACTCGAGAAAAATGCGTTTTCAATGAAGGAACAGTGCTCGTCGCCTGTACAGTAAAGCTAAGTCATGTTTTGATTTTGTTGAAAGAGCTTAGGGATAAGGGCATCAAAGGCATTGCTAGTCACTAAATTAAATTTGAAATTCAAAAGAATCAATATCGAAAGTATGGTCAGATTGCTCTCAGTGTATACAATATCAATGACGATTCCATGCAAGGTAGGTGTCTTCTTGATGCCCCATAAGTGTCAATGTTCTACGCCCGGCGCACGTGGGTATCGACTCTTGGAGTCCTTACCGGCAAAGCTGCGTAGTTTCTTCTGTAACAAGTTAGTTCTACTTGTACTCGTATGTTAATAATGCTCCGTTAGTGATGGTCATCAAAAAAAAAGCAAATTTTTCCAGCAAACGACACTGTACACGACTCGATGAAGTTCAAAAATCGAAAGAAAAAGAATGTTAATTGTCCCATCACACACACACGCTACTACTAGGTAAATTTTGTAGTTGATCGGGATATACTCATTATCAAAATCATTGTCAGCTGCTTGGATATGGACAGGTAATTACACTCGTAACCTAGAAACTGGAGGGCATATATCTAGCATTTATGAGACCGCCGAAGCGGCTTTATCGGCACGCACCGCAAAGTTCCAGTCCTTCGCATTGGCCAGCATACTGTAGACAACCCAAGACAGGAGCATCAGAATGGCACTCGCTACGGCTATAGCGATGCTGAGAGGAAATCCGCAGGTTTCTCCTGGACACAGCGGCATCCTCGAATCGAAATAAACGTTCACCCTGTAGTTGATGAAGTTAATGCTTGAAGAAGAATCTTTGAAGCAGAGAACTCAGTGCTTGAATCTGTTCTAGATGTACACCTATCAAAACATCTTACCGAAGAGTTATGGGCGGGCACACAAACCCGCTTGAAGTGCCCTACTTCCTTCTACTCTACCGTTCTACTTCTTTCATCTATTCTGTTCTTTTACATGGTGGATTTACATGTAGTACCCAGATTCCATTCGCACAATGAGTCCTGCTGCCTGGCCCGCCTTGAAAGCAGCAACCGCCATGATTACGAGGAGGAGGCAGATCTTCTGAACAAGTCGGAATAGGTTAGAGAAAGAGTAAAAAAAAGAAAAAACTTCCCGAAGGTAATCATCTCTCTCTGGATAAGCACTGGTACATTAATTGCATCAGTAGTACTTAACCCATTCGAGGGGTACAAAGTTCAAATCTAAACACGCAACAGAAAGTTCTCTTCCTTCAACCTTATTGAACAACTTGATAAAGACTTAGAAGGAATTTGTAACTACTGCTGCTCCAAGATGAAGATTATTCACATTCACACGATCAACATGTAAAGCTAAACCAATGACGTCGTGGTCCATAAGAATTCCTAGTCCGGAGTCCACTTCGACCTTTGTTGTGCCCTTGATAGTGGGTTGCTGCTCGTCGGAAGATGTAGAATGGACGCAATCAACATCTGAACCGCTAGCCGATGTCGACATGCCCGCATCTACTTCGCCATGGCTAGGGGCAAAACCGCCTTGCTTACATTAGAGACGATTCACGACTGTGACTGACTTGTTTTTTTCTCGACCTGTATCTGATTAATCAGAGACAGAGAAAAAGGCAACATTATAAAACAAATTTTAGTAACAACGACCTTCAAGGTACAATGAAATTCATACTTCGGCTGTACGTACTTACACGCCAACTCTCTATTCTTGATGATCAGCGGAGCGGATTTTTCTTTTTTTTATGTGATTGCTTGTACACGAAGACTTCCACCCATGCAAGCATTCTGTAAAGAGGAACCTGCGTAAGGCCTCATAGACAGCATGTTAAGATGGAATCTTATAGATACTTATAGAAGATACAACATTTAGTTCAAAAGGTCGTAAAGGTAGTGCATGCTGTTGAACTTCTTGGACCCTTGATCTTGGTAGTTGTAGTTGGAAGGCGCACTGCGCTGTTGATTCGAATGCTTTGAGGAAGATCGAACATGTGTCTCCCCACTCCCGGCTCCCACGTCTGTCATCTGCGAGCTCGCAGACGAGGACACTTTTGAACCTGATTTTGTACTGGCAGCACTCCCCTTACTACCCGCTTGGTATCTTAGAGACGAAGACAGCGGAGGAGTATGGAGTATCTTCAGGGGAAAACAACACAATTTTAATATGTCGGGGTTGTGGCAACTGAACAAGACCAGAGCAAAGCTGTGTAGCCATAAGTCTCTACCGACGCCGCGCTTGTCGAAATTGACGCAGCTGCCTCCACCAAGCTCATCATCGCTTCCGGAACTAGATGCGTCTTCAAGGCCGACTCGTGGACCACTGCCTGAAGAATAGTACCTGAACATGATGGCAAGGGAGTCTATGTAGAAGTTTGATGACGATGAAGAAAATAGATCGAAAGGGAAAGTGGTATATCTGTCGTGGATGAAGATATTTTCGTCGAAGATTTTCTTTCCAGATCCTCTAAATACTTTTTTTTGGTTGACAGCTACTAGTGCGATTAAGTTCTTCTTTTTACCTGAGTTGTTAGGAAGTATAAGTCGTCTTCATTCTAATATACCTAAATGTAATACTTAATACCATACGATAGGTGAAATAAGTACTTACGTCATTAATGTTGGACCTGCTCATATTATCCTTTGCTACTGCTCCGCCATAGTAGGACTGGTTCAACGAATACCGAGTTGGTCGGTCACCGCCACCGGCGCTTCCATCTGAGGTCTTACTCCCGTTTGAGAGCGTTTCGTCCGCTTCCGCTCGTTGACGCATCTTGCTTTGAGTTGGTGCTAAGTACTTGTGACAGTGACTTATTCAAAAACTATAACTACTTATGTAAATTATATCACTAGGTAGCTAGACTCGTGAAAAAAAGGATCTTCTCTGCAACAAAATTTCTAGCTACGGAGATATAATAGGATTAGGATGCACATAATTGCATATATCGGTTGCATTTGCAGGCAGTGCACTTTTATATACTTTGTTTTTCCCGCGCTCTTACTTTTGATGCGTCACTTGCTTGAAAAGACTTTGAATCATCTCCCTCTTCTATTTTTGTGAGCGACTTTGTAGTAGTACTCCGATCAAAGATTCAAACAAACGAAGACGATTTTACCTCTGTCTCTATCTTTCTCTCCTTGCAATGAAGTACTGCTACTTCACCTCGATCACACTCATAGCATAGGCCTCTCGGTGCTCTTGACCTTGAATGACGAATTCATGTGCGCTAACGATATACGAAACCTACGATCTCTTCCGTGACCACCCGATCTCGTTCATGCTTGCGGAGGGCTTGCTTGACATAGCAATAGCTTTTTATTAGCGGGACTTGAACATCATGCGCATGCCTCCAGTTTTACCTTTAAAATATGGAGACCAGAAGGGGGATGTTCACCTGTATCATCTGTTATCAATATGGAGACAAGGATGTTCATCTGTACTTGCTCAAACAGCGGAAGATTCATCCGACGATGGATTGTATAGTACAGATGCAGGAGCCTTAATCAAAAAATATGAAAGTACTTATAACCTAATAGCATATGAACACCATCGAAAAATATGAAAGGTAAGCAGCATATGTATGAGCATCTTCTTCTTACTCGTGTCCTTGTGGCTCTTACCGTGATGAACAAATCCTTGTTCCGCAGATCACAGAGACTATGAAGGACAACTACATGTTTGATTGAAAGACGAAAAAATTTTGTAAGCATAATGTGGTCGATCTTTTGAGGGAAAAAATAAATTGTGAGCGACGATTGAATTACTGATATAAGATACAGTACTGCAGAGCTTAAAAATTGTGAAGCTAGTACATTTGGAAATTTTCATTAGCCAATAATGCCCAGACCAGATCTGTGGTGCTTTAACAAACAAGAACAACAAAATCTGCGAGGACCTTAACTTTACAAATTCAATTAAGTCAAGATGAAAGAAAATTCTATGCTAAACTTCAGCTTCCCTCTTTTTCTATATATTTAGTGTAGTCTACGCACATGTACAAAATCTCTTTACACTATGCATCTTTACCAATTTTTTCGACATTAAATTTGTCAGGTTGTCTTTGATATGCTTGTATCTGTATGACACATCGATCCTCTAGTAAGTACTAGCGCACGAATCCGCACCGCTCCTCCTTCTTCAGAGAGAACATGACCTATGATTACCTTGATGTGTTGTGCCATTATTGTGGTCGTGATCAGCAGCGTAATTCTAAAACAGCAGAAGTAGAGTGTGCGTTCAGCGACGGTACGAGATCTTCATAGCTGTTGTTGCGTCTCGTGAAGGCTCGACAGGAGACTCCTATGCATAAATGCGAAGATCATGCAACGAGTGCGGAAGACAGCAGATGCACACTTGCCACCAGGTGACGAGAAGCTAGATAAGAAGCACCAGGCAAGAAGACAAGAGCGTGAGCCGTGAACGAGTCAGTAGCAACGACACTTGCGTTCGCTACCTTGTCAGCACCAGGAGAAGCAGAGAAAGGAAGAATAAGACCACAAAAGAAGACAAAAGCTGACGAAAGGTTTCCATGATTGAAGAAACGTTTTTCCCATTGGCGACAAATTGTACCAGATTCACCGCAGCGTGTGCACTTTCTTTCAAGATTCTGAGCCTTCAGAACATGAGAACTAAAGAGGCGAACAAATCTGGTGGCTGCCGGGAAAAACTACCTTCTTATCCAATCATAACTTGAAGATGTTGCCGCGAGAGCAATGAATTACAACAAGAAGTCTCACAATCCACGGCAGCTTTTTCTATCCAAGCGAGCCCTTCACAAAAAAAAACACACACACTGACCTCGTTATGGAGCCTCTATTGTTAGGACGAACAACAATCGAAATAAGTACTTTTTGGTTTCAGACAGAATGTATTGGTGAGAAGATAATGACGCGACGGCTGAAATATCTCCTCACGCAGAATTCACACAGATGGAGGCGCAAGAACGAGGAAAATTACCCAACCACGGTAAAAACATGCATCATTGAGGAAGGCTCGTTCCCTGGTCTCACAATAAAAACCCAAAGATGAAATTGTTGTCAAATATCATTGGTCTTTTACTTGCTGTTGCTGCACTTGCCTTGTCAATTGGCTTATATATAAGGACTTACTTCCGCTGAAAATTATCGTTCACATATATTTTTACAACGAACTTCACGTCGTGGCTGAGAAACAACTTAAACGAACTCATATATGCCAACATCAATTGGAAAATAACTCTCACGATGACCTTCCACGATCTTTTATTAAGGGATGTAATGAATCTCAGACAGTATGCATTTTCTTATCGAAAAGACTGTGATTGTAGGTTCTTCTTTTTTTTCGCTGGGGAATCGATGGGCAAAAAAGGAAACTGTTCTGAGTGATAGGTAGATCGTCTCTCAGAGAAAAACGTAATCACGGAGCCCGACAGCTGCTTAGGGATGACCCGCTAGCTGCCACTCCCCCTCAGCCTGGAAGAAATTAATTTATTGTATCAAGTTCCGTATCCTGTCACTATCTTTTCCTTGATAGCAAAATGATAGCTGATAACTACTTCATGTCAATAGACAGTATAAACTATGGTTCGCTTAGCTTTCAAAAATTATCATATTTTCAGCTCAGTCGTGTGTTTTTCACACCGACAAAGCAGTGTAGCTTACGAACGATAGTCTCTCCCCCGAAGCCACTTCGCTTTAAAAAAAATATTGCAGCAGTAGTACTTCACTACTGCGAATCCATAATCTGACTCTGTGATATCCATAATATTGTTCTCGAGCGACTTGCTCCGTGCTTTCCTTGTGATATTTTGGCTGTCTGTGCTTTCGCTTTCATGTCATGAATTGGACTATCATTTAAGCAATCTAACAAAAACATAATTCTCAAGAAGTCTGAGACTGACACTGCTCCTTCTGGTGACTAATCATAAATCATCACCGAGTCCTTGTAGTAGGAAAACAACTACTTAAATCAAGAAAAGTATCCGTTTCAATACACAATTCGGTCCTGTCTCAAATCAAATCAAAATTTTTCTTCGACACAATCCGTCACGCCTGACTGGATGTCGACTCGAACGCCGGTCGCTCCCGTCCCGCATAGATCGGCGAAAGCCATTAGAAGATATTACAATGAGAGATTGTCTACGTACTTAGTTACCCGTGAACAACTTACTGTCCTAGAATAATGTTGATGTTCTTCAGCTCAATCATGTGCAAGTACGTGTGAGAGTGAGACAGGTAGTTGTACTACTAGGATAAAAAGTAAGAATGATCTTCCAAATCATAATCTTCCACACTTGTGCCTTTGGTTTCCACGACGTAGCGAAGCACGAAAAAAAGCCCGAAGATGTTCAACACCGTGAAAATCGAATACGTAATGAGATTATTGTGCAGGAAGTTTCCGATTCCAAACACCACAATGGCGCAAGCAACCCAGTTCACCATAATCGCGTGAGCAAAGCAAGAACCTGATGTAGTAGTAGTTGATGAGATATATCCCAAATGAAAGTGTTCGATGCAGTAGATTCAGGTAACTTGTTACTACATCAAGATGATAGAATATGAAAAACCTCGTGAAACCACCAGAGAACAAACCACGACCCTGGTAACAATCGCTCCCTCCGAGATTCATTCCTTCCCATCAACGAGGTTCATTTTAGATATCAGTATTACCCTTAATCTCCGCAGGGTAGATGTCGGAGAGGTAAATCCAGACCACGGGACCCCATCCGACTGCGAAGAACATGATAAACACCATGATCATACACGGCACCATAATGCTTACGCCGACGCTGCGAGTGGGTGGAGCACGTTTAGTTTTTGTGTGAGTAAAAAGGGATTAGGCTAACATGATTGAAGTAGATGGAAAACCATGCTGGACAAAAAAAATGAAACCATGCTGGACAAGCATCAACATTCAAAAAGAATTAAATAGCAAAAGGTAAAAGAGGAAGCAAGTACTCAAAAATGACGCAGAGGAGGCATGTGCCCATACTAGCCGTTGTTCCAATTGCGGAGATGAGCAGTAAATTACGTCGCCCAAGCTTCTCGATCAATGAGATGGTTGCAAGTGTGACGACGACGTTAAGCACACCTGGTTGTTGTAGAGCAATGGGAATAAATCAAAAAGCAATTGCAATTTTCAGAATGACACGGTTACGAACTTTGCAAACTCAAACTATTTCTCTAGATGGAAGAGGTTAGTCACCATGAGAAACATCAGTTTTCACAGTGTCACTCATATGTAAGCACCTTCTGAGTACCTGTCAAAGTTGTGAGAAGCGTTGCGTATTTGTAGTTTGCAACCTGTAGGAACACTGTTGTCGACTGCGTAATCATCACGTTGATTCCCGATGTCTGCTGGCATGCGGACAGGATGCAACCAAGTTTTTTAGACCTGCCCCCACACGAGAAAGAGCACTAGCGGGACCCTGTGGAACCATGGTTGTTCTACGCACTTAAAAGGCATTGTAACACCATGCAATTGTAATTGCCGCTTCTGCACAATGATACATCTCATACTCCTACAGTAACACCAACGCTAATAGCATGGTCATAATAATAACCCCCACCCGGTAGTAGCTATTGCTCAGAGCCCAACCAAAGCTCTTCGATTCTCCACTAGCCTGCTGAAGGACCTCCATGGTATTTACCACGTTTTCGACCGACGCCTTCGAACTGTTCGGCTTCAGAGTCTTCACCACAAACATTAGAAGAATTGCATCTTTATCGGTAAATCGTATTCCCAATCGTCCTCGTCTCAGTCGAAGAAGTACGGCACCTCCTACTTACTAATTATATTTTCTCTTGTTACCTCCAAGCAGCCCCTCGCCGTCTTTCGCCTACAAGAGAAGAAGTCGAATACCTCTACCATCAAGTCCAACTAAGCACATCATGAACATGTTCATGGATGTCGTCAACTCATGCCGTAACGCAATGGCTTCCTGTTTCCGTCCGGCGCGGACGAGCCAGACTGGTGATTCGTAAGCTCGGAAGAGCAGACCCCACACTAGGACACTCATTAATGAAGGAAGACAGGAAAATCCCACCATCACTCTCCACCAATACTTGTCAACGGCTGTGATTTGGCTACGAGCGATCTCCTTGTGTCGGAAATCGATATCTTGGGATGAAACTTAGAGCTGCACTAGGCATACTGAGTGTAAGTATTATAATATATAATATTACTACATCTAGTATAACAAAGTGGTTGCACGGCATGATCAAAAGCGAATTGAGTATAATCCTTGTCTGTCGCGCCATTTTTCTTCGGAACCCCGCTGTGAAAAATGTGTAGTAATATGTCATTTCTAAGTAGTACAAGTCATAATGCACGAGACCGAGGGCATCGCTGAGCAAGATTCCGATGGTGATCAGCAGCTGATGCGCTACGCCAAATCTTAGAGCTTCAGGTACGATATAATTGTTGTGAGCTTCGCCTTCGTCTGTGGGGTGCTCTGCGAATGAGAAACTACGCCAATGACCTATGATCAACCTCAATAAAAGAAGACGACACTAGGCGGAGCCGGTTTGTCTTCTTCTGTCTGCTGTACAACTTATGAAGCCTTAAGAATTTTCCGCGGAGATCATCGGGACACACTTCAGCGATGTACATGGGTACGGCTACTGAGACGGCGCCGATGCACAAACCGGCTAGGAATCGCGCGGTGATAAAGGTCCACCACCCGGTCGCCAAAGCGCAGCTGAACTTAGAGAAAAGCTGGTGGTCTGTCTTAGTTTCGACGTATTTCTGTTTTAAGTCATGCGGCTAGGTTAGGTTGGGGGTAAGTACATTGAACTTCGACAAAGCCTTCTGAATCCAGTATTAGTGTCGAATTTCATAATAAGAAAAACGAAGAAGGCTACGAAATTGAGCCTCAACATCGAGCCTCGACGACCTACCCTGTCGGCAAACGGACCGCCCAATAGTGACCCGGCCCCGGCACCCAGCAGTACCGCTGCCACCGATATCTGCTGGATGAAGGTTTGGTGTGGGCAATTGAAGACCAATTTCTCCTCCAATAGCAAGACGTGGCTGCCCTCATCGCCATCAAGATTGTCAGCCCCATCGTCGTCGAGCGAAGCGTCCGCCACATAGCTCGCAGAGAAAGATGAAACTTGTGAATGGATGGAATTCATCCGGTGGGAGTGTAAAATCAAAAGTACACTACAACACAGAGAAAGATGAGCGTACTCGTTTGGGTACGCAAAAATAGAAACTCTTGACTAGACTAGACCTATTAACCATACAGATGCTCCGTTTGCCAGCTCCGGTTCGTAGAGCACTGTCCCTTTGATCTGCGCAAGCAACACGCTACTAGCATACTCGAGCCATCCCGATGAGGCTACATGCTCGCCTGTCGCAGTATGAAAAAAAAAAACAAAGGGCAAGAGTACTGAGATCATTGATAAGCAGGTGCAACAATGTTTTCCCTTCATCGGTAAGGCATGGAACTTGAAAAAATTCATTTTTTACTACAAAAGTTTGGATCATTAGCTGTTGTCTCTTCCAATGTTATCTGTTGCAGTACACCAACTAAGTAATTTAATTACAAGCAAAAAGAATGTAAACACAATCAACCTCTTCTATATCATCAATTCACCCTGGTCATAATTTGCGAATCGAACTTCTGCTATTCTCTCATCGGCATCATCCTCAGGTAAACGCATACCAAGCATTTGCCGTGGCGCTGCCGCCTTCTGCATCAAATCCGTCGTAGCCAGTATCGACGTGCTATTTGGCAGCGGAACCGGTGCTGAGTGTTTAGAAGCTGACAAAGCGTGGTCACATGAAGATATTACAACATGGGCAATTCACCGGACAAGATGATTCATGTTCATCGTCCACCACATATTTTCAGGTACAACTTACGAATGCCGAACACCGAAGATGCACGGAGGAGACAGGTACGGACCGAAGATACAAAACGGAGAAGACACCAGATAGATTACATTACAAGTGCTGCAATCAACATAAGTATGACTCCGCATGTCTCGAAATCGACATGAATGAAGTTTACTGATGCGTTCGTCGCCGCAAGGACTAGACCGTATATACAGCTGGATAGTGCCGCAGTCGCGACCAGAGCCGTCATAAACCAACTTTCGGATCGCGACATTTTCTTCGTCTTTTTGTCGGAATTAGACGTGCAGGGCGACCGCGAGCAGAAAGAAAAGTGCCGGTACTTATACGTGAAACCACTTAGTATTAATTAACGAAAGACTAGCATACAACTACTTACGTACAACAACACAGCACACAAGCAACGTGTGATCTCTTCATAAGGGGCTTGTTCACGGCACCCGCCAAGGTGTCTCGACTTTCGACACTGGAGGTTATTGTCCCGCTATGCAGGCTGGTTTGCGATCCGACTTTACAGTTAATCTGTAGCCGGGACGGAGCACACGACCATGAAAAGTAGAGACAGGTAGAGCTTGGTTGTAGTCCGTTACAAGCAAGAAAGACTGGTCAGTATGGAGCAAGAAAAGGCTGTAGACAAGCAAGGGAGAAAAGACTGGTGTTGTACAGCAAGAAAACGGGCGCTCAAGCCCGACGATGCACCACAGACGAAACACTACATCATTTCTTACTTTCAACTCGCTGAGTTATTGACTGTAAGTACAAAAACAACTGATGTACTATATCACAATAAACTTTATTACACTCGACGTTGAAAACTTTTTTTAGACACTCCTATCATGTTTGGTGAAATGAGACGAGGTCATTCTAAAGCTAAACTCATCCAGTGATAGAATGTCAATATTCAATGCTGCTACATTTCAGGGATGTCCCACGCTCTCTCATCACCACAGAAGTTTTGATTGAACCAGCGAAACCGAATTCTTCTTCTTCTTTTTCTACTTATACGAATAGCAACAGGCACAAGCTGGCTACATCAAAATGAAAAGCTTACCTTCATGTAAGTAGACCTCTACTGCATTTCTAATTGGTAAGAAGACTCCATAACATGGCATCCTCTGTCTGCAGTACCTCCTTTTCTAGGATGGTCATGCTGACGCCGCTGTTCGAATTAGATGCCGCAAAAACTCCATCATATTCCACTCATCATATTATGGAAAGAACTCGACTCCATTCATCATCTCCGGATCGAGGAATCCGGATAAAAACCTATGAGAACCAAATATCAAAAAACGGCCATAATGGACGCTGGCATCATCCCTGTGTTCGTACTGCCCGTGGCAGATCGTGCCACGGCTGCTTCTTTTGAGGGCTTCTTCTCCTGCACCGCCTGCCAGCTGTGTCCCGGCATTGACAGTGACCGTATCAACCGGCTGACACTGTTGTTGCTTGCCGAGCGTATTAGCATGCCTGCTAGAGATGAGTCGCTTTGAAGTTGCGACATTCCGCCTTTCTCGATATCTTCATCGTGGTCATCATCGATCTCATCGCTCTCACTGGAACTGCTCGCATTGCTCTTTTGCCCCGAAAGCAGAGCTGCTCTCTTTAGCGGTAGTACAGAGTGTCAGTCTCAGTCCGGGCTTACAAGCAACAACGTAGTCAAGTGCCAACAAGTCGGTCAATTTCTTGAAAAAAATCTAATGGCTTCCCACTCCACTAGCAGTAGTAGTACTAGAAACTTAAACTAGTTAATACTTCTGTACTACACCAGCTACAGAAGATAGTAGAGAATCAATAGGAACATCAACTGCTAAACCCTTTGTTCTTCGACAGTTCGACAGCAGTGGAGCATAGAATCGAAAAACAAAAGCCTTAACCTTTTGGTTCGCACTCTGTCCGGGGTCGCGAAGAGTTGCTGTGATCGTAGGCGAAACTCTTGTTCCTGCTCACGTCCTCTACGACCGAGCTCCCACAAATTCGGCGCCGAGGGAACCGGTGGCCCCAACCTTCCATTCCTGCCTGACCTCGAGCTTCTGTCTTTGTTAGACGATGAACATGAAATAGAGTTCATCGCAATCGCTGTAGACGAGATATAATTACCTTTTTTTTTTATCGATGATGAATCTTCCGAGAGTACGTAGCCAGCTTCTAAATTGAATTTGGTATAGTGTTGGTCCACCAGTACCTGACTGTTGTACTAGTACCTTCAGGTTATTCTCAGATGTAAAACTGTAGCGAAATAAGCCAGTAATGACGACGCCTTTTTGAATCACGCCGTAACCAGCAGCGGCCTGGCCAGCTGTCCCGTGGTCTCGCTGCGCCGGAGAGTCCCCCTAGGTGCAGGAGATACCAATTCTGGCGGCATCATTACTCGTCTTGTGTCGACGTCGGTTTGACTCTGACCGCTATTACGCATTTTACAATGAGTCGCTTTTGTCTTCTGGCGCTGCAACTCTCGTGTTGACGATTCTTCAATAGATTCAGCAAACTTGCTTCTTCGTTATATTTTGCGAGCTGGAGAAGTGCACGTCGTAGCTCTACTCTTGTTTTCGAAATCTCGCGATTCGCTATAATGCGCCAAAACCAATAACGGGAACGTACGCGTTTCTTCAAAAAATCTTGACACTCCTTAGTTACTCTTCGTCTTCAGTCGCAGATAGTACCCAGTGCTGTCAGTTCAAAGGGAAGCGCGACCCCCTACCTTGCTTAGTTTTCTGTAGTCTTCTGCAAATGCCCTGTGTTGCTGTGCTTGTCGTTAGATGTGCACACTCTGCCCTTTTGACTCCGCCGCTGTCACTTATCATCTAGCCGCTCGCCCTTATCATCTATTTTCAGTCTCTACGATCTGCGTGCCTGCGACTGCTATGCCTTCTTTATATGTCTGTCATCTGCTGCGACGATCTCTATATGGTAATTCATTGATAGTGCCAACATCGAGTTCAGGATGAAGATGAACATTGATGAACAACAAGGAGAAACATATGTAAACCACACTGATTATTAAAAGGGCAAGTAGTAGAAAAGACGAATTGAAGGATGATTTCAGCTTTCGTTTTGGGCATGAGAACCACTTTGAAAAATCGCATGGGATGGATGCTTATCTTCACACAATCATAAACATTGAAAGGGGCGGACAAGAAAGTGGCAAAGATCACAGTAGACCATCTCATTATATTCTCCAGGACCGAACTTCCTCTCGATTTTGTGCTAAAGTATGTGGTAACATTTCCAGTACTATCAACTCTTTCGTTTCACCTCGTGCAAAACTCCTGGTATGGCCTTAGGCGTACTGACAGCTCTCATCACTCTCTCATCGCATATCTCGCGAATGTCGCCTACCAAGAAGAGCTTCTCCTGAAGCCAGGCTGTATAAGAAGCGATCTCCGCACATTATCAAGGCTCTCAATTAAGATTAAGATTAAGAGATTTCTGGCTTACGACAGGCAGCGGCCAGGGCTCCAGAAGTCTGGGCTCAGAAAACATCAGTGCATCTCACCTCCTCCTCACTGTCCACAAGACGAAACAGATTCACCGACTCATCACACGCACGTTATGCACCGAATGTCCACTGGGTAGATCCAGCCGGTTTTCCGGCACACTGAGGAACATTCTCTTCAATCGTATCGTTTGTCGACAAGAACGAGTCCGCCCGCTTGTCATCCGATCTTTAAGGCGAGAATCGTTTGATACTGTTTATATTCTAGCGTTTTCTAGGAAAACACAAGACATCTCCCCAAACGAAATTGTAGTTAGAAGTTGATTCAGCGCGCAAAGGTCAGATCATCTTCATCTGCCACCACGTCGCACCTTCATGATAGTCAGTCCTCTCGGTATCATGCATCTTTTACTTTCCCACTACATGATCGCACAGGTGGAACAACCGGAACATCCTTGCTCCAGGTCGGCGGGGCGGGGCCTCGTCTGTTTTTCTACGAAGCTCTCAATACACGCATCCCCATCTAGGGTCTGGTTTGCATCGCATTCCTGGATTCCAGAGGCCATCTTGAAGTCTTTTGCGGCGGCTTCCTTTTTCTTTGAAGAGACGTCAAGAGATGAGAGCAACTCCCGGTTCTTATCGTCGTCATAATTTCCTCTCCGTCTTTCCGCAAGTTGTGCGGGTGAGAAGTTATTCTTGCTCATGAAGTCAGGTGAGTCCAGCCCCCCAGGCCCTAAGGATGCCTGTATCATCGCGTGCATTGACCGATGCTGGCTGCGCCTAGCAGGAAAATGGTCATTGAGCTTGCTGAATTCCTCCACGTCCCCCGCATACATGGCTGGGAGGTATGTTAAGAGAACTGTTACGTCTGCCCTTGCGATTCCGTCTTCTCTCGCAACTCCGCTCAAGTTGTTTGCGTACGAGACGAAAGAATGCAGCAACATCTCCGTAAAATCGTCGAAGCAGCACTCAATCATCGCGAAGCATTCTTTCGCATGCGGCAGCATCTCTTCCACAATGAAGTTGGGGCCACCGATGCCCCAGCGAAGCCCGGACGGGTCGGTGAATTCACCAGATGCCAGCGAAGGTGCAGGCAATTTTTCGTCGACCGGCGCCTGGAGCCTGATGTCCCAGAGGGAAGGGGGGCCTTCTTTGCGCAGGCGAAAGAGGTAGCGACCCTCGGACACTACTTGCAGGCCAAAAGCCAAGAAAGACCGAAGGCCCAGCGTCACGTGCTCCCTTTGCTCGTCCGACTCAAAGGGGGCACCCGGCTTGATGTTCTTTCCAATGAATTTGAGCTCGAGTTTGTCCGTCTTGGGATCCACTTCGGGCACCTTTGGCGTTGGATACCTCAAATGCTCTTGAAAAGCATCGTCCAACTGCTGGACCAGTTGTCTCCACTCAGCCCCAGAGAGTATCAGAAGGCTCGTCAGCTTTTTTGTCAACTCTACCATGTCTTTCGTCCTGTATATCGCGTCTTGCAGTGCGCGACGCAGGTTCTCCATGTACTTTCTTGAACCTTCAAACTGAATCTTGTTCGCAGTGTCCACCCGCGTTTTCACTTGTTCCACCACCTTCGCAAAACGCGGGTCTGCCTCCGCTCGATACTTCCACGCATTCAGCATGTTGTCGTGGAGAAGCTCGCGCCACACCGTGGCGATGGAAGTGAGGCTGCCCGTGAGGTGCGTCCAGTTAAACACTCCGGTCAACAGCTTGTCCACGGCCGAGTCCGGCACACTTTTCGCTTTTTGCGCAAGAACGTCTGCCGTAGGCCGCGTTGGGAACGTGAAAGACTCCTTCAGCGCTCCGCTTTCCAGCACACTCAGACACTGCTTGGAATCCAACATCCAACTCACCGAGGGAGACAGGAAATTCTCCACGTGGTGCAGGTTGCCGTTCTTCAGCGACTCCGGTTTCTCGTACAGGGTCTTCAATCCCATTTGATTATCCAGCAGTTCATTACTTGCGTTAATTTGGTTCACGACATTGCAGCAGAACTCCATTTTCCACGCGGGCACACCCTTGTAGCTAAAACCCTTCCAGGCTAAACAGGCTCTCTCTATGATCACTGGCGGAAGTAGGCGCACACAGCGATACCTCATATCATTAGCGAAGCTTTCCAAACTCGTGAAGTAGTTCGGTAGGGGTGAGGGCAGCCCTCGACCCATCCGAATCAGGTTCCGGTTTACCGCTTCGAAGTACTCCTCGTCTTCAAATTCCCTCTCTATCCGGCGCCGAAGGTCCTCGACGGGCTCTCCTCGGGAACGCAACATATCATACTGAATGGCCAAATTCCCGCGTACGTCGGATGGATCCCCTTCTGCGTCCTCACTTCCTGAATTACCGCCTTCTTCTTCCACTTCACCCTCCTCTACCTCCTCGTATTCTTCGACCTCATCTGCGTCCATTACCTCGAGCTCAACAATCTCCACCTTGTGAGCTTCTGCAACAACAAGACGCTTGGTACTTTGTTGACTCGCACTCATCGTCCTTTTGTTCTTACAATCAATCAATCAATCAAGTGGCGATGCGCGGTGGTCCGAGACTGGCGGACGTGACCGTGTCACTGCTCGTCGCGCCTCACTGAGTATGCCCGCTCGCTCGTGCAGGGTCAGTCGTCAAGCGAGTGTACGACAACGTCCTCTGTCCTCAAATGTATGAAAAACCAGGAGCAACGCGGAAAGGACGACGCAGTGCTTCTGCAGCTGATTGGTTTAGGTAGCGCCAGTAGGTAGCGAAAGAGATTGTCAGTAGGACAGAACGCCCAAATTGGAACTCAGGACGGACAGCCTGCTTCCATCATCTTGTTCTTGTAGTTTCATCCACCACGCAGTTCCGCAAGAAAATATACATGATACATAGATAGTTTTGAGTAAGTCGGCACCTTCTTTAATAGTGTTTTCACTGCAACAAAACTACATGCGCTATGTAAAAGTGAAGTGTGCGCTATGACGCGCTTTGACATATTGAATTCAACCGTACTGTACAAATGTAGGAAAAGAGAGAGAGAGAGAGACTGCTCTACTGTACAAAAAAAATAGCATCCAGGGTTACACATTCAATGCTCTCCATCCATTGTGGCTGTGCCATCACAACCTACTTCATTATAAGCGAGAGATATTAAACAAAGCAACAGAGGTGGCCGGGGCTGTATGCGGACTAAGATCAAGGGAAAACAATAGCAATACCAAACTACGCTTCATCAACTTGAGTACGCGCCTCGTCACCGACGGGTAAGACGCTAAAGGCGCTAAAAAAACCTGCAATTTATGCAAAAATCACTATCATCCATCTGAGCTTGCCAGTATAATCTTAATCACTCAACTAAACTACCACAACAATAAGATTGTCAATATCCATAGTGTCGCACTGTCAACATCACTCAGCGGAGGTTGTTTTTTTTTGCATACATACATTACAATCTTCAAAGCCTGCTCAGAATGCGGCACCAGATGTGGTTACAATCTTCAAAGCCTGCTCAGAATGCGGCACCAGATGTGGTTCTTACAGAGGCTTACAACTCAACTTGCTTCACTATCACTGCTTCACTCATACTGTCCAGAATCGAGGCTCAGAGTGTCACGACAGACGAAGAGATTTTTGTCATTGGTAGTAGGCTCTGCATCCTCCCCGAATCTTTACTCGTGAGGACAGCCCTTTGTATGTATTCATCTGTGCATATCAGTGCCAATTGAAAATACATTGATGATATTTGCATCTTATTCGAGCTTCTTTTCCGATGTTTTCGTTGGTTCAACATATGTATCAATGACTTGTGTACTTTTCTGTAATATTTTGCTCTTTTCGCATTACGTATCTACTTACCAGTGGACTCTACTGCAAGGTTCAAAATCTAGTGCCTAATTTCTTTGCTGCTCGTGTTGTTAATTATTTCCATGCCTTTGTTCTAGTGCGTCAATATTAACAAGTAATCGCGCGAAAAATTGCCAATGCGTTTGCGCCAGGATGCGACATTCAATTGATTCAAATAATGTGCGTGGTTGGAGTGTATTCTATACTTTTTCATGAGTAAGAGTAATATCTTTTCATGGGTTCTCTGACCTGTTTGAAGTCAATGCGTGAGTACCTTCTCACAAGAGCTCATAAATCAAATGAGCAGAAACCATCACAAGTAGTCATACAACAAGCACGCATCACACGGCAGCAGTTGGCCTCTTCCAAAGCCACGCTGCTAGTTGCTTCCAAGTCCAATATTAAGGTCATATCGATACCATGATGCGTCTTCATATCCATTTCCATGCCGCTACATAATCGTACAAGCAGAACATCCGTGCTCCAGGTCTGCTGGGCGGGGTTGCGACCCCTGTTTTTCAGCAAAACTCTTAATGCACGTTTCCGCATCAAAGAACAGAGTCTGATCCGCGTCATATTCCTGTATTCCGGAGGCCATTTTGAAGTCTTTCACGACCGAAGACGAAGTCTTTTTTGACGAAGCCCCAAGGGATGAGAGCATATCCTTTTCCAACTCGCCTTTTGTTGCCTTTACTTGCTCATCCTCGACCCCACTGATTCTTGTCCCTCTATCAGCAAGCGCAGATGCCATTGCAGCACTGTCTCGAAAGTCATTCTCATTCCCGAAGTCAGCAGAACGCACATCTTGATCCCCTTGTTGATTCTCTTTGCCGCTGGACTTAGTGTTCGGTATTCATGATCCACAGTGAGGTGAGGAGCCTCCCTTTGTTCCCTTTGTAAATGCATACATAGGTTAAACATTGACTAGTCCAAGATCCCTTGGTGGAAGCAATGATGGAGGTCCTCACTCACAAGGCCAGCGCCAACGGTGCCTCAGAGCATGATGAAAAAATAGCCATAATTGACGCCTCTATCGTACTGTAGATAGTCCTATTAAGGGCCGCGTTTCTCGGCAAATATTTGACGAGCTTACGAAATTCTTCCTCATCCGCATACAGCAAAGGCATGTAGGTAAAGAGCACTGTTAAGTCTTCCCTAGAAATTCCGCTCAGGTTATTTTCGTAAGCAACAAAAGCCTGCAGCAGACCCTCCTGAAAATCATCAAACATATCACCGATCATCTCAATGTCCTTCTTCGACCCCAGAAGTTAGATCTACTTTCCGACATCCATCATGGGTGATTCGCATTTTTGTGGTGTTACTTTGACTTTCCCCTCCAAACAAGTAAGTAATCCCGAAGATGCTTCTGAAGATGGACATTCGAAAATCATAAGCACACCCTAGCCCTTCATGGGGCATGAAGCCCGGGCCACCAATGCCCCAGCGAAATCCGTTAGGGCCGCCGTTGTTCTGAGCCACTGTTTTCGGCAAGTCTTCGATCGGCTTCATGGTTCTATAGTCCCAGATAGACGGGGGACCTTCTTGTCGCAGGCGAAGAAGATGTCGACCCTCGCAAACCACTTGCAGGCCAAAAGCCAAGAAAGCCCGAAGACCTAGCGCAACGTGCTCCCTTTGCTCTTCCGACTCGAACGGAGTGCGCGGCTTTTCCGGATCAACTATTCCCAGCGAAAGTTTGCCTGTCCTAGGATCAACTTCAGGGAGCCTGGGCGTTTGATACTTCAAATGCTCCTTAAAAGCATTATCCAACCCCTCCACAAGTGATCTCCACTTGGGTCCAGAGAAAATCAAAAGACTGCTGAGTTGCTTCAATAGCTCTTGGCTATCCTTCGTTACGTAGATCAGGTGGCTCACTTGGTAACGTAGGCTACCAAGGTTCTTTCTTAGCAGTGGTTCGGGTTCCTTATCATCAAGATCCGAGTGAGATGCTTCAGCTTGGCGTCCCCGCCGCATAATCCTTTTCATTTTCTTGTTATGGTGCGGGGACTCTGCCTGAGGACAGCACTTCACACCAGATGATGAAAGGGTAGCCTTAGTACTCGCAAAAACGCCTGGACATCATACGCCGTTTCTACGCGCGTTTTCACCTGCTCCACCACTTTCGCAAAACGAGGGTCGGCCTCCGCTCGCGGCTTCCAAGCTTCGAGCAAGTTGCCCTGGAGTACCTCGCTCTGGACGGAGCTGATTGCAGTAACGCTGCTCGTTAGGTGCGTGAAACAAAAGTTAGATCGCGTCCCAGAATGCCTAAAAAGTACTTATAATATAAGTACATCGATAACGATCTTCATCGGGTGCATTCTACCTCTTAAAAATACTTCATCTACTTGGGTCGATTCTTGCATCTCTGTCAAGACTTCATGGTGTACAATGGATATCCACTTCAAGCACTTCTTGATTCTTGTCTAACTTATTTACAAAACAACTCCCCTAAGTGCCAGAACCCAGAGTAGAATACTAACTTCAAGAGATGGTGAGGAAATAAATTATTCATTCTGTCCTTAATGAAGACTCCCGTCAAAAGCTTCGTCACCTCTGAGTCTGGTACACCTAGTGCTCTTTTCGCGAGAACATCTGCTGGAGGCTGCTCTGGCCACACGAACGATTCCTCAATGCCTCCAATTTCCAGTGTACTTTTGTATTAGAGCAAATGTGCTTTCGTATCTATGAACATACGTAAAGATAACCTGAAAACAAGGAAAGCCCCCCGTTGAGATACTCAGTCATGCGGTGTTGATTGTTTAGTATTTTAACGGGTTGCACCTGGAACTACGCTGTCTTCAGCCCTATGCGCAGTGCTTGCGGTCCAAAACCCAACTCACGGACGGAGCCAAGAAGTTCTCCAAATGGTGCAGGTTGGCGTTCCGCGGTTTGATGTTGGGATAGTTCATATATAGCTGCATTCCCGTCTGGTTCTCCAGATGTTGATTACACTCCATTATCTTGTTCAGGACAAACGCGCAGTAATCCATCTTCCACCCAGGCACCCCCTTGCTGTGAAGGTGCAAGGTAGTAGGGAACCTGAAAACTCTTCAGCGGTCGAATCTAACGACCAGCACTTTGACTCAGAGAGTGAACTTCTTCTAGATGAAGTAGACATTTACGATTTAACGTTCTTTTCGCTCTATTGAATCATTAACAACAAATCTGGTGTCCTGGTGCAAGGTTCCCTACTTTGGAGGTGTGGTGCTCTTAATTGTACGTGAACGCTTTCCAGTATAAGCAGGCTCTCTCTTCCAACGCTTGCGAGAGCAGCCGATGACATCGATGATGTATATCGTCTTCAAATTAGAGATAAGTACAATCGAAGGAATTGTCGGCAATCCCCACACGAGCCCGACATCAAGAACAGCAACATATTAAAATTTCCGCCACACTCAATATGCACGAGCGCGGGCAGAGTTCCCAAAAGCCATCACCTTATCCCCAATAGATGGACCTACGAGTATAACTACATAATACTTCTAATTCTAAAGCTTGATCTAGTCGGAATTACTTCCCTTATATATTTTCTCATTGTGCCTGCCATAATTAAAGGCCTCCAAACTCGTGAAATACTCCGGTAAGGAGGAGGGCAACCCTCGACCCAATTCGATGAGCTCGCGGTCTACCGCATCGAAATACTCCTCCTCTTATTAGAGCAGCGTCAGTCCACCTTACTTCAAAGAAAAGAATGCGTAGCTACTTCCATACAATGGCATGGCATAAGTCTCGGATAAAAATCATAAATATACTTCAAAACAATTCACTGTCTAGAGGGTACTTCCACATTCTTTCAAATTAAGCGGTTAATATCTTTACATCTGCTCAGTCTTAATCTTCGAATTCCTTTTCGAGTCGACGGTGAAGATCCTCGACGTTCTCTCCTCGTGACTTTAATATAGTATAAAACTGTAGCATATTCTGCCGCGCACACTCGACCCCCTCCTCTGCATCTTCTTCCCCCTCCTCTGCATCTTCTTCCCCCTCCTCTGCATCTTCTTCATCCTCGTCTCCTACGTCCTCCACCTCTGCGTATTCCTCAATATCGTCTTTGGCATCTTCCATCTTCGAATCTTCAATATGTTTAGCACTTTCAGCCATGATGAAGTAGGAACCGTATAAATCCTGTAGACCAGCAACGCGGAAAGAAAGACGCAGTTCTCCACTTACGCTGTGGTCGAAACTTCCACACAAAAGAACCGTGATAACGAAAAAAGTTGGTGCCCCTAAGGACGCTAAAAGTCAATCTGAAAAAAACGAACCAGGTTTCATATTTTATTCATGTACGCTTTCCACATATTGAACGGATTTTGACGTATCTTGGATAGTACTTCCACTACAAAGAATTATGCAAAATGTAATCAGCGACGTACGCGCGCTTCGAAATGAGGAGGCAAGAAACGAACGCACTGAATATACGGAAAAATTCTATGCCGTTCATCAAATGTGCGTCCCACCGCAAAAGAGGGAAGTAAAAACAGACGTGTATGAGCAACTGCACGGCAACAGCGAGTTTGACTAGGATCACGCAACAGGAAAAATCAATATCCAATTCCAATGCATACGAATCAATCTTTTGTTTATCTTTCTAAGTGTGTCAAAAGTTGGTGGGACATAATACCGAAAGCGATGAAGGTTGATTAAGTGCTCCATGGTAGTCCCTGATCCGTATAATATTCAAGCTTGTAGGGGATGTTGTGCACGAGGAATAGAACAAAGGACGCTGCTCTCACCCTCAACGCTCGTCAGGAACTGTCAAGAGAAAAGGCAAGGACGAACTCGCATATATAAGATAGAATCGTTAACTAGCCTAATAACTAAATAAGTAGTCGACGGGATGCTTCCGCCCTTGGCATCACACCCCCCAGGCTCCAAAGGTGGAGGAGCGCTGGGGGGGTGCTCGCACCTCTAATAGGCCACCGTGTTAGGTAAGACCAAGGGCACCGGTTCCCCATACCTAACACTATTGGAGATCGCATCCAACCCCAAACAACCTGGCCATCAGCAGATGGCCGGAAAACCCCAGCCCCAAGACCCGCGCGCAGAAGGCAAAGCAGAAAGACGAAGAACAAGTTCCATCGCTCGTGTACACCCTCGTTTAACTCGTTCAACTCACAAATGGAAATGACGAAAAATTCAGGTGTAACACACGTTCAGACGCGATGACGCGACATCCTAGGTTAGCTAACGGTGACAGTTGCATGCAGACAGAGCTTACACAGCCAGTGCCCCATACGAGGTAACAGTAAGACTATCAACGAAACTATAGACCTATCATACAACTAGGGGAGAACCAACAAATTCACTGTATCTTTCCAGGGATTGATAACAGGTCATTCATCAATCGTCCTGATTATACGACAGATCAATCCCATCGACTATACCTACTACCAAGTTTACTCGTGATGTTTTGACGACCGAGCAAGACCTAAGAATTGGAGCTAGTCTCCTCATCCGGCCCCCAAGGTTTCCCAGTAGCAGATCGCTGCTCACCAGACTATTTCACGAGCTTCGGTAAGATCATCTGCACTATCTATGTTCCGAGCTAGCGTGGAACACTATTTTTCCTTTTTCATTCATTCATTCATCTACCTAAAAAGAGGTATCTCATGGGGAGATAAGTTGCACAGGGGGGGTTATGCAAGGAAGGTCAAGTCGAAGCTCAACACTCGAAACCAGTCGAACACCAGATCGAAACAAAGCGACAGACAACTAAATTCGGCGACTCTCGTGTTCTCAAACTCGACAGAGGATAAGGACAGACCAAAGGCCAACACCATCGAGAAACGAAGGGACAACACAATCATCACTCCCAATTTATCACGAGGTAGCCCGCTACCGAAGTAAAACTTGTTCTATCTCTCCGAGGCGTTACTTTCTCCGAAGTAAAACTCGTTCTATCTAAAGCAAAAAATATCCTGCTATAATACTGGAGGAGCGTTCCAAGTAAAATCATTAGTCAACTCAGCTACCGCAACAAGAGCATTGTCAACCTTACATTGTCTTCACTCAAGGCGGTTTCTTGATCACCTATAAAAAGTTACAAGCACAACTTCACTCAGCATGCTGCACCAAATTTTATCTTTGGGACAGAGGCAGAGAGATATCTCAGTTTGCGTCGCTCAACACACTATCAAGAAACATGGACAAGACCAAGACTAAGACCAGAAAGACAATTTGTCGACTTGCTAAACAACATCTGGGTCTCTCCGTCCTCTTCACCGATTCTCTACTCGTGAGGACCTCGAATACCAGTGACAGTTGAAAGTAAATCGATGATACGTATTGCACCTTCGTTCCGTTGTCAGTACTTCAGTACGACAATTATATATAAATCAAATTTTCGGCTAAAATCCACAGCTCCTGTCAGGCTAGTTGATTCCTCAGAGCCCAGAGCACCTGCGCAAGTTCGTTACATGAGGATGCAGACCGAAACGCTTCCAGTCGAAGGAATGCAGACCTCACCTCCTTATCGTCACACTTCTATGAGTCCGTTAATATTTAGACCGAGCAAATACATGATATTGCCGTTCGACCATAGCTCCTCATTTCATCGATGCCGAAAGCCAGAGAAAGTAGACGCCCAGAGTGTCTTGCTGTCCTTTTTCGATATTTATACTGTTCTCCCGCCAAGACAATACATCGTCTTCGGAACATTTTTCTTTATTTTTGCAGAACGAAGTTTAATCTTCAATTCAGATAGAAAACGAGCGCATGAACGTGAACAAGAGGCAACTCATTTATTTAAATCCATGAATGAGCCTCAATGCAAACATCCCCCTAGAAAAACTTGAACGTAAATCATCATGTAGTTCATTTTCATTCTCTGCGTCCTCATGCTTATCTCGCTTAGAGTATGAAACCGCGTACTAAAACTATGATCACCGCGGAGGATCACCGCGGAGGAACCACACGCCGCGCCCTCTTCCAAACTTCGTTAGGTATAGGATTTTCGCCACTAATGCGAAAGTCCATTTTGTCAGGTCGTGCTATGCGGTTCACAAGGAACCGCTCTTCGTCGCGCACACGATCGTACTCGCCACAGGAAGATGAAAGGGTGCCACTTACAAATTCTTCATTTGAAATATATTTTAGTTATCTAAAGCGTGTACCCGGAGTAGTTCATTGTTCTTGCCATGATGTCCACAGTAGGCTGCATCATTTTCATCTATGTATATTCATTCATTACTCGCAAAAAATCTGCGTTGACTCCACCACGTGGGCCTTGTGGACACAAAGTTTGATCATGACAACAGAACAAAGGATAGAAGTACGGAGCTGAAAAAATTTCTTCAAAGAAGAAAGAGAATGAAGAGGCAACTTACACCCGTAGTACTAGAGGTCAAAATTCATAAATTCCAAATTTCAACCGGATACCGTGGAAATCCCGCTTCTGTCCCCATTTTCTCTAATTCGTCAAGTACGTAGCTGCCTTGGACGTCCCTTGGCATTTTCGATATCAAATCTTTTCGTTTTTTTGACATCGCTGCAGTATTAGGCGGTCGCCATATTCCCACTTGCTTCATCTGAGCCTGATCATCAGGTTGTCCTTCCAGCATAGAAGTTGCAGAAGACCTAGAGGCACCACCAGACACGACAGGATCAGGAGTGTTCGGAGGTACTGTATTATTGAACAGAACCTTGTTGCCTCTTGCAGTGTTTGGTATTGAGGCAAGTCTTTCCTCGTGATCCGGATCAACATTCACAACATGCCCGAACGCGATGTGCTTGCCGTCGAGGTGTGGCAAAGGCCCAAACGTGAAAAAAAACTGCGAATTGTTCGTATGCTTATCGATGGCTTTTGCCATCGAGACCACCCCGCGTCGACTGTGCTTGTACACGAAACCTGGAGAAAGTCGCGTGGAAAAGCCCATAAGAGGAGACATGAGACGAGTAACAGCACATTGATTTTAGTTCTACAGTCTTCTTGTTCAATGACATCAATCAAAATTCAAATTGAGGAATTGCTATGGACATCATCGGAACAAAGTGCCTAGTGGCGTCTGGAACCTACTTACCTTCATCTCGGAAGCTTTTGCCGTAGATGCTTTCACCCATCAACCCGTTCCCGTAGTTGAAATCGCCTCCTTGTGCCATGAAGCCGGGAATAATTCTGTGCATCTTCACACCCTTGTACCATCTTGGCTTACACCAATAGCCTAACCCAGTTTCTCCCGTACAGAGAGCCCGAAAATTTTCACATGTGACCGGCAATACGTCATAGAACAGCTCAATCTCGAGCCGACCAATATGCCTGCCTGCCGCGCTGACATCGAACCAAACTCGAGGATTCACGAAAGCGTGGGCTCCGTCGTGGCTAGACGAAGCAGACGGTTCTGAAGCGGTGCTGGAAAATGACGGAAAAGCTGCACTGGGTGACGAGGACGATGATGCAGATGAGCCTCCAAGAGAAGAGCCACTACCTTCTTTCTGAAACATGGACCACGGATCTTTTGGGTCACTCCTGGGATTCCCACGCTGATGGCGTTGCACACCTCCTCCAGTCGACCTATCATGGCCGCTACTACTGGTAGCATCTCTACCAGGTCTTTTTCTGGAGAGTCCGCCTTTCGCATAGCGTGCAAAGCCACGTTTTCCGAAAATTGATGGAGAAGGGCTACCATGTGTCACCAACAGTGCTCGTGTTGGTACAGACCGCCACTGGCAAGCAGAAGCACAAAAACGCATCTTGATGCTCAGTTGTTTCTTGTAGTAAATACTTATTCATATTAACCCTCGGTTGTTGTTCTCGTTCTGCTCGCTGTCGTTTTCATTTTCGAGTTGATCTTCTCCTTTCCTAGGCTGTGAGTAGTAGCTTCTGCAAACGCAGGGGCTCGAGGTCCCTCGAGCAAAAAAGAACACAGTTAAGTCGAGATTGACTATATATAAATCTCAATCTTCATAGGGCGAGCTACAAATGCTTGAAGATCATAAATAAGCACATTATTGCGCAACCCGTGCTTCTCAAGAGAAGAACGAAGAAGACCATACAGACCCTCGTTGATGATGAGGCATAGCCTTAGTGATCATCAATTATCATCGTTATATAGTGTGTCGACATCAGGAGCCAAGTTGGTGTCCTGTGCCAGCAAAAGCTGTGAATTGAGGTGGTTGGGCTGGCGCTCGAGGCGCCAAGGAGGCTGGGTTCGCGGCTGGCCTCATCTCTCGCGGCCCTGCTTGCTGCGCCATCACATCATTACCGAGCAGGCCTCCTGCACCGAAGTCTTGCGCTTGCTGCATCCTGCGGTCGATTGGTTTTCAAAGGAATGCGCAAGTTGTCACTGCGTCACGTCTCAATATCAGAAGAAGTCCAGAGCTTTATCATAACATTTCCATCTTGTCTTTCAATGTGCCATGTGAAGTAAGGAAAAACTCAAAACGAAATCTTTTGTACGTTGCGGACTTCAGCATGCGGTAACCTAGTATGCCTGCGTATCCTTGAAGAATTGTGATGCAGATTAGGGTACTCGTATAAGCCGGTTGATCCGCATTGCATGTTATCAACCTAGTGGGTATGAAGACAAGAGAGATCTCAACTTTTGCTGAATATGTATTGCTGACCTACCCCATAATCAATGTCCATGCTATTCGAAACTATTCAGCTTACTGCCAAAGAATTCATTATGATATACCCAGTAAACGTTTTGTCTACGGGGGGGGATTAGAAACCATCAATGAATTATAGAACGAACTACAACAAGTGTATCTTCTACTTCTTGAAGCGAAAAGTCTAGCAAATAAAATTACAAAAGTACCTATTTCCGACAACGCGTTTGTTTCCATCAGCGCAAAAGGCGTTTTCTCTGTACTCCGAGAGTCGCATGATAAGTGATATCATATCGTTCACCGCTGAGAGCCACGCAAAAACCATGAAGGTACAGAGACAGCTGTTCATCGTTTGCAAATCCTTGAAAAGGCAGTATCCGGCTATTGGCTGAGTGAAGGGTTCGATTGTATCAATATTCATTATTTCATACCTAGTTTCAAGATATTTCAGCGATGCCGCATTCATAGTTTCAGTGGTATCAAATGGGACACTGGCAGGCTATCATCTATAATTTGAATTTCACTTCTACAGAAAAAGCTTCTTGTTCCACATATTTGGCGAACAGCAGAGAACAAGAAGTACCGTAAGAAGGTCGAAAAGACCGTCTATGATGACGCCCTCCACTTGCGATTGGGTTACCATACGTACGAAGCTGAGCACCGCTATGCCGATAATCAGTATCCGGACCTTAGGCAGTGTGCTGAGACAATACTCTGTTGGAGGCCCTCGAGGCGCGCCCATTCCACCTCCGCCCATAGGAAGCACCATCTTTCAGGATTGAAGATGTTGACGAGGATGGCAAGGCTTTTGCACCTTGTTAGTATGACTAAAAGCGGCAGCGGATAGAAAGTCTTCTACTGGACAGACGACGTGTTTGTGCCGTAGTTTTCTTCGTGGACTTGCCTCTTTCTTTGCTCGAAAAAGATGATGACGATGATAAACGATGCAAAGGGTAGCGCTGCTGCAGACAACGTAGCGGTCAGTTTTACCGGGTTGCGTGTATCTCTCGGTGCAACACACAGGCACAAAAGCAGAAGTGGGTTGTGCTCGCCTACGCCGTCGTCTCGCTGTTTTATTCACCACCCACAGGTCCCTTGTGCAAAGGGCCTCTCCGTCTCCAGCTGCTGAGTGACTAGTAAATATTATTCGATGCTGCTCTTTCCTTTTCCATCATAACAGGCTCCAAAACCCAGTGCACCAAGATCTGTCAAAAAGCGCAGCTGGCTTACAGCGCCGCAAGGCTTGTGGCGCCAACCGGTGGTGTAGACAAAGATTCTCAAGAAATCTTTTTGTGCTCCTCGCCTCCTACCGTCTATTCATGCTCGAATCCTTAGGCCTGAGTAGGGTTCTGCCTTATCGTGTTTTTTCTGAACCCTCCTTTCACGGGCGTCGGATGACACTCCTGATCAATCTGCTTGGCCAGCTGCGTTTGTTGATGTCAACGAATTGTGTTGAAGGTGCAGCTAGCCAACATTGTCGGAAACGTTCATCTAGTCCTTCGTACGGCTATCGCGCAGGAGTAGCCGTGTTAGTCGAAGTCGGCAATCCACACTGACAACGATTGTGTCAGTGTTCACAAGCAAACAACAGTCGGCTGTGTTAGCTTGCACGACTCTGCCATGTGCATTTTGCTCGTCTTCTAGAAGTCAGATGGAGGAGTTAAAGGGATGCTTCGTAGCACAAAAAGATCACGGAGTGAGTGAGAAGTAGTCGCAATAGGTGGCCCTTGTGCGAATCGGCATTGAAAACTTTTCAAAAGATTAAAAATCGCTCAATCAATAACGCAACGCCAAGGAGGTACTAGCTGGACTAATTTGGTGCGGGAATTTACCTCAGTTTGAAAAATCAACACGCGCTTTTTCCCATAATTTTCGCTTAGCTAGCCCTACTCCGACTGAGACCGAGTTCAATGACCGCGTATACCTCATCACGACGCCTCCTTGTCCTATGAGTGCACGCTGCTGGTGCTGTGTCTCTGTTTCTGCTACTGTATACATAGGTCACTGTTGAATAAATTGAAATTGTCAACATCAGAAGAACATACACAGAACATCCCCAACCTCAGAAGACATCCGGGAAGCGAAGACAACTCTGTACTTGAGCTTGAGGGAGCCTCCATGTCCATCCCGATTGATGGTCATGATCCAAGCAAGATAGAACCAGAGAAGTTCATCAATCAAAAAAGACGTACAGGAGTACGGTCGACAGCATGTGACTACTTCGTCCCATGTTTTTGCTATGCAGTTGTTTTCTATAAGAGATTGTGTTAGACCAACGAAAGAGACAGAGAATACGACAAATTATACATAGGAGTTTATTTTGTCTTCACGTCGAGGTTTGTAAGTGAACCTTCAAATAATTTTCTTCGATCTGAAGAAGTTTTTCAGATTCACTATTTGCCATCCACCCATGAGGATCATGAGTGCGAGGTTCAGAACGCAGAACAGGACCACGCGGCTTGCCGTAGTATCATTGAGCTCTCGAAGCGAATCCTCAGTAGCGCGCATCCGCCTCAAATTTTCGGTGTAGAAATCCAGTTCATCGCCGATTTTCTGCAGGTCAAGCTGCACAGGCTCTAGATGTTCTCGCTTGGCGATTTGCGAGTAGTCCTTTGCGGCTGGTCCGCTGCGCACGGCAATATTCACTTCGGTGGGACCAGATGCGTTCTCATTCTGGGTAGTTCTTAATGTTGATGTCAACGAGAATCACTAAAAACTTCAGCAAGGTACAAGAGGCGATGAGAGTCAACTTGGATTCAAGGAGGACCTACCACGTAGCATTCACCATGATTAACAAGTCTTTTACTTTTTTAATTACCAAGAATCTACTGGTTGTAGCTCACGGTACTATGTACCACTATGCAAAGCCAATGCGTTGCATCCCTTTGCGCTGTGATTGCCGTTTTTATCTGCGACTTCTTTCCTTCGGAAAAGAGCGGCACCTGCTCTTCTAGTACCGTAACCGCGACGTTGGTGCCTTCGATTGACTCCACCTCGAACACGCTGAGTACGTTCTTCATGAGTTCCTGGCCGATACATTTTTTCTTCCCTGCTCCCAGCACTGTACTCGCTTCGAATCTAGACGCCTTCACAACATCTGGTGCGCTGAAAAGCAGCTGCACACAGCTGCTGGCTAAATAGGTTGCAGAGACGATTCTCCTGCTTGGGAGGCCGCCTCTTCGTCGTCCAGACGCTCTCGGTCGTAGAGACGCAGCTGAAGCGGACGAGCACGAGGATGAAACGAGCAGCACCATTTTGTTTACTGGCGATGACACACTGAAACTACTAGAGTTACTGGCTGCAGCGGAAGATTTATACTTCACTAGCCTCAAAATATCCGATCACAACCCCGTATCTGCCTATTCAGTTGTGACATCACAAAGCTGAGCGAATCTCTATGATTGAAGAAACAAAAAGTCAGATTGATCATCTACAAAGGCACTCCTTCTCTCCACTTCGTTTGTCTGCAAACACTCGACATTGAGAAATTTCCGCACTCGATAGATACTCTGAGCGAATAACTGTGTCCAGTCACAATTCATGCCGTGTACTCGCAGGTTGGCTGAACAGAAGGGCACGTCGTGGCGCCTGAAGCGAGGAGAGATTTGGAGGCGGAATCGTTCACGGGGGACAAAATGCGTATAATGTTGGATAAGCAGGAAACTCGATAAAAAAGTGCGTTGAAATAATGTGCCTTCATGGGAATCGACGCAGGGCTCACTTTTAGTAGAAATCGAGATGACGGAAATGAGAACAAAAACACTAGCACGCTTGAGACTTCTGCTGTGTGGAGATACCTCACACTACAGAGTGTTCTGCTAGCCTTAACCAACTCACAACTCGCTGCCAGTTTGGGGCAAGGCCTGTTGGACTCCTTCGACGACACCAGCTGTTTCACTTCCAGGTAGAGGCGCCCCCTTTTTTCGGCTCCAGAAAGCGAAATTTCAGAGGGCCCGTAACAATTTTGAAGATGGTGTCCACGATGTCCGGAATTCCGTTGAAAATCGCGCACGGAACGCTGACGATGCTCTCGGTAAGTCGCACGAGGCGGGACACCGGCAGCAATTGCACATTTCAACTCCACGAGAGCGAGAAAGGAGAGTCCCCTCGTTTCTACTTGCAGGGACTTTCGACCAGATCCGCACACTCGCGGTAGTGTTTCTCTTGAAGAGCGACGTAGTCACGGCGCTCCTTCTCCACATTCCTGATCCTTCTGTCCGTGCATTCCATGATGCCTTCAAGCAGGTCAAAGTACTCCACACACGGCCTAGGGAACGCAATACCACCAAGCGGAGCAGAAAAGACAATCAAAGCCACAAAACGCAATGTTATTTTTAAACGATGGCCGTCTGCTTTGTAGAGGTACAGTGGTGGTTCGTCTGCCAGGAATAAAAGCATAGACTTTTACGCCTTGCCTTCCGCACTTGTTTCCCCTTGCCCAGAGAAGTAACGCACGCTGCGAGCATTGTAGCAGTTACATTCATTTACATTTTGCCTGGTTTACTGCTGCTACTATTTCGCACTGCAAAGCGTAGGAAAGTGCAGCAAGACAGGACACGAAAATAATTATGCTCTGATCTATGACGATGGGTTCAAGCTCAGTCACTATCTTTCTCTTTGTTTTCTCTTGACGAGACACTCCTCAGATGTTGTGATCGGTATCTGCAATGAAACTTTCTTCATCTTCTGTAGACCTTGGGAGAACACCGGAGCAAGTGACCTAGGAACAGGGGACAGAAAAACCTTCTAAAGGTTTTTCTTAGGTATTATCTTGCTGTAGCATGATCATTCGTCGCCACACTCGGCGAAATACCAAAGAAATACAAGACACCATGTTTTTTCTTGTTCCCTGCGACGTTTGCACCACCAGACGTGGAACCGCACTTCTCGTTCTCCAGTACCTTTTCTCCGTGTTAACAACGATTATTCACACCACGCACATTTTTTTACGATCTGCCTAGAAGTTGTATGCTAAGGACATTCGCTCTGACACGAAAACAGAGTTGCATGAATCTGCAAATGTCTGTAAGCACACATCAACTGCACTAGGATGAATAATGATATTGGCGCACTAGCAACAAGCTCCTTCGAGATCCCACCTTATTTTCTAACAACTTCTTTTCTCGATGGAAACATGGAGACAATCATGTCTTTTAGATGAAGTAGATAATAGCGGTTTTAGAACCTTTCATGAAACTCGTTTTCAGGCATTATTTCTATCTTCGTGTAAGTACTTAGATGAATAATATTGACATACCAACTCATCAATTTGCACGTGGATGTGGCATTCTCGGGGAAATAAGAACACCCTGAGAAGTTTCCACAGTAGGTTATAGTGTTTCTTCTCTATTCTCATCGAAGAACGAAAGCACTTCATATATTAATATAATTCATTTCTGTAAAGAAAACTACGGTTGTATGTTCTATGATGTAGATGTGACACATGAGCTAAATTTACACTTGTTTTCCATATTATCTTCTATCAACCCCTCTAGTGATATCCACTATCAACAACATAATGTCAAAGTCATTAACATATATTTTTGTCATCATGATCGCCAACTCAAAAACGATCGGTAAATGCCTCCATGCATTTCATCGGAATATTAATAAAAGTAGTCCTAACAAGATAAAAATTAACCTATTTATTAACTCATAATTTTTCCCCAAGTCTATGGCAACACTCTGCCAAAAAAAGCTCCCCGATACTTTCTCATGCAGTAACAGTATATTGACCATACAAGTAAGTCATCTGACCTCGTTATCGTTTTCTTGACCCAGTCGAAATACTTAGAAGCATTTGCGGTGAACAATGGTTGGACCGGACTCGTCATACTCGTTCTTCGAGATCCACATCTGCTGGAACGTCGACAGCGATGACAGGATGCTGTATAAAATTTTAGTTGGTGATGAAGATGAGGACATGGTTATAAACATTGAGTGAAAATCGGTATTGGATGAGAAGACAGTAGCATGAAATGAGTCAAAGTCGTTGTCTTTACCGCTTCAAAAAAAAATGTGATTGTGTTTGTAATGAGATCACGCGCTGCTCAGAATAACCATGCAGCCTTCTACTTCATATTTACTGTAAGGATTACCTTCCGCCAATCCACACAGAGTATTTACGCTCCGGCGGTGCGACGACCTTGATTTTCATCGTGGAGGGGGCAAGAGCGGTAATCTCCTTCGTCATGCGCTCGCCAATTCCCGGGAACATAGTGGTACCACCCGAGAGCACGATATTGGCGTAGAGATCCTTACGGATATCGACATCGCACTTCATGATACACTGGAAGGTCGTGTCGTGGATACCGGACGACTCCTTACCGATGAAGGAGGGCTGGAACAGCACTTCCGGGCACCGGAAGCGCTCGTTACCGACAGTGATGACGTTGCCATCGGGCAGCTCGAAGGTCTTCTCGTTCTCAGAAGACTGCGCAGCCTGCTTCATCTCGGCATCGAAGTCCAGCGCAACGTAGGTGAGCTTCTCCTTCAAGTCCTTCACGATCTCGCGCTCGGCGGTGGTGGTGAAGGAGTAACCACGCTCGGTCAAGATCTTCATCATGTACTCGGTCAGGTCGCGACCAGCCAAATCCAGACGCAAGATGGCGTGCGGGAGAGCGTAACCCTCGTAGATCGGCACAGTGTGGGAGACACCATCACCGGAGTCCATGACGATTCCTGTGGTACGACCAGAAGCGTACAGCGACATGACTGCCTGAATCGCAACGTACATTGCCGGGCAATTGAAGGTCTCGAACATGATCTGCGTCATGCGCTCACGATTCGCCTTCGGGTTCAGCGGAGCCTCGGTTAGCAGCACTGGGTGCTCTTCCGGAGCAACACGGAGTTCGTTGTAGAAGGTGTGATGCCAGATTTTCTCCATATCGTCCCAGTTGGTCACAATGCCGTGCTCGATCGGGTACTTCAGCGTGAGGACACCTCGTTTGGATTGCGCTTCGTCACCTACGTAAGAGTCTTTTTGGTCCATACCGACCATGATACCCGGCATCTTCGGGCGTCCGACGATGGACGGAAAGACTGCACGCGGAGCATCGTCACCCGCAAATCCGGCCTTGCACATACCGGACCCGTTGTCCACCACGAGAGCTTGCACTTCTTCGTCGGCCATTTTGTTGAACCTAGCGATTCGCTTACTAGAACGAAGAAGATATCAAATCTATCAGAATGTCCTACTAACACGTTTAGATTTCAGCAAATTGCCTACTCGGAAAGAATTTCCGAAACACAAAGATAAATCTCGACTCCGAATTCTCTGTGTTTGATGCAATGGAAGAAGTAGTGTTGTATCTGCAGCACGCGCTTCTTTCTAGAGATTCATGTAATCGCAATCGTCATCAAAGGAAATCTCGCACACCAGAAATGAATCTCGTTCATGCAGCACTTATGCGGTCCATTTGCGCGCGCAAAGCATTTAAAGTATCATGGTGGACAGGATTCGAATACGTGCAGGCATATCAATACCATGTCATGCTTTATAACGACATCTCGTTCATGTTCGCATGAACCACAAGATGGTACTCGCATCAACAGAACAACTCATCGTCATCTTCCTTCATTCTTCAAATAGCACTTTGGACAAACTGCTATTATCTCAAACATGAAGGATCGGACGTCGCTGCTTTGATGCTTATAACGGAACACTGTAACTTTGTATTCAAGACTCAAACGCAGCACGTCACACACCACGACGCAGCCACCGTAAGAATACATCAATTGGATGGATGCCACATAATGCAGGTGATCACCTTCGCCATGTAAATAAGTTCCTATCCTCCGCTTGAGGAAGACACCGCTTGCCAATATTTCCGCAAGTGCTGTCGTTACTAGGACAAATACTTTCTTGGATGGATCATATGCATGGTTAGCTTTCTTGTCTTTCACGGACGCAAAAGAGATGAAAACTTCACCCGACAAAACGAACAATCGCTCTAACACAAGAACTGTGAGTCTGCGAAAGCCCTGCCGTTGAAGCTACCCCAATCCGTCAGATTCTTTCTATCATTTCAATATTGCGATTCACTTAACTATGCGCTAGAAGTAGTTCTTTACTATCAACAGGTTGTCGTGGGTATCACCTTAATATTTCTTGATCCATCAGTGTCCATGAACATTTTCTAGAACTGTTTTCTGTTTCGCCTTTCAGTCGTCATAACCTCACAGTTGTTGTACTACGAAGTAGAAGATTCAACCGTTCTTGTACTACACCTACATCAAGCTCACTACCTGAAGAAAACGATTAGTTACCACAGAATGAAAGCCCTTTTCAGTATGCGTGTAGAATCCATGGCCTCAAAGCAAATCAAATGCTTGATTTTATTGAGCACCTTAATATGTCGTGGTGAAATTCGTGTTTTGCTGAACCTGAAAACACTTCTAAGTATAACCTTTATGAAGATGTATGAAGAATTTGAATTCCTCCTCCTCTATGTTTACTATCTACAATAGATAGTTACTACCCGTCGAACTGATTCCTCCAGATTTTGCACCTCCTGTGCAATTTCCTCCTGAGATCACAATGGGAATGCGCTTCTTAGAAGCACTTGCGGTGCACGATGGTCGGGCCAGACTCGTCGTACTCGTTCTTCGAGATCCACATCTGCTGGAACGTCGACAAGGACGACAGAATGCTGGGAGAGAGGGGAACCGGAGATAGATTACTTAAGCACATTCTCTTTGAAATTGGATCCTCTACCTCTTATCACTGGGTGCACATAATGACGATCGATTCATTCTTTCAAAATTATTCCCACTGACACAAAAGCAACAATTCCATGTCCAATCAAATCTACGGCACGGCATAAAAACTGATAAAAGAAAAAGTTTGATGTACCTGCCACCAATCCACACGGAGTACTTACGCTCCGGGGGAGCGACCACCTTGATCTTCATGGTGGACGGAGCAAGCGCGGTGATTTCCTTCGTCATACGCTCACCGATACCCGGGTACATGGTGGTACCACCGGAGAGCACGATGTTTGCGTAGAGATCCTTACGGATATCTACATCGCACTTCATGATCGACTGGAAGGTCGTGTCGTGGATACCGGACGACTCCTTACCGATGAAGGAGGGCTGGAATAACACTTCCGGGCAGCGGAAGCGCTCGTTGCCGACAGTGATGACGTTGCCATCGGGCAGCTCGAAGGTCTTCTCGTTCTCAGAAGACTGCGCAGCCTGCTTCATCTCGGCATCGAAATCCAACGCAACGTAAGTGAGCTTCTCCTTCAAGTCCTTGACGATCTCACGCTCGGCGGTGGTAGTGAACGAGTAACCACGTTCGGTCAAGATCTTCATCATGTACTCCGTCAAGTCGCGACCAGCCAAATCCAAACGCAAGATGGCGTGCGGAAGGGCGTAACCCTCGTAGATCGGCACAGTGTGGGAGACACCATCACCGGAGTCCATGACGATTCCTGTGGTACGACCAGAAGCGTACAGCGACATGACTGCCTGAATCGCAACGTACATTGCCGGGCAGTTGAAGGTCTCGAACATGATCTGCGTCATGCGCTCACGGTTCGCCTTCGGGTTCAGCGGCGCCTCGGTCAGCAACACCGGGTGCTCTTCCGGAGCAACACGGAGCTCGTTGTAGAAGGTGTGGTGCCAGATTTTCTCCATATCGTCCCAGTTGGTCACGATACCGTGTTCGATCGGGTACTTCAGCGTGAGGACACCTCGCTTGGACTGTGCCTCGTCACCGACGTACGAGTCCTTCTGATCCATACCGACCATGATTCCAGGCATCTTCGGGCGTCCGACAATGGACGGGAAGACGGCACGAGGAGCATCATCTCCTGCGAATCCGGCCTTGCACATACCGGATCCGTTGTCCACCACAAGGGCTTGCACTTCTTCGTCGGCCATCTTGTCGCTAGAAAGCTGCTAAGAAAAGCAACGAAAAGGAGTTGGAACCTTAAAGTTCTAGAAAAAAGCGTTGAATAACCCTACAACCTACGGGGGTTTCGATTGGAAAGGCGTTTGTTTGGACCTCTCGCGTTCGCTGTCAGGTCATTGATGAAAGAACTAAGACCACGTTCATGAGAATGACGCATAGAAATCGAGCGATATAGATTGCTTGGAAGATGGTTAGTATATCGATGATCGGTAAATATCATCCATGTTCAGATCATGTTTGTCTCCAACGACTTCACTGTGAACCAACGACTCGCACTGAACAATGTCTTTTGTCTCGACGCTCTAACCAGACCAGTTTTGCTCGAATAAATAACAGAACGAATACGAAGCTAACGACGCTCTTTGTGAGTGAAACGAACTTCAACGTTCTAACACCTCTCGTGCGAACACTTTGAAACTTTCACAAGCAACTGCTCGTTTCAATGCAGCTGCGACTCTCATCTCTAGTGGCAGATACGAGCAGCCTCTTCATACTATTGACAACAACAAATTTGATCAACATTGTTATCGCATCGCACGTTACTCTAACAGAACGAAAACTCGCCCAATATTTTTAATGCAATCGCTCTGTTACAGCTATCATGCTTTCGACAACAACTTCCAATTGGCACACTCTGTCCACCAGTACTGCTTTCCGAAAAAATCAATCATATGTTCTATGCAACATGATGCAAAAAAAACACAAGAATCGGCTTCGAAAACTATTCGAAAACGAACCTGACAAGATGGTATTTCTAAATAAATGCGGTCAAGCGGACAAGCTGTACAGGAAAATAACACAACTACACACATACAGGCAGATGAGCGACCGTACTGCCACCATGCTCCAACTGCTTTACACGCGAGCAGTTCAGGTGAGACATAGTTAGATAGAGCAGGAAAATCAAGTGCCTGTTGCAAAAACTATAACCAACATGACCTCTATTGCAACATACAAGGATATACTCTTACGTCCAAAATGGTTGCAGCTACTGATAGACTACAGTACTCAACATTGATCGAGAACTTTGTACTGGATGCGGGTTCCTGCCATAATCTTCGTCATAGTTCACATTATGACCATTATCTCTATGCTGAAGATGTTGTTGAAGATTGATCTCGGAGTTTCTACTATTTTCATTTTCAGTACCATGCAACATACTGTTCATGGCAACAGCAATGTTAATTGTCTTATTGTAACACTCTTCCTCCGATGGAATGAGTGCCTCCAGCTTTTGCAAGAGCGATTTCCGTGAGCAGCGACCAGTTGGGCATGCCGCAGTAGCATCCAGCAATTCTCCATTGTAGATCAAACGTGCGCGGTCCGTTCTTTCGTCCGATAGCTCGATGACCATCATGGACCCGAAGTGCGGCCACCGCTGTGCTGGTGGTAGTGACGCATTCACTGCCCCTAAGAAGGGGCCCAGTGGACCCCCGTCATGTCCAAAATACACGTGTAAAGATGGCAGGTGGTCTCCGCTTGATGAGAGCTCTTCTGCTTCTACTTTCTCCTTCGTTCTCGTGCGGTCTGCTGTAGAAGTACCTCCAGAGGCTTCATCGTCCACCTCGTTTGCTGTGGGAGTACTGGAGGACGAGCTGGAGGTCGAAGACCCTTGCCTAGTCATTCTCCCTGGCTGTTGAAGATTGCGCAGCATAGTTCGCAAAAACGGTCCCACGCCCAGCTTCGCAAGTCGCGGACTCTCGAAAAAAGCCTGGTACTTCACGGTAGCAAAGCCTGAACGAATTGTCGAAGCCAACACAGAAACGTTCAATGGACGACGCGGATTCCTATCTTCGCTAGAAGTAGCAGCAAGTTCCTGAACGACGGTCGGGCACAAGTGCCCATGCACACAGTCCATCACCTTGCTGACAGCCTTCAGCGAGTCCAGCTTCTTTCCGAGTGCATATCCCGAAGAAAACATCGATTCTCGCAGCTCTCCGAGCAAATGCGGATTCGCAGCTTCCAATTCCTTTACGAAAGGTTAGAGATGGCTGGAAGCGAAGGGGTTGACTGCGAAATTGAACCTTTTGAAGAGGTTACCTATGCCACTTCCAGTGATAAATTGTAAGAGTCTACATCACTTAAAACTTGCATGTTCTTCCTTTTTGCTTCTGTACGTAGTTTTTGAGCATATCACGATCCCCGACATAATACTCAGACTCCCAGAATTCGCTCAGAGCTTCCCCATAGGCAGGACACAAACCGGGTGTGAGCCCGGATGGTCTCCCCAGCAAATGCCAAGCAACTTCGTCTTCCTCTTCATCTCCTTGTAGTTGTGTTGCCATTGTCTCTTTCGTAGAAATGACGCTGTCGCTCTCCCGCTCGTGAGTCTCCATCATAGCCGAAGTCGCCAACTCCCCACAGCGCATCACCCTGGAAGAATCATCTGAGAAAACTGTGAGCTGTTTGGACAACAAGTTGCTTCCACGACTTCCACCGGCATACGCTTCACGTATCCGCACGCCGTTGCCGAAACACTGCTGCTCACCGCTTTCCGTCATCTGTCCTAACCGACAAGTTCCCCGCCACTCGTTTCCGGTCGGAAGCACCCGCATCGCCAGGAAAGAGCGACGCTGACGCATTGGAGTCCTCGAACTAGTCCGTTGCGAAAGCGACGTCGGAGTACTTCCTGGGCTTCGCCGGTCTTGATCAAGATTAGCAGACTGTTGTTCCTCAATACCATCGACGTGCCCTTCGTAAATGTGGGGCACACTGCTTCGATCTGGCTCCTCTCCATCATGATGCTGACGTCCATCTGCGTCCTCACTCAAGGGAAACGAAGAGTGGTCGCCGCGGTGATGTTTCTGAAAGTGTCGTATGAATTCCTCTCTGCGCCTCTCAACTGGACACTCGAAGCTGATATCATCATCCGGCCAACAGCCTAGACGTACATCAAGGCCTTTTGCGTTTCCTCCAGTGCAAGGGATGCGAGCGCCATGTCGCATCAGCACTACAACCTGCTTCACCGGAAACTCCGCAGCCAGAATGGGTGGAGGAAAGCGGGCGGAAAAGTCGGAGCTGCGATCTCCAACACCACTGCTAGTGTGTGAATATGCAAGTGTTCCAGCACTGTTGGAAGTGGCACCACAAGCAACAGCGAGCCATTCTTGTAGCACTTTTTCATCGTTGCGCCGCTCTGCTCCTTCTCGATAGAGCTCGCTGCGAACTAGAACGCCGACGAGAACCGTCTGCAACCAGAAGTGAATGCGCGTGATCATCTCGGACATGGTTCTATTCTTGCAAGATCAGTTGATGCTGATCAATAGGTGACTTTATTCCTGTCACTGTATGGCAATCAAGCCTACTTGATGTTCAAAAAAATTTGCCTTCACATAGGCATCGTGTTTTCTAGCCTGGTCGAGCGAGACCCTCTCAGCAGACGTTTCTTCTACGAGTCTCTCCGAGTTTGCTACCAAAATGAACATCCGCCGAAGTTTGACAAATCTGATTCAACTAGCTGGCTCTGGTTGCTCAATAACTTCGTTGAATTTTCGTAGCTCACTTGTATTCATTGTCCAATCTGAATGGTCGCGCTAAAGACGTCCATCTAAAGCTTTATTCCTGTAAGATGCTGTCACCTCCAGGGTCAGCACAAAAACTTCTAAGTATGAGGGTTGGTTCATGAAAATGAGCGGTGGATACAACATAATTCACTTCAATCCAGAATCAACAAGATGGGTTCCCTGCTCAACTCCAGAAAGAAATGAAGGCGATGACGCTTTGAGCAGCTGTCACCAGGACACACTGCACAAACTTCACACAAAAAGCTCCGTGTAACTTTTCCGCCTGCACACTGAGCCGAGGTGCTCGTATCGCGGAACGCTGCAGAGAGTGCGGCTCAAGTTTCGGAACGTCTTAAGCCGTAGTGGCCTTGTCTAGTCCTGGTAGATGCTCTGCTATGCTCATGGTCTTATGCACATGAAATCAAAGCTCTGCTATGACGAATATGGTAGATCGATGTAACCGGGAAATTCTCAGGCACAACATCGGCACCCGATCATGCAGTTTTCTTGACGCCTTTCTTTGACGGAGTCGCCTTCGCTGCACTCGGTAATGCCTTTCCACTCACCTTCGTCGCTGGTTTTTTAGTACTAGTAGTAGCTGATGTTGGTGCTTTACTCTTTGGTGTACCAGTTGTAGCTTTTGGTTTTGACGTGGTCTTCACTGCAGGGACATCAGGCTTCTCCTTTGGTGTCGTTGATGTCGTTTTTACACTTGCAGTTTCTCCGATAAAAGCGGCGCGCATTTCGGCATCCATCTCTCCCATGCCAGCAATGTCCGCACGCCGTTTTCCAACAGCTTGAAGGACCGGAGAAAGGAGTAACTTTGCAGCCTAGAGGTTAGGATATAAATGTGCATTCGTATATTTTAGGTCACAATCAAAACTGCAGCAATACGTTCTGAAGAAGTATTCCCTGAGATGTAGTCCTTAATCTTCCTCGCACTAGCACTGATACTGCTTGTTAAAAAACGGGAAGTAGAGTAAGCAAGAGGCGAAATCATATGAGAGAAGAAGCGCGAACTCTCGCTCGCTGCACTCACACTCGCCAGGAAGTCAAATGGTCAGCAAAGAAGCAACCAACGAGCGAGTAGGTGGCAAGCAAGGACGACGAGTGAAACCAACACAGAGACAACCGCGCGCACCGGTAATATATAACAACCACGGACCGACACCGTTGGCTTGGCACTGGCTCGGCAACAGGCGCGTCAGTCCGAGAGAGGGCGGCGCGGGGTTTTGGTTGTGTGTTACTTTCCAAAAATGACGAAGAACGAGCCCGGTGCCCTCTGTCTCAGTCGTGCACCCGCTTCCCCTGCACTGCTATCCTATGGCGCCGCGCACTAATCGTCTCACTGCTGCGCAGAGAGATGCAAGCTCTCTCACCCACGGACGCGAACAAAGAAACCGCCGCGCAGCGACAAACCTGCCCACTTCATTGCGCGCCGGATGCAAGCCAGAACAGTTTTGCGGCATCCGTCGCGGGTTTGTTCTGTGGTGATGCACGAGAGGAGCGCGACCACGTTCCGAATTTTCCAAGCTCCACAACCCGCGCCCACCATTTCAGTGGCCGCAGAAAGGGTCCACCTATAACCATGAGCGCGCTTACAGGTTTCGCGAGGGTGTCACAGTGTCGCACTGAGGCAGTTTTTCACGGGCAGACAAATGAACGGACGGCTTCCAGAATAGCTTGCGACACTTTCCCGCCCGGCGTGCCTTCGCCGCTGTTCAAGGCGCCCGCTGCAATCTCCCGGGTAGGCAGTGCCTCAGCCTCTCAGCAGTTAAACGACCTCACCAAGCCACAGCGGCATCGCTATAGCGAGAGGACAGCGGTAGCAAGGGACCTCACCAAGCCGTAGCGAGAGAACAGCGGAGAGCCCCCCCGCGACGCTTCTCCAGCCGTTGAAACCACCGCAGCCCGCACGCTTTGGGCAATGCTGCATATGCCATATACCTGAAGCCGAGGCGGTAAGATAGCCCGGCGGCCTCGGGGCAACGCCTCAGGCCTTTCCGCCTGGGTTCATACGGTGCTGCGGTTTTGTTTCAACTGGTTGACTCGGAAAATTAGAAGCATGAGTCCGATCGAGTCAGCGTCTTTTTGACTCCGATTATTAGAGGCATGAGCCCGATCGAGTCAGCGTCTTTCAAATTGACCGGCTTCGCCAAGTTGGGGGGTTTGCTCCACGACGGCGGTGCGCCCATTCCTGCTCGTGGGAAATAACAGTCTTGCGTCCAGTCGTAGTCTCCAAGGCGCTGTTGCTTTCAAGGTGACGCGCGAGCCGCAAACTTGGCGCCGCGAGTTGTGAAATTAAAACTACAAAAGGCAAGAGACCCGCGTCTCAGTGTATCAGCCACAATCCCTCAGCACCAGCGCAGTGATCTAGTAAGCCTAAGCTCAAGTTTACCATATGTTAAAAAACAGCTAGTTGTAGTACTTCCATGCCCAATCCGAATTTCGCATTTCCCGAGGATATTCTCACCCGAAAATCCCCCTTCTCAAACTTCCGCTTGGTATGCTTGCAGGCTCCTGCATTGCCGCGCGCGACCGTCTCGACTGAAAGGCCACCGAAAAAACACGCAGGGTGAAAATGTGCCGAAATCGTGCGACCTTGGGCGAACATCGGAACAGTGACTGTGGTTAGAGAAGAGACGATAGAGCTGAGGATGATCAAGTGGAGTCACCGGTGATAGATAATGATCGCAGACACGGGTAGCTACAATCTGTCATCACATCGTCTCTAGTTGTTATGTTCATACAATAGTACTAATGACAGTGCGTGAATTTGTATGAAAAATCATAAGCGAAGTTCCCCTTTTTCGATCGGACCGAGACAGCTGCATTCTTTGCACCGGGAACGATTTGTCTGGGCTGAAGCGATCTCCACGCATCGCTCTTTCGCTTTCTCAACTTCGTCACTCATCTTTTCGTCAAGCAGATTCTCGATGTTTTTTTAGTAAGTCGTAAGTAAGTGCCTTCCCACTTCGTAATGATGTTCTTCTTGTGCCTGTAGTTTAATTTCTTACACTTGAAACTACACAGACATGAATCAAGAAACTAGTCGAACCAGAAGCAATCTATTTCTGTTTGTAGTATCCTAGGTCTAGGACAACAAGCTCTCTGAGATGGAGTAAGGTGGAGTCGTTCTGTGTAATGATTTGTCAGGAAGTCAATCTCTAATTTCCGCTCAAGACCGGCAATGTGTCAAATGAATGGTCCGACGACGCGCACACAAGAAACTGCCTTTTTCGGAATTTGAGTCACTCGCTTTAATGCATTTTTCATTATAGGGTTCGCTACTTCTTACAACTTACAAGCACGTTTTTCAGAACAGCCCCACTCCCGCAATGGTCGATCGCGACGCACACAACATTTGATCTGTTGTAACAAAAGACCTTAAGAAATTCGGGTCATGCACATCGCAAGCACACTAGCAATGAAGAGCTCTGCTGGTCGCAATTCTTCCAGCCAAGACGGCGCAAAGGTAGACTATAAAAACACATCATTTTCGAAGCTGTCGTGGAAGACAATAGCTCTTGTGAAGACAGTCGACCAAGGTATTTTTTGGAGAATAGTCGGAACTTCCAATTGGGAATTCTGCACTCAACATGTCAAGTCCTGAGATCATGCATAGGGGTCCAACGTTTTACACCCCTTTTAAGGTGACTAGGCTAGACCAAGTTCGAATACAAGAGAAAACATGAGTTCACACAACAATGAGAAAACTCTCGTACGAATAAAGTTCGAGTAACACTCTAATTCACCAGCCCAGTGAGGGCACACTCACTTATGTTGGATTACGTTACTCGAAGTTCATCTAGTCACTCTCACTTAACCTTTTGACAAATAGAGTCAGAAGAATCACGCTTGAGGCCTGCTGAACAAAGCGCCATCATCATCGCAATTCTACGTTCTTTTAGTAGCCTACACTGCGACTACAAGTGAAAGTAAGTTGATAACCAACTTACACTTCAAATGATGATTGAGCCAAAATGGCTACGGTGCGGGTACCGTGGGCCATATCAATAGAGAAAAACAAAGATAAACTTAATAGATTCTTGAGCTCGAAAATGTTCTTGTTGTTCTAGAAAGAAAGTACGACACCCTGAACAAAGTAGGCAAACTGTGGAGAAAGCTTTTCTCCATCATGGATGCCCTAAAAGTCGAGTAGAGTAGCTGTGGCACTAATATCGCTAAGAGCAAACGGACCTCCGCTTCCTTCCTGCGAGGAACTACGAAGAACTTTTCATAGCTTTGCTTGAGTGCTCAGTTATCATGATCTTCTATATGCGTACTAAGTAATTCTGATTTGTCTTCGTGATCCATGATGATCTTCGTAATCGTAATGGAGTTAAACCTATAATCATTTTATGATCTCAGTATTAAGGATCTTAACCTGTAGCTATCTTCCTTAGAAGAAATGGATCATGTTGGACAACCCGATGCAGATGCTCCCATTAGGTCTATGGCGAATGCCCGTATTATGTGCTTTTCTTGTCGCCTATTTTGATACAGAAGTTACTCAACTACAACTAGCTTACAACTCTTACAACTAGTTATAGGTCCTAGCCCTCATGCTTTTTATCTCCTTGCGTCGCTCGCTCTCACATCCATCTCTATTATCATCTTCCACTCGCTCTAGTAGTACTAATATACTAGTGTTACACATAGTCAAAAAATCAGTACTACTCACTCGTCGTCATCTTTTGCTCTGAACTAATCATAGACACGCATCAGGAGCAAACTCTGGCGCGACCCGCCGTAGCTCTTCGCTAAGGTTCGAGGTTTAGCGCCCTCTGTCATGCAGCCCCGCTGTGTTGCTAGGAACAACATTCATCTGTTTGAAGGACTAGGTGTAGGTCAATGAGTTTCAAAATTTTACAAGATAGAAGAAGAGAGTCTTCGTGGTCAAGATCAAGATTTTTCTCCACAAGATAGCTTTGATGAGCGGCGTTTTTCTCAACAAAATGCTTTCCATTATATGACAATGACGTAAAAGATTGCCATAGTCATAGTGTTCTGGCACAGCAACAATGTGAATGTCATGTTTTAATTGTGTGATTGAAAAGTGAGAAGGTTAAGAGTTTTCGATTGACTGTCAATCGAAATAAAGGGGAAATATAAATATATTTCATGCAACAAGATGTTTGAATTCAGTAGCTGCTCGAAAAAGTGAAAATGGAGCCGACTATTTGATGTTTCCTGTTCTACGAGGAAAACGTGGTGCGCAGTCTGTGTGCTGAGTGCAAGTACACCAAGCGGTGGTTTCTCGGAATTGTGGTCGCGCACCTCGTAGTTGCACCATTGAAATAACGCAAGTTGTCATATGTGTGCGCGCAGTGGATAATTATGCTTTCCTTCGCACTCGTAGTATTTTCGACGTCCTGTAAAACATCAATCTCGAGGAATCAGAATCATCCAGAACGAGCGTACACTTAAAACTCAGCTGTTTTGGGCGGAGAGCCGCGCGTGCGCTCCTCCAACGGGATGTAGTCGGCCAACTGACTCTGCACTTCGAGCATCACCTCTTCTCGCAAGGCCCTCTGAATGTATTTCGCAAAGAAGAACTTCAAAATGAAGGGTGAGACGAGGGACGTGGTTGCTAATATTTATGCAGGAAGTAACACGAGGGAACACTGATAGTGGAGGTCGAGGAACTTTTGTCTTCTACCCGGTTTATCTGTATGTCGGTAAACAACTTCTACGAAAACAGTGCTTCCTCCGTCACTCACAAAAGAATAGAAGTTCAAGTTCTTTTCATAATTCTGTAGACAAGGAGTCCGAGAGCGAGGGAGACCACTAGGATCACGAGCAGAAGCATGAACGTTCCCATAGTGACGCCCTCGTCAACGACCGACCCAGCGACAAGTTTCGAGTGCGGCTTGATAAATTGATCGCACTCTGGCACTGGCGTCACGTAAGCGCTACATATCGCACGTGTAATTCCGTGTGTTAGAGCTTCCATAAGGTCCTTGGTAGATTTCATCCTATATCATGTGCAGTAACTACAACCTAAGAAGGTGCCAAAAGAACTTCAATTCCAAAGTTAACTTCAAAAATACTAAGGTAAAGGAAGAAAAAAAAAAGTACCAAGGTAGATCACTAATAAAGGAAGCCCGCTAAATTCTTGTTAGGCATAAGTCTGGTTCAATCGCACCAGCAAATCTCCATCCGTTGATTCGAACTGCGTATTTTGACCAAGCCACATTGTTTTTCTGTGCTTTCAGTTTGTCGTCCATGGTATTCTGCATGCATTGTCGCACGGGTTCGGGGTCGATACCTGATCTTAGGATGAAGGTTGAGTTCGGGAAAATCGTCATCGCTGCATCTCTAGTGGTAATCCTGTACCACCGCCAGGCCTGGTGTCGGAAAAAATAAGGAGAGTGAGTGTCGTGAAAAGCGAAAGTAGCCGTTCTTTCAATTGGCTCGCATAATAAGTACCTTTGCTCCGCATGAGGTTTTCCGAGCACTTTTCGCCAAATCTGGTTTCTGGGTCGTCAGAGTGCACGGGGCAGCTAGAGAGATAGGAGGTTACATATTCCCAATACTTCCAACTTCTTCGTCGCTCTCCACTCTGCGGGTGCTCTGGGTCGCGCACTGCCGTTTCCTCCCAAATGCACAATTGCCTTACACTCTCGAGGGCCACATCGCGACCAGTAACCTGACCACCACCATCCGGGTCCTCTGCGCAATACCTGATGATTACAATGTCGGCCTAAAACTAAAGTAGTATTAAATTTGATCCAATAACATGCATCAAAAAGAGGACAATAACTCGCGTCCTGACTCGTATACATGAATAATTGACAATACCTCGCATCCTGGCTGGTGCACATGTTTTCGAAGTCCTGGCCCGAAGGGAGGCTAAAAATGTGATAGTGGGGAACTATCTTGAGGTTGTAGGCGAGTGCTTCTGCTGCTGGCTTGAAACCCTGAAAGTAATATTCAAATTCATTATTTGACTATCATAAAGTAGGCGAAGTTCTTCTTTGTTTCAATGATTCTAGTTGCTACAACTAGGTATCCGAGAAATGAAACTCCTTTTGCTCTTTCGTGCGCAACCAAGCAAAAAAACATCACAAAAGTACGACTAAAAACTCGTTCGCCTCGCGAGAATTGGCTGACATCCAAAGGTCCATTGTGACAATGTTATTCACTGGAATGTCCCACACAAGCTCGGCAATAATGGATGACCCTGTATTGTCATGGTGGTCAAATCCTCGTACTGAAATTTGACGATGTCATGTACTTGTTGTGTGCTACGAAGGAAACGTGATGAGTAGGACTGGCAGTAGTATGCCCATTCTGAGAGGTGAGGTTGTCATAGGAGGGAAGATGACGAAGTTTAAAAACCTGTTTCAGTTTGTTAGTGGGACAAGTACCTGCTCCACCATCTTTTATGGCATTGATCAACTTTTCGCCGTCGTTGTAGTTGATGAGGATGGAGGGGATCTTTATGCTGTTCCCGAAGTTATTCTCGTCTGACATGATTAACTTGGTTACGTCTCTATTCTTGTTGCTCTCCCGATCAACGATAATCACTGCGTGCGCGTTCTTGTGTTTCTCGGCTATGCGAACCTGTATGAAAGAAGTTTTCCTAAAGTCCCGAGTACTGCCTATGCCGAGGAGAGGAGTTTATTTGTTGAGAAGTGGTACGGAGAATAACTGCGACCACGTATGATTTGTGAATACGTACTTACGAAGATTCAAGGTGTACCTTAGTCGTGAAACGACACTTGCTGTGACCGCGGTGTACTAGGACGATATTTATTTGGCGCCTATCCGAGTCCTCGCTGTCTGCGGCTGGCGCCTTCGCTTCTGGTAAATCATAGTCATCTTCGGTGCAGTAGTCCTGCCCTTTACTCTCTGCGTACATGATTCTACCTGAGAGTATTAACAAGGCAATCTCATAATATAATCTACATTGTAGGAGGTCAATCTTCTTCTACATGGTGGGAAATCAATCTTCTTCTTCTACAAAAATTTAGTACAACTCTAAAATCACCAACAACTGATACAAAAAAATGCTTATAATACCCATCACTCGCAACCCATAGTATGGCGCTCCGAAAGTCGCAGTAGAACCCTGAATGTACCCTGGCTTGCTCTGTCGGTTGAAAACTTCATTGACTAACACTTGTGGCGAGTGGAGTCGAATTTGCGCAGAAACAGGTGACCCCGTCAACCAGAAAAGCGCTAATAGCAGTCCCCTCCAGGTACTGCTGAGTAATCGCTGAGGCTGTCTCCAGGTGGACCATGTAAAAGTAATAGTTGTAACTCCTTTGTGGCTGCTGGAAAAGTCTTCCTTTCGTCGACGAGTATCTTCATTCAACGACAGCGAGACACCACTACATGTACATGGTGCTTGATTATTTCTAGATGAACAAGTCGCGTTCTCCTCTTCTCTATCCGACAAAGTGCACTTCATCCCAGTTGTACTGGTACTATCGAAAGAGGTACTAATGTCCGCCATCTTAGCTCCTCTCCTCCGTCTGCACCGTGCATTGAAGGCTTCAAGCTGTGACTGACGAGGCCTCGAAGAAGCTGCCTCGCTAATTGCTGAAGAACGCTTGTATTGTCCGTGCTCCATTTCCATTCTAGAGGAAGCAGAAGCCACAGACCAAGAACCGCGTAAAAGCATCGTCATCTTTGCTTCACGATCTCTCCGAACAGAAACACGAGTAACAAATCATTAAAAAATTCAAAAAAGGTGAACCACAGTGGAAATGCGTGCGCTGGTTACCACGGACCAAATACGATCAGAAGGAGTAAAGGAAAGTCGACATAGAGGATACATGCAAGCCCCCTAATAAGCAGGGAAAAACGGGCAAAAATGTACGTAGACTCAATCGCAAGTCAACCAGAGAAACCTTCATGTAATTACGAGGAAAAAAGGGGGCATTGTCTAATTGTCTTGTTTATGAAACATTATAGCAGCCACAAGAAGAACTAGTAGGGCCCAAAGGGGAAAATTCTATGGGATGACAGCCTATTGCTCAAAACTAGAACTCTAATATAATTTTAATTGAAGAGTAAATCACGCCTGCACCAGAAAAATGACAGAATGAATGCGAATGAGTTAGTACAACTAGTCCTGTATTAACATTGCGGTTTGTCAACCACTTGTGGTGTTTGGGTGTGCCGCTACAGCACAAGCTCGCACCTCAACTCTTGGGCTTAGTCATTTTCAGAACACCTCCATTTGGACTCGGGATTGTGCTCCCGAGTAAAGAGGAACTTCTCCATCAACTTAAGTCGCTTTCTGAGGCACAGGGGATACCCGCAGCAAAATTGGTATTAAAGAAGAACGAGAATTCAATGTGCTCCTAGCCAGAAGATGCAGACTAGCTGGTTGGAGATTTTGCACCCAGCTTTAATTGTTCAAAAAATGCAGCAGCAGCAACCACAATCAATCTTGCTCGAAAGGAGTAGCATCAAGCACTTGCTTCTCACCCATCTTCACTCTATCATGCGTATCCCGTCATCTTTGAACGCTTCCGCCAGCATGTTGTAATAGGTGAGGTAATTTCTGTCGACCTCCCCTGGCTTGCCTCCCCCAGTAAAGTTCGGTACTGCAAAACAAATTTCATCATAGAGATGAAGAAAATCCCCACCACCGTAGCGTTGCAGTATCTCGATAAAGAGCGAACATACTTTCTCCGGATCACAGCCGAAAGCGCCACAGCCCCACGCTCCAAGAACTAGCACATCGAAGGGTCGCTGGGTCTTCTCTTGTTCCTCGACGACGTCGCCTTAGAGCAGGCTAGTACATCGATTCATTTCTGCTACTTTCTTACTTATTTAAGTGTGCACTGACTCGACCTGTGATAACTACATTTCTGCACTTCTTGATCAACAAAAACAAAATCCAAGCACAATAAAATAGCTAGCATTCTTCTCGAACATACTTACTGCTAGTGCATGGATGAGCATAATAGTAGTATTGCGGCGCGACGACAATGTTCGTGATGGCGTCACGGAGTCTGTCAGTATCCCACTTTTCCCCATATCGGACGGCTGGCGCTGCTGCGCCAATGAAGGCGGGGGCGTACTGCTCACTCGGCTCCAAAATGCGATACCCGTCGAGTTCCCCTGAGCGCTGACAAACAACTTCTGGCGTGAAAACAAGATCCGAATAAGCCGTGCACTCACCACTACGCATGTATGAAAGGAGATACAGGAAACGACTACAATGTGACCGAATTTGAATTGAGTGATTGAAAACTGATGAAAGTGTCTTCACTCAATCGACTCTACCAGTTGTATCACGCTGACCAAAATCACGCCTCAATGTGCAGTAACAAAAGAGACAATGACGATATCTCTCACATTCTGAAGAATTCACTACTGACGAAACGCTACGCACGAGGTTCAAAGTTTAGGGTCCGCGGCTCTGCGGCCAGGCCGCGTTGTCCGGGACGATAGAGGCTCGAGTAGAGCCAGGACCTGAAAGTAGACAACCACAACAAACTACCCGCTCATAAGTTTTGGACTCCGGGACCAAATGGGTAGATCGCGGGACCCGAAGTCTTCGAAGCCTCGCTTAAACTGCTGAAATACGCTGGAAACTGCCGACAGAGATCCTCTTCTTGGGCTTTTGCGCCTTTTAGGTACCCGCCTCCAGGGTGAAAGCCATTCGCAAAGTTCAATGCTGCCACGCGAAGGGAGGCGGGAGAGCTGGACGATCCTCGACCGGATGACGATGCAGAAGATGGACTGGACTTGCAGTATATGCGGCAAGCCTCCTCTGTGGTCGCATTGCGAAAAACTATTCGCGCTTTTCTCGCTCTGACCACGCCCTGCGCAGCACGAATGACGTCCCATCTCTGTTTCAGGCTTTCGAAGTTAATGCGTACCGTCACAGGTATTGATGGCGAAGCTAGTTGTCCTCTCTCAGGACTTGAGATATTGTTTCGGTGGAATTGATAAAAACCTGGATACTGCGGTAATACTCCGTAGCGGTTATTTTTCGCAACCGCTGCTCGCAGATCCTTCTTTTCTTTCCAACCTAATCCCTTGTCCCGCATTTTCGCTGCGAAGGATCTGTGATCCCACGTGGTGCTCCCTCGGCCATGAAAACCTCCTTTATCAAAGCCACCTCCTTGACCTTGAGGAGGTACACCCATTCCCATATTGATCGTTTGCACAACATGGTGCTTTCCTCCAGCATGATCTTGCGGGATCCCACTTGTTTGCCCATTTCCCATCCTTATTACTTGTGCAGGCGGTAGACCGTGGTGCTGCCCAGCGGCCGCTCTCACCTCTGACGCCACTGGCTTCGCCTGTTGAAGTCCACCACCACGGACTCCAACGCCATGTTGCTGAGGTTGGTGACCGCTTGTCAAAGCGCCACTATGTACATGGTGTACATGATTTATATTTTGTTGAAAAGCAGGCTGCGAGATAATAGATGGATGCTGCGGTCCTCTTGGCTGCTGTTGCCCGTCCGTACCTCTCCCATCTCGATAGACCACACCTCCTCCAGCACTAGGAATTGCACCTCCTCCTCCTGTACTAGGAACTACAGGCTGAACGTGGAAGTGCTGCTGCGGTCGAGAGGAGTCAGGATTCAAAGACATTTTGATGCACAATCATCATAGAAGATTGGCACATTCACACGAAAAAAATGTGGAAGGACGGGTGGGAAAAAAAGACCAGGATTAGTTTTTGAGGAAGCAGCAGGAGTAAGACGCATACAATTTACTATTAAATAATGGACAAGAATTAGTGATCGTCCCGAACACGAAAACGATGGATTACGGTAAAACAAGCTACCCGTAATGTATTAATCATTCATTCATTCATTTACCTAGCACGAGGTGTTGTCTGAGAGCTTAATTAGGATGCAAAGGGTAGTAGATATTCGTTCTGTGGTGTATGAAGGAAGCAAGATGCATTTTTCTGTTTTTTATTTTACGAGTATTAATCTCTCTACGAAAAATGCTCAACTTTTTGATCTAACTCATCGTTAAATAACTTTTATTTTATGTCAGGACCTAGGCGGTCAAACACAAATTTTGACTCAACTTCGAAGTAGAATCTCTTGGCTCTGAATTACGTGAAGGTCTATGCGAGGCATAGATATGAGGTCTCTTCATTCAAATTCGAAGGTGGGATTCGGAGTCGTGTTTGAGGTTGAATTACTTCAAAGTTTGAATATCAGTTTTCTATTTCTGAGTGGCTTGTAAATTTCTTCTACGTATTTAAGGTTTCATGTAAATTGGCATGCACAGAAGGGAAAAAACGAGTCCTGCGAGTAGACTTCAGATGTCAGGCGCCAGTTAGTGTCAAGTAAAAGCACTTTGGTGACGTTGATGTTGATGTTGACTCCTTAGTGGTTGCAGCAAGAGCAACTACAAACAACCAAGTGACAACTTACTAAGTGACAACTTAAAGTCGTGTTGACGTAGTGCCTCTCGTTCCGTCGGTTCTACAAGAAAAATACAAAAGTTGTAGTGTGATTCATTGTGTTAGTTTTCGCTCTCAATAATTTGTAAAGCCTGATGCACAATAGGCCAGTCGATGAACACAAGTCTCAACGATCTCTCGAGACAACTCTGGAAAACGGGTCGGCGATAATCCGTTTGTTTCTCATGTCATGTAAAAGGTGTCGGCTAATGCTGGTATTCGCTGACACAAACGAGAGCAAAGGTTAAATCTCTCGAGGTATGCGTGATAAGCAGGGAGGGTTCGATATTGAGGAATCATTGATAGAGACAGAATTGTAGTCTCATACTTATTTGGAAGAAACGAAACACTACTTGGCGGCAGCGCTTGCTTTTTTCATCACCTTCTTCTTTTTTGCCACGGTTTTCTTCACGACAGCACCGCCGCCGGATTTTTCTTCAGCTTCCCTTTTCACTTTCGCCGTTGATCTTGATGTTGTAGCTCGTCCAGTATTAACCTTCGTCTTCTTCCTCGTCTTCCCCTCTTGTTTTGATGTCTGCTTTTTTTTGTCCACATCAGCGGCATTTTGCGCGGTGCCAGCAAACTCTAATTCTATCTCTGGATCACGAAAGCATATGTCTGCATCACCTAGTGAGCAGTCAGAAGCGCCACTCCAATCCGAAATCGACTCTGAGTCCTCATCATCCTCGAAGTCCTCGTCATCCTCACTATCCTCTGAGGAGGACAAACTGGATACAACCATTTTTTTAGGTTTACCTTTAGCATCCTTCTGCTGCTTGCTCAACTTAGGCTTGATCGCTGATGATGAAGACGCATCTTCTGATGTTTTTGTAAGGGAACAGGAATCTACTTCAAGTGGCTTGTTTTTCATCGTCTTCGGCGATGCCTGCGAGGCTACTTTCTTATTTTTCTTCATGCTCTGTTGGAACGGGTCGCTTGCGAGACTCTTGGCAGGCTCTTGCTCGACCACCACAGCACCTGAAAGAGGCTCTGTGCTCCAGCTGCTACACCAGTCATCCATTTTTCTACGAACTTAACAGCAAAACAGGGTAATATTTATCTCTCTATAATTCGCCGTGGCCTTTCTGGTCCTTGTAACAGTCCTCCTACGCGACAAACTTATGAATGTTGATTTTAGTGTCTAGCGTATAGAGATCCTGAATCGCAAGATGAATGGAGAATGAATACAGACCACGAATTATGCATAGTAACAGTTTCATCTCATTTTCATAAAGAGTGCAGCTATAGATACTAGTAGGTAAGAAGTCACCCGTCAGAACTAAGTCAGTCTTACTTTCAATCTCCTATATTGATCTGCGGTCTTCCTTTCGATCTCATATACTGATCTCCAATCCATCAGACAACCTGATTTTCAAATTCGTTACTGATCCACGACCCATCTTGTGGGACGATCAACAAGACCTCCTAGATCACATTTTCCAGAGCAGATCTGTCTTCGTCCCAACCTAGGAGAAAGCAGACGAATCTTCATGATTATGCTTTGCTCTGGCCAGAGCAGGAATAAGATTGCAATTATGCATAAGCGTGGACACTTGCGTGCTGACTGACTCTTAGAGTCTCTGATTCTGAGTGAGTGAGTGAGTGAATGAATGAGTGACGCCTATTTTTCATGTTTGAAAATGTCTTGCTCGAAAGCGAGGTTGCGGAGGATGCATACTTGTTAGCGGAATGATAGTTTCATCAAGATGTGTAATGCTGTTAATTCTTCGAAATCGAATTTTGATTCGTGTATGATGCTTCATTAGGTCTCAACTCGAGGACGATAAGACGACCTTTTGAGTGTGAAGATCTAAGTTTTCAAAGTCGCGACATTTTTAAAGTGACACGAGCCACACTCTCCGCTCGAGATTTTGTTTGTATTAAAAGGCCAGATTCAAATTGGAAAAAGCCTGTCGATCATCTAGAGTGCCTTCATCATAAAATGAAGCTCTCGCAGGCGCATGCAGATGCATCTGCACTACCAGAGTTCCCAAAAGCTGCACGCAACTTTCGAATGCAACTCCCCACTCACGGGATAAGCCCTCGCATTCTATCTTACCACTCCCAAGAAAAAGGAACCTGTCCGCTTTTTGCACGCGACGAGCAGCTACCGAAGCTGTAAAGCAGACGACCTTCGCGCGTCAGCTGTAGACCGCACCGCAGCGAGATGGTACTCTTTGCGTCAAAGCATCAAATCGGGAGGTAGGCATAGATTTCGGAGTTCCAGTACGGTGTCATTACACCATCCTGTCCCCATCCACGAGGCCCTTTTTGCGACTACGATTGAACTCACCCAAACACGCGGCCGGGACCAGGTACACCCCGAGCAGAAGAGCGCGCAGCGGGGGCAACCACGGTGGAGTCGTCCAGGCCACGTCGCGACAAGGCGAAAAAGCAGCCGATCTGCGAACCGCAAACGCTGGAGTTTCGTCCTCCTTGAAAATAAGTGAACGACAATGCACATTTCCTTGTTGCCGTCTGGATGGCTCAGCAATGCCCCAGCGTATTTTCTTGTAGTTGCCAAGACAGAGTTTCGACTGCTCAGTGGTGCACCGACAGTGTCATCCGACTTCTACCTGAGGCCCTCAGAAGAATAGGTCGTTTAGCAATCTCCGAGCCCAAATGTCAGGAAATGCCTTCGCGTTGAACACCCGATCGCAAGTCATGCTCACCTGGTTGCTCGATTTGGTTTTGGTCTCGCTCCTCTCATTCACCCAAACGAGGCAGAAGGTATTTGAAGGTTGCCAAAAATATTGCGGTCTGTGGCACCCAAAGTGCGCACCTCACGCCCGCACCCTTAAAGAGCGACCGTGGCCCCTCTTCTTGCGCCATCGTGCCGATAGCGTCCACGAAATGATTGTAATTCCAGAGACGCGGTTGTGAGGCAGATGTAGAATTTGTAGTCGAAGAAGCTGCGGTGGTCCCCTTCCGTCGTACTACCTGCATTCGAAGTCGCGCAACGTCAAGAGGCGTAGTCACGAAAGCAGCTACACAGCAAGAATTAGAATGGTTCTTCGCTTATGACGGTTTTTCTCCTTGTGTCACAAACAGTCTATCAATCTAAGTAGGTCACCCGTAGAAATCTAGTAAAAGAAATCACCAAAAACCACAACAGAAGCACAGGCACATCCGAAGGTGAGCCACGGCGGCTTGTGGGGACTGTGGTTCTCTTCACTTTTGTTCTCATTTTCCGTGCTTGTCCTGCTGAGATGGACAAGCGCACGGTTCTCCAACTGCTCGTACAGAGCCAAGTTTATCGCTGTCTGCGGACCAAATGCTGCCAGCGTCGCCCCATAGGCGCGATACAGCCCTCGTATTCCTTCGTTTCGAATGATTTGGGTTGCGGCGTCCCAAGTGCCTTGATAACGGTACAGGCCTAATTTATCTTGGACCTGTAGGCGCTCTTTCATCACGTCCAGCGGACACCAGAGCAAACACGATACGGTCTCTGCGATGAAACCCGCACAAAAATCGACGACGAAAGACTTTTCATGAGGATGTGCGTTGTTCTCGTTGGAGGTCGAGGTAGACGACGAGGTACTAGTCGTAGAGCTTGAAGAAAAAGATGACGATTGTCCTCTAAAAAGCGACTTGAAGAATGCGTCCCGGCGTACTAGCTCATAGCTCGTCAAATACAGTGCTCCCGCGGGCAACGAGCCAATGATTGCGACAGGAAAACCCGCCCATAATTGCCTATAGCTACTCAAGCCAGCGAGCTCCCGACGCACTACCGAAGACGAAAGGTAGTTGCGAGTTCTAGTTGCTGAGGTTGAGGATGATTTTCCACTCTGCAAATTCGAATTTTCGACTTGAATGCGTGCCTTCAAGGTATCCAAAGGGTGCGTCGCCGTCTTACCGAAACATGCAGCAATCGCGCTCGCTATTACAGTACTCCCGAGGGAAAGTGCGCCAGCCTGTTCTGGTCCATCCGCATCCCGAACTTGGCCAGTTGCACTCGCATCATGTTCAGGGCGCTTGCCGGTGGACGACATTTTTGCAACAGTTATGGCTCACTGGAACCCAATCTACAGACATAGAAACAATTCAAGCTAAGTAGTACCCTGGCGAGGGGAAGACTTGGTCACCTTCGACTCTTTCACATCATATCCTGCTCGAACTAAAAAAGTCAGTAAGAGGAACAATTGAAATGCCGCTGAGTCTTGTTTAGTTCCTGGGTACATAATTGATAATGGGCCTGTACAAAGGAAAACTAGTATGGGGAATACGGAAACCGACCAGTGATGGAACTGCAGTGTGCGGAGGTCGTCAAAATGATCCCCACTTGGAGGAGTCTCTCGACGCGCGTATAGAGTACCCGAGAGCCACGCAATGGAACCTGTGTCTTCTCCTACCTACTTCCTCTCAACCGTCGTTCGTTTACTCTCTGTAGTCTACAACACGTGTGCTTCGTCTCATTGGGTTACGTCATAACAGAGTGGGCCGGCTTTTAGGAATGTATTTCCAAAGGCATAATCATGCATGGCTTGCTGTTCGTACTTGCTTCGCAATAGTTGACTCTAAGAGTATCAGCCAGCACTGTGAATGATAAAAATCTGTATTCTCGAATCAAAAAACTCTTGTCTAGAAACAAGTATTGGGTTTTCGTTGCTAGTTATATTAGGACGCTGTCACTAGTGCGGTACATTCTTAATTCTCTGAAAATGAAAAATGAAAACATTACGGTTCCGACTACCATTTATGGTCAGAATTTAGGCGTAATAGTATTCGGATAAGTATAAGTTCCTCCTGCTACAAAGATTCACCCCTATTCGCTGGAGAGAAATCAAAACGACGTGATTCCTCACGACGCGTTTGGATGAAATGCCTTGGGCATTTTTCATCGAGTCGATTTATATGCAGGTGTACATTTTCTTCAATCCAACGTTGATGTGTTTTGTCTTATACAAGTACATACTTGACCTGATGCGCTGTTCAGTTCTTCATTCTATGAGACAATCATAAACTTCTACTCGATAAATGGACACTTCTGATACTGGTGTCTCCTCCCGTAGCCCCTGAGAGCTCCTCACATCATATTCCAAGGAAAGAAAAGTATGAATTCGAAGAGTGAGTAGATGAGACCCAGAAACGCAGCAAGGCAGAAGCAGTAGATCAACAAGAGAACGGTAGCGCCTCCGCTGCAAGAGATGATCAACACGGCATTAAATGAAAGCGGGCCTCCTTTTTTCCTGGAGTTGGGACGAACAGTGAGTCTCAGCAAATTGATCAACCTATTCTTTTATCATGGAGGATTCTACCATGATGATATCAATCAGAATGTACTTATCTAGAATGGAGAGGAAGATCACCATATGAGATGTCAAATGTTCCTGGACAGCATAGAAGATAAAAAGGGAAGCATGCGACCTCGACCTGATCAATCACATGCATTTGAAGCCTGTCATTGTCTTATTTTTGTGACCATACATTTTTTTCCGCGAAGTTGGATATGTCGAAAACTGGTGTCTTCAAGGGAAGCGCGTGAAAGTAGCGGGGCCCCTCGCAGATAGTGTCGAAATTCGCAGCATCGTCCGGATCATTTGCGTATGATGAAGAGCGAGAAATTTTGGCCCCTAAAGAGCAACGAGGACTAGCTGGATAGTCATTGTCATGCATTTCTTTATTGGGCATAGATAGTCCGGCGAGGTATAAAAATGATAAATAGATATGAGGAACCAAGAACAGATGATCCTCCCTCTGCAGCGGCGAAAATACGAATTTACATACCTACTGAATATTCTCATAAGTCTGCAGCTGTGCACGAGGCGTTATTCTTCACGCATCTGCACTTCTCTGTGGCTGGCCAGTTGTCGTCGCGTGCCGTATGAAAGCACAAAGCACATACAAATTTGGGTTTTCTCTCGCTCGGAAAGTTCTGCTAAAGACTACATGTGGTCTTACTTAATGATCCTAGTTCACAGAAGGAAGTTCCAAATGTAGACAAACGACCATCCTATACCCAAACATGAAAATAATAGGAGACGGAACTATCTACTTCTTGTATTAGAAATTTGAAAAATGAGCCAGATTTACTCTACTTTACCCATAAGTATAATAGGCGACCTTATCGCATCCAACGTAGTTGCGTTCTTCACAGGCGCTATCGCAAGTAGACTGGTCTTCAACAAAACTATTCTGTTCAATCATTCTGCAAGTTGGTGGCACTATGCTCGTACCACGAACTGTACTCGTGGCAGTCACTTGGGCCTTCTGATAGAGTATGAAGGGGTTTCTTACAGGACTTCCTGGGTGAGTTCGGACGAGATTCAGGTAGGTACAGTAAACAATCTGCTCATGTAATATGAAACTCTAAGATCATGACTGAATAGGTATGATCGCGGAGCCATCGAAGCAAACTCAAGAGTAGTAAAACTTAGAGGTTGCCTGATATTTTTGATCTTTGGCATAATCGTGGCATCACTAGTGGCCTCTGCTCGTGCTCCGATGAGCTGCTGCGCTCGTTTGTTCCTCGACCTCGTCACACTCTGCTTGACGTTTAACTTTGAATCTGCATCCTCCTCACTTTCCGCCTCAACATCAGACGACTGCTCATCCCCATTCTCGCCATTGCTGTCCTCTTCTTGCTCTACTTCGTTCTTGTTCTCCACTGTTGTAGTGAACCGCATAGACTTCTGTGACGTTTTCTGAGCTTCTCCTTCTACTCTCGTGGCATCTTCGACATGTGCAACACTATCAGCCGCATCCTGATTGTTTGAAGGTGACTCTCCTCCTTGTTCAACATCGCGATCACCACTTTCTTCCTCTACTATCTTGCTGCCATCAACTTCAACACGTTCACCACTATCATCCTCCTGCGCCTTCAGCGACGCTTGCGTCCTCTCTGCAAGTTTCTTCCTTCGTGCTTCTCTCAACAGCTTTTGGTCTACTACCTCACGCCTGGTGCCTTGATTATCAGCAGCCACAGTGCCCAGCCCTCTGCTGGAAGAAAGCGTCTTTTTGCGCGTGGTGCCTTGAAACATTTTTTAGAGGATGTAAATCGGGTTTGCTTAGGGTTGGTTGAGGTTCCTCGGGTTTATTGCTCAGATCCGTTGTTGGTTCACATGCTCGTCGCATACAATTACAAGGTGTTGATGCTCACACACACATAACTTGATCAGATCATGATTTGAAACATTGATATAAAAATCCAAGACTACAACAAACGAAGTCGTGTTTGAAATATGGTTGGCATTGCAGTGAATATTAGTAGCCTCTCATAACTTCTTCCTGAGTTCATTTTCTCATAGTTCGCTAGACTTTTCTTGCGGTTGGCGAGTTGCATTTGTTCTCTCTGCGAACGTCCTAGTTGTAACCGTACTTTTCGAATCCGCTCCTTCAATTCCGCTATCTCAGTCTCGGACTCGATGCTATTCCCTTGTAGTTCTTCCTTCGCCTCTCCTTCCCTAACTTCATCGTCCTCGACGTCGTGGCTCCGTGATTGCTTGATGTTCCTGTCGTTGTTGTCCTGGCTAACTTGTCCTGCGCTACTTCTTTTTCCGCTTTTTTCATCTGATGAGGTAGTTATTGATTCCGATACTTTGATGTAATCGAGATCGCCTCTTCTTCTAGAACTTGTTCGCGAGGATGAAGATATTCTACTCTTTTTTGTAGACGATGACCATGCTTTTGTTCTAGCGTCCTCTAGACTCTTCCTTTTCCTAGCTACTGCGACAGCCCTTTTTGCCCTCACGCTCTTCAAAGTAGTCTGACTCCTATTCGAGAGTTCTGTAGTTTGAGTCCTTGTGATTCCCTCGTCTTTGCTGAGCGAAGCAGAAGGTGAAGCATCTTCTGGTGAAGAAGAAGGGTCGTCTTTACCTGATGAAAGTACTTGATTTTCCTTGTCGTGATGCTGCGGACCTTGATGCAACTTGAATGTCAACTCTCCTTTCTTCTTGGTTGTTGCGGGCAACACGTTGTTTTTACGAGCTATGCTTCTACCACTGGAACCGTTTTTGTCGTCTTCTGCATCACTGGCCTCCAGATCATCCCGTAACAGAAAATTTTCGAGTTTTATCAACGGCTGTTCCTCAGCCAAAACTGATGACGACGACCAGCAAAACTGATACAATACCGCACAAATAAAGTAGACGGTCGTGTTCACAGAGCATGCTGGTCCCCCAATGTCCCGTCTCCGAAGACGTCTCATGAGGAATCTGCGATATCCGCCTAAGCGGCGGAGTAAAGGGGCACCTCTGACCCAGTCGAATTCAAGTCATTTTTTCATTCATCATGCAAGATTCATTTTCATCTATTATCCGTGACGACCTAGAACCACACTAGTAAGTGATACCGTTAATGTAAACATTCTTTTCCCGAAGGCCAGTTGCCCTTTCCAGGGGCACTACATATTTTGACGATTATATAAATTCTTGTTTTCAGTAGCGACGTGTAGACTTTTTTAGTGAGAACCTTATGCGAGGCTGGCGGGTTTTTGTAACGCACCGAATAAAAATTTAGAGTCGCCAGTCGGTAAATGCGCTAAGTGCGCTAAGAAATCCGTCTGTTTCTGCTCTTTTTAGTTTTGGAAACGAAGATCATGCTATTTTTCCCTCTCCTCAGTTATTTTGCCGTCCACTCTGCGTTCTCTCACTCGGCGCGACACTTCATCAGACTAAGGCAACCCGCGGTAGCTCTTTGCATGCACTAGTATCGCAGTATCGCAGAATCGGTGGTGGTCGGATGACGACCCAACACGCAAGCATGCGACCCAGCCCGCTGATCATCATTCATGTCATTTCTTTCGTTGACATGTTTGCACAAAACAGGAAAATCACTCATGATGATCTTGAATAGTTAGTGATTGCTCTGTTTGTTAGTGAGGAATTCTCGAAGGAAAACCGAGGTAAGGATGATTAGAAGCAAGCTGGAGCTTCGAAGGAACAGACAAGAACGTCCAGGAAGACTATTTTCGATCGAACTTCATGCGAATTATGCTCCACTTGGTGAAGAAGTGAGAAAATGAAAATCCCATATCAATGATGAAGATTTGAAGTATAGCACTATTAACCAATAGATATGATAGTACTTTTCGTTAAATGTGTGCTCAACATCATGCCCCTACTAAAATCCGTATATACAGCGCCACTAACATCATGATCATCATGTACAAAAAAATTATTGTAGTTTTCCAAACAATTTCTATATACCGCCACTGCGATGTCCGTTATCTATGGAAGGTGCATGCTTGAGCACTGTGAGAAAGCACCATTTCAGTCTCTTATGCCTTTTGCGCCTTTACTTGAAACACTTAAGAAACTCAAAGCCACATAAGTAATCTAGCAGATGATTATACTTGGTCCAACAGAATTGAAATTCATCGACTCACCAGGCTTTCTCTGGCACGTTTCTATGCTTGTTATTACCATCTCATTAAAACTCAGAGACAATAACGAAAACGATCATGATCTAGCCTAATTTCTTCAACAATAATGGTGTGGGTCTTGGCGACTAGCAATTTCATTCAACAACACTGGTGACTAATTCTCAAAAAACGGCTATGTAATATTGTTTCTAATATTCCTATTGACTGTAACCTCTAATATATTCTTCATGGAAGTACTAAAAGTTTTTTTCAATTTCAGGATGGTTTCTTTAGCATGTTCGCGAACATTCCCTGGAGAAGGACAGTCGCCACATAGTATATGAGGCAGAAAAAGCACATGACGAAGAGCACCAACGGCAGAAAGAACAACAACAGGGTCGACGTGCCTGCAGAAGCCGAGGCTATTCCCGTTCCGACGCGGCAGTTAGAAGATGGTAATTCTGGTAAATGAATGTTGTACTAGTGAACCACAAAACAACAAGTGGACAAGAACTTCCCGGAGTTGTTATTGCAAGAAAGTTCGCTTACCAACAATGAATCAGCTATCTTTATCTTCGTCAAAAGAAAAAGTCTTTGCTCTTAACTGTTCCAGTGGTATTGGAGGTTAAGGATGCGACGCGACTCGTGAAGCAAATCTGGTTCCAGACCCAGGTTACCGCTGGATCCGCGTTCGCGCATAGGGTGCCATTCTTCAGGCACTGGCATTCGTTCGTCTCTGGCCATGTGGTCGCCTGCACTTCGACATGAAGAACAGGGACGATAGTCCGAATCGATTATTTGTATTACGACTAGGACTACAACTACAAGTTTGACAAGTGTCTATAATAAGCTGTAAACCAGATGTAAATTTTTCCTATTGATAGATAAGATACAAATGTAGTTCTTTCCGATCTATTATGATGGTACTGGTGGATTTAAATTGCTACGCATAAAATAAAGTGAAAGACGGTAAAGTGTCATGTGAACTCTAAATGGACAGATCTCCCAATTTAGTAGGTGCGTGCTATCTAATAACCGCGTATGTCCAATATGTACACACATCGACTATCTAATGGCCGCGTGCTCCATAAACCCAATTTGAGTTGACGCCGCAGACTCCCCGGTAGTACTCGCTTTTGCAGGCGTCGACACAACTAGGAGCATCGACAATAGGTCCAACACCTCGATGAGCTTATGAAAGGAGAGGGACAAGAAAGGGGGACAAAAGAGAGAGGCATTACTGGGAGACACAGCGCAATACACAGAGCACATGAGATCTCAAAACTTAAAGACACGCATCTTGACATCCGGTCGTGGCTAAACAAACAGAGAGAAAGAGATCAGGGTTTCCAGTTTGTAACCGAAAGCGAACTATCGGAGTTCTTCTAAATTTCGTCTCCACCTAGCCATACCATATACAAATCGCAGTCCGGTACACCTGTGCTATTTGATGCTCTGGCTGCTTTTGTCCGTGCTCCACCTCCTCCGTGGGACGTAACGAACTTTCTTTGTAGAGAAAGCGGGTTTCTCATTCCCTCTGCTGGTGCCAAGAAAGACATTTTCTCTACGACCACCAAGCTTGGTGGAGATTCCGCGACTTCCGCTTTGTCATTTTTCCTAATACCCCTTCTTCCAGAGGGACCTCTAGGTGGTGGTGAAATTTTTCTTGACATCGTCGACCTGCGTCCTCCTATGTCGTATATTTCGGACGAAGATGTTAAGCTTTTTTGTCCACTAGTTTCCAGGGATGAGGATGTTGGCGCGCCACCACCAGCTTCATTCCTAGTATTTTTGCGCAGGTGCGCCGCCACAATCTGTGGTTCTTGGCTCCGCTTACTTGCCTTGACCTCGCTCTTTCGTGGTGAAGATCCTGCTCTGCCGCTACTTGTCTTGTCGTCCTCGGTCGTCCTTCCTGAAGTAGAGGATGGTATGCTGCCTCCGTTCTGCTCATTCGACGTCGTTTTTCGTTCAGTAGTCACACTTGGGGGAAGGCCCAGTGGAACTGCTCGAGGACTCGGTAACGCCCCTGAACTTCTAACGCTTGTAGTTGACCATTGCCACACAAACAGCTGCACCGCGCGCCGCGAAGCGCATCGCGAAGCAGCCATTATTCAATCTGAATCCCTCCTTGTTATTCAGACGCACCAGTGAAAATATCTGCTCAACAACATCGTTTCTGACACTTTTTATTCGACAAGAAATTGTGTCCTTGATCGAAGCAATGTTGCAGGTCGGCAAAGAAAATATCATCAATTTTTACTTTTCTTTCGAACCATAAAACTACCACTAGTAAATTGTTTAGAATAGCACCCGGTTGTCGCCTACCTCAACTTCGCCAATTTGAATAAGTATCCCTCGCTTGGGACGAATTTTCATCGTCATTAATCTCTCACCAGGGAGTAAGATGGTACGCTAAAGACTCAGATGCACATCGCCGTCGATTTGTACATCGTAACCATATCCGCCGACAGGAATCACGTATCGAACAAGAAGAGGAAGAAAATCAATTTAAATGAAAGCCTGCCATCGAACGGCAAGCCCAAGAGCCTCTGAGGGCCATTTTTATTCTGCTTTTGTATTTAGTTTTTGCGGCAGTAATCCTGTAGTCACATGCGTACATCACATGCCACAATTCTATCGCTAGATATAGTCGTGGCTGCTACCGACGAGCAATACCAGTACCCGACGTCCACAGTCGCTGTACCAAGAACATTGACATTCACCCCAAATCACGCCCATAGTATACTTAATCCGATCAATTCGCGTTAAAAATACCCATGTGAATTTGATTCGAAGCAATAAACTAGATACAATTTTCTCAGATGTGAAACGATGATGTCACGGATGAGTGATGATGTGGTGCTGTTCATATCCTACAAGTGTATGAGTCTCGTGTTATAACAACTTCATTATAATTGGACGACGAGTAGGGTAACGAATGAGTGCGTCATGATGTTATGAAAACACATGTGGTTTATGTTGTAGATGGTGGGAATGGGTTACGAATTTATCAAAATTTCTGTGTTGTAATGTTGTCCGCTTTTACGCTGCGGCGGGCAGAGCCAGAGGACGTCATGACCGAAGAGCCGAAACGCATGCCTATCTAGTAGCGACGTCTTCGTTTATTTTCGCCACCGCGGTCGTCGTAGTGATCGTCGCGATCGTCGTAGTAATCACCGTCACGACCACGTCCACGCTTGCTCTTTTGATCGGCACCTCTCCTGCTCTCCTCTGCGTCTCTGCCTCCGCGCCTGTCATCGCGTTCCCTTCTAGCATCGGGTGATGCCTGTCGGCGTTCCACAAGTCGGATTCGAGGTGGCTCTTGGCCACGGTTGTCGCGACGTCCTCGATCGTCACCACGACTCTCGTCCAGATCGCCTCGATCCCGGCCGCGTCTTGGACTTCTCTCTCTCCGCGGTTCGAGAAGGATTTCCCTAGCTTCTCTCCTGCTGGAGCGATCAAAGGCAGCCATGCGCTCCTGCGCTGTGCCGTAGGGGTCCCTATAAATATGGTGTTCAACATCACATATAAGCCATTGTACTTGCGATGCCCCCCAACTGGTAAGAAAGAGGAAGGTGAGATGATTAATCTTTCTGTGTCACAAACATTTGTGGTTGAAACCCTATTTAATGTACAAACCAAGAAATACCCTTGAACCGATGCTGAATTTTTGCGACTGCTGGACGAGTAGAATTCGTCTTCGGAGTGTGCGTAATTGCTAGTTCTGCTCGCTGCCTCTGCTCGACGAGAAGGCACACCGGGGAATGCGGAGGACGAAGTGCCACCTCCGTATAAGCTCGTGCTGCCTGAAATAGACGGAGTGCCTTCGCTTTCGTTCATGAAGTCCAAGAAGCCCTCCAATTCTCGGTTAGCGCCATGATCCGCAACGGGCGCGAAGTCGCCGCGGCCAAAGCCTCCGCCGAAGGACGAGCCGCCGTCTCCTACTGGCATAACGCCAGCAACAGGAGCTCCATTTTTAAGGCCTTTTCCTGCTCCGGCTGGACCGTAAGCCGCCGGCGCTTGTGGTGGACCGCCGTTGTAGCCGTTTGGAGGTCCTGCATTGCCGCCTTTGCCGTAGGGACCGGAAGGAGCGCCGTAAGGGCCAGAAGCGGCGCCGTAAGGACCATGTGCGCCCTTGTTCCTCCAGGAAGGTGGACCCATGGGCGGACCCATTTTGCCTGAGATGAGATTTGAGAAGGAAGGTGCTATTCAGTTTCAACAACCGCATTCATCATGGTACTAATAACCTTGTAGGAGCATCAGAAAAATGAAACTAATTTGCTTCTTACACATCAAAATAACAACAAGTGAACTCCTAAATCCATCGACAATCGTTGTAGAACAAGTGGTCAAGAAAAGTAAAAGTTCATACCACCCTTTCCCTTCATCGATTCCTGTGCGAGGCCCTTGACTTGTTGCGCAGTGTATGCTTTTTCGTCTTTCTTTTTCATCAAATCCAGGAGGTGATTCGTTGAGACAACATCAGACTCCAATGTCACTTCGGGTGCCTGGGCTTCTGGGGTAGCCTCCGTCAGCTCGTTCCAGGTCTGTAGCGCCTGTGCCTTCAGTGCTAGCTTTGTCGCGAAGGTCGCCTCAACACCTTTTTTAGGACAAAGTTTTTGATGAGTGGTGAACTAAGATTTAATGATACGTATTACGTAGTATGGTAAGTAGGAGTTGCTTTTTTCTCATAGAATCTATGTTGTAATGTTGTCTCGTTGCGTCAGAGGCAGATCACAGCTTTAATAGTTATTGACAAGTGTCTGTTTAGTACCATTTTGCTTGCACCAGTTGACGTCTCCTCGGTACTCCTTGACTGTTCGCCCAGCTCGACCTTTTTTCTTGAAGCCTTCGGGCTTCACGTCAGCAGCCGTCGCTCTACGGACCTCCACATAGTGATTTCTTACTCGCCATATGCCTGGGCCCTCGTTCTCTTCCTGTGGCACCATTTCCCCCGTGACGTACTTTACTGTAACTAGCTCAAGTACTGCATTGCCTGTGGTCATGTAGTGAGCTCCTATCATGATCTTTTGTTCATCAAGATGAATAACTAGCTCACCTCAGATGAACAACGAAAGGCAGCAATGCAATAGCATCCTTCGCTAACTCTCTCCTAAAAAGATATGAAAGCGCAAGACGAAGGTGTAAAAGCTAGATAGCTGTAGTTTTACTTCGTGATCACAAAGAAATCACACTAAATCTATCGTATGGTACAAGCCTCCTTGTCTTTGCACTGCACTCTGAGCAGGAGGTCTGAGATCCATTCGACCTTTGCGACGGTTCCCTGCTCAACTTTTCCGTTGAATATTGCCCATACTTGCCCAATGCTGCATTGGTCCAGTCCGGCCATGATGATCGCGTCGTCTAGTTCTCCCTCTTTCAGGGCCCACGTTTCCGCGAAATTTTTGCGCGGTTTCAGTATCACCTCGCCTCGTTCTTCGTTCACCACGCTGGACTCGAATCCCGCTTCTGAGGAAGCCAAAAAATCGCCTTCGTCATCGGCAACGGCATCGGACTCGCCGACCTCGTCAGCCGCGGAGGAGACGGCGCGTTCCTCGACCACGACGTTGGATCCATGCGCGCTCTCGTCAATGGACATCTCAACGTCCACAGCTAACTGCTGTGAAGCAACGCCCTCAGACGCTGCAACTCCGCTCTCGGAGGCCTCTGCGCCAGGCACAGCAGCAATACTGCCGCGATCAGTCTGCCTGGACGGTGACAGAACTGATGACTCCAGGTCGGAGGGAACAACTGCGGCTGCTTCGGGGGCCCTTTGCTCCATACCCGCCTGCTGCGACTGAGCGCGGAAAAGCTGCACAGCTTCTTCAGACATCTTTCTTTGCTCTAGTATCTAAAATACCTTCATAGGAGAAAACTCATAGACATAAAAGATTAATCACAAACTGCTAACTGCGCGTACTAGAGCTGGTGTGTATCATCAAATCAGTTTCAGTGGCAGTAAACGATCACCTAATAAGCGTCCATCTCTCTTTATCAAAAAAAGCCAGCCACAGTGAAAGCAGCAGCAAAACATATTTCACACACACCTAGAGATTGATAGTGCCAATAACAAGTAGAAAGATAAATTTGAATTTCAAACAGAGAATGAAAGACATCCTACTCCACTTCTACATTACTCCGCAATAAGATTACGATTCATAACAATCAAGTGACGATTTTATTTCTCCGTGCCGGATGGCAGGCCATTACCATTTTGCGCATCTTCTATGATCATGAACTATCAGTTAACATCTTATCGAAGTGTAGTAGCACCTCCGGGAGTGAAGTGACTTCATCAAAATTCCAACAGATCCTGTCCTGCACAAATGATCGCTGTGCCAGTTCAGATGGAGATCCATACCGCGGAAGATCCGCACAAGAGTTCGGAGATGAAGGATTCTAAGAGTTCGCAGAGAGGAGAGTATTTGCTTCGTGTCATCTGTGAAGCTTGGTTCGATCCAGAAAGCCTAGAAAGCATACCGAAGCCGACAAGATAGATCCAGGTGCCACTGTGCAGCACGAGAGATGTAGACCAAAGAACACATGGTGACGACGGAGACAACATGTGCGTGGAAGGCGGCTCCTTCCAACGTGACGTTCAAAGAACAGAGGAGCGCCACTGCTAGTTACAAAATGAGAATTTTTCAACTATCATTGTTCACGGTACAGAATAAACGAGATCTTTTTGCGGCCCCTGTGTGTGTGTAAGTCATTCTGAGAGTCAACTGCTGGTAAGGGAAAAGTATTACCTTGGGTGGCAGAAGAAAATAAGCTTTGAAGCGGAGAGAACAGTGCTAGAATGAAGAGAAATTACTTCTAGAGGTCGAGTACCAAAGATAGTGGCAGAAGAAAATAAAGTTTCCCACACATCTAAATACGCACACAAAGTTTCCCACACATCTAAATACGAACATTAGTGTTCATCATAAGCTCCATATTACCGTACATTTAGGATCACGTCGTGTATCAAATAAATCAAATGGACCTGCGGAATCGATATACTGATGAATACAAGACACAGTTTTAGTTTTTGCTTTTGTTAAATTGTAGATCGACTTGGAAATAAAGGTAGAAAGTTTCCAGAAATAAGTCCATACTTTTTAACTTGTAAAAAAAAACATGAACATGATCAGCAAAAGTTGTGTGGTAGTCAAGTCATTAACGAAGCGTTGACACAGGTGCCCCAGCTTCTTAAAGCCACTTCGATGCTGCGACTACGTTTCTGACGAAGGAAGGAGTTCCCTAATCAGCTTCGCCCCTTCGGATCCCCCGTCCCACTTTGCGACATGCTCTGCCCACTGCGAGGCGGTCCAGCCGCTCTCGTCTCGCCACAGTGGATCTGCGCCGCAATGCAGTAGCGCCTCGACCATCGCCGACCGCTCCGCTGCCACCGCGATATGCAGCAACTGATTGCGGGTCCAGCCAAAGGGTTCGATAGTTTCGTCGGCTTCGCCTAGAGCTTGCGCGTTCTGAATTGCGCCGACGACTCGTTGCGCTAGTGCGGCGTCTGACGTTTTGGTCTCAGTCCAGAACGCTGCCTCATGACGCACAAATTGAACATCGTCCAAGAGAGACGGGAATGCCTGCAGAATGTACGCTATCGCGAGAGCTTGAGCATTGCAACTGCCATTCTGGATCGCGCGGAGCGTGACTGCGCGGCGTGCGGATCCACCGCCGGCATTCGGAAGTCTGGAAGTCGTGTCATCATGGCGCGGCTCCTCCGTCGCTCTCGCATCACTCTCGCCCTCGTCTTCGAGCAGACCAGTCATCGTCATCGCAACGTTGTGCAGCTGCTTGATGAACGCAGCATCGCTGTCGTGCTCGCCAACGTGTTTTGTGTTGCGGATCCAACGAAGAAGGCCCTGAAAGTCAGCCCTTCCCAAGATTGCGCAACCCACGGGCTGCGAATCCAGCAGCGGCTTGGCAGCCTCCTTCCAATTCTCATAACCGTGTGTGTTCTGGAGCAGCCAGTAGTGCAGTGTACTCTTCTTGGCGCGATCGGACAGAAGCGGGATCTCCTTCAAGCCGCGAATCACCGTCGGTATTTGCTGGCGCTTGAGCGACATCCTCTTCAGAAATTTCTGGGTCGTGAAAAAAGTTCCTCCCTCTGAAGAGGCGCAATCAGTAGCCTCAGCAGCAGCTATATTCGGATTGGCGCCTTTATTTGTCGCAGGCACAGCCCCACTTCCAACTCCCGTCTGAATTTTCGTTCCAGTGGCCTGCTGCCCGTTCATCCGACTGTTTTGCGGATCCGCATTTTCGTTGCCAGGTTCTTCTGGCGCAGGCGGGACCTCTGCAAATTTAAGCATGTCTTCTCCGACATTAAGGAATGTCTCGTGAACCTTCATGAAATCTTTTCGTGTCCGTTTCAGGATGCGCGCTTCTCCAGGTTTGAGCATTTCCACCAGTAATTGCTCGACTTTATATCCGGACTGCAACAGACGCACAGCGCACTCGTATATCCTTCTTGCCGAAGTGCCAAAGGCTATTTCCTCAGAGGTATATCGTATTACCTGCTCGAAATATACACCGGGCAGGCGCCCGCACTTGTGTGTGCGCGCCTGCCACTTCAGCAAGCGCGCCGCCTCCCGGGCGTCGGGGTTGTCCTCGAAGAACTCTGTCAATTCGTCGTTCTTGTGAAACGACTCCCGCATGGCAGAATATTCGTGTAGTTCTATTTTCTTCTCGACTTTTTCAAAGCTAACGTCGTATTCGTGTCCACTGTTGAGTTCCACCTTCAGAACCGCCTTACGCGCGAACACCCGCTTGACAAAATCAATCTCATTCTCGACCTCCTGCACCAATTTTTCCATATCCGCGGCCGTGACAACCTGCCTAGTTTCCACTTTCAAGTCCACGTCGGAACCACGAACTCCAGTGCCTTTCACGTGCGATCCACTCATTTCCAACTCGGCGGAGGGACCGAAATGGTCCTCGACTACCTCCCGCAGCGACTCCAAAAAACGACTATGTCCCGGCGCTACTTCCATCCGAGGCACCCGGTTCTTTACGAAATGTATGAATTCAACCTCGTTCACCGGGAGTGCCGCCTTCTCGGCCAATTTCGGCGGCTCAGCAGCAGCCGCAGAAAGGCGCGACAGGCGGGCCAGCGCCTCTGGTGTCAAGCCGAGATTTTGGAACTGGCGGAGCAGTCCCGCAATGTCAACATCGTCCGAAGATGCCACCATTTTTTCGTCTCCAAATCCAATTGATCAATCACAATTTTCTGGCTTTTAAAGACTTGATGTCTCAACAATCAATCACTCTTAATACGGAAGATCTCAGTTCAAATCTATTTGTTCTAGATCCAGAATCAACAACCATGAAAATCGAGACAACACTACAGTACAACTGGCATCTCGATCAAGAGAATGCAAATACCAAAGTGATTTATCCATACCAGGTTACCTGCTGTGCGATGCAATAAAAAAATTCAGGTTGATTATGAGGCAGTCGTCTTGAGCGTGATAGACATGCTCGAAAGGCTCGACTGGTCAGAGTTCTCATACCATGGCATTCTGGGGATAGGCAGGAGTCGGATCCATCAGTATCGGATCGAAGCCAAAAATTGAGAGCATGAACAGCGTGTATACTGTATTATCTTCCGGCCCCGACGAACATTCTCTCGAACAGTGTGCGACTCCCGTGTGTGATTCCAAAGCCAATGGCGAGGGTAGAATTTCAATTGAAAGCCGCCACCTCCTCGTATGAGCATTTCCAAGACAGTTTTCATCTTATGTCAGCCACTGAAGCATCAAAACGAATGATGTGTCTTTCAAAGCAAACAATTACAACCATGGAATAAATGTCAGCTCGTGAACAATGAGATCTGTCAGAGAACCACTGTGCAATAAAAATGATGGCACTTCTTCTTTCTCCACTAAACAAAACCTTTCTACATCACCATATGATTCTGTACTAGTGCGTCTTAGCTCGATCTTAGAACATAATTACTTTGTGTTTGTCACCCTTCCCTTTTTTAACATTCTTTTTCGAGGAGGCAGGACAAGCATCACCTCCAGCATTCTTATGGTGATTCCTCAAATCAATGAATTTGTCGAAATCCAAATTTTTGTATTTGACTAGTAATTCGCCAAAATTCGGGTTCATCACGGTACTTCCCTGGAACTGAATCTGATCTGTTTTCTCCACCAAAGGTATATTGCAAAACCGAAAAACGTAACCTTCGCTTAAGAAGTTGTCCATTTTATCGACTTCCAATTTCTGCTGATCTAAGGAAAGGTTCGGTGCTAAAGCGTGTTCGAGCTGCGCGAAAAAAGGGTTAACGCTCGTGTTTCTTGGAAAATAGAGATTTCGCGAGAGAGTGGCTGTGCGTTTGCCATAAAGGTTTCCAAAGCTGCCTGACGATTGCATCAACTCGGCGAGCGACAGATGCATTACCAGAGGGGCCAAAACGCAACAAGGGCCTTTCTGTTCTTGTTCTTGAGGAGCTGCAACATTTTCTTTACTCGTTAACGCTGTGCCATGTGATAATTTTGTTAAAGTTGTACTACAAGCCGTATCGGTGGAGCTCGTTGCCTCATTCCCATTTGTTGCGCTTGCAGTTCTTGTTGCAATCGAGGAAGTAGTACTCCTAGATGAATCCAGAAGAGAGCTGTCGAGAAAGGTTTCGATCTCCTTCCTTTCGTACCGAGACCCATCAGGCTTCCTGATATCAAAGATAACAAGCTTTTGCCAAATCTCGTCGCATCTATCAGCCTCCGCGAAAAGCCGAACCATACAGTGATGCTGCGGCCCGAAATGGAAAACTTGACCCTGCTCGGCTTGATGCTTACCGGAAACTCTTGACGTAGGTGAAAACTTCTTGCTCTCGTCCACCACATCTGTCTTGTTGCTATTCTTCTCTGCGGAAGTAAGGCTGCTATCATCATCTCCTGCTACACCGCTACTTTTGTTATCGTCCTCATTTTGTTTTAGAGGATTTTCATTATCGTCATCAGCTGGCTCCTCGGCGAAACCGAAAGCACGCATGCGGTCCCTTGTTTTGCGATAGACATTGTACTGCTCCTCCTCGATGGCGGACTCGATATTGATCGTCGTATTTCTCGGGAACTGTACGTCCGCGCAACGCATGTGCAGTCTCGCAAAAGGCTCTGCTTCCTCCCAAATGGCCCCTTGGTACTTCGTGCGAAGGATGCACACACTTGTACAAGAACTTGAGCTACTCGATGTCTTTAGCTCGTCTACGGCAGTCTTCTGTTCGTCGTTCTTCTTATCGTTGCCTTCACTCCCGTTCATAGCGTTACTAGGCTGAGTTTTTTTGTGATCCCAACCAGTAGCTGCAGGTGTAACGGAGTAAGCTCCTCTCCGCTCAAAGAATTCGTTCAGGGAATGCAACTTTGACTCGACGCAAAAGGTCGAAGATTCTGAAGGTCTAGAGACCGATGGGGCCAAATTGAGCTCTCCAATTTCAGTCCTAAAGGAAACTTTTGTCTCCTGGTCCACGAGCTGGTCACGGTTCTTTTTGCTGTATTTGGTTTCGTAGAAAGAAAACGGCAACGACTCCCAAAACTCAGCTTCGTAGGCAACTTTATTTCTTCTGATCTTAGCTGCGCCCGTGATGTCAGACGCGTCGGCCTCAGCAGGAGCTTTACTCCTTACTCCTGCTCCTACAATACGTGTACTAGTACTGTCCTCTGCACCTGGTGCTTGTTCATGTGCTTGTGCTTCTCCTTGTAGTTTGTCGTCGTCAATGTCATCAAAGAGCTTTTCATAAGCAGCAATTTTTGCGAGTTTTGCGGTATCAGCGACGTTGACTTGTTCAGCATCAGGCGATGATGATTTCTCATCTCCGGTGCCACTCCCTATTGTTGTTCCATCGTCCTCCTTCGCCTCTCCTTCCTCTCCCATTATTTTCTTCCTGCTTTTGCCAGCAACAGGTCTTGTCTTGCTCATCTCCAACAGCCAGTTTCGATCCGCTAAAACATACAGAATACAGCCAGAATGATTCACCACGATCGACAATAGGCCAGGTTCTATCACGATGAAAGCCCTTGGGTGTCCATCAACTTTCAGCGTGATTTCGACATTTTTGTGGGTCGCGTAGTTCTTCGGGCCATCATGCTCCATACGGAATAAGAGATGTAAAGCCTGCTCCATTGTGACCCCAGTAGACCCGTAGCCAACATTGAGATTACCTTCCTCAACACAAGTGACACTTCGTTCGGAGGTACTTCCACTACGCGCATGATCTTCTGCGAGCACTTGATCCTTTTCAAGAAGATATGAGAATTTCACATTCCGGATATATTCTGCTTTGTTGGCCCCTATTCGATCGTCTACGTTAGCGGGATGATGCTGCATTGGACTTAGCCACTGCTTTTTCCGGTCTTGATAGACTTTACGAAGAAGCTCAGACCAAGAGCCGTCCTCGTCTTTCTTGTCCGCTTTCTCGTCCACTTGCGTGGCATGAGCCATCTCCGTTACAACTTTGTCATCTAATACTGTGTTTGCTTCGTCAACCGAACTTCCGCTTTTCTCCTCCTTCTCAGCAAAAGCATTTTCCTCCTTCTCCGAGGCAACAAGCCCGAAGTGCTGCCGCAGTCGTTGCCGCACATACGCTTTTGCTTCATCACTGTCCAGGATCGGAAGCGTTTTCTTCTCCGAAAGGTCCGTCATATTTTCAATAACGACCGGAGTTCCGCTACTTATAGTGAACTTGTCTAAATCAACCATGCATCAAGAACCTACTATGTTGAATGTATGTATTTACAGGTACAGAGGATGAACAACTTCCATCAGCAAAGATCAAAAATGATGCTCTTGTTCATGCAAAAAACAAAATAAGGCCAAAAGTTTTCTCTACTAGAACCCGTGTGTTCAAAAACAACACCCGAGACACCTACATCACATACAAGCAAATTCATGATCCAGAAGTCCAAACTGCCACAGAGAGGAATGTCTTTCTTGCCAAAACTTATTCCATACCACCGCGCAAGCGAGCAATGCACCTGAAGGCACAACCAAGAACAAATTCGACTCGAGTCTCAGGTACGCGCTTCTGCGTGGTTGTACTGCTTGCAGGCGCAATACTATATTGATCGACAATCGTCTAACTCGTACTGCGCGACAGAGGTTTGTTTGTGGAACTGATAGGAATGAAAAAGGACTACACCACATTCATACTTCTTACCACGAGCAATACACTCTCCCTGAATCTTGGCTTTCGCAAGAACTAGAACTCGAGTTTTAGATTCGGTTTGTGATCCACAATAGAAGTTTTCAACATTCATGATCCCATACATAAGTATATCTTAAATTTCGAGACTCTCTATTTGAGTCTCGATATTGTGATAAGAAATAAGTTCCAGGAGAGAAAAGACACACGTGCGAGTGAACGAAAAAGAAGCTCTACAATAACAACGACTGTACCGGTAATACTCTGAAGATCTGGTCAGATATATTTGCAGCGAGGTACCACTTTCGTTGGAAGTTCTACTTCAAGTAGCACTTGTAATGTCAAAAATAGCCAGGTAGTTGAAGAGGTTACATACTTGCTTCAAATCAGTTGAATTCATTGTAACAAACAACGAAACAAAGTACTGTGGCGCATGTGATGACCTCAAATACTTCATACTATAACGTAATATTCGAAGCCGTGAACGATAGAATCTAGAGGCGACATAGGCTTAGGAAAAATGTTCTCTATTGAATTGATGACATCAACGATTAACTTAACTGGGGAAGTTGGAGACTTATACTACGTCAAAAAGAACTACTTTGTGTTTCTTGAGTACCGAAGTTCAAATTCTGTGTTTCTTTCTGAAAATGACTATTGTAAGCGACGACCCAAATGCTACTCGCAACCTCCACTTCTGTCGTGGCGCAAGTAACCAGAGTACGATGTAAAATAAGGATAAGGTAAACTTGTTTAAATTTCGTAAGCATATTAGTAGATACTAGAGGCACCCATAACCACCTCCATTCCACACTCCAGATTCCTCTAAGCCTTGAGGCCCTGTCGACACGTCAACTTGTAGATATTGCGAACCGACGGATTGGCACCCTTACTTATGAAATATTCGGCTACGTCGTGGTAACCGTAGGCAAAGAAGAAGTGCAGTCCTGTATTGCCTTTCAGATTCTGCCGATCCATGTCGCCTGAAGAATCATTTTCGAGAAAAATTAAGTAACATTGCAATCAAGAACGCATTTCGGAAGTACCATATGGATATAAGTATAGGTCCTTGAGCCCCTTACATGGTCTCTCGATTCAAGAACCTCCACGACATTATTGTTGCTTTATTGCAAAGCAATACGAATTATCACGAACAGCACGACAAAAACAAAATCAAGTCAAGCTTTAAATACGTAAAGACAATCAACCAAGAATTTAACAAGTTAAATAACAGTACCTCCGTATTTAATCGCGAGCTTTGCAATTTTTTTGTTTCCGTTCTGTGCCGCGACGTGGAAAAGGGTGTTGCCAAAATGGTCCTGCGAGTCTGGATCGAACCCGTTGTGCAGACACCTTTCCACTATTTTCGCGTGCCCGTGTCTGGCATAGGAAAAAACACTCTTCGTGTCTAAAAAGATCTTCTCCGTGTCAGGATCTGGTTGGAAAAAAGAGAGCAGGCACTAAAACTAATACAACTGAAACAAAGAATGAGTGTTTCATGATGACTAACGACACCAACATGAAAATTGTATTTTTAGCAACTACAACCTTAAGTCTCCCATTACCTGGAATCGAGCTCATCCTCGAGTGTGGGGACGCAGTGGAATAGGTTGATCGACTACTTCGACTGCTCTCTGGTGGAGTGATCCAGTCCGGATTACTTCTGGCCGACTCCCCCACCATTCTGCCGCTTCCAGAGCTACGCGCCGACCCAAAACTCCTGGCACTTGATGCGGGGAAAAATTGCTGGAACGGATCGTGTATCGCTTGATAACTCGGCGTCGATGTTGGCAGATTATTGGGATTCATATTCAAGCCTCCTCCAGGAATTGAAGCAGATGAAGAGGAGGACGGTCCACCCGTGCCCACAATTAGCGTAGGAGAAGAGACGGACGCCGTACGCGAGCCACCCGTTGGTAGTGGTGGCGGTCGAGCGCTGGATCCTAACCCATCCGTAGGCGACCCAATTGGAGGACTCGAGGCGAGGTGCGGACTCCTCACTGTGCTGATCGGCGGCGGTCCTGGTCCTCTTGGCAACCCAGCCCTTGAAGACGACCCCAAGCTAGGAATTGCCGCACTATTGGATGCTGAAGATCCGAGAGTGCCAGTACCTGATTCGGCAGCACCTTCACCCGAGAAGCTACTTGTGCGAGAGGACGAAACTGCTCCAACCGACTGTGACAGTGACTGATGTGAGTCTACTACTAATCCAGCGGTACTAGTAGAGAATTCTATATTACTAGAAGTTGCAGAGCCTCTTTGTGCGAGAGCAAATTGCCTTGTTCTACTTCTGGTGTCTTCTACTACAACGTCCTCCCTTACCCTCGTCTTAGTATTAGAAGTAATACCATCTCCACCCGGAATCACAGGGGCAAAAGATGAAGACGAAATTGTTGGATGCTGCGGCATACTACGGAAGTCGTCACCAGATTCAGACATGCCACTTCTCGTCCATCGATTGGCGTAGTCGCCGCTAAGAACGATAGCAGGCATGATACTGCGTTTAAAACATCAAACACAGGATTACTGTCTTCTACAGTTTACTTTTTCTTCTAGAGCTACTAACGATTTTGAAAATACATAGAAGAATTTGTCTGCGGTCTGACAACAACGCTGTCTATGTTTTCCCGCCATTTATAGCAGATCAAAACACTTTATCTGTCTAGCTCTACTACAGACGTTTCAACATAACAAAGCGAAATGAAAATCATAGGAAAGTAACGATCAAAATGGGTAATTACAAACCGAAAGCTTCATAACATCACCAGTCTTGATCCTCAAAATCTAGCTTTTTCCTCAGTGTTTTTACTTTGTGACACTGAAGTATGCCATGTACACCGAATAGTCTCTCTACATCCGACCGAAGTAGTCCTTTCTCTACTCGACTGACAAAATTTCACCGAAGGGTTCCGATTTTCTTAAACACGATGTTCTCCTCATCGGGCAAATTCATCACAACTTCGACGGGGCGTTATCACTTCGTCTACCTATACTCGAATTCTAAGTAACATTAGACCGATCGCCGATAGCCAGAACTCCACCTGCAGCCGACAACAAGATCGCGACAGCATGATAGTAAGGAAGTTCCCGAAAGATCGATCCTCGAGATTACAACGAACACACACAGACAACATTGCCATTGCTGCCTTCAATGTCATTGTCATTCTATTCTGTGCATCCTAAATAGGTTTGCTGCACCTACCGGCAGGATGAATCGATGTGACAAGATTCCACAAAAAAGTAGAACTTGTAAGCCAACGAGGAATAAATTGTCATATAACTGTATTAGAATATTTTGTCAATAATACCTTGAATCAAATACAAATTATCACATGACAAAATACTCGTAAAATGGGGGAAACGCGGATCTGGTTCCAAATCCAATGTCTTCGGCACTCCAGCTGTGGTGGGACTGTTAGGATGGCAACAATTTGCCTTCTGGAAGAGTGAAGGAAGGGCTTTCCTTACAACAATGCAAGGCACTAAGACGAACAATCCAGTTAAATTGCACACCATTCATTTCAAAAACACAGCCTCGGCGCTATACCTCGTTGGCGGCGCTCATCGACCTATCCCATCTGCTTGACGTTCGCGAGAGGATACGATTGACTCTATTTCGTCCTCCACATTCTGAATTATAGGTAGACAGAAGCTGCGGCTGCTTTATTCATCACGGGTCTACATCGACCATATTGGCGCTGACAGGATCATTCTCGAGAGAATGGCGTTCCGACTCCGCATCATCGCCAGTCAGTGGTAGCACGTAGTTCCGGAGCTCATGGCCTCCGCATATCTGTTAGAGCCGCTTCGATGAATGGAGCTGGACGACTGGAACGACAGAAATAATTTTGAGTACAGCTGCTATTCGTATTCAAGTGAAGTGTTGTTTTATGAAACTAAGTAGCTTCAACATCACCCCACCGAGGGGATCGCATGGTTATGAAAATCTAGTAGAAAACAGAGTAGATCGATAGCCATAACTATCTGAGGCAAGACACTTTTCAATTAGGACGATCTCCATGCGCAAGTTCTCCACGCTAACAGCGAATCCCGTCAGATCTCCTTCCGCTTGCAGAAGGAGACATTTCTGCGTGGAACGTTCATTGGCATTGGACGTTGCACCGATGTATAGATTAGAAGAACTTCGTCAAGTTCAGGAAATTCTTCAAGAAGTAATATGTTATAAGTACCTTTGAACTTTCATTATAAATTTGATGATGTGTTCACCATCAACATCGAGCGTCTGTGTATTTTTGAGCCCTCGTCCTAAGGCGCATTAGCCACGTGATAACCGTGGTAAACAATAATATCATACACGAAGCGCCGAATCTTGTTCAATCTTCTTCGAGAATCTTTCTAGTAAAAGACAAGACGGTTTGGATTTTTCTCGTTTTTCTTTCCTATTTGACATGTTGTTACCCTTGGTCATCGAAGGTCGTGTCTTCATCTAACCATGATATTCATTGATTTGATAATTTTTTTGACAGAGAGACTTAACTTTGAGTTTCCACTCGAATTCCCTGCTCAACTTGCTTCTCTTCGCCAGGTCTAAAATGCATTAGAATGTTCTGAAATTCTCCTATGCTCTCCTTGTCTAGCTAATAATGTGGTAGACCTTGGGCAAAAAAAGAATTGTCTTACTTAGCTAGTAATAAGTCCAATTATATTTTCGTAAAATTTCGAAAAACAAGCTTGATGAATCTTCTTCTATAATCTAAGTGTAACTTGTAGGTAGTTCTGACAAATATTATTGATCATATTGGAAAAAAAGCTAAAACAAAGCGAAATCCTTTTGATGGCCTTAACTAGCGGCCTTTTGAAGCCATGTAGGGGCTGCTGCTTTTTCGTACAGATGTTCCAAATATTCAATGGTTTTTTCTTTGTCCGAGCAACGACGGGCCTCATCAAGACAGTGTTTCAAGAAATCTCTAACCTGCTGCAGTCTTCGCACCGTTTTTTCCAGTTTTGCTGTGGTCATTCTGAATGTGAGCCGCCAGTTCTTCGTCTTTTGGGCTAATTCTAGCGTTTCCTCGATTTCCTCTTTCGGCCGCGGGTTCCCCACACCAAGAGCTATCAGATCCCACACATGGGAAGGCAGGTCAACACTGCAAGGCGGTAATCCCCTTGCAATGTCCAAACCAACAGCAGTTGAAGACTCCTCCACTGAAACTGCAGGAATGTCCCCGAGTGCTTCCTGGCCGAGTAGAGGCACCGTTGGTGTATCAACATCCTGTCTGTACGAGTACGACGGAGAGGATAATTCGTCGTGGGAGCTGGCATTCGATTTTACGGTCAGTAGTACCGCATTACCCGGACGCATTCCCCAAATCGACAATGCACCGGTGGCACAACGTGTAGCAGAGATGAGTCCCATTTTTTTTCGTGAAGGTAGTAGAAAGATCCAGATGATCTATCACACACTTCCTTCAAAAAATTATGGCGGAATAGCAATGAAAGATGGTCGTTCAATTATCTGCTGATCGATAGACATTTCCAATGATTGATTTTCTAAAATCTGGAGCCTGGTGAGTGAATACCCTAAAAGATTCGTGGAGAAAAAACTTGAGTCACTTTTTTCAGTCAAAGTACGAAAATTCTCAAAGCCTGTTTCTCGCCTTTTCATACCACGTAAGTAGACGACAAAGCTAGAATGAAATTGAGAGCATGGTGCAAACATGATAGCGTCTACAACATTCCTGCATGGCTGGCTTGGATGGGCGCGAAATTATCTACGCCGATAATGTGTGCGGCATTGTTTGTCATTTGACTGGTAGCACCTGAAGAGCTTGCAGAAAAGAGCTTTCCGGACACCTGCGCGCGAGAAATGATCATAGATTGAACTCGATGATCATGTCGTTTACTACTGACTTCTATTTCTTATCATATTCATTCAGCAACATTTCAAACAATATAGGCTTGAAGACAAAAACAGCTAGGGCGGAGCTGCAAGACATACTTGGGATTTGAACGCCTATTCAGAAAAGACCCCACAGCCAAAGCGCAGAGGAAGTTTCTCACTTGGTCAGCTAGCATCAAGGCGGGGAGAGGATACCTCCGGAAAGATAAGATTACAATTCCTTCAGATCCACCATGCCAGGATATTGAAAGACGAAGCCCAAATCCTTTCGATTCTGCATGATGAGCATGAGTCGTATATCGAAACATATTCTACTTTTTTAAAGAACTAGGTCGTTAGATGTGAAGAAAAGAAAAGCTGACTCACAGATTCTGCTTCTGCTGTTCTCGGTACACTAAGTCCTCCTCCTTTTCTTCTTGCGTTGTGATTTTCGAGCCTCAGCGTTTGAGGGTGGCCTCTTTCCCTTCGCACCAGCATCCTTCGCAGGCTTATCTGCCTCTTTTCGAGAGGACTTTTTCTCCATCGTTGATGCCACTCCTTCTTCCTCGACTGTTCCCTCGCTAGAATCTTCATTAGTAGATGAAGAAGTGTTTGCGTCTTGCTGACTTTCACTAGCACCTTCGGCTTGTTGGGTCTCTTCAGTCTCGGTATTGGTCTCATTCGCACGCCTTTCTGCGTCCCGGCGGTTGCGGCTGGCAGAAGCATTAGAGAAGATCATCATTTTCAATCCCTGCTTCTAATGTTCAAAGATGTGTTTCAATGAAAAACTCTATCTAATCTATACTTCTTTGGTTGAACTTCTATCTATCTAACTTCCGGTTGGTTACCAATACTTAGTCATTCTTTTGATGTGGACATAAAGAATACATCGGAAGCATCACGCATTGGGTTTTCACCTGCTACGAAGGTCGCCTCTTTCACTTCTTCCTCGTCTTCGTCTTTCATGGAAACCATCAGCCTTTCTGTGGCACTAGGAATAGGCGGTGCGCATATTCTCCACTCATCGCGGTAAAAGGAATGAAAGCTGCAGAGGATAACTTGACGGGTACGTGTTAGGTTTTCATGTTATTTGTTTCTTTGGAGTGGGAACCAATTTTTGTGAAAGTTGTATCGAAATCATGATGGAGTAAAGTGTAATACACAAGGTATTCATTAATTATCAGAACCTCGAAACGAATCAATGTTTCATGAGGCACCGCCTGGGTGCACGTGCACCCTTCTCTATAAATAAGGAATAGTCCAAAGCTGCTCTGTTCTTGCCATAATAGCTTGGCTTTTCGGTCAGGTTGATCATTTCCGCGTAGTACCTTTCTTCTGGGTAGCATCTGACGTCACCGGAGAGGCACTGGCAGTACCCCTGATGTCCATAAGGGATGCGCATCTGCATAACGTCCTTCGGCTCTAAATACATGCCGACCGCAATCGTCCGCAAGGCGTGGTCACCCCACCGGTACAGGAAAAACCCGTTGAAACTGTCAAGATACCGGAAATATTCCTGGTACTGGGTATGAATGGGGACAATTTTCTGAGCGTCGGGTTAAAAATGGGAAAGAGGGAAAAAGAGGACAATGATAACTCTTCTCTTCCGCGTCATCCGCCATTTCAACAAGCAGGACATCGATCATTGTCCTCTACTATGTATACTATCCCATCATAATTTTCTGAGCGAAAGAAGGAGAGTTTGTTGATCTCGATGTCGTTCATGTAGAGGTTGTAGTTCCATTCTAAGTCTTCGGGTCGGATGAAATCTTGTAAAAGGGGTCTTGTTCGCCAATCGATGTTCTTCATCTGAAAAAACATCAGACTCCAACTCCAGAAGTGGCGCACTGCACCAGGCTGGTCTGGCAGCAAGTGTGACCAGTGATCTTAGAGGAGGACGAACAAAGCTTTGTGGCATTAACATCCTTGGAAATGAGGTATCATGTTGTCGATTTTAAAGCGTATTGGAGTATAGCCAAATAGCAGTAGTTCCTCTGGCTGCGACGCCAACTCTTCTTTCAAAAAGACCTTGTATCCTCATTTTGATCCCGCGCACCGTAAGTATAGGTATAATTTCCGCGCCACATTTTCTCGATTGGGTCGTGGTCTAGGGCTTGCGGGAAGTAACCGTCTGTATCCAGGGTCATAGCGTACTCGTAGAAATCCATCACGGGCTGAAAAAACATAGTCCCACTACGGAACTTGCACATCCCACGATATCCAATAGACCACTTTACCTGTTCTTGTTGAAAGGGTAGCTGAGACGTATGGGAGTGGAGACAGATACTAAAAACCGAGATTCAATAAAGCACATTGCTCGTCGTTAAAAAGACAGTAAAAAAATATGAATCGAGGTAGCTCGATCTACTGTGTAAAGCTTCCGTAAAGTATCTAGGTTCGCAAAGAATACCTCTTTCAGCCTGGCCTTCTGCTTCTTCTTGCGCATAACGGATTCGTCGACCTTCTTGAAGTCTTCTACATAGGCGAACCACACACGATTCTCACTGCTCTCCACGATGCGCGATCTGCTGGCCGCGCTCATGCCATCGTGAAAAAGTACAACGTCGTAGTCGTGATGCTTGTTGTACCGATCCCACAAACGCGGAAGGCAGAGTATGAAGCAAGAAAATAGTGTTTTCAGCTCCGCTAAATATTGTGTTCGGAACTCGATTCTCATATCCGCTCCTCTATTGAGTTATACGCTTGTCTCATTATTTAACCACATCGTTGTAATCGAAAACCGCAAATTCGGGTGCATGGTACACAAATATATCGATGTTAGCAACAAGAATAGAAGCGCGGTGTCATAATATAAGTCAAATCGTTGACATCGGCTTCCAAATCGTCTACCAAGTAGTGTAGGATCGCCTTGAAAGGCTTGGCTGGGAAACGAGATGAGTGCTCGTGCTGGCACACTGGGCCTCTGTATGGTGGGAAGCACTCGCAAAAACCTTGAGTGGTGCATCGACCCCGCCTTTGCCTTTCGAGATTTAGAGGAAATCGGAGTTATGGTTCATAATCGACTGTGTGGACTCTTCAGCTTCCACAACCCTGGTCCTAGACTGTTTTCAGTGTACCACTAGAGTCGGGTCGACACAATCTACCAGATGAAAACAACAAACTTAATACACTTCGCTTTTTTAATATCCACTCATAACAAAAGATATCGCAGTCCTCCGACCTCTGGCCAGTCATTTACTGCCCATTTCCGAAGCATAGCTTCCGTCACAACCGGAAGTTGGGACGATGCGATTTGGTCTGAGATATCCCGAATCTGTCGTCCGCTCCACCATCCGGGCTCATCCTTAATCTCGTCGGGCTCGTTATCAATCCAAACCCAACAAAGAGTCGTCCTGTAGTTGTCAAGTGTGACTCATCTTGGAGAAATTTTTCTCCTCGTCTTTACGCGGTGTTTTTTACTGTTCTGGCAGGATGATAGCTGAAATCGAGACATTAATATCAATTTTTACAAGAACACGTTGATAAAGCAGTCACAAAGATGGAGTACCCGTAGTGACCCACTGGATCGAAAGTCCAGAATCGGCAGCCCGGTGACATGCGGCAGTGACGCTGGCACGCGCCTGGAGTCGAAAACCACCGCTCCTCACCGTTTCCACCCCAGCCACGTGCGTTCGGCAGCATATGCAATCTCCAACAATCAAAACTTAGCTTAGAAGTAGAGCCAGGAAATCGCACTGTACAAACTGAAACTGTCTGGACTGAGACGTCGCCATGGATGAAGAACATCAATGACTTTATAATTACGACGATAAAACGATAAGCTTTTTATATATTCTAAACTTACTTTGCAGGTTTATGGATAAGCACAACAAAGCAACCAATTGATCTCAGCCGTAAGTTTTCGTGCGATGTGAATGCGATGAAAACTCAGATAATCGCAGACGATGTCGGTTCGCGTAGCGAGGTCCACCTCAGGATCCGCGAGGCGTTGCATATCCAATAACGACGTCATCTCCAGTCGCGCATAATATCGTGCGTAGGGGTTGCAATACCTCAAATGTAAATTTTGTGCAGTTAGGACTAGGAGAGCATCAGTTACATGGCCATATTTTCATTATTATCTTGCTTGTTTCGTCATTTCTTAACTTGTCTCTGTTCATCAAGTGCAGAGACGAAGGATAGAGAAGCAAAGCTACGAAGTATCACACCCCCACCGCAGAAGAAAATAAAGCGTATTCATCAGAGCGTTTTTATACCACCCATCGAGCCACATCCGCCACATGACATCGTCGCGATTGTCAATTACGACACTTTGTACAGCCAGGTCGTCCACAAAAGACCGCAGATCCGCACGAATGTAGGTGAGAAATGCGCCATCGATTGAATGTAGTATGAACTTGCGTCGTCGCTCATACAATTTCGTCTCAAAGAAGCGCTGCACACCGGCGAGAGAACACTGCGTCTTGAAAAACAGGGAGGCGATATAACTATCCAAGTCGTCGGGTGTCACGTAGTCCTTCGGCAAACTCGTGTTGAACATGCGGCTCTGAGGAAGAATGCCCTTATTTTTCGCCCAAAATTCCGGCCAAAGAGGAATCTGCATAAGTTGGATTATGGATTTTTCATACTCGCGAATTATATGCAGACCAGTCCACCACGACCCTACGGAAGCAGCCCAACGAGCTGCGAGAGCCGAATGCCTGTAGGTGCAATGCTGGTCGCTGGTGGTATACATATGTAAGAGCAGTCTGTCACCATCAGGTGGATGAAAGGAGGCGGCGGCCTGCTAGTCGCTTCCAGGGGCTCATCTGTGTCCGGGTGGCGCTGCATCTACTCGGCCCGGGCGCTCCTGTGCCCGTCGCTGCTTGGCCGGTCGACCCGTGTTCCCTCGAAGAGTTACGGCCGCCCCCTCTTCTCTGGAAGGTGGTGGAGCCTGCGGCCCCGAGGGCACTGCGCTCGGCGGCCGGGTTTCATCTGCTCGCCAGCATTCCTCCTGGTGCTGTGACTTTACCGGCAACGGACCACAGGCAAAGCCCCCCCGCATGGGTCCCTAGCTGTCTACCAGTCCCGAACTGAGCCGCGCCGACTCGCGCCAAAACGTGACCCCAAAGGAGCAAGCCCCCTACGAGCAATGTGAGCCAGGTTCTAGCAAGAGCACACAACAAGACAAAACCGGCCTCTAGTCTGTACCACTTCAAATGGAGGCGGAATGAGCGGATTGAAGGGGATGACGACGACTTTTGGATTTATCGGACCCGTCATGAAAAGTTCCTGCAGCGCACGGCAGTTCTCGGTACCTGGGTGGATAAAGAAGAGGTCAGGACTAAACTCAACCATTTGCGTCCACACAAGATCGATGCTCGGCAGAACATTGTACAAGTCTGGCTTCCCCAGAGGATGAATCAGGGCCGACGAGCGCTGCGACTTCGGTACTTTGATGACTTCAGCCTTCTCTGATCGGATGGTCACACGAAAAACGTAGCCTCCCCATCCTTCGGCCTCTAGGCAGTTAATCGGGTCGTAGAAAATGCCGCGTCTGTGACATGTAAAGAGATAAACGCCTGCATCTCGAGAACTTTATGGGAGGAAGGAGACGCTTCTAGAAGTAGATGCGATGATCTTGTTGCTCCTCAACTTTAACACAGGACCATCATTCATCGTGCAAATGTGATCTAAATTGCTGGATCTTGAAGTTCTTATGTAGTAATTGTGTACGTGTGAAGAAGACCATTTGTCGCAGCATTGACGGCCTCTCCAGCATCGTTTTCAGCCGGTAGAGGTGCTTTTAGCTGCTTTCTTTCTACGCTGACTTTTATATGCCACCCGGTATGCAGAACCAGGCACATGATACAAGTCGCGCTATATTACTCTGGCCAGACCCAGGAATTGAACCTGGGGACTTCGAGTCTTCCGAACCCAAGTCCTGTGTATTGACCATTGCGCCAAACTTACATCTGACAGAATCAAGATCTTCCTCAGTTACTTGATCACATTTTTGGGAACAAATCAACCGATTTCTTCACATGCAAGTATCAAAATAGTAAAAATACCCTTTACAATCCGTCAACTCTGGATCCATATCGCCAAGCCTCCAGCCCACAAACGCATGACTAAGTGGTACATGGGCGCCTATCTGCTTCATAATACGCATAATATCCGAGTCCTGCTCTAAAGCACCGGAATGTAATATGTCCCTAGAACTCTCTCCATTCCGCTCTGCCAGCTGGCAGACGTCGCTTTTCAGCAATAAGGGTATGAAGGAAGCATGCTCTATTTCGAGGTAAGAAAAAGAGAACTGTAAACAACACATGATGATGTAGGAATCTGTTTACAAGAGGAGCATTGTATCATTTCATTCATCAACCAAGGCACTTTCAAGCATTTTCAGCAGTGAGGGGACGAGAAAGCAGAGTGACTATGGTAGCCATAAAATTCGGCGATCGCAGTGTTTTACGCGGTTGCTCCATCAAATGCAGGACGTTGTGATGGGGCATATCACCTTGCAGCCAGCCCGTTTGTGTCCGAGTGTTCTTCCCGATGGTCAGTATGTGGCTCATGTTGTGGCATGAATTAGAATCAACAACAAGCCTTGCAGTTCCCATGATACACTTAAAGTTAAGGTCTTCTTCTGGCAATAGATTGTCCTCCGATTTCAACCCGCTTCCAACTCTCTCTCTCTCTCTCTTCAGCAACAAGTTCATCATCCTGTAGTTCCTTTCTCATAATATTCTGTGTGACCAATATCGAGAACGCTGGACGTATCATCCCGGTATAAATCTCGCGCGCGCCGCCGACTACTTGAGCGAAATCGTCCTCCTGGATACGTCCCGAAGAAACAACGCGCTCGAGCCACTCCCGTATCTGAGTCCACGTATCGAACATAAACAGCCGCACTTGCTCCCTCCAACTATCTTTTTCCGAGATAACCTCCACATTGCGATGCAATTCCGTTATCCAGTGATCGATCTAGGATTAGAATTACCAAAAAAAAAAAAAAAAACAGACACAGGGAGAACAACTACCCTAAAATACACTGCTAGTCACTATGAATTCAATACCAGATGCCTTTCTACTGCGGGAAAGCTGTGTGATTCATTCCCCTCTGCATATCGATCTCAAGCACCCCTCGTGGTCTACAAAAAAAGGGTGACTGCTCATTATAGCCTCCCTATCATAGTATGACGTTGTGGCCATAACAATAAGTCCCGTAAGAGTCCGGTCCGCCCGAGTGACAAACTTCCGCGCATAATGTCGTGGACAAAATTAGCCGGTAGCTTTCCACGATTTTCAGAAAACTTTCGGAAATACTCTGGATTTGGTGTAGAACGACGGCATCCATTACTTCTATAACGGGATCCGCGTAGTTGTCGTACATCTGCATAAAATCTTGCACTAGCTCCTCCAATTCAGTGTGCATCTTGAACATCTCACCCTCATATCGTTTGCAGGGAAGACGGGGGAAAAAGGGATAGGCTGAGACGAAGAGACTAGAACTAGTACTGGTACTCTTTGGTGAGGAGAGTTGTTCTTGTTCATGTGGTTTTGCTCTGTAAAGACTTGAGGAGGCGCATTTTCTTCTTCTACGTTGGTCGGGTTGGGGCTCTCTAGTTGCGCATATCCTATTTTCTTCATCTCCACGGCTACTGCTACCACACCAGGATTCTCGTCTACTGAGGCTTGTTGTTGAGTTAGTCCTACTAATTCGTCCTCTTTCCGCTATCCTATGACTCGGGGCTGACCTTTCGCTATCCCTTTTGCTCCCCTCCTCAATTCCGTCTCTGCTATGTGCACCACACTCTTTCTGAGAAAACGGTGAAGCCACGAGTTCCGCCAGTAGGCTTGAAAACATTTCCAGAATGTGCTTTTTCTGACACGGCAGGCTACTCTGAGATCCGCAATATCCTATCCTTCGGGATCGGTGCTTGTCCAGCAACTTCGATATTATCGCAGTGGTAACTGTGCTCTTTGCACGATCTCCGTCCAGCACAACCGATTTATCCTCGTCTTCGCCACATTGTGTACTCCAGCGTTGCCTTTGAAGGCAAGTACTGCTTCTTCTTCCATCGCCGCTAAGCGTAGTGGTCGCATCGCAACCCAAATCATAATTTGCCTCATCGTCCACATCCTCCAAACGCGCTCCTTCAATATCATGATCACCTTCGTACCCCACCAAAGTTGCCTGTAAATCGTCGAAGCACAAACGTAATAGAAAATCGCGAAAGAACGCGACCAATATTAGCGTCACCCAGGTCGAGGGCGCCTGAGCCCAGCTTCGCTTCAATAAGGACGACTTCATAATATTTTCTCATCAAAAACAGTATCTTTAATTGTTTTGCACATCATGTTGTTCAAGAGCCAACATTTTCTCAGGGAAGAACCAACACATAATCATCAAGAACTTGAGTAGGCGGCGATTACATATTTATAGAGCAACGTCAAAAAAAACGCGTTCTCTCTCCTTCAGGCAGGAACCAGGATCACTCTTCAAGGCATCCATCTTGCATTAACATTTTCCAACTCGCTCATGTGAAAGCACTCAGTCGCTCGATGAACTTGGATCTCACATATAGGTACTTATGTAGAGAGCCTCTCCTCAGAGTAAGCGCGATGTTTGGAACCTTGAAAACATCCTTGTCTAGGATGTCATTGATCCGTGTTTTTTACGAGTCGTCGTCCACGCTAGACCAGCAATCAGAGAAACCTCAACCTTTAGCTTTACCACCTCCGACGCTGGTGGAGTATGGAGATACGATTTGCTTAAAAAGTACAAGCCTCACAGGACAAGGAAAACGTCGAGAAGTGATAGAATCTGTCATATCATACCAGATCTCGTCGTGTCCTCAATGCTATGTGCTACTGTATGCCGAACGACTATCGGGACGACATCGTTACCTTACGAACTTTGTCATCGTCTTCCAAAAACACAGTCTTACGTTGGGTCCTCTAACAAATAAGTACGTAATGCCTCAACGGACAGCAGACGCTTCACGAAGTGACAACATTAGAAAAATGTTCATATTTTGGTAATACATAAAAATCCACTCCACAAACGAACTACAACTTGGTTTTTCTTCCTCTTTCCGCGGCACAACACTATCGATTTCAGTTCTGCAATGAGTCCCTCGCGGGAAAAGAAATTATGATTGTCGACTTCAGGAGGCGTTGAGATGAAAACCAATCATATTAGACAACACGTTGGTGTTCTTGTCACTATCTAAATCGACGTCTACCTATTGCACACAGACCGACCAATCTCTATGTCTATAATTTTTGTTCAAATACACAGACCCAATAATCTTCAGATTCATATTTATCAATATCATTACGCGTAAGCGCCCCCATCCTCAGTCATGTTAAACAATCTGTCCCAGATGCCTGTGTCTCGGGGCACGACGGCGAACGGATTCAAATGCGGATGCGACGAAAAGTAGTGCAGCTTGCAGTCGTGCAAATGCGTACTGGAACGAACCTCCGGGGCTGCCCACACTCGCGCCGTATACTTCAGCACCTCCGGGAAGAAGAGCAGCGAGGCTGGAAAACACTTGAAGTAGATGACGTAGCACTCGTCCATCCGGATCAGCGTTTGGAATAATCGCACATCCGACAATGTGAGTGTCTTGCCAAACAGAAACGGTTTCTCACGAAAATCTTCGGTTTGCGATCGGAAACGTTCTTCTAAAAACTGCATGCCTTCCATCAAATCGTCAATCGCCGTCTCGTAGGCCGCTTGGGTCCGACAAAAGCCGCACTTGTAGACACCGTTATTAATCTTATGATAGGTAAAATCATCGAGTTTTCGCATTTCATCTTGTAAAGCTCCTGGATTGAGAGTTTCCGGTGCAAAAGCGCTGCGTTTAATTGTGCCGTCCACTGCGTCATCGGGCCAAGCGTCTAGTTGCACGATGATCTCGCTGCTCTCGTTGTTCACGATTTTCTGCGTTTTGCGACAAAAAATCAGTGGCGTCGTGAACTTGCCGCCAGCCTCGAGGCTTTCGCCGCAATGCTCGTACAGCTCCCGCAGCGTGCGACAGTCCCATCCAGACAACGAATCCGGATCACAATTTGGGGTCGAAATTTCGCCAGCCGCAGTCACAAACGCCGCAACACCCTCGGTTCCAAGCATCTTTTGAGACTCCTTCTGATTCTGTCCAGTAGTACCAGAGCTACTACCTTGTTCGACCTCGTCTAGTGCGGACAAGGCGCCAACAGGCTTTTCCTTGGCAGATGAAGCAGCCTCGTCTTGCAGCTTTTTCAAAGCCAGTGGCATAACCGGTTCGCGCGCTGCACGAAACACCCATCCGCAATGCTCGTCAACGCCTGGCTTTGTCGCCTGCCAAGTAGGATGCACACGCACGATTGGCAATTCCTTATTGGTCAGCCCGCGCAACTTCGCGAATGAAACGAGAGGACGAGAATGTCGTTCTCGTTGATACACTTCAATAAAAATCGAAATCAACAACTACATAGAAGAACTCGTGAAGATGGTATTCCTAGTCCTCAGGAGAAACTACAGACGAGGCTATCCCTCATTCGATCTTGAAAAAGGACATTTCATACTCCACACACTATTTTTCCAGTCATAATGCCACTGTCATCGTGCGATTCGCCCATGGACACGCTGGTGAAACGTATAGAACGTAGCGATTCGGCTCGTATGGGAAGGCGACTGACCCCAAACACTCGCGAAACCGCGAATCTCTTCGTACGAACGCCATCTTGTTATCGTTTTTTCTACTTTATTTTCTCTCGAAACTGCTTTGAGATTGTACTACAATAATCTACTTTACCTGTCACTTTTTTACACGAGAGAGTGTAGCTAGTCTTTTATGAAGCAATATCTATGCTAGTAAAAACGTCAGAACAAGAGTATCGCTTTACTTTATAAGACCACTAAACAGAGCTGAGAAAGGGTCGAAATCAAAATGAAAATCCATCAAAGCGAGGAGTGGGAGGGGACATGCGACGGCAGCCAGAAATAAATGCATGAACAAGATGCCGACGGAATGAGAGAAAAAGGGTCGGATGACAAGTTTCTCTCTCACTTCAACCACAGTAAAAAAATTAGGAAAAGTGTGCAAAGCCTCTCTCTCTCTCCTCGTCGGTGCATCTTAACATGAGAAACTGTCCTCGTTGCAAGGACCATATACCGTGTCCCTCTTTGCGCGTGGTTTGAACACAAATAAAAAACCAACTACGTGACTCTTTCGACGACCTGTTACGCCTGGTGCTCAGCATAAAATGCGTCTTTTTTGCGTCGTATTTTACTCAAGAATCTCGTATGCGCTGTGCGGGAATGGGGTTGAAAAAAATAACATGAGTTTTATCTTTGCGTGAACGCACGGTGGCGCGCTCGTGAACAGGAAACTATTTTCCTTTTTTCCAACCTTTACTGGTTTTCGCACGATCCTGTGGACGGCCACCAAAGCCGCCTCCACCTCCTCCTCCGCCACCACCTTTGTTATTGTAGTAGCCACCTCCCCCGCCTCCGCCACTGCTGCCTTTGGAGTCGTAGTACCCGCTTCCACTGCTACTACTCCCGCCTTTGGAGTCGTAGTAGCCACCTCCTCCGCCGGAACTACCTTTACCGCCGCCTTGGCTGTCGTAATAGCTTCCTCCGCTGTTCTTGTTTCCGTAGTACCCTAAAGAGGAGCTCTTCTCTTGTGGAGAAGGATTTCTACTGCCGGGCCTGTAGTCGTAGCCTCCGCCTTTCTCCTTACCCCTACCGCGATCTTTTCCACCTTTGTCTTTGCCTTTGGCATCCTTGCCTCCTTGAGCGTCGCCGCCGACACCCATGCCCTGGCCAGTCCACCGTTTTATAGTCGTCTGCACCTTCGCTCCGCCCTGAGCATCCTTGGCAGACAGCAGAACGTTAGCTTTTGTCACGTCTTTGCCAATATCTTCAACCGTGTAGCCCTCAGGCACGCCGCCTCGGTCGGGAACGTGCCCGATGACTATCGTTTTCACCACAGACCGCACAGCGTAGCGAGAGCTTACCTGATATTATCCCACGAAACTCTTCATGTTGCTAATTCAAGCTACTTGTACAGGATTTTTCCAATTACTCACTTGTCACCGGTGGAGAAACTCAAATACACCATGCTTTTCATAATCACCAATCTAAAAAGCTGTCAAGCCAACCTTCTAAAACCTCAGTACCTTATCCACATCGAAAATGCTGCCATCGGCTTTCAAGAGATGCCACATGCCGACACTTCGTGACTCATTCTTCCATCGACAATCCGCTATAAGCCGATTGATCCCGGCCAAATTTTTCTCAGCATTTGCAGAACGAAGAAAGGCTTGAATCGTAACATCCAGGCGTCTTGCCAAGACGGCTCTTCGTACTGAATACCTCATGGATGGGGTGCGTGGATTGAAGTCTGCTAGATCATAACTCAAAATTTGAATGACGAGGTATGATCGATCCGGCGACGTCCTCCACGAAACCAGTATATTCAAGTTCAAAAATAGTCTAAGTACTCGCTATTGAAGTCGTCCATGATCTGCAGCAGCCTCTCCGTTTCCGGTATTGAGAAGTGCCACGTTGGACACAACAAATTCCCTGATGGCGGTGGCAGCGGTCGTTGTCGTAGCATCTCTAGATAACTACTTATCGGCGCAGCGGATGGAAAGCCGCACAATTGCGCTATCTGGCTCATGCAAGAAGAAACTTGCTGCATTGCTGAGCCACCTTCCCCTGTAAGAGTGTCGAGGCTTGATCGCAAGGAGCGTTGCCGCTGTAGCCGAGCGCATTGGAGGTCGACAAGCAAGGAATAAAGAGTCTGTTCTCGAGCTGCGTCTTCGCCGATATCTGTTGGGACGTCGTACCTGGGAACGATGAAGTCCGGTTTACGGTGATCCATCACAGAGACCAAAGAAGTAAGAGACCATAGCACAAAACACAAGAAGCACAGAAAACGCCCGATGAGATCGTACGCGTTGCCCGGACCGCATCAATACGAACAAACAAACAAACAAACAAACAAACAAACAAAGGAAGAGATAATTCATAATGGTGTTGTTCAACATCCATTCTTAACATCATCAAGTACCCTCTCGAAGCGATGAACCCGTGTACATCTTGGCATAGGTAGTTCTCTCCCGAAAGCAACGCGGTATGGTCATTTTCGAGTGCTACAATTTCGCTGGCAATCTCCGTAGCCACTGCGTCGAATTCTGACTCACTGGAAAGCAACAACACCTCGTGCTTCTGTAGTGCATTCGTCGCTCTTCCATTCAGACGGGTATAGACCGCCTGCAGGACCGAAAGCGTTTCTTCGTGGGACATTGTCGTTCGCCGTCAGGCTATTTGATACTTATAAAGATGGGAAAGCACAAGTACTCGACCCACAGGTTCGTAAAACGACAAGAAAATCGTTAGCGCGATCGCTTCTGCAGCTGCTGCGCAGGCACGGAAAGAGCATTCACCACACACGCAACCAAAAGCTCTGTGTCGTTTTTAAAAACGACCGCCTGTCCTTTGTTCTCTAATCTGGGCACAGACGTCACTGCGCGTAGAGGTTTTGCTGCAACGAACGCCTCCTTTTTTTGTCCAGCAAGACTCTATAAGCGTGAAATGACTACAGTAATGAGCACTTCATAAAACGTCGGCGAATTCAACAAAAATTACAATAAATGGTGCTAATACCAAAAACCACGCTAATACAGTAATATTGAAAATCCAAATCCATAGTGAATTATGTATTTATCTTTATGTACTAGCGTGATTACTTGGCCACTCCTCCTTTCTAGTTTAGGAATAACAGCATGATCACTCCCTCTGAAACGTCAGCAGCAACGATAATTCCAAGACATCATACTGGATCGGCAAAAGGTTGCAGTCGTGGAACCTTGCCCGCCCTATGCCCAGATCACCGTTTGGAACAGGATCCATGACAAGAAAAACATTGTCATTTTCCAATTGAAAGCCTTCATGCACCTTGTCTAGACTGTGACTGCGATGTAGATGTTGGCAACCTTTAGAAGGAACACCCAGAGCAGTCTAGCTAGAAGAATTGCTTTTCGTGCCGCCCAGCACGGCGTTTTGTTTGAAAGAATTGAAATTTCATGCCAACCTTTGAATTCTGTACATCGTTCGTAGATGGAAAAAAATAACGAGAGATAGACTGTTCAACACGGAAAAAAGAATCAGAGTCGTTCTGTACGCATGTTGTAATCATGTGTATTCGTTTCATAGGCAAGATCAAAGGATTGGTATATTTCCAAAATCGATTCACAAACACTCTATCTTCAATATGAGGAACAAAATGTTTTATCGCAGTGCCTTACCTGCTTTCTTCTTCTCCGCCAAAGACGCTGTGCTCTTCGTGCGCGTCAGCGATACGGATACGAGCTTTTCCTCTGCCTTTTTGCGGCTCAGGAGACTCGTCTTGGAGTGCACTGTTGAGTGACTTTCCGTTTTCTGCGTGGTCGAGGACACGTCTTCCAGCAATAGCACTTCTTCGTCCCGCGGACCTGCGACTGTGCCCATCAATCCCTTGGTGGAGGAATAGGAGGCATGATCCTGCTTGGCAACCGCAAAACCCACACGTGGACCGTCCTTGTCGTAGACAGTTAGAAAGCGGCGCAAAAAAGGATCCCCGAAAACGAAAATCGGGCCCTTCGGCGGCGGGACATCCAGCTCCATCAACGATAACTCGCAACTGCTGTCACCTAATTAGTATCAGGGGAGGACTACACATGGCAGAGAGAGCAAGAGTGTGTCGTGTGAGAGGACAAAAAAAGATGAGGAACGCAAAAAGTATTGTGAGAAAATCAACAGTCAGAATCTGAAAAGCCAGTATCTATCAATTGCATCTTATCCCTGTCCAACCAAAACCAGCGACACCAAATATCAAAAGAATACCCTGGTCAATGTAGTCTTCTGGCTTCAAATTCAAGACGCGATTGCCGATCTGAAATCCCAATAGAGGCATATCCTGGACATTCGAGCAGTCCGCCTTCAAATTCAGCTTCTCAGTCAGCTGTGCGATGACATCACTAGGTCCTGCCAGCATACTAGTTCCCGTGTCCACAGCGACTTTGCAGTTCTCACACAGACTTTGCGGTTTGTTGTCGAAGGCAATGTCATCGATTGCAACTTCCCAGTAGGACTGGTGCGTCACTGGTACCCAAAAAATCGGATCGTCGCCTGGGCTGGCAAAAAATGAAAGCGAACTGAGGTTTGGGAACGTCTGTACTACAAAAAAGAAGGGGTGAACAGCTCGCATATAAAAAATGGCTGCACAGTTATAAAGTAGACGTAATAATATTCGCTGCTCCCTCGAGTAAATTAAAGGGGCGAATATATTTGAAGTAATATCTCATCCTCAGCGACATCAAGGCACAGAAATACTTCTCTTCTTCGTAGTATCTTCCTCATAACATCTGGCTCGATTTGTATCCGCCAAACGTGATCTCCGATCGACCCGGAGTGTCGGAGAGATAGACCGAGAATTGATTCCTCGGCAAGGTATTTGCTTCGACAAAGTCGTCCATCATATTGAAGCTGCTACCCATGGAGAGATCCGCAAAGCCTAGTCCCATAATGCCATCGAAACTGCACTGAGAGAAGGGCTCCTCCGTCTCGGAAGTCGACGCAATAAACGAAGCCGTCGTGCAGGAAGAACCTGGCACTCAATGGAATTTTTTACGAGCGGGCCAGCTAATGACCCCTTATACTTTTTCGAAAAGTAAAGAAATCACGAAACAAAGGTATAAAAATTAGGGAAAGAAAAACGAACAAAAGACCACGCCCCCCCCCCCCGCTTCTTGTTACTGGCTCGCGGTTGCCAGTGTGCTGATGGCACCCGAGACGAAGGCTAAAGCCTTCCGGGCCTGCCGCGTTGGTTCCTGGATGGACGCCGGCGCCGCCACCAATGGCGCCAGGCTGGAAACTATATCCAGGCGGTGGTTGCTGTTGACCTTGTTGGGCGTGCTCTTCCTCCTCTTGGTAGGGCAAGGCCATCGCCGTGTCTACCCCACTCGCGGGGGCCCCATTTCCGTCCGTCGCGTATCCTAAGTAATAGTGTACACTTGCGAGAGGACAGAAGCGAGCAGAACCCAGCCCGGGAAAGAACTCAACTGCCACCGCGCGCCGGCGTGCAAAGAGTGGGCAAGGCAACAAAACAAGCCCGCCCGCCCTCGATGACTTGTTTGGCCAGTCGCGTAAAATATTCACGCGCATGCCCAAGCGTCTCCACGTACTCACTGGTGGACAACCAAGCCCACCCACAGCAACACCAGCCAGAGAAGGAGACCCGAGCGCGAGCGCCATGCGGCGAGCAGTTCACCCAGCCTGCCATGGGCAGCCTGCTCCAGAGAACGCAACGCAGTCGCGAGTGCCTGCCGCCGGCGCGCCCTTTGTCGGGTTCTTCTGCTGCGCTGTGCCCTCATTTGTTCAAGCGGTCAAAAGTTAAAAACTTGCGAGGGCTCCCGCCTCTTTTTGGGTTCCGTCCAAGGATCGACTTGGAGACGCGTAAGACGCAGCGGGCCTCTGCGCTCATTTGCACGACCCGCCAAGGACCGGGGCTGCCCCCCTGCGCTCGGCGCCGTGCCTTGTCGCGGGCCTCCGCCTCCCTCTCTTATTCGTAGAGGAGGCCAACGAGGGGCCCTCGGGTCCCCCTGCACCCAGGCCCCGCCCCGCGTGCCGCCGGCTAGCCGGCCGAAAGACAGCGCAGCGCCGGCGCCTTCTGCGAGCGCTGCAGGTAAGCCGCGCCGTCTGTACGCTCTACACGGTGGGGAGCGTCAGGCCCCACCGCCCCCGCCCCTCTACGACGCGACCCTTTGAGCAGAAGATCAAATGCATGCCTCCGCGTGCCAAGTAGTCTAATACCGAGGCAGATTTGATCCTTCACGAATTCGCCATGGATCTCTCCTGTGCCAAAGCGGATGGTGCTTTCACTCGTCTGCGCTGGGTCAACGCTCAACGCAACGCCGTCTTTCCCCACAGCCGCACCGGAAGTGCTTTCTAGCATTAGACGAGTGACAGCATGGATATTTCGAACTATGCCAGAAGTGAGCTAGCAGAGGCCATCAACGACAGTCGACCGTTGTTGGATCACATCTGGAACTAAAAACCACATATGTCCTTCCGCTAATTGAACAAAATATTTCCTGGCGTGAAGATCATAATGTCAAAGTGTATCGTTTGTGCTGCACACAAGGAACGGACTCGCACTTTGCTCCTGGCAGAATGAGATTGCCGCTTCCAGTGTCGAAAATGACTTGAAACTCTTGGGCGGGCGTGCCCACGGAGATCGTTCCCCAATATTCGGTTTTATGAATCACGCCAAGCGTTGACCAGGATTGAAGCGACGCATCGGTTGAAGAGAACAGGCTAAACCTCGAGGCAGCCAGGGATCGGAGGCCGTCGCGTCGCACTGCGAGCCGACCGTGGGACGAGAGAGCCAAGCAAGACACGAGGGCAACATGCTTTTTGGGGCAGGAACGCCCACGGTGAATCCTTGCCATATTCTCAAAACTGTCGGGCACCTAGCTACAATGATGGCTTTGCTTTCGTGTATTAGGGATCAAAAATTCACATTTATTTTGACACGCCTGCAGGCAGCGACCAATGAAACAGATTGGCATCTCAATAGCGCTGCCAGCATGAATCGCCAGCGACCCCTCAAACTTTGTTACTTCTCCACCTGGCCGAGCCCTTCTGCTGACTGTTAGACGTTTGACTCTAGGGTAACACAACCCGCACGCCACGAAGACTGTTGTATTCTCGAGGAGATCTTGTGTCGAACGCAGTGTGGTCTTTCTAACACTTACTAGTGTAGCCAATATACAAGAGAGATACCAAGGTACATTTTCTGAGCCTGTAACAACTTTCTGGAAATGGATGATCCATTGCGCTGATACTGTAATATAACACTTGTCGCATTTCACAGGTCAAAGGGGTTATCTGATGTACCCAGGTCCCCAAAGATGTCCTTGCTGTTTATATTCTCGTCAAAAACTGGATGCTGCGCCAGAAACGGGTCTCCACTTTTTACTGTGGCGGATGGTGTCAAAAATTCGTTTACGTTTCGGTTCGGTGCTGGGTTTAAAAAGTCTGTCCTTGATCTAGGATCGTCTAAAAACTCTGCATCCGCAAAAGCACCCGCTTGAAGTTGTTGACTAGCGTTATCTCCTGGCTGAGAAATCCCTACTCCGTGCAAGCCTCCTCTATTCGCGACAGGGCTAGGAACGGCTACGCCGGCTACACCGCCTGTCGCATTCGACGCTCCACTCATTCCAGCACCACTTGAAGAGGTGGCGTTACCAGACGAAGTGAAGTCCAATACCGAGGTTGCTCCACCAAATGCTGCCTCGCCGACCACTGAGGATACTGCGCCGAGCACCGCGGACGATGCCGCGTTGGCATACCCGACTATCTGATCTCCAGCGCCGCCGAAACCATCTGCTGAAGATGAGGAAGAAGAGGACCCCGGATCCTCCAGATCTGCGCTACCCGCAAAGCCGAACTCTGTGGCCTGTGTAGGCGGCGCTAGTCCTCCCTTCGGAAGTGCCTTGAAGCCAGCGTTTCGAGTGCAGAAGCCTATGACTTAGAAGACAGAGGTTCGTTGCGAGATTGGATAGAAGAATCAGAAAAATAAGAAACTACTATACATTTCTTACCCACTCGTGATCGAAAAAATATAGGAAAATAGCCAATAGGCGATGGCGAGTCCATCGGGTATCGTGACCATCTTCGGCAGCTATTGCCAAACGAGCCTACACATTTTCGCCTCTATCGAACTATGTGGTAAACTATAGATCTCCTAGTGGTCTGGTAGAGCTCCATCTAAGTATCGAAAGTCCTCATAATCTTGTGTCCTGAGCCACATAACGGCTGGCTGCGCCTGTTGCCGTTCTAGATAGGACTCTATGGCATCGTGAGCGGACTCTGAGAGAGTCAGTTCTGGTACGAAAAAGCCTACTGCAATCGCGACTACGACATCTAGTGGAAGTTCGCCGTGTAAAAGCCAACAAGAGGCTACTGCGATCGCTGGTACGCTACGCTGTAAGATCGAAACAGGCACTGGCCACAGGTTCACCTGGTGACAGAATTGATTCATTGGGGACGCCGCCAGCTAAACCTATAGCCAGACAGAAAATATTTCTTGGGATCAGGAAGTAGAAGTACCACTTTTGTGCCATGGACTGAACTTCTGGTGTATTCCCAAGTTGTAAAACTAAAATTTGGCTTTCTCAATGTAACCAAACGATGGAGAAAAATTCCTGTACCTCTGCAAACGGGTCCGTCTTTGCATCGTAGGTGAACAATAGGCACACCAGTGGCCATAGTCCGTGGATGGGCTCTGTCAAAAGCCTTGCATTAAAGTACTCCAGGATAACCCTACACGCCAAGCAATACAGACCGTGAATAACAAATGAGACGTAGCCTAGCCAGAGCACTAACGCCACTGTTCCGTGCTCATTTTCCGCACGAATAAACCTCCTCCAGCCCAGCAGTATGCCGCCAAGTAGCGACAGAAGATCCTAATATTCAGGGGGGTTTTAATAGTAGTCGGCCTTTGTATTCATCAAATTCCAAAATTTAATTTACTACAGACAGAAAAACATCTTGACTACGGAAAGCATGTCCGTGAAGAGAATCTAGAGCTTTAAAGAAGTTTCACCACCTCTAAAAGCCCGATATTTATATGAGTAAGTACATGATGCACAAAGGTTGTTGTTGCTGGCGTCCAGAACCAGTAGTAGTCGAAGAGGTTGCGTGGAGAGCAAGAGAAAATCTCTGTCGGGAGCAGGAATCCGAGCAAGCAGAGGCCAGCCACTAACCGACATCCAGGTGGCGGTGTTAATCTCCCAAAGTCGGCACCAGGAATTACGGAGGACATGGTCTTCTTGCTTGTTTTTGTCTGGGACAAGAGCGAGGATATAACAATATAAGTATAAGTGACACGAAGTTAATCTCTGAGTCGAAAAGCCATACCTGAAACTAAGCTGCCGTCTGCCAGATGAAGACACGTTCACATGAGTTTAATATTCAACACTTGAAGATGAAAAACGTAGAGATAACAGGCAGATACGCTATCACTGGGAATAGCTAGAGACGATAATGGAAATTTGTGCTGGAATAGCATAAATTGAGCCTTTGTTAAGCGGTTGACTGATCTCTCTTTCTCTGTCGGCACAACTACTACTTTGTTTTAGACTTCACCTAATGTCATCCGTTTCGTGCGCCTCTCTCTCTCTCCAACTGGGGTTTGCCAAGTCGCAACTGCGGGTCAAATACAAATTGCAGTACTCTTTTCCACTTTACTAATACCAACGCCGACATCTCATGGATGCGTACACACCAATGCGCGTCGACACCACCTACATAGTGTGGTCTGCTGCTATTAGTTTGTGAAGAAATCGAATTTGAGCATGCAAAAAAATGGATAAGCGATGGCCGTAGCCGTTTGCACTCCCCTCAAAGTCAATGCTTCTGAGTGCATTCTTGTACTATTTGTTTCACGTTTAGAATCTACGTCTTTCCTTGTGGTCCTTGTAGTACTTAGTTGTTTTCATAAAAGAATGTTTACTTTGTAGTGAAGATTCATTTTGTCCTAGGAGTAGTGCATCTTATTGATATTCGACGTCCTCCATCCACCATTTCCCTGAGATTTCTCGTAGGCCACACTCTCCCCAAGAATACAAACCGGGCAACGCGGGGACTTGACAATCATTCGGAGCTTGAAAGCCTTAGTTTGACAGTCATTGGATTTGTCACCACGCTAAGTGTGTGGTTTCTAGAAGGATCTCCTGTTCGTTGTATCAAAACTGCAACAAACAGATACTACAACTGGTGATAATCATTGGACTCCTCTATTTCCTCATTGCAACTACAAATGATTGCCACCGTGTGATGATAAATCCGCAGTACCAGTAGACTCGGATATGGATATGCCTATATCAAAATAGCGCACTTCCAACGATTGGCATCGCGCCTAGCCCCCTCAAATCCAGATGGAAATGATCGTTACTCATCTGCGTTCTTATTTCGTAGCTAGAAAACTCAATCCACTTTTCTAACACCCGCCCTATTTTTTTGTAGTCTTCCTTATTCTCATCCAGGAGCATCATTCCATTGAGTTTAACATCGGTCCGTTGACTTCCAGATGCGCCACACCTCAACGATAAGATCAATAAAAAAGAACCTCAGGGACATGTCCTCACTTCCCCGACCTTCGACCCTTTTATGTAGACTCAACTCACGTTCTTTATTCCTGTAAGTAGTAATCATTGTTATTGTTCTTAGTTCATAAGATCAGCATGCTGAAAATTCTTACACGTGTCGACAAAAATGAAGAGCCAGTTTCTTTATGTTGAACAGAACTGATGCATCATATCTATAGCTAGACAAAATGCTACACAACGACACTTTGTATGGTAAGAAACATCCTTGTTGTTCAGGCATGGCGTGGTATAAGTCTCACATAGTCTTCCATGTTCAGGCGCTGGGGTTGCAGTTATAAAAAGGGAAAATGTAACATAATATCAGTCTCCACGAAAACAAACCCTCGAAAAAGATACAATGTAAGTATGATTATGAACTTCACCGTCCTCCATGTTATGGGTATCCTCCATGCGTCTCAGGTAGTCATTCTTGACTACCAGGCAGCAAGACGAGTTATCGATTCAATTCAAGATCAATATTTCTTTTTCGTATCATCATATGTGTAAACAAACACGAGGTGTTTAACACTTGCAGTCCTGCCCATGCGCGATAATATACCATCATTTATATTTCTAATCACCACAAGCAAACGTTATTGTTCTATCATGGGAAGATCTCAAAAAAAACAAAGGTATTAAAATACCTGGTCCAAAGACAGGCGTAGATGACACTTAGCGCATTACTAGGTAAACAAGTTGCCACCACGCTGCATCTAGCTACTCACTGACATTGATTCCTTGATTTTGAGAGAAACAAGGAAAGCACTGCAGAGGGAAGCAGTTTGAAGACAACATAAGAAATGGCGACTTTCGAATTACGAGCCTTGACTATTTACCTTCTTCGTCAGGTAAATACGATTACAACACGAACAGAAACTAGTTACAAAAGATTTGCGATCATCTTCAAGATCTAAAAAGCAGTTAAAGGACACTTTTCAATACTCTAACTCGTATCCTTTCTCCCTATTGATGGCGCGAAGAAACCTACCCTAAGCAGATGGAGTCGGAACCGCAGAAAAAAAAGAAACCCGAGAATTCATTGATTTTACTAATTGCGAAAATCGATCAAGAATTTTCGCAAGTCCACCTCACCGGTAAGTCGATGTGCAATACAATTCCAACTTACGTTTCCCAAGGACCCATTTCCCTCAGGCTACGATTACATCGATGCAATAAATTTTCTCCTGCACAAGTTTTCACAGCGGCCCATCTCTACCCACAAGACGATCTTTCTGGTAGCCAATATCTTTACCCAGTTACATCAAACAGTCTATCACTTATGCCTAGCAGAGTTCTGCATACCCCTTTTGCAAGTACATTCTTGTTCTAATACAAAGCTTCTGACCTCAATAATTACAATCCTTGCCAACAATATTACTTTGCGAAGTTCCAAGAAAGACCTCTCCAATATTTACTTGCGAGAGGGTTAGGCTTAGGGTTCTAAGTACTTCCACTGCTTCTCACACCACTGTTTATTTAGTCCCGATCTTGCTCTCTTCGTCTTTCCGAACATACCGCAATGCGTATTCGAGCATCCGTTGGGCATCGCCCTCGTACAAGTTCGTATCGAAATCGGCGCCGCGCTCTAGCAGCTCTGTCATTAGACGTAATTCCGATTCACTAGGAGGAGAAAGAGATGAGATGAAGTGCAACGTTACTAAGCCTGTACTTGAAGTCTAGGTGAAAGAAAGAGAAAGAGAAAAAAACCTTCTACTTTGTAGCACAAGATCTTGCTGGACTTTCAAAGGAAATGTAAAAATAGGATAGGATAGGAATTGGCTCGCCTCGGAGAAGTGAGCGCTCACGACTATGAAAACGGCGAAAAAGAATCTACTCTACTGTGGTGACAACTCAGTAACACCTCATTCGGCACGACATTGTTGTTCTTTTGCGTTGCTAGAAACCGCACACACAGCTCAATCATCTATCAGATGTGATTTCTCTAATTCACCAGCATCTTTTCGTGTCTTAACTTCAGCACTTCGACGATTTGCGTGCAGAAAAACGCGTATCTGCGATTCAATTCTTTCGTCCAGGCTTTCTCTTCGTGCATTAGAGGTTTCCAGTTGCCCTATCTACTTATCTCGCATATGTATGACTTTCCTTTACTTTCTATTCTGTGCGTCCCTACAAGGCATATGACTTTCCTTGACGTGAAAATAAACGTCATAGATACAACAATGCGCATAGAAAGGTTAACTTAGAACCCTTAAGTTAAAGAGTGACAGCAGCGCTTTTTTTGATTCCTGCCTATATTCGTCACGCAAATGCACCTCACGTTGAACTTGTTCTCGATAATCGCAGTGCCGAGGATGCTGGCTTGAACTACTTCCCTGTTGCTGCTCTCGGTGCTGCTGCCAAATGTGAAAGGGGTCAAGCTTGCTACTCACAATAAGATCAAACATGCAAGATGAAACTCGAGGGACAATGAGCAACTTCTCACGCAGTAAAATCATCAATTTACTCGGAACTACTTGTCAAGTCTCACTCAAATCTCCCTGTCATTCATCACTGCTAGTGCATCTTCTTGCTACCTTATTTCGAGTCTACTAGCTTCGGCTTATGCTTATTGAGTAATGGATGCTTATGCTTGTTCCTAGCTTATCGTGCTTATTGAGTAAGCATGCTCATCATGGATAAGCTTTACAACTAGTCATAAAAAAGTTCGTGATGCAATTCTTGTTTTAGCGATTCTGGTATATTGAGGTTTTCGACGCGGCACGTCGCCTGCTTAAGCCTATGAGGGCGACCGGGTCGCTGAAAGTGTCTTTCCAGGACGAGCACGAGTGGGGTTTTATCTTGCGCATCACGCACATTTGGGTCTGCTTTGTTATCTAATAGCAAACGCGTACAGCCGCCGTGTCCCCCTCGCGCCGCGGCATGTAAGGCTGTACTTCATTAGAAAAACTTATCTCAAAACTAGGGTTCGAAAACTATTCCTGTCTATACGTGAAGCTGACTCATTTCTCCACTTGATGACGTCGATGTTAGTACGCATCTTTGTTGAAATTATTGCTGATCAGACTCAAAAATCACGGAACTTGACTGCGTTTGCTTATAGTAACCGTACTACAAATTAGACTCAACCTCCTCAGTCTAAATCTAAAAGGATGTGATATTCTATAAGCCTAAGTTTCTGGTTCAGGATCCTCAGCGGCGGTCGAAGCAAAATGTCTTCGGCCGAAACAGAGAAATTCTTCTTCCTGTGCTCCAAGGCGATCGCACAACGAGAGCACATCTCCCCGTTCGTCCTCGACGTCAAGCCCGTATTCGCGAAAATAATCATCCTCAGGTGGAAGACTGCTATTTGTAGCGCTTGATCCCAGAAGATCGGCATCGAGTTCAGGCGGCGCTTCTCCGAACGGCGAAGGAGGGACGGCGGGGGAAGGAGGGACGGTAAGTTCGACGCGCGTAGGCCGCGGCGAAGAGAACGAGTCGTGTTGTGGTTCTTGTGCTGCGCCTCCAGCTCTTGGGCTGCAACGAGGAGTTAACATGTCAGTTTCGGAAGTAGTGGGCAGCTTGATATCCACCTTTTTCACGACACGTCGAGGTGTGGAAGCCGCAGAGGACGTTTCAACATTGATGTTCGGGGTAGTTGGCACCAGAATGTTCGTTGATACTTGCTGCAAGCGCGTACCTTCTTGGTGTTTCTCCTTCGTCTTGCATTGATTCTGCTCCTTCTTCGTTTTGCTTTGTGCGGGTATCCAGGTATCTTGGAAATCTTGGTGTTTCTCCTTCGTCTTGCATTTACCCCTGTTAGGTGAAGACTTCAGCTGTACTGTGGTCTCAAATTGGAGCACGCGAAGTGCGTCCTGTGGTGCAACAGGATGCTGCTGCACCAGAAGTGCAGCACCAGAAGCAGAAGATGCTGCTGCTGCGGGATTGGAAGACGCTGATGTAGGATCGGCACCCCTTGCTGGAACGCGGCTATCATTTTGCAGATCCATCGACGTGAGATTCCCCTCCAAAGCATGTTGTGCAAAAGCCAATGGAGGTGTGTCCACTGAGGTGTAACTGCCCAAGCGACTGCGTCCAGCTGCAGTCCCCGAATACAACGGCGAAGATGCGTCTTGCTTTGCAGAATCTTTGTTCATTGATGGCGAAGCTGCGTCCTGGTTGCTCATCATGGTCAGGGAAGAAGTTCTTGCGTCTTGTAGTTCTTTATCGTTAATATTACCTTCTGTATCTCCTCGCTCGCATCGAGGCAGAAGACCAGGACTAGCGAGTCTCACTCGACTCTTCCTTTTCGTCTCTGATGTTGGACTGCCGTGGCGACTTTCTTCACTAGCTACGCGGTTGAGACCAGACGAGCCCGCTCTTCCATCACGACCGCTACCTTTAGCACTCGCATTCGAAGATAGATGATGCCTGCCACCAGCATCAACAGCAGCCGATGGATGTTCATCTAAATCCCTATAATGTTCATGTTGTTCTTCATCTGCAAGAACTTGTTGCTTGTAAGCACCAGCACACGAAGCTGAGGCACTAGTCGCTTTGCTTACGGTTCGAGGAGTCATGGCCGCATCGGTCGTCTCCCCGTCTCCAAATGCTACGCATGATCGTCCGTCCTCCGTCGCGCAGTACGACCCTGGATCGTTCGGATTCCACAGACCGTTAATGGGAGACTCCCCTGACACGTAGCTATTCGCACTTGAAGTTAGGAGAGTATACTTTCATCTTAGTTTTCACTAGCTACCACGAAAAAATCGCTACTAACATGGACAAAAAAACTCATTTTAGGAAAAAGGAAGCTCAATGATGTGAAGTATCCTAGTATTCCCCTTCATCCAAGTATTCCCCTAAGAACTTTACCTTATTCTGCCACCAGTTCATAAACATTTAGAAGCGCATCTCCTTATTGCGACGAAGCCGTCCACATGGGCTCCCCTTTGTAGGAGACACTCGACTGTTTGGGCGTGCCCAAACTGAGCGGCTAAAAACAGAGGCGGTCGGATGTTGCATTCGTCGCACAAGTCTGCGGGGTAGCAGCACTTGTCCACTAAGAATTCCACTTGCCGCGTGTAGCCGCCACACGCCGCCTGATGGAGCGGTGACATTCCTGACCGAAGCGCGAATGTTGCAGGAAAACGCCTTCGCATGCGGTTGTGCGCAGCTCCGTAATCTGTGGTGCAACGCGCATGCTCCACGTCGAGCTGCGCATCCAATTTCGAGTAGTCAGCTCGTAGAGGCTCAACTACAGCATCCTCGTGCCGCTGCTCTTCCACGACAACTTCCATTGGTTGATGTGCTCCTGAAGCAGGTCCCTGAGGTGCTTGTACAACGTGTGAAACTGCCTCCTTGCCTCTACGAGGCGAAGCTGTTCGGCGTGCTCTGCGAGGAGCGACGTTTTTATGTGGAGTTCTAGAACTAGGCTCAACCACACTGGGCGAACTGGGTCTAGTGCTACAACTACTGGGCTCAACCACACTGGGTGAACTAGGTTCGACTTCACTCGTCGGCAACGGTTCTTCTTGGGGAGACACCGTCATCACCGAAGAGGTCTCTTGCGGAGACGGTGGCACTGCGTCTGCAGAGGCCTGTTCCGTTGTTGAGACATCGACGTCCATGGACTCCGGAGACTGTCCTGTTAATACGCGTGGTTTCTGTGGTCCATCCACGTCCACGTCCATGCCCTGGGGTCCCTCCACAAGCTCTTGCCTATCTCGCGACACCGCAAACGCGGTTCTTGTTCCGAGAAGAGGCTTTTCATGACGAGGAGAATGTGGTTTTTCTTTGATCATGAAGTCTGTGTTGGTGTCGTGGATTGTCTTTCTAGTATCTGGGTTCCCCACCAAAGAGGACTCGGACAGGAGTCCACTACGACCAGCGCGCTGCAGCATCGCACAGTCCGCTATGCCTATCAGACATGCTGCAACAGCCACAGCTGCTGAGGGAAGACGATACTTCTCCAAAAAAAACAGCATTTTGAACAAGATATAGAATTCAGGAGCTGAACGTTGGTAATAATTGGCTCTACTTGTAGTTACAACAACTTGATAGGTGGATTTACACACTGAATATGAAAGAATACTTACACAACTAGTAACTTAGTATGCACGGACGCGTATCTTTAGTACATGAAAATCTTTAGCTTAGTGTGCTAGTACAACACCATTCATGATAACGTGCTCTACTACCGAGTGCTTTTTACAAAGATCAAACAAGGCTTGTGATGATGATGATGATGATGAAAAGCGTATTTGATGAACAGCAGTTCGTGCAATTATTGAAGTAAAACTAACAACTTAGCATTGGCAGCGAATTGAGCGCGCGTCTAGTCTTATTGTGAAATGACCAGGACTTTATAGACGACTGCTCTACTTCGTTCTGCATGCTTTTATTACACCTAAAACAAGCTCAGTTTGCTTGTGCTTCTATTTCGAATGACAGCTTAGTGCTTCCTCTTCCGTGCAGCTTCTATTATTCCAAAAGGTTGTTGTGCATAAACCGCAAACACCTAAACATATTACGATCTTTCTACGAATGAAAAGTTTAAGGTACTAGACTGCTTTTTACACGTGAATAGAGACTGATATCTATGATCACAAACTAGGAAAGATGACAAAAGATACTATAATTACAGTGAGGCCACAGGAGATCTTCAATCAAGTTTTTGATCATATTATGATTTAATATCAATATCTTCTCACGGTGCGTGTGCGTGATGAAATCGACTTGTACGAGAGAGCTTGCTCGGACGCACTATCTCTGTCCGAAATCGCAGCCCTGCGTGGTTGGATAACAAGAGAAAGTGTCAACATTTTGGTTCGGATCTTGCTTCTTCAAATTTAGACTCACTGGTGTCCCATCACACTAGGTAGAAGTACTACAACACCAGGAGAACAAATATAGCGTATACTCTCATCACACTAGGTAGAAGTACTACAACAGCATCAAAACTAACCACACAAGACACAGGAGACCCCTGCACTTTTACCAATCACACAAAGAGAGGAAAGAGCGCTTTCTTACCTACAGTGCATCACAGTTCAGTCGATCGTGCGGCATAGTTACACTGCAGTGAGGTTGCACGAATCCTTGTGTAGACATGGAACCTCGATGAAGGCAAGACTGATTCGGTTCTCCACTGTCCAAGCAGTACGAAGCACCTTGTTAGTCTGAACAAAGTGAGAGAACCCGTAAGATTTTTCGAGTCATATTTTCAACATTCAATACTTGCACGGAATAATTCTAGTCATCTGGTCGTGTACTACGACAACCATCAAGAAAGAACACCATCCCACTTTTTCGCTTCACAATGAGGATCTGATGTCCTTGCGAGAACATTTAACATGTATGCTCCTGACATCGCAGTTCGTGACACGAAGAGCAGCCACGATTCCCTCAAATAGGCTGTATGCCGGCAAGCACCACTTCTTACATCTGATAGAAGAAGTCATTAGTTTAATCTTGTGGCTCATTATCATTTGAAGATGATCATCTACTCGCCAGGGCTCATCTTTAAAGCGACATATTTCTATATGCGACTCAGTTTCTGATCTTCAAAAATCTGTTCATGTTTCCTACCCGCTCGAAACACTAGGTCCATACTTTTTTTCCAGGCACAACCCGCCAGCGCGGGCAGAAACAAAAACGCCAAATCTTTGTACAACAAAAAATGAAAATGCTAAAGCAGAAGTTCCCGTTCATCCTTATGTTTATAAAAACATCAGGTTAGATGTTTATTCTTCTGCATCCGGTAAAGCTATCTCAATTTTGCACTTGCTTGTCAATCCCTCTCCACACTTATAATTCGTCTGTGGTAGCAAGCGGATGGACTTTCACGGCATCCACCTGCAGATGAATGCTGTCGTATTTGCAGTCGATATGAAGTACTCTGCTGCTTAAAGATCGACTTAAAACTTCGACTCGAAAGGCATCAAACGGCAAGGAAACAAGTCATTGTGGTACAGTACTTGTGCTTCTAGTTCTTCCCTCTCTGTTCTTCATTTGATGTCGTCGTTCCTCACGTTCATCAATTTGTACTTCGTATGACTTTTTTAAGAAGGTGGACTGTCCAAAGACAGCACTATATGTTGCCTTTGGTCACGTCCTTCTAGTAGCTCTAAAATAACTCCTTTCTCTTCTCCAAATGATTCCTCCGAGAAAGAACTTCCCGAGGAATTCGTACTACATGTCGACTTTGATCATCATGTTTGCTCCTCTTGAACTCGCGTGTCATGAATACCGTAGAAACCTACTCTAGCGATGTTCTTCTAGTTGTTGTACTACATCTTCCTTCCCTGGTAGGGGAATCCGTACTTTGATGTTCTAGTAGTTGTACTACAACATGTTCCTTCCCTACCTTGATGTTCTACAAGTAGTCGCACCACTCATTTTCCTCCTGATCCCGAAGAGGAAGTACATGTTCCCGAAGCAGAAGAACACGTTCCGGCAGAAGACGCAGTCGCAGGGGAAGCTTTTTTCATGACGTAGACTGAGTCGATGATTGGGAAGCCGATACCAGAAACTGCTAAGTCCTGTTCAGGAATTTCGCTTTTGAAAAATTCGCGATTCCATTTGCCCTTCCACGTTTGTCTCACTTCGTAGTCACGCAGTCGTCGTTCGTCGACTGTCAATGCTTGTTGTCGTCGTTCTCCGTGAGAGGAAGATCTGTAATTCTCGTGGTCGTTCTGATGCAGTTCTAGAAGTGCTACTTCCTCGAAGCTGAGCACACGGTTCTCGTTCTCTTCGTTCGCTTGTCGAAAAAAGAGACCATCCTTCACTTGTCCTCCACTAACCTCCAAATCAATATGTTCTGCTCCGCCGTGCTCCTGATATTCATCCGCGTGCTCCGACACTGCTCTTGAGTGATGTTCTTCGATCGGGGTGCGGAAGAGCGATAAGAGGTCACGTGCATTCTCCTTGTCGTAGACTTCAATGCCGGCTCTGTTTTTCTGCCCCAATCCCATTAAATACGTGCCAAAATACTTGAAAACTCTACCGTCAAACGGACTCTGCGGATTTTCCACGCCGATCAAAAAATCATGCGCGAAAAGCTGGTGTTTAAGATTAAGAGGTTACGAAATACTTCAATGTGCTCCTTTCCTGTTACATGATGAGAATGATATTCATGAGGACACGTGAATCTTCAGCGTAGAAAATCAGTGTAAAAACCATTTGTGCGAATCATCTATATATTTATCTACTTGCTTGAGTAGCTAGGAGCACCATTGGTTTGTCCTTGTCGTCTGGCGATCGGCGCATCCGCGTGGTATCAGGGTAGGCGTAAAAATAGATCTTGAAGAACCAAAAGTGCGAATTAATAGTGGGCCAATGCGACAAAATATTACTCGAGAACGGTCGAAACCTCTGCATTCCATGCAATTGCAACTGCTTCCCTGTTATAGATATTGTTGTTCTTATCCATCAAAAATCAAGCTTGAATGTTCCTTTGTAGTAGTGGAAAGTGTGCCTGCAATACCTAGTCGCAGTAACTTTTCATTATACCAGAAAAACCGCACCTGTTGTGCGCTGATGTACGACCACGACTCACAGATGTGAATTCTAAATGGTCGGAGCATCAGCGAAGAGTGTTTAACAAATTTTAGATCGTTTAAGGACGAAGTGAAAGGATACCATCTATCATGCCTTTGACGACGTCCCCATCGTCCAAAAATTGGGAGGGTCGCGGACGCACAAGGTCTAAAGGGGATCCACATCTTCCGAGCGAAACTGAGTCGGGCAATCTCAAAGCCCAAGCTGCTGCAGAGAGGGCTACATTGCTGTTGTGCTGCCAACTACGGACAAGGTCAAATATTAGAAGTTGAATAATACTTGCTTCAATGATCATCCCTGCTCACGAACAATGCGAAAGATGAGTATGAGAAAACCTCTAGGAAGCAACTCTTGAGCGTAGGCATCATTTTTATTAGTGGTTTCTCTTCGTCTTAAAGGAAGAACGACATTGAAATAGACCTCCATGGCGTGCTCTTCTGCTCGTCTGCCTAATTCTTTCTGGAATTGAGGGGATCCCACCGAATATCGATCTCCGAAGGTTGCATCGAAGTCATGACGGTTCGGGTCGTAATTAGGCCACCTCAGGTTTTCGTACATTCCCCGTGTTAGAAGGAGGCAGTTTTCTGGTCGTGTTGCCGTTTGAAAATATGATCGACGTTATTTCTACCTTCCTTTGTGCTTGTAGGAAATAAAATTTCATTCTAGAGAAGAAACGCCACGGCAGAGGACGTGAGAGACCAAGAACGCTAAATAAAACTACCCAGCCGTAATTTCAAGGTGTTGTAGATTTTGCTCGCTACAAAGCGCGATAGCGCTTCCGTGTCCGTTCCGCGTCTCTGCTTGGCAGGCGGACCTTGCCGTTGCAATCCCTCAATCCCTTCTAATTTCGAAGCGTGTATCTGGATAATTTGCGAATCGAGCCAGCGACTCTGCGACAGCTCCGGACTTTAGAGGTAGGCCGCCGACCAACGATGCGCCAGAAATCAAATCTGTTGTACTTAAGGTCGTTTCGTTAAGCAAATAAAGACCCTAAACCGACCCTAGGGTAGTAATGATAAGTACAATGCACCCCGTGAGGCAAGTCGTAAGTGCAATACATTTAGAAACCGCGAAAGGATTAAGAAAGTGTACCGCAGAAAACTCAAAATCTGCTCATTCTATAAGAGACAAACCGCGAACGGAATAAGTCATCTTACAGTACTGACATTCCTGGTTTATTAGGCCTTAAGTATTCCTCCACAGACGACCGAGAACTGTGGCTTGCACATCGCCAAAAAAAGAGGGATCGTTTTGTAGTTGTCGAATGCTTTCCTCGATCTGCACTTGAACTTCTTCCGGAATGGGATTCGTCCCTTGGTACACTCCAAAGCCGAAGTTTGAGGCTCATTATTAGCAGCGGGGAAGCTCAGCATCACCGAAGTGTGACTCAAACACGACGGTGCGGAGGACAGACTGGGGGGTTAACGTCAAGATGAACATCACATTTGTCCATTATATCAAGAGGCAGTATCGTCGAACCGATTATCCTCAAAATCGAAAAAATATCAAGTGGGATATTTGTTCTAACATGTACCACTGTCACTCAGAATCCAAACCATAAAAAAGACAGAAGAGGTAGTCCGGGAAAGGCTTCAGTAGTTCTTTCAATGAAGCGAAGTACATCATTCGGTACTCGTTCGAGGTGGTCAGCTTCAATTTCATGAACTCCTTCTCCAAGGAAGCAACTTCATCGACTTCTTCATCAACTGCATGCTCGACCTCAGGTGAGTCACTGTTTGACATATCTGCGTCGTCTTTCATCATGTGCTCCTCTGCTTTCAGTTCCATCGTGCGCTGCTCTTCTTTCTTCTGTCCATCCATGATTGTCCTGTCAGAGAATTTGGCGAGTGTATCCATATAGGACTCCCACAGTGGTTGTATTTGCTCGGACCAATCTCGGGCTGTCATGCTGCCTGCCTTTTCCTGATCGAAGATCCAAGGCAGCGACCTCAACATCCTTAACGAAGCCTTTGTAGTTAGAGAGTGGCGGTGGTGCTCACGTTAATCAAATCCTTCTACGAATACTTTGACTTCTTCATTACCAACACAATACGGTCGCCTCGGGTATAGATTCTTCTCTGTATTTTTCGAATTAAATGAATACAGGGAAGCGCATGCTCTTCTGAGAGATGACAACATATAACCACTCTGAGAAATGAGAAAAAAGCCAACCATAATGCCAAGTCACGTTCCTTTTTCTCGGTGTTGGAAGTGGAGCCTTCGCCTTTTTGTTTATCGGAGTCGGTCGAGGATGCCTGTGTCTCCAAAGCCCTTGTTGCCTCGTGAGTAAGTCGCTGAAAAAAAGCCGCCACTTTGTCCTCGGGAAAGATGTCGCGCCAAAACGTTTCCCAGCTCTCTTCGCGAATCTTTTCCACGGCATCCTCTGCAGCAGTAAAACTGAGTTTGCTGAGGAGGTTCGAGTTCATCTTGCGAGCCGGTCCTCGTGCTGTATTTTGCTGCTCCTGCTGCTGAGAACCTCCACTGGATGTAGCAGTAGTAGACGTCTCCACAACTTCACCCGCAGCCAACGAACTCAGAATTTCAACGGCACCATCGAAATCGGCCTTGTTTGTAGCTCTTTCGTCCAGAAAAGCCTGGATTTTCTTATCATCCTCGTCCAACTCGACGAGGTGATGCCACGAGGACGACAAAGAAACTGCATGGTCAAAACAAAACTCACCGTGCGGTAGCATACCGCGCTTCAGTCTCGTCAGTTCACTTTCGGGAACTTGTTCCGCATTTCCTCTGCCTTCAATGACAGTCGTCTTGCCGTCTCGATTAATGGTGCTGCTCGCCTCCACGGCCCGCCACTGGTCCTCCAGAGCGAAGCCAGAGAGAACCATAGCTGTAACGTAGGACAAGGTTACGAGAAGAAGGGTTTGAACTGGTTTCGGTAACGCTTGCATAACCAGTCCCACACTGCTTGCTTCATGCAAAAATTTCCCAATTTCTGCGTGTTTCACTGATACGTACTTCTTGCCTTTCGTTTTTTCCCCTTCTTGGGGATCTGAAGATATTAGTTCCAATCCCGCTCCCTCTGGATCTTCAAGACCTTCCATTTCCAAAGGTAGGTTTTGTTCAGGAGGACCAGCAGTTGTTAAGAAAAGCCCACCACCAGCAACATCACGATAGGTACTGGAAGTAGAAGATGTAGCTACATGATCTTCACCACCATGATCCTGCTTATCGCCATCCGATGTGCCCATTGTTGTTGTAGCTGCAACAGAAGTTTCACTTTGTTGGGTACAAGTGCTAGGTCCTCGTAGCCGCGGAACTACGACTTTCGTTTTCCCAAAAAATTGAATCACGCGTCCATCCGGAGTCCTTCCGCCGATGCCACCAGCAGGAGAATGGCCTTGCATGCTCCTAGGGGTCGCTGTTGAGCATGTTGGACTAAACACAAGACCAACTGATTCATCAAGAGCTTCAGCTGGGCTGTTTTCCGTGTCGTTGCCCCCAGTAACCGCGTCACTCATCTCTGCAGTCGTGATACCAGCATCAACATGACCTCCAAGTTCGCGAGTCGTATCTCTTTGCGGTGTGCTGTGGAAATTTCGTGGCACAACTACTTCGTTTCCAGAGACAAACGCCTGACCAGAGCTCGGTCTGTTCGTTTTGCCCATGAAGCCGACGAAGCGACCCTCCGAGTTTCGAGCACCCACATTCGAGGAAGGGCTACTGCTCTTGCCCAACACGAGGGTTGTCGCGCAGAAGAGAAAGCGGACGCAAAGTTTCCATCTGCTCATTTTGCTCGGCTTCTTGTATTGATCTAATGATTCAGTCGTGATGAGTTTGTATGTATCGTAGTTCTTGATAAGTAGTTGCTTGATCATGTTTGTCAAAAATGAATCTATAATATATCTTCAAAAAAATTGTGACTTCATTATCACCAGAAACTCAGTAGAGGATTAAACAAACCTTGCTAGAAGCCTTTTTTTAGAAAGATATCAGATGATGCCTTTTCATGAGCTGATCCTTCGAAGAACTGCCTGAAAGAATCCACGTCACAAACTCTTCATCAATTGGCAGGTGAAGGCGATCATGGCTTGTTCGCTCGTCAGTCTGGCATCATCTGAAAACAACCTTATCACAGTGGATTTCACCTTCAACAAGGTCTGCAAGTGTGACAACAAGGACAAGCACGTAGTTTCTGTCAACACTTCTTGCATGACATACGTAAGACGATAAAGCACCCAGTTTTTCTCGTGTCCGATAGAAGTCAGCAATTTTATGTATGTTCATGCACAACATGCACACTTTCATACTCATTGCACTCCAAGTCACATGGATGAGTCCTTGGCAGAGCATGCCCAATCGGACCGATTGTGGATCTACTTATTAATATGACATCATAAGTAATCTAATCCTCCAGATGAGCTACATGAATGAACTGATATGCGTGAATGCACCGTATTGGCATGTCGGGCGTGTTTTTTTGGCAAGCTCTCCCCACTCGTTTTCAATTTTCCGAAAATCTTCTTCGCAGGTAAATCCTTCTTTATCGTTGAAATTCTTGATTCGGTTCTTACAGCTCGTTTCGTATTCCGCATTTGCCGCATTGCGCGCGTGCTTCAACATGCTTCTCGCAACGCGCATAGAGGCCACCGCACGCTGCAATCGCATCCACTCCTGATCGTAGTCGGTGCTGGCAGTGACAAAATCCGCAAACCTCTCCTCCATCCTCGTGTTCGCAATACCAGACGCACTGGAGAACTCAGCTCCCTCTTGCTGCTGTGCGGTTGCGTCTCCGTCCATAAGAGGGTTTACAATAGTACCTGGGGCGCAACGGCAAGCCTGACCCAAAGCAGTATGACCGAGCGTCATTGCGAACCAGCTATCTTCTCCGAGGCTTTTCTCGATTGCTTCGTGCGGCAGCAGAGAGGCGGCTACATGCCTCGTCGCACGTGTCCACTGAACGCGAGAGCTCCCTCCCGCTCCGATGCAGAAGTGAACGATCGATCTGTCGCCATCTTATCGTCTACAGTCTCATTTACGGATTCACCATCGTCCTGTTTGCCCAGAGACAATCATGACTGACTATTCTTCTGCAATCGCTCTTCAGTCTTCTTGTTGATGCTCTATCTTATTCACGACCAACTCTTATTTATTAGATACGTGATAGACAGAATGATTCGAAGTCTTATCATGCCAGCACGTCCATCAAAGTGCCAATAATCTATTTAGATAGAGCGAACAATCTTTAAGGAGGCATGGGGATTGAATATTCTCGTCTCCAACCGATAAGGAAATAGCCGATGCAGTACACATCACAGACTTGAAATATCATATACAAGACCAAGATCACCAGAACCTCGGACCGATATCAAGGACGAGCAGGACTAGAAATGATAATCGATGTGAAAGTATACTACCGATGAATGATATGTCAGTACACTTCTAAGAGTCTGCGGAATGAGCTTGTTGCTGATAGGCAGACTACAACCAAGGATCTCCTTGCGGCATCGTGATCACACTTTGAGAATTGTTCCTCTTCCGTGCTACGGATGGGGGCGCGGGTCATTAATGTGCGCTTGGGATGGAGGGGGGGGTAAACAGGGCGCGGGGAAACACTTCTAATTTGTTGTTTGTCCTCACAATAGGAGGTCAAAGTCGGCACTGCTCTGGAAAAGTGACAGTAACATCAATCATATCTACAGCGAAAAAATTTTTAGGTGACGAGTATTCTGGCTGTAATTTTCTGAAGCTTCCAATCTAAGTAATCGGGAACATGATTATCTTCGATAAGTGTAGGTGTACGAATTCTACTGCGCTGGCGTTCTTCACAACTACTCAATGCACCCTTTGTGGTAAATCAGGGCATTTTCGTGCAGCCGCCGACCTCCCACATGTGCGTCATAGGACAGCGGTTGTCCAGTGACTCCGTCTTTCACTACCACGCCGGTGAGCCACCAGTCTCCGTTTATGAAAATTTTCGTAAAGAGCTCGCCGCAAACGGGACAACAGGGCTGGCCCTCTGAATACGGCGCAATGTGCCGCATTTCTAGCTTCTTTCCGCGGTCCCCGCGCTTCGATGTCTCCACTTGAGTATTCACCGGATCTTGTAGGACGTCATTGTCGCCGTCGTCATCCCCATCGTCGTCGTCGCCAGCCTGCTTGGCATCCTTCGTTTCCCATATGCTCGCGAGCTTCAAATCCCTAACGCCCATCCATTCTTGTATCGTTGATTCCCAGCCTTTGAAGGTGATGTGGATGATGATGATGTTGAGAGAAAAATATTGTTGAGAAAAGTATGTTAATTCTCTTTCAACATGGCGACCTTGTGTGTTATCAAGAACATTACTTGAATCCAAATCTAAACTGTCGATACGAGAAGAATGGTGCTAGGAAATCAAGATGTAGGACAAGCCAGAAAGTACCTCTATATTTCTTTTCTTCTGGCGCCTCTTTTTCGCCCTTGTCTCCCTTTTTTCCACGCCCGCCTCCACCAGTATCTTCTATCACTGGTTTTTTTCTCGCTAGATTTTTTCTATAGTGTGTGTCATGGTGCAGCGCTAACGTCGCTCGCGTATTGAACCTCCGCCCACACGTTCCACACTGGTAAGGGTAGTCTTCGTGATACTGCGCTTGCAGCTTGTCTCCTCGCATGTGTCTGATTGTGTCGAAGTGCAAAGGCACCGCCGAGCTCTCCAGACTCGCTTCCTCCGCTGCCCTCACGTGCTCCTCTACTTGGAAAATGAACTGGAGGATTAATTGCACCTCGTTTGGATGGAGTTCGTCTACGCCTAGGTACTGGTCTTGCGCCGAGGCCAGGATTTGCCGTCCGATGCCCGATGCGATGTAATGGTTTTTCTTGTGCCCAGGCAACTTTTCTAGGAACCGTGCGCACCAGTCCATGTTAAACACGCGGTTTTTCGCATCTAACTGCGTCGTTGTCGCAAGCTTCGCCCTTTTGCTACCTTCGGTGTCTGCAGCCACTGTGCCGCGTTTTGCCTTTAGAGAAATGGTTGCAGAGTGAAACTCAAAAATTTCTAGTACAAGTCGTCAGACAACAGAACCTGATAATTTTCTCGGGTAACAGCAATAGATCTGCGACAGCCGTGGTACTATTAATGTTCACAATCTTTCACTCTCTGTCTATCTACCAAGAAGAACTAGCAAATTCGTGATACCACTTGCTGTTCTTCGACTGCTTGCGCTTCTTGTGGCCTTCTTTGCTGCTGAGGTGGCTGTTGTGCTGTTTCTGGCTCAAGGATTGCTTTGAATCTCGCTAGTTGCCGCTGCGCTTCTGCCTTTTTGCCCTCTTTTTGCAACCGAATCGCCTCACAAATTTCAGGAATCGTAATAATTTCTTCTCGGTCTCCTGGTCCTATATTTCCGGTCACTAGATTGTGCATTATCTGGATTATCCTCTTTCGCCGCGCCGGAGTATAGGACGAACTTGAAGTGCCTGTAGCGACATCACCGACAGTTGGAGGTGCTGCCTCTGGAGCGATGACTGGGGTACCTGAGTTAACATTAGATTGGATTTGTAGTAACATTGGATTAAAGAAATAGATCAACAATTTCTAGAACAACATGGGAGAAACTTATGTGACTTCAGCGAAGGTCACAGACGAGTATTTACGCCAATGCAACGCACAAGAAGACACTATAATTCAAGTTGAATACCTCTATTTATCTCTTCCAAGCGTCTATCTAAACGAAGTGATACCTTTTAACTCTTCCATCCGTCTGTCTATCTCCTGTAAGGAGTCTTCCGGTAATAGGTGATGTTTTTTCCAGGACACGTTGAGCATCTTGTGAAAGAAATCCAGATTGACCACATCGTTTTCCAGTCTTAGTTTTCGCACGCATTCTGGATATCTTTCTCTCAAGATTTGCGCGAAGGGATGCTTATAAGCGGCAGAAGCTTTCTTGAGGACGCTATCGACTAGAGAAAAGAGCGGCTGGTATCGCGCGGTTGCCGCATTTTTAACCTCCTCCTCCCACACGATGGACATATCCAAAGCTTCATTCTGGTAGCGGATCGCAAGCTCCGTGGCATGAAAGGAGAAGGGCCACAAGCAGGAGGGAGGATAGAGCAGGAAAAAGATACAAGTATAGACCACGACATTGAAGGACATCTTTCCTAGACTCCTTAGATCTATGCCGAAACTAGTGTAAAAACGTCAACCGCTGGGAGTACGTAGCACTCAATTGAGGAATCTTCTATCTTCAACATATACTAGCATTATCATATATATGTAACACATCACGTTGACAATCATAAGTGAGCTCACGAATCTTGGAAGAGCTCTTGGTGTTCAGCTCCCCCAGCTTTTTACCGAACTCCGCAAGACGCGGATTGCTTGCCGCTGCCATTTTGAGTCGCCACTCTGGAGTGAAAGCTCAGGATTATAGGCGTTTGAATCGCGAGCTCGTTAGCTTAGCGTTTCTGTACTTAACAAAAGTCGGGCGCTCTTTGGAAAGAAACAGGAGAGCAGAGCTCAGTTGGTAGAGTTCGGAAATCGACAAACTCTCATGCGGAGACAGGGAAGCACACGCGCAACCTCACGAAACCGCCACCAGCACATCCTTCAGCAGCATATTGTGAGCATTATGGACGTCGACCATTCTCTATCTGGATCGAAAAATCAAAAATACGCAGTAAAATATTGATGATCAAGTGATCTAATAGGAGGAGTGTACTTAATTTGTTAATACATTAGTAGACACATCAAAGTTTCGACAAAGAAATTCTCATTACGGCTTAATTACGGTAGACTTACAAAAGCGCAGACCTATACATCACACAAACCTGGATCGGACGTTGTTTCACAAGTTTTCAATTCCCAGTATGTAGGCGTTAACATGCAACTTTAACAAAGAGCTTTAGTGTGGCAGAGACGATAATTAACTGCCGCACAAATTAATGATGCAATGCCATCGTTTGGAGGCGGAAATATATGCTATTTCGTCGTCAGATTTTTTACGCAAAGAGACCGATGCAGCGGATAATAGGGAAGATGCTGAGCAAGATGGCATTTTCCGCGATACACTTCAAGATTGTGTTTTCATAGCGCACCATCGCACACAAGAAGATCATTTTACACTCTATCTTTCTTCGATTCATTTTTTTACGTGCGACGAATCATAACCGAAGCAATTATGCCATCAAATTGAATATACTTAAAAATACTGATCCGTCAATCCTTTCGTTCTAATTTCTTCACTTTTCTTGAAAAGTCGAACACCCTAGTGTTTGCTTGTGGTGTGGTGCATTTTGACCTTGCTTACGAGAAAAATGATTTGGTCCTCAATTTGGTGCAGGGTACAGGTAGGAGGTTGGAAAAGGAAATACTACAGTGGGATACCGTTATTTCGAATTCAATCCTCCAAGTCAGAGATGAAGTCATCAGCGTCTCTTGAAATTTCAGAGTCCGAGAACGCGTCCATTACCTGTTCCGCTGAACCCCTGCCTGCGTTTCCATCACTGCACGCAGGTGGAGAGGAGGACTCCACAGGAGGACCCGGATCATTCATGTTCGAATCTTTGATGTCGCTTTCATCGAGGGCTAATGCATCTTCACCATCATCATGAATCCAGCTAAAACTTCTGCTCTGTGCTGAAGCACGAGCAGTTATCGGGACTTGCTTCGCGCGACTTTTCGCTAACAAGTACGATTCGACAAACTTAGTGGCAAAAGCCGTTATCTCCTCTCCACTTGGTGAAGTATGCGGACAGGAAATCCAGACTTTCCTACCGTCTAAAACGCACGTAGCCATGTCTCGCGTCGCGGTTTGTAAAGTCACACCGTAAACAGTCCAGGAGTCGAGGACAGCATTACTTGGATGAGGCTGTTGTGACGAGGAAGAGCTTGACGACGAAGTACTGCTGGAGGAGGATTCACCTCCCTGTGCCATAATTTGCGAACCTTGTTTCAGATCAAAGTGAACCTCTGCTGTCAGGCGTTGTTTTTCTTGCTGAGCACTAGGCGTAGCCCCAGGTTCTCCGGTATGATTGGTTGTCGCAGGAGCTACTGCTGTAGGTGGTTCCTTCTCGTATTCGATTACCAACTCGAGTAATCTTCCATTCGTGCCCCAGTTCAGATAAGAACTTCGAAAAACGAAACCGGACCGCAGGACGCGCAGCGGAAGCACTGCGTCAAGCATCTCTAGCTTACCCACACAGAAGGTCCCTTCCTGGGTGCTGCTGTTGCTAGGCATTGAGGCACCCCCACTAGACATTGGGCCACGAAGTGTCGAACCCAACATATTTTCTCTGCCTGAGCTGCCGTAAGGCGAGGCACGTGATTGTCCGGAAAGACCAGGGCCGCGACTTCCAAGCGATGAAGTAGTTGAAAAGTTCCTTCTCGCAACTCGTTCTATCAAGCCACCAAAGCGGGCCTCGTCTTCAGTCAGGCCGCTATCAGTCAAAAGCCCTCTTAGTCGGTCTACGATATCGGATAAGGGCCGTCCCGGAGGCGGCACGCTCGACGAAAAGCCATATCCAGTCGAGTTGTCTGATCGCATAGTGCTTGCCGTCGGAGCTTCACATCTCGCCTCGGACTGTTCTCCAGCAAGCAGGGCCCATCGCACGCATGGAACAAGCCTGAAATCCTGGCCTTCCCCGTCAAGCAACGGAGCAGGAGGTGGAAATAAGCCGTAAAGGCTCTGAACTGCTAGAGCGAGAGGTCGCTTCGTTGATGACGATGAGCTACATGTGAAATTCTCCAGATCTGCCAAGGCGTATCTCTGTGAGGGAAATTCGGCATTCGAGGCACGGAATGTCTTTTGCCTCAACTTCTTCTTCTGCCCCTTCGAGAGTTTCGTCTGTTGTTCGCTCATTTTTGTCAATTTTCTGCATATTACTAGCGATAGTTAAATTGTTTGCTAATACAACAACTTTCAGAAAAGTCAAATTTTACAGACAAATGGTATCTACTCAAGTACTGCCTCAGGAAATGACTTCGCGAGGACGTACTATCCACCGAGCTCCGCAGTTAAAAGTAACTATTTAAGTGAAGAAATGTCCTCTGCATTGTGCCTGTCGCTATCATTTGAAAAAAAGTGACATAAAAATAATCAAGTAGATGACAGATCCTAATGAAAACGAAAGCAATACTGGAATTCACATTATCCTTCGAAAGATCCGCATGGGTTCTGAAAAAGAGAGTCTAGTTTCTTCTTTTGGGATCCGCCACCAGCTCCCAGTGTAGGACTTTTGCTACAGCGCTTCTTCGAAACGGATCTGAGGACGACCCAAAAGATTCGGAGAACAAGTTAATCCAAGCCAGTTATTTTCGGAACTCAACAGGGGCAGCTTCGTCTGTGATAAAAAAACTATCAATGCTTGCGTGGAAAAGTAGGATATCCATCTTGAACCTGGGTTATAATCAAGTAGGATACAACTGTTTGACATGTGTTTGTTCGGGTGGTGTCCAATATCGGTCATGACTTGGAAAATTTTGATACTAGTCATCCTCTTCGAAGCACGCGCTTTCCCCCAGAACTCTTATCAGTCGATACGGCCGACCTCCAGCGCCGCGCAACGACGCGTTGTAGAATCCACAGGGCTCGCCACAATTTGCACACGCGCAAGGGACTTCGCTGCTTCTTGCTGCGTGAAAGGCAAATGGTTTTACTGCGTCATTCTCGGACTGGTGCCTGCGGATTTCTTCCTTGCCTAAGGCCCGCACTCGTGCTCGCGCAGCTACCCAAGAGTCACTTCCACCGCTTGACTGCCGGAAGGCGCAAACGCTTAACTCCGAAAAACAATTAGGACAACTAACGGCCTCTGCATCTTGCGGATTAACATCTTCGGAAAGAGCCGCATTGCCGGTCAGCGCATTTCCTCCAGCTGCACCGCTTTCAGCACCATTTTTTCTCCCAGGGGATGGACTCCGACTTCGCTTTCGTCTCCCTCCTACGATGCTGCTACCATGCTGTGCTCCTGCTTCCGAAGTACCATGATTTCCTTTCGTACATGTAGTATCACCACTACTTCCTTCTTCATCCTGCGACAGAGATGTAGGTGAATGGTCATCAGCTTTCGTACGACGCTCTGCGACCCAAGCGGCGTCTTCATCGTCTAATTGGGGGTCATATAACTCATCCCGCTGAGGCGGCGTTGGCGCTGATGGCGGTGGCACAAAGTTCACCCGTCGTGGCGTCAACGTGGTGCTACAACCAGGATTCCCTATCTTTGTGTCCAGTGCTTTCGGTTGCCAAGCTAGAAGGGTGGCCAGCGACTGTTCGTAAGTGGAATGGTCTACCATTTTTGTTCTAGAAGAGTATGTCGAATTGCCAATTCTTACTAAACAAATTTATTGTACTCACGAACCTTAGTCATACTTGGAACAACTAAGAACGACACATTGATTGCTTACAACAGCGCAAGCCGAACCAGCGTGCTCGCGGACAATAATTACCGTTTTACCGCAAGAGGCTACCTCAACTTTGCCATAACTAGGAACGTAGAAGCATACCTCTCCAGTACAATCCACCTGCGCGTGTAGAGAAACAGTGGATGACTACTTCTCTACTATTCCTCAATGGCCGCGCCGAGGATGTGCACCAGCTTGGTATGAGCCTCACCTTTTCATACAGGATCGCTGCGCCAGACGCGCTCTGTGAAGATCGCACAACAGCAGCATTTGGATTCCTATTCGTCTTCTATCTTGGACCCACATCAACATAATATTTGAATTCAGAGTAGCCATCATAGTTCGTGATCATGCTCAGACAGAAGAATGCTGGAACAAAGAGAGTACAGATCATAATGACCACCCAAGACCATATACTTGAACTACGATTTCGATTACTGATCCTTTCTGTAAGAGGATAATCGCAAATCCAGTGGATTTCCTTGATGTCAAAACACAACGCGCGCACTCCACGCATCATACGATGCGCGCCATGCGAAGGGACAGAGTCTTTTTCATTATCGAGATGCGGATATTATCATTGCACACGAAGCAGGAGGCTACAAATCGCACGTTAAGGGTGGACATATTAATTACACGTGTTTTACGCGGTCTCGTCTGAATCTATTTAGCAGAACAGTCATAATTCTTTAAACTGAGAGAGGAAAATCGAGACAATAACTTTAAACCCACATGAGTGCTTGTCCATCTGCCCCTGCCGTGAAGAGCCAAGGATGCGTCGGGTGCCAGACGCAGTCCAGGACGCCGATTTTCCTGCTGCCCACTTGCTCGTGACCCGACAGTTTCTTTACGGGCACAATGAGCGGGTTCGTCACGAAGTCAGTGTACACCCGCGCGTGGAAGACGTGAACTGTGCCATCGTCACTGGCAGTGCACATGAGTGGGAAATGAGACGGCTTCGATGCGCGTCCGCTCCTTCGCTTCGCAACAATCGAAGTCTTATCAGCTCCATCTTCGTCACCGGAAATATCCTCGTCGTCAGCAGCGACCCGGCTATTTCCGGACCAATGCGGTGCCTTTTTCTGGTAGAAAGCAACCTGTCGCACACCTCGGTCGTGGTACTTCAAAGTTTTATAGGGTTTCGTGCCCAAGTCCAAGTCGAACCAGAACAATCTCCTATCCAACGTGCCGACGATAACGTGGTCGCCACTAGGATGCACGCTCAATGAAGAAATCCACTTGGTACCAGTGACCAGTTGCTTTACCTGGTGAATATTTTTCGAAAGATGGAATTTGAAAACTTATTTGAAAAGCTGTTGGGTTAAACGAAAACGTAGTAGTATCATCCTTTGTCTAAATGGAAGTAGTACAATGATAAGCAAGTGCATGTTGAATGTCACAGACAAGTACGAATGAGAAAAAACTTGAATCTAGTAGTAGTAGTATGCAGTACCAGCTGATGTTTCTGCAGGTGGAAAACTCGCACGCTCATTTGCGTTGCTACGAAGAAGAGGGGCTTGTTTGGATGGAACGCTGTCTGCTGGATGGCGATACCACTTCCTGTCTTCATGCGACCAAAGGGCTTGACGGTACTCTTTTGCGACAGAGAATGGATCATACACTGATTCCCCTTCGCGCTGCAGTTCACCGCAACGACGCTAAGGTAGTTGCCACTATGATGCCACTGGACTTGCTTGATGCAGCCATCATGCTCGACGTGGATGCGGACGCCGCGTTTGTGAAGCAGGGTTGAGCGCGTCAGCTTCTCCTCGTCTTCCTCCGCCTGTTGTTGGTCTTTATCGAAGCCTGAAGATCCTGAGGCTGTCTTTGCCGGAACGACGCGTCGCCACACCACTTCCTTCAACAGTGATTTCTTCAGTCTCGTCTTCTCCTCCTCCTCGTCGCTTCCCTTATCCTCTTCGCCGTCCTTTGAGGCATCCTTAGTTTTCTTCTTATCTGCATCAGCGTCGTCTTCACTAGCCAAGTCCTCAACGTCGTCCTCGGCATCCGCTGCCGCTCGTCCGGCTCCTAGGCTGCCCTCGGGCAGAGTCAACAATTCTTCGGATGCAGTGCTCCAGGACTTATGCAAGTTCAAGTTCACGAAATACAGGTCGCTCTCGCTCGCGACGGCGAGCAAATTGGGGTCTCTGGGATGAAACGCTACGCTCTGGCAGTAGAGTCCCAACTTCAGGCAGCGCACAGCACGTCCCGTGGAGACCTCATAGACGAAGCAGCGTCCGTCATCACCACCGGTTGCCACGTAGTGGCCTACGGAGTCTACGCTAATACTGCGCACCGGCACACCAGGTCGAGAGGATGAAGATCCACCGGTCGTCATACCGCAATGGCCCTCAAAACGGACTGAAATTTCACGAGGAAACGGTCGGAGATCGGCGACGCTGGGTAGCTGCGGTAGCAAACTGTCCTTCTCCACGTTCATACGCTTCTTCAAGGCACGTGGGACCAAATACAAATCCAAACACCGGTTAAATCGTTCCAGGATGAAATTCTGTTGAGATGGTGGATAGGTTTGTCGATAAAAAATCATCTTTCTAGAGTTTTGGTAGTTTTTTCTTGGTGAATAAGGCACGAACGATTAGTGAAGAGTAGTGAAGACTAGTAAGTAGTAATACAAAGGTTTCACATGTGGCATGTGTACTTAAACCAACAAGAACGAGAAAAAGGCACGATCGAACGAGGAGTGAATCGTGAATTTCAACGACCAGATAGAAGGTATGTAGTCATGAAAAAAGGAAAGGGGGGAGAGGAGGAAACAATGGCTAAACCCGAGCCAGAGGACCTGCAAAGAAGCCACCAACCCCAAAACAATCTAAACAATGTAACCCACTCAGGCCAGCAAAGGAGGGGAGCCACCCCCCCCACCAGCCCACGCCAGGCCTTTCCAGGCGTTTGGCGTCTGCCCTTGGGGTTCCTGCCCCTCTTTTGGCGCATGCTCTTCCCTGCCGTTCCTGTTCACATGGCTTAGGCCGGTCCGCGTCAGACGCATCGGCGTCCTTGCGAAGTGTTTTCCTTGTGGCCTCAGCTACTTCGAAGCCCCGGGCTGCTTGGATGAGCACGTAATACCACAACACGAAAGCCGCAATCCGCACTCCCTGAACTTCCCTACGCCACGGAGGCCAACCTCCGCGACAGACTTCTGCACGGGGTCGCCAAAGCTGTCCACGCGTTGCAAATTAAGAAGGGGAACAACACCCAAGAAGGCCACAGGTGTCTGCGGCACGTCTTCAGCTAAGTGACTCGCTCCCGCGGAAGGTGGTGGCTTGAAATTGCGGCACCTCTTCGCGCGACACGCCCGCGCCCACAAACCCCGCAGGAGGTAAGGCTGCTCCACTTCTTCCGTCGAAGCCAGCGGAATCTTGTGCGCCAAACATTCGCGAAAAACTATAGACGAACGAAAGACAGTCACCAGTAACCCTAACCCCGCCCTAGTTTGCTCGTCACCCACCTGCCGAGGATTGAAGCCAAACGCCACCAGAAGCGCCCGCAGGACTTTCTCGCGGGTGTGTGGTAGTTGCTGCCTGTGGAGGCCGCGGAACGTGCATGCTGTGGGAGCTCTTTCTCAGGCGCTGGCTGCGTCTTGGCTGCCGGCTGCGTCGTGCGTGCTGGCTGCGGGGTCCTTGGGACGGTAGAACCCGCGCGGGACTCCTGGCTTTGGTCCGCGCCCCGTGCCCTTGAGGACGCGGGGCTCGATGCGCTTTGGCTTGGAATAAGGTCCGCGCGGCACTCCTGGGCGGCTCCCTCTCTTCCTGGCCGCCTTCGTCTCAGGGGTTCCTACTGCGCGGCCCGAGCCTCCTGGCCCATCGTCCTGGCCACTTTCGGAGGCCGATGGTGTTGCACCGTGACTAGATGAGGGGACAGCAGGCGCAGGGCCTCCCTCCTGTGCTTTTGTCGTGCCAGACGCTCGCGTGGCAGCTGTCGTGCTTGCGGCACATGCGAAAGGATAGCGGTACTTCTAGGGTAATAAATAAGTTCCACGCGGGGTGCCACGCTAATTGCCACGGCCAGTGCCACGCAAAGTGGCACACAAGGTGCCACGCTAAGTTCTCTACTAAAGTGCTCCACTAAAGTGCCCCACTAAAGTGCTCTACTAAAGTGCTCCACTAAAGTGCTCCACTAAAGTGCTCCACTAAAGTGCTTCACTAAAGTGCTTCACGAAGCACTTCACTAAGTGCTTCACTAAGTGCTTCACTAAGTGCCTGACTCAGTGCCTCACTAAGTGCTTCACTGAGTGCTTCAAAAAGTGTGTCACTAAGAGCTTCAAAAAGTGTCTCACGAAGAGCTTCACAGCCATCGACAGTATACCTGATTACAAGTTCAAGCTATTTATATTTTGTTGATAAAAAGTACTGAATATGCCGGGACTTTGCGGAGCTGTCCGTATTTCTGCGGAATGAAATTCAAGGGTCGCTCACTTTCGTCCAGTTCCTCCCACTCCTTTTTCTCCTTCTCAGAAAAGAGATACTCTTCCGGAGGATTAAACGACTCCGCATGTGTTGGCAAGCTGTCGTGTGTGTGAGTATGAGTAGAAGTTGTTGAAATTTGTGCCCGATAACATCAAAATGACACTCATATCTGAGATAGGAATGGTGAGAGACGAGAATTAGAAATTTACTACTAATTAGAATAAGACTGTCATCACTCCCAGGAAAAATCAAAAGTCATGATAATGTAGAAATAGTACGCTAGTTTTGGGGCCACAAGTGCCGTTGGCGCCTTTCTCCTTTCAGCAACGTCATCCATCCAAATATCAAAAAGCTGGGGCTTCGGCGGTGGCGGTTGTCCGATTTTACCTAAATTTAGTAAAAGTGAAAAAACCAGGAGAAGTCGAGATGATTGAGTTATCACAGCACTAGAACAAGTTCTGAAATGCTCAGAAAAATTCGCATCTAATCAAGTACTTCTAACGGCGTCAAATTTTCTGCATCAAATAAGAACGAGGTCATCAAGGTTGTTCAACAAGCAGATACAGCTCTTCAACAAGTAAGTAATATTACCAAGTCGCATAAGCCGGACGATCTTCTTAATTTTCATGGCCTCCCATTTTGAGGGCAAGAATCTAGCCTTTCCAGTGGGCCGATTGGAAGTCGGGTGAATAGCTTCTGCTGGATTCGCGTACTCCACCATCTCCTCCATATCAGTGGACGCAAAAGGAGTTCTGAAATTTTAGTTTAAGCCAGTGGTTAGAATGAAACTTATTTAGCATTGATACCCGTGATTGTTCATGCAAGAAGGTATAACTCCAATGTGGTTGCACCATTCTTTCGTTCTCTTTTATCCACCACGCGAAACTACAGCAAGGACGAGAAGAATGGCGAATAGCGCAGGTACGTACAGTTGAGCAAAATCAAGCGGTCTATAAGTATAAGTACTTGTGTTGCATGATCCTCTTGATTGCTTCCAGATCTTTGTCTGTGAGAACCACTTCCTCTTGGTTTTTCACGTCCGTGATCGTTCGCCAAGCATCCGGATTATCGAATTTGTTCAACAACTGATCGATTTCGCTTTTCTGGATGGTCTTCCCAATTTTCTCACCAGCGAGATCGTAACCGATGTGCTCCTCGTCCTCGTACCAGCTGAGAGGCACGTTTCCCACACGATTTTTCTCTGCCTCGTCGTCACTGTCGTCAGAGTCGGTGCCATATTCCAGCTGATCCGTGTCCTCGTCCGAAGGCACGGAAGATGCATCTTCATCTTCACTGGACCCTTCTTCCTCGTCTTCTGATTCACCATTAGAATCTTCGTTCTTGTTGCCAGATTTTTCGACATCCTCGTTCGTTTTGGTCGAGTCTTCAACCGCTGTCTTCACGGAAGCTGTTTTTGCGCCGTCTCTATTCGGAACCACATCAGTCTCCTCAGAGGCAATCGCTTTTTCTGGCACTGATGTTTGCTTCCCGGCATTAGCTTTGTCGGTCTTTGCAGACGCAGAAGACCCACGAGAGGACCCTGCACTTGATGCTGCCGTAGAGATCTCACTGATTTTGCGGGCAGTCTTTGTCTTCACCACTGCCGCCTTTGATGCTGAAGTCTGCTTTCTGGCATCTTTCGTATTTGGCTGCTGGCCATGAGCCTCTTCTTCGCGGCCTGTCTTTGGCGTTGACACTGATTCCTTGTTGTCCTTAGCATTCCTTTCTCTTTCTTCTTCTTCGCCGCCCTCCTCATCGTCCGAAGATAATGCGACCTCGACATCGCTAAAGTCACTGGAATTCACATCCTCGACATCAGAGCCCTCAGCATCCTCACCAAGGGACAGCTCACCGTCCCCGATAAGCTCTTCTTCTTCCACTTTTCGTGCCTTCATGTTCGCATAAGACGAAAAAAATGACGATGCAATCTGAGATAAAGACTAACGGATAAAATTGCAATTTGTTAGACGGAGAGAATTAATCATTCACTCTCCATGCAGACCAATTTATCAAACGTCTCAATGAAAACCTCCTGTAAAATGAATTCAAATTAAAAGATGATCAATAAATTTCATAAAATGGAAGGAAATTGTAAGAGGAAAACAACTTTCATCTACTTTTACTTTTACAGGTAAAGGATAGAAAATACGTTACACGGACAAGGATTAATGAGCGTGTGAACGTTTTTCCGGAATGGAGGTCTCAAGAACCGAACTCGTTCTGCACAACGTAGATCCGCGCATATGAAATAGATCCACGACCTCCGATCTAGTGCTATAAAATCAAAAGATCATCGATCATTGCGCGTGTCGATCTCATGACAGAACAAATGAACTGGCGATTATGTATTTATTTTTTCCGTTGAGAAGATCTTTTTTTCATGCTCTTCCGGGATCTGTCGAAAATCACGGAGTTCTAGGCTGTAGAGGAGATCGTGTTGTTTTTGCTCGATGTAGAACATGGATACTAGTAATGTCAAGAGACCGCACTATGGTAAAACACCAAGTAGTGCACGTCATCTTCATTCGTTTTCGTCCAGCATCAGATAAGGAACGAAGAATTATTGTAGTTATAAAGCTTGTCATCAGATATTGATAGGACTTGCCCACAACATTTTTGTCCGTGAATCCAGGTTCACGTCGTTGCCTTTGTCATCTTCGGTATTTTTAGGCACAATTCTGACAGTTGTAGTAGAGTTTTCAAGTTTATAATGGGCGAGAACTGCACACAAATCGATACACCACAACTTGAAATCATTTGATGGATGTAGGGCTCTTTCAAACAGTTGATCCAGGATCACCTTAAACTTTACACGGCACCTCATTGAAAACAAGGTTCCTGATTCACAGCATACCCTTTCTTCGATGAAAAACTTGAGTTTTTGTTTTACCTCTTCATTATATTTGTTTCACTAGAAGGAACAAGTAATCACTACGACGAGGACGATCTTCCTCAACAGATAGATGCTTACTGTTCATGCTCATATACTCGTGTGAAGATAAGCTTACAGTCCATCATGATACGAATTCATGTGTCCCTATTAAACATAATCGCAGATTCTTAGAGCTCCGATTTTTTCTTGGTCTCCGCTGTTTGTTTGCTCCTCTTCTCCATCAGGGTGACAAATTTTTCTACCTCTTGCTCGTAAGCGTCTGCGTTGAAGAGGCCTCGTTGCAAATTCTTCATGCGACTCGAATCCTCGAAATTCCCAGCGCCGTGGGCAGCGCCCATCAGAGCGCCGAGGATCGCGCTGCGGTTCACGTTTTCTCCACCGGCATTTGCGCTTGCAAGCAATGCTTTCACTGGGTCATCTGCATACTTGTATGCAAAGACTAACATAGCAGGAAAACTGGACTGGATGTAGCACGCCGTCATTGGGTCAGAGTCACTGCTCGTAGTCGCTGCCTTCTTGAGCACTTTGATGAAGCCAGGATTGATCTTTTCCGCCACTTCCAACACCGCTGCGCGCAAAATTAGAGGAAGTCAGCAATACGAATTATGGGGATTGCACTACGAGAAGGAACTTAAGCCCTAGCCTCAGAGAGGTTACGTTAGGTTATGGATCCTGCACAACGAGATGAACAGAAATATTTTATGGGATATTCCTTCCCAACGCAGCTGCGCAAAGTCCACGTGGTCAACATGCTAACTATGAAAGAACAACACTTATTCATAACAACGGTTGCCCCAGCAAAACCCTGCCCAACAATTCGTCGTACAGCACTCCCCACTGCGGTAGTTCCTCTGACCTGCGCAATGCGTTGATGATGTCACTCACCCACGCTTCACGATCGACATCGTTAGGCAACGATGTCACTCGCAGCAACGTGAACGGAATCACATTAATTATGCCGTCAATCGAGTCCGTGTTGTGCCCGTCATTGTCCGCGAATGTCCGCAATGCTCTCGCAGAAAGAATGAATGAGGAAAACAAAGGGTTACTAGTAGACTATATTTGAGACGAAAAAAGTACAAAAAGGGCATTGGAAAAAGACGACCTAGCAAGTAGCTATTAGCATGCTCATTTTCCCGAGGATGTACCCAATCATTTGCAAGTAAGATTTACATGCCAAAACGAGAAATCTTTCCAGTCAACATAAATGTTCTTTCGTCCTTCTTCGCTCGCGCCCAGTTGGCAAAGAACATCCTGTGTGCTGTGGCAGCGTACACGTCGTTGTGGCTTCCAGGAGTTGTCATGATTAGAGCTACCGCGTCGCATCCCTGAGCCCATCCCTGTGCCCTTTTCTCCCTTGAAAAAGAGGCCAGGGATGGTGCTGAGAATGCTCTAGCGGTTGCCTTAACATGAACCTGGCATATTCCTCCAGATACTTATCCACCAAAGCACTTGGTCCCACAGAGCCACTCTCCTGTCCTCCGTTCTTTCCGCCTGGTCCTAGAGAACCGATATTATCGTAGTTTTCGACTTCCAGCAAATCAGGATTCGCCTGAATGGTGTTCACTAAGAGTCGACACAGCAAAGTATCCAAAGTGTTTTCTCCCGGTTGCATTCCATGATGGTAATGGTACTGTCCGCCACGTAGCCAAAAATCGCGCTTTCCATGCAGGATTACATCGCCAGGACATGAAAGAGAAGTAGAGTCGAGAATTTCTGCTGTCATATAACTTTTGCAACTTACCAAACAGATGATGTGCCAGTAATAGTAAAGAGGGCTACTAGTACTACATTCTTTTAGGTCTTTCATCTATACTCTTGTTGGTGGACAAAACTGTTTCTATTAATTCAAAAACCCAAAACTCCATACAACATACATAAGATGACATACAACAACCATGCGATGATTAATTCAATCCATACAACAACATTCATAAGATGATATTTCCTTGGTCACTGCCGCGGCCACCGCCACCCGTGTTGCTGAGGTTCATAATACTTCCCGGGAACTTCGCGACAGGACGTGCATATCCTTCGATTTTTCCGAAATCCTGTTGGATGCGCCTTCTATCGTAATACCAGTGAACCGGCATCGACAGAGCGTCCCCAATGTACATACCCCATAGTGCTCCGCGCACGCGGTTCAGAAGCGTGGTCACACCCTCGCCCTCGACAACCATCCTTTCGAACAAAATTCGGAAAAAATAGTGGATGCAACAGCAAGTGAGGATGTACACGTGTAATTAACCTTTCTGAAGATAGATAGCAGTAAGCTTAACGTTTATGGAGCTGAGAGTGTAATCACAAACAACTTTTCTGAAGAAATGCTATGAAACACGCAAATCAAATCTGATGACTCCCAAAAAATCTTTTGTATGACCTGGATGGGCTTTTTTGAGAACCTCATCTCCACTAAGGAAAGACACTATCGTTGAGTTAGGGGAAATCACAAGACTAAAGGCAGTGGGGTGGATAAAACATTTCCTTTGCGCTGCGGAACTGAGCACGTGTCTCCTTCTGTTGGGTATACCATCATTTTTAAACACCTCGTTCGTATGTTGTAGAGACACAAGCACGCTCACCACAACATCGGCAGTATCAAAAAGCGTTACGAATTCATTGCAAAATATTCTCGTCTAGAAGGAACAAGAGTCAGTCAATCATTTAGTACGCCTCCACAGGGCGCCAACCTCCCCGCAGCTGCGACTGCGGCACCTCTACGTCCTGCGACGACCTGAGGGAACTACGTTGTCCACACCGCGCGGGCCGGAGCCAAACACGCCTGATGAACACTTCTCGTGCCTCAGTTTAGGGCTCCCAAGAATTGTAGTGAAAAACAACGTCTCTTCACTCGATTCTAAACTCTCACGGAGCTCTCATACGCCTATTTCGCTACACTGAACACATACTATACCAGAAGTAACGTCATGCGACGCGAAATCCATGTTAGAATCTCCTTTTTTTGATGTCCTTCTGTCTACACTTCGGATCTCCTATTTCGATTATCTTACTACATAAGAAGTTCTGAAAACCCATATTGAATTTCTAGAAAGCCACCTTCTACCTCCATGGTCAAGCGATAGGCTAGTGCCCGAGTTCAGTCCTGTCATCTCTACTCCGAGGACAAATAACGAAATGAATAAGTTTCATGGAGATTTTTCGGAATGAGAATTCATCACTTATCACATTTTCTTTTGTCTACTTGTCTACGAGACCACCAGCATTTATTTGCGTGGCTTGAGTTTCGAGGTCGTGGCCCGGACTTCCGAATTCTAAGCGAAGACATGGGCGGGGCTTGCCTTGTCGAAAACCTAGTGCGAGTTCTCAGAACTACCTATCTATGCGCACATGAACCGTGATGGATCAAGGAGATGAACACTATGAGTTTGAAATATCTAAACAACAGCATCATTCGAGATTGGTGAAGGGATCGGCAGAATTGATTGATTGATTGATTGATTGATTGGTTGATAAACTAACACGCATGAGATCACGTACTGGTCTTGCTGCTCGGAGACGCTGTCCCTGCAGCCAAAAGTGCAAAACGATGATTGAGCACGCAGCTGCCTCCAATGGAATTAAATAACTAAACGTTTAAGTTCATATGTGCATGATAATGAAGAAGTAGGCGCTTAAGATCTTGCTGTGCTCATTTTTAGTTAGCGTTTAGCTCTCTGAGTTTTTGAAAGATAAGGCCGGCTGAGTACTAATTTCAATTGGTTTCTTCTATTAGTTGGCTCTGTATCCTCACGGCGCCCTTCAATTCTTTTTTAAGTTGTAGCCTGTACTTTTGTCGCTGCACTATCGGCCCGGATTACTTTGTTGATTCTATTCCTCAAGTGTTGCACTACTTGCTCGCTTTGAAAGTCCAGCGGTAAGTTGCCTGGGAGTTGTATAATCCGCATTGGATACTCAGTAGCATCTTCCCTACCTGCTATGTCGTCAATGGAGATTTTGGATTTTGCTATGTTTGGCGTATCTAATTCATGTTGCTCGGCTCTTTGTGTGGCGCGTTCTACTTCTATCGCTTTTTGGAGTTTCTCTGTCGTCGCCTCATCGACGAAACAAGTCGAACCCTTCGGATGTCTAGCGAATGCTTCCCAGAGACGCAGGCCCGTAGGAGGAGGCTTCATCAGACGCAACTTCATGGCCAAAATTGCTAGGGCGGCCGGAGACGGCCGGTTATCTCCTCGCCGACTACATGTAGTTGCCGAGTGGATGCATGTGCTTGAGGTGTTACGTGAGAGGAGACGCGCTACTGCATGCGCGTACAGCTCGGCGCCGTTTTCGCACTCTGCCGCGGCTATTCCGAGATAAGGGCTCTCCACTACGGCTTTCGCTATCAATTGGTTTTGGATGGCATCGCACAAGGCAGCTCGATGCTGGTCGTGAATGGTCCTAACGCGTAGGCGATCTACTTGGTTCGAGAAGCGTCGCCATCTGCGACGTAGCGGATCCTCCGAAGGGAAATGGATCCTGATGAACAAAAACGCAGCAATTCATTATAAACTCTTAAAAAAAGGCACTAAATTTTCTAGGGCCTCATCCGCTATTTCGTCAGGGCTTGTCTCGACGTCCCCATCCTCTGGCCCATCAGGGTTTGTCTTCCCGTGGTGTTCTCCCCCAAGCAGGAATCCGGCCGAATAAGTCTCCGACAGACGAAGGCGACGGCGTTCCTCCAGTAGCAGCTTCTCGATGAAAAAGTTTTGCAGCATATAAGTGGGCAGCATCTCCATCACAAGGTTGGCACTAATATTTCTATATGTGCTGGCTGCACCTTCAACTTCTGCTTTTGCCCTGGCGAGAGTAGCTTCTGCTTTTGCCCTGGCATTTCGCATCTCCTCTTTATGAGCTTTGTCACCTTGGATAAAGTCAGCCCACGCGTCCGCCATCCAAGCGACCTTTAAGTTCCTGCATCGGTTATTCCGAGACTTTGACACTCTTGCTCCAGCCCGCGGCCTAGATAGTTCGTCATCACATAGTCTGAGAGGCCTGTCCCAAAACACAACAGCTGGACGCGAAGCACTAGCCAGGTTTTGACGGCAAGCCGTTGGCGCAAGAGCTTCTTGTCATATTTTTTCATGAAGTTGGGAGGCCTCTCGTCCTGCCACATCTGCATGGTCCTGGTCTCCGACTCCGTCTCCGTGTTGTCGGGGTCCCTCGACCCCTTCGCGGCTCCCTTAACAGAAACCGAAGGCTGGTTTTCGTCGCGCAGTCTTGTGAAAAAAGTCTCATCATCCTCATCCTCAAAAGGTAAAACGCCCGCGGAAGAGGAGGAGGAGGAGGAGGAGGAGCACGCGGAGGCTCTGAATTGTTCTTGCGCATGATGATCAGAAGCAGCCGACTCCTCCGCATATTTCGCCAAGGACTTTCCTTTCGGGTGCAAAAGCGTCTCCTTGAGTACAAAATGGACCTCCCATTCTAGCTCCGTCATCCCCAGTCGCTTCCGCTCCGCATCCTTCGCTTCCTGCCGCTTTACAATGATTGCCGCGTGATCCGCGACAAAGAGCCGCGCAGTCGCGATTACGAACTGGCGCTTTACGTCGCAAACCTCGGCCCGCGTTCCTGTGAGAGGTGTCTCGCAGTCTCGACTCGCAAGCGCCTGCCATAGCTTCGCTCCCGCCTTGGTTTTAGTGACGTCACGTCCAGGCAGTAGCTCATTGTCACGCCCATTGTCATTGAGCAGCTGCAATAGGACTTGCCGCACGAAGGCTGCATTTAAGAGTAGACGCTCCACCGTGCCTGCGTGGTTGTGGCGCCCAGTAGGTGGCGGAAACCAAGATGGAGCGAAGGTTTCGCCGGCTACGCCGTCTGAAGACGGGTCCTGATAGAAAAACGGTCGTCCTCCGAAGTTCCCAGGAGTCATAACCTTGGCCTCGTCCATCCCATCGGTCATTACTCCAACTCCCAGCGCTGCCAGCAGATCTTTATGCGGTTTATCTCGAGCCTCAACGTCCTTGGTCAAATTCTCCAAGAACGGTTTTTTGGATCGCAAGAAAGCATCGAACATGTGCCGCATCGCGACTGCTTCCTCCGTCAGATCGCTGGACAAGATTGGGCGCAAAACTGCATCGCGCACCATCTTGTTGCCCAAACCCTTTCTGTAAAACCGAGCTTGTCGATGAGCCTCGCTGTCGGTGTCATAGCTGTCGTCCAAATCTTTGTGGCGCACCCAAGCTTGTCGATGAACATCGCGCTCGGTGTTATGGCTGTCGCGCAAAGCCTACATTTGGCGCAACCGAGCTTGTCGATGAGCCTCGCTGTCGGTGTCATAGCTGTCGTCCAAATCTTTGTGGCGCACCCAAGCTTGTCGATGAACATCGCGCTCGGTGTTATGGCTGTCGCGCAAAGCCTACACTTGGCGCAACCGAGCTTGTCGATGAGCATCAAGCTCGGCGCTATGGCTGTCGCGCAAAGCCTAAATTTGGCGCAACCGAGCTTGTCGATGAGCCTCTGCCTCCGTGTTCCAACCGGTCGAAGACGTCTCTTGTTCGGGCTCGAGCCACTCTTTGAGCAGCTTTACCTACTTCGAGCGATTCTGCTTGTGCTCCTGCTGCCGCCCCACCTCGCGCTCTCTCCCGTTGCCGCGTCTTATTGGCTTGCCCAAAAAGGCGCTTTGTTCTTGATCCTGATGTTGGGCTCCCGCTTCTCCCGCCAACGCTTGGGAGCTGGCTGAGACTGAGGCAGTAGCGCCGCTGGTGCTCACGAAGAGCAGTAGCATTTTCATTTTCAAGCAGCGTTGATGGGAAGCGCCATGCTCTTGCTTGAGTCGAGTCAAAGAACTCAATAGATTGATGGTATAGTGAAGCCGTTGTTGATGACCTAGAGAAAATAATAATATATATGATGAAAAATCTAATCAGAGAAGAATGAAGAAAAGAAAATATTTGGCACGACTTCGCGTGAACCAAGACTCAGATTATGCTCTGCTGCTTTTGGTAAAATCGAATTTGCGGTAGGTATAGCGAATACGATTGACGGCGATCGCACGGGTTCATCTTTACCACGTCGGCTATATATCACTTCTGTCGCTATGATCGTAAACGTCGGAACTCGCACGTTGATTTCGCGGTTGGGATCATGCGCATCGATCGGAGCTAGCATGCTGGATCCGAATCAAAATGAATACAGGAAAGCAGTCCAATCTTTCAGATCAATAAAAGTGATCCTAGTCCATTCACCAAAAAACGAGCACCAATAAACGGACTAGCCTTTTTCGTTTCCTCAAGAAATGCTAGCTTTGCGTATATTTGCTTTCCCTTCTCTTCGCGTTCCGGGCGCACTGCATGGCAAAGCGGCGATGCCGGAAGGGTAGTGTATCAGATACTTTCTTTCGATGGTTTAATGAGTTAGGCGATAGCGGAATGGGTGCAGAATGAGTTTTCTAGAAATTTTTCAACATGAGAATGCAGTGTCGTGTCACATGTTAACACTTTAATGAGTTTACTGGCGGAAAGATGGAATGAGCCCGATGTGCATCGAGATGCCAGGTAAGTTCACAGAAAACTTCACTTTTCACGGAATGAGTTCGACTGGACCGCTGTCGAGAAGAATGAGTTTCGAAACGAAATAGAAATTATACTTATATAATTCAAGCCCCTTGTATTAAAAGAAAATATTCGCAACGATTCAGAAATTGAAATGAGCTTTGCTGGGCGACGAAAGAATGAGCCTGGCAGAGATCACCAGGAGCGCCGCAAAATAAACGGGACTACTTTATTCGAAAAACTGTTTCACGTTGTTTCCAATTCCAGCAGTTTCCATTTTCTTCTGTCAAAATTCGTTCTCAGACCATCTGGTGGATCTGGATTTTTTTTTAATACCAGAACGAACAACACAAAATGAGTTAGTATGTTATCGCTTTCAAATCTAGACTACAATATCTTTCAAGTAAGAAAAATGTTCAACCGCCAAATCTTTTACCGTCATTATAAGTTTCGAGATAAGCACCTACCTAGCTACCTCCTCATAAGAGTGAAAACATGCTGGAGAGGATTCCTTAGCAATTGGTATAATTTTTCACAGCCGGCGGCATGTTGCTCAGTAATTCACTATGTGTATTTCCAATACTAAACATTTGTTACTTGTATCATCTATTTTTTCTACTATTTAATTACTAAAACGTGCTGGACTAGTATATTCATTATCATGCTTCTTCTTTTCTTCGACATCCATCATCTCAAACATCCCTTATTCTCCTGTTGAGCTTCCCTTGTTTTTCGAAGAAAAGAATGGAGCAAGAAGCAGTCCTTCGCGTCTATTCTGACTTTCAGGATTATGCTATAGTTTCCAAGCCGAAGGATTTGAGAATTTTGTCGAGATCGCTTCGGTCGAATTCGTGTTCTCTGCCGCGCATGCGGCGAATGGCCTTTAGCATTTCAACCATGCGACAACGGGTGTCTTCATTTTTCTGGTATGCAATCATGTTGCGGACAACCTGACGCACCTGTTCGGACCCAAATTTGGACTCCCCGTTGAAGAGTTGCAGTGCAGCTTGCGCTGCTGGTGGTAAAGCCTTGCTGAGCACAGATTCCGTAGGTCGCTCTCCTGCGGCATTCACTGCCATCAAAGTGTTCGTCGCCGAACAGTCGCGACCAGCATCTCCTGCCACGACTCCACCCCCATTGGGCACGTGCGTGAACAGAATGAGCCCATCTTTCGTGCGCTGCGCAGACTTTGCATGGAAACGACGTCCATGGGAATAGATTTCCGTCAATAGGTGCCCCGCTTCCCGGTCGGAGAGACAAATTCGAAGGTCGCCATGATTGCGTTGAAGTACCAAAACACTATTTACGGGTCGCAGGTACTGGTCCATGCCACGAAAGACAGGCGCGCCGAGAACAGCGCTTCCCGCATTCTTGCCCTTGACTCTACTGGATCGGAGCGCCGAGGCTTGCTGCTGCCTTCGAAGTGTCGTACCAAAATCCTCGGTCACGCATAAACAAGAATCTTTCGTCGTCCGCTCGAGAGCATCAAAAATCAAACTCGCCCCGTCGTCTCGAAAGAACGAACATGCAGTCTCTGAGAAAACTTGCCCGGGTCGTGAAATGGATGCGAAGTCCCCTAGAACGTCCGCTGCTTTCTCGACCAGCGTACGGAAATTCGGCAAGTCCTTAGATGAAGCCGGTGCCTCTCGTGGAGGAAGCTCGCGCTCTTGCTCTTCCTCCTCTTCCTGCTCCAACTCGCGTTCGTATTCGTCGTCCAGTGCCGAGCGCGCGACTTCCCGATCGCACCCGAACTCAGCTAATGCTTTGAGAATCTTCTCTTCTGTTCGTCCAAAAATACTTCCTTCCAAAGAACCAGAACTTTTACCGACAGATCCCTGTTGTAGGAATGTAGAAAGATGAGGAAATTATGTCGCCACAGATATATTATGATATCGCTGGGGTCGAATACTGATATCAATTTTTCAAGTCACTTATCTGGAATCCAAACCTACCTTCTACTTGCAATACTGCCTAGTGCAACACGTCGGTTCTACAAAATATCTAAATTTCGCATTTGCGAGTAAGTACCTCATCGCCTCGTAGTGAAGAATCCTCTTGGTCAATGCCGAAGCGCAATAAGCCAGCCAGTTTTTTGGACTCCTCCAGACGCGCCTGCGCTTGTCGTTGTTGACTGGTGAAATCTTTCAGGCCTAAGTCCCGGATGAGTTGCAGTTTCGTCGAATGGCCGTAAAAAGTCATCAAGTCACATTTTTCTTCGAGCAAGGCACGCCGCGAATCCCCGGACACTGCACAATAAGTGGCCCCCTGCGAAGCCCAAGGCAGCAGGGCGTTTTCAACAGCGTGGATTGTGTTCAGGGTGACCCAAAACAGGAGATCACTAGAAGTAACAAGAGGAGATGACTGGTCGTGGATCTTCCTTGAAGAGTCATCATTCATCCAGGTGTTCTGATCCAAGGCCCTGCACTCTTCGAGAATACTGTTCGTCACTTCCGGCGGCCCGTAAAAAGCCACGGACTGATCAAAGTGGATTTTCCGAAGTCGGCCCACCGCCTGCATGATTTGATCCTTGTTCATTCGAGGCGCAACAGTCACCAGTGCGCGAGCACTGTGAGCTAGCTTCAAGTCGGCGCCTCTCGTGCGTGACTGGTCGTAGAACGCAAAGCAATTTGCCTCGTGCAGAGCGCTCTTTGCGAGTGGTTCGTGAACGCCCTTGAGGTTGACGACCATCCACTCCCCGGTTCCAGCCGCGGGCTCGAAGTAGACTACACCAAGCAGCTGTAAAGGTTCGGCACCACAAAGGGGACCATCATCGTTTTCTTTGCCAGGAAGGTGCTTGGTAAGAATGTGGTTTGCGACGTCGCGGTTGGAGGATCCGGCTAACAGACCGCCCGCCTCGACCAACGCTTGAAAGCGGCCGCAGGAAAGCGCAGCGTCCACGGTGGCGCGCCAGTTGTCGGTAGCTGGACCAGCGTGATAACAAGCGTTCTTTTCCTTGCTCACACATGCGATCATGCGGCCATCCGTGCCGCGCAAGTGAGGCAGAGTGTGCTGACGCACCGCGGGCGGCAGCACTAGTGAGTTGTCCTTGGTTCCGGAAAACCCCACCGTGTGTCCTGTACTTTCGGCTAGGTTGAAGGCGTTGGCCACAATCTTGTGCGGGAACTGTCGGGTTTCGTGTGGCAGGACGCAAGCGTGCAGAAAGAGATTGATCGTCTCCACATTCTTTCGAAACCGGGAGAAGAGAAGCTCAAACTGTTCCTCGTTTTGCAGGTCAATTTTTTCCACAGAGTCCATTCTGGCAGTCTCCTCGTCAAAACCATGACGGTGGAGCAAATCGCCGGCATCGAGCCAGGATGAGTAAAGACTCTCTCGTGCGACGGGACCCAGCCGCAACAGGTGCTCAAGTGTCTGGCGGAGTGCCGGACGCGTGAGGCCGTCGTAGTACCAACTCAGGTGTGTCAGGGCAAGGGCCATGTCCGGATGCCCGTATTCCGCACGCTCTGCCGGCGTGTCGCTCGCGCGATATGGAATAGCAAGACGCTTTCGTCCTCCCTCCAAATTCAGGCCGTACTCGACTCGAAAACGCTTCTCCAACGCGCTCCACACGACCCCACAACTCAGAAATCCGCGTAGACACAGGAGCACCGCGCGCACCTGCTCCTTGGCGATCAACTTGCGGAAATCGGAGCCTTCTCCAGCATGCATCTCTGGGTCTTCCGAGTGCAGCACGAAACGACGCGCGAAGTCCCGCAGAAGTTTCGTGTTGACAGCAGAAGTTTCGTGTTGGCTCTCTCTATCTTGTAAGTATTTGTTGCTGATTAGTGCCTTCGCATTTTGCCACAGCGATCCTCCAGAAGCCTCGTCTGAAGACGAAGTAGATCCAGTGCTCTCAAACAAGGACTGCAGACACTGCAGTTCGAAGGGCGGATGCTCGAAGAGTTCGTCGAGCACCAGAGCTGCCAAAGTGCGCTTCACCTCCGGCTTCTTCCAGTCCTGCTGGTCTGAAACGAAACGCAGCGGACGGAACGCGCCAGACTCGCTGTCACTGCCACGGCAACAGGCGTTCTCGTGCTCTGCGAGAAAGCGCTCTACTTTGTGACCGCCATCGCCGCGGTGTCCGCTGTTGAGCACCCGGAAAATCGCTTGCAGCGTGTGCCAACGTGCATCCCCATGCGGCAGCAGCGACGTGCTTTCGTCATGCCCCTTCACGGCGTAGATTAATTGATACTTTTGCTTCAATTCCTCATCGGCCTCGTCAAGGACGTCGACTGCTGGAAAATACACCACTTCTCGCAAAAAGGAAATTGCAGTCTGAAGACTCTGCAGTTCCGACGAAGAACTTGCAGTACTTGTTGCGTTTTGTTCGAACGATGTTGAGTGGTCAGTACCTGCAGTTGCCACGCGCATGTGCGTTGCTTCAAGTTCGAGTTCGTGCAGCTTAAGCAATTTGCTCATGCGCGATTCCGGAGTCTCGACTAAAATCCCGCCACTCAGTGCGCACTCCACGAAAGTGTCACGCAACTTTTTTGCGTTCTTTGGACAACGCAGGTCGACATCGCGGTTGAAGGGCGCAACATACACGCGCCGACGAAACACGCTGTGCTGTAGCGTCTGAGTCAAGTACTGAACGAGTTCACTTTGCAGTTGTCGCAACACGGTGATCCGCATCAGCAACCGAGTGCAACCAGCTTTTGATTTACTAAAGCCTTTCATATCCTCGGGTGAACTACTAGCGCTTGGAGTCGGTTTCCGAGTTTCTCTCGTGCTCACGCTGGAATCCACATCATCCCCCGAAGACGTCTCACTGCCAGTTGGCGAAAGAGTCGACACGGTCCCTGACAGCGTTTTCGGAGAAGTGCTAGTGTCTACAGAAGAGTCACTCAGTGATTTTCGTGGAGTGCTGCAGTCCGCACCACCTCCCCTTTTGTTTTTGAATGTTGCATGTTGCGTCTGGCCTGTGAAGTAAATGACCAACATAGGAAGAATAACGCGTGTTTTTCCCTCTCCCATGTTTAGTTGTGCGATCGCACTTGGATTCTCAATGCAGAGTTTGGCGACGTCGTACTGCTGCGGCCGAATCTGCAGTCTAGTTGCCACCTCGAAAGCAAGCCAACCAGGATATTCCACCGGACTCCATTTTCGAAAGCACTCCAACTCCCTTGTGATCAGTCCCTTGTTCTTTAGCACATTCCTAGCGACAGCGGAGGTACAATCTTCCTTAGAAAATGAATTCTTGTTGTTCGTTGATGCATCAGTAGCTGTAACATCCGAAAGACCAACCACCCCACAGTGCTGCTGCAAGATTCGCGAGAATTTTTCCATTATTACCTCAAGCTCTAGATATAGCGTGAGAACGCGGTGTAGCTCTTCGATGCACTCTTTGGTCAAAAATGGGTTCAATTGTCCAATGTGGTCCTTGTGCAGGAACAGCTCCGTGAAATGGCGCAGGCAAGATGCAGCAGTAGAATCGTCACTGTGTGAACAAGAGGCTTTTGTTGATCCAGGCTGTGATTGAGAGTTATTTCTTGCGAAGGGATTGACGTTTGTGAGGTGCAACCGTTCGAACAGCTGCAGCATATCTGCAGTGCGCCGCTCCGCATCCGCAATGGAGGCTTCATCTTTCAAGCGACTTGCGTTTGGACTGACGCACAGGACGGTCACAACATACTTGAGACAGCCACTCTGTTCCTGTGCACACTTCGCTTGCTCCTCCCGGAGCACCTCCAGAATACGCGCGACGCCCAATTCTGCGACTTTCAGCACCAGATGCTCCTCCGCTTGGAAAGCACGCCAACTCTCCTCCAGCTCTGTAAAAATTTTCTTGGCCACCTTGGAAGTGCGCGCTACATGTTGCAGTCGCTGCTGATTGGGAATCTCGCTTTCCTCCGGTGGACAGTGGTTCTCCGCTTGCGTCCCAGCTTTGAGCGGCGCAAGCAGGGTAGAGCGCAGTAGCGTTTCGCAGTCAGACACGAACGTCGACCTGGTAGGGTGCGGTTCGATTTGAGCGCGAGCGAACGTGAGACGACGTTGTCTCATATCACAGGTGCTGGCACTCTGCCCATTCAGGGAAAAGCCGAGAAGCTCGCGCTCCTCATCCCGGGAAAGCTGTGGATTGTGTTCGTACCACGCAACTGCCTGCGCCCGCAGCTCTCCGATCTCAGTCTTGATTTTGGCCCGCAATTCGCTTTGCCAGAGACTCACAGCAGAACAACTGCCACTGTCAACTATGGGGTTCTGGTCGTCTTCGTTGTTCGCATTTTCTTGGGACGCTACGGCGCTGTGGCAAAAATCTAGACTCTGCGAAAACTCGAAAAGCAGTTGCATCAAGAGCTTTACATTCGCGAGCCGCGCTCCCAGTGCTCGGTATCCCAACGAAGCGCACCGTCCAAGCTCGGCGTTCAGGAGTTGTAGAATATTCGATACTTTGTACAGCTCAGCTGCGCACAGCGGTCGATTCGCCATGGCCTTGCGGACGATGTCGAGCGCGACCTCGTACGGAAAGACTCCGCTGGCCTTTTCTGGCACCGGCGAGTCGCTAATGACGTACAAGCTAGCCAGTTGCAGCCAGCCGGCGAGGCTTCCCGCCTGGAGCGGTGCACCGTTCTGCGTAATGCCGTATGCAAAGTGCGCGCACCCCGCCCACGACAACTGTCGTTGCAGCAGCTCTGATGGCAGTGCGACGCCGTTGGCGCGCTCCTGCGTCGACGCGCGTTCGGTCTCCCAGGTGGATGCAGTCAGCGATTCGTCCGCGCGCAACAACGGCAAAATGGGGGTGCTTTGCAGGTCAGTGGAAGAAACGCTGACCCAACCATCAGGTACGAGCACTTTCCACTCGTCTACCTGGACCTCGGTCGCGTCGATGCGCTCTAGCAAGAGAAAATTGGTGAATTGAAACAGCATGTTCTCCGGAAGCATCTGCTCGGGCGCGAGGCGGTAGTCGGTGTAGTCGCAAGATTGTATATCTCCGGAAGCGCTTTCCACAGAAAATCGCAATCCGTAGCGCACAAGCTCAATTTCCGTGATGCGATGGATGCAATTTGTTTTCTGCCTGTCTTTAAGACTCGACAATCCAGCGTTACTCATGCTGACGGAAGCATAAACGTCGATGTAGCTACGCTCTGGCTCGAACTTTGCAAGGATGGTTAGCAACCGAGCAAGCATCGGGTTCTCGATGTCCGTGGAAACCAGCTGTTTGCGATCCGCTTCGGGCGTCTCGCCGAGAAGAAACTTGAGGAGCGTACCCTGAGCGATCTCGCCTTGAATCTCTTCGTTCTCCAAAAATCCTTGCGCCAGTTGTCGTGGAACGGGCAGGCAGATATCATCCACCACTGCAAACAGTGTCTCCTCAAAAAGAGAGCCCGTTTCCTTGAAATTTTCGGTGTCCAGATTGGAGCGACACAGCAAAACCTCGTGGTCCGCACAGAACCAGTGGGTACAGCGCTCCGCCACCGACGGGGGCAAGGCCTTTCGCAGTTTGTCGACGGGAATAACGTCAAACCGAAGATCGTGCAGGTCGTCCCGCTTCACCTCGCTGCACACCACTTCGTTTCCCTCGTTGACTCGAAACTCGAACCGCGATCCGGAAAAGGTGCGCGTCGTGGCACAGACGCCATCAGACGTGCGGCTGATTTTGAAATCTAATTTGGCGAACGTGCGCATGTAGGTTGCATCCTGTCGGATAGAGTCTGGAAGTCGGTCTCGAAGGTAGCCGTTGATCAAAAAATCTCCTGTGCGCACGTTCAGTGAATATACCGTCCCGGGCCGCACGTCCAGAGCGTGCAGAAGCGAAGAGGACGAATGCTCGTTGGAAGAATGTTCGTTTCCACCGGGTGCGCTGCTCCACTGAAGATTTAAAGAGGACCCACTTTTCTCGCCAGCCATGTGCGCGACCACATTGGTCAAGACCGTGTCCGTAGAAAATTCACGCACAGTTGATATCAACTCGCCTATCTCCGAGGCGCAGCGCTCCTCCAACTCCTCGTAGACCCATTTTTGGTTTTCATCCGCGAAAACAGGTGCTTCGACACGCACATCGCGCAACGACGCGGTGCAGAGGCAGATTTGCTGCGCCAAACGCGAAAAACCTGTGTCAGAGGAGCAGTCCTCCACTCTGCTTGATTTCATCTCCGACCCCGATGCAGCAAATTTCCATGATATACTATTATTAGAAAGCATCGCAGCCTCAAGTTCGCGACGCGTCTCCGGGTGCTCTCTTACACA